CCCCGTACACAAGATTGTCTCGAGCACGCAAACGACATCGCCTGTGCGCCACAGCTCGCCCAAGCGCGCCGTGCCAGCCGAGATTGGCGACCTGGCGAACCCTGACGCGCTGCCCAGCCCCGAGCGCCTGTACGACGCGCGCGATGCCTCGCCGGACCGCCTGCATGAGCCGCCCGTCGGGCAGGTGGACGACCTCCTCGATGTGGATGCGCTGCTGGCGGAGGGCGAGCCGGAGGACGACGAGTCGGGCGGTGTGGATGTGGACGACCTCCTGCAAGAAGATGCGCTGGACGCCGACGGACCGGGTATGGCACGCAGCACGACCATGCGCCGGATCCACACGGACGCGAAGGACAAGGCCGCGCCGGCGCCCGACGTGGACTTGCCGACGCTGCCGAGCTGGAGCCCGATTGTATGGGACTCGCTCCTGCCGGACGTGGAGCCAGCCGCCCAGCGGCCGCGTGCCGTCGAGCTGCCTGCCCGCACCGTGCGGCCCCGCATCTCGCGCGACGCGATTCGCGCACGCGTCGAGCGGAAAAAGTCGCATGTGCTGAACGAGATTCCACCGGAGCGGCGGCAGCCAGCGCCGGTGCGCCCGCCGCCGCGTGGCCCCGCGCGGCTATCGACGGACAGTGCCCCGGGGCCCTCGACGAGCCGGCCGGATCTTCCGTCCCTGCATAGCCCCCTCGCGCAAGTCAAGACGGCGCTCCAGGACCAGGCGGGCCGCACCGTGTCAGGCGCGAGTCAGGCGGCTCCGCCGCTCTCCAAGGAGCTGGAGCGCCAGAGCCAGTGGTTCGGTGCCGAGCACCCCCCGCGCGCGGCAGACGCGGCCGCTGCGCCGCCCGCCGACGAGACGCACGAGGACAGCGACCACGACGAGTTTGTATCGCCGCTCTCGCGTGTCTCGGCGCTGCCCGACGAGGGTGCGCTGCCCGACGAGGACGCGCCGGCCGCCGAGGCACCGGGCGATGACGCCGAGCCGTCGACGGCCTTCCGCCATCTCATGGAGCGCGAGCTCACACGCATTGTGCGCGAGAGCGACAAGCGGTACAAGGTGCGCGAGCGCGACGTGTACGTTGGCAAGCGGCCCATGGAGCGTGGCTTCGCGAGCTCACAGGCGCCGTGGAAGCGTGTGCAGCAGCCGAACGAGGTGGCCGCGCTGGCGCAGGGCACACGCGCTGCGACGCCGCGGCTCGACACGCATGGTGCCACGACGCATGGGCGTCTGTTTCTGGCGCTCGATACATTCACGCCTACGGGCCTCCAGGTGCCGTTCAACGCGGCCTTTTATTGTGTGCTAGACAATGGCATCCACCGTGTCAAGACGCCGTCGGCGCCCCTCGTGCCCGGCGGCGCCTCGCCGATACACCAGGAGTTTGAGCTGGTGGAGAGCGCGCGCTTTGCACTGACGCTCTCGCTGCTCCTCGACGCGGACGGCGACGATGTCCTGGACGACGAGGTCGCTGAAACGGGCGCGCTGCCCACGGAGGCCCGCACAGGCATGGGCCGCTTCCTGAGCCGGCACCTCGGCTCCAAGGGTGCGCGCGAACCGTGGCGCCCCAAGCCGCCGGCGCCTGCGCGCCTCAGCACGATCGGCGCATCGCGGCTTGTTCTGGCGGACATCCTGGACAACTGCTTTGCGCGCTGCGCGACGCTGGACCTGCCGGTGTGTGACGCGGAGCAGCGCACGCTCCGGCGCCACGCGATGCCAAAGGGGCGTGGCACGCTGCGTGTGCGTGTCTTTTACCTGCCGCCACTGCCCGAGGCCGTGCACGAGCACCTGCCCGGCAATATGGACGAGGCCGTGCAGGGGATGGTCTCGGTCGCGTGGCGCGATACAGCGACGTCGTACGAGGGCATACTGACGCAGCTGGGCGGCGACTGTGCGACGTGGCGGCGGCGCCCGATGCGCATTGTCGGCCTGAACCTCGTGTGCTACAACGAGGTGACCCGGCGGCCAGTGACGCGCATTGACCTCGTGCAGGCGCTCTCCGTCGACGAGCACCCCCCCGCGGAGGGCCGCGATACCGACGAGGTGTGCCAGGTGCCCCACTCGTTCTGCCTCACGTTCCGCAACGGCGAGCGGATCTACCTCTATGCGGACTCGGACGACAAGAAGATCGAGTGGATGAACACGCTGCACAATATCATCACGCACAAGCTCACGCCGCCGCCCGCGTGGGCCATTGCCGCGGCAGGGATCTGCAAGGCGCGGTTCCCACCGGAGCGCCCGACCTCGTCCCTCTCGCGCCCAGAGTCCCAGCAGCGGCCCACGCCGCCGCCCGGCGCGACCAAGCCGGCCGCGCCCGCGCAGGCCCCGGGCGCAGCGCCAGAGGCGCCGCCACCCGCGACGGTCAGCTCGCGTGTGACGCTGGCGGTCCCGACAAAGCCGGCGGCCTCGTCCGGTCGGCGTGCGCCGCCCCAGGCGGCCAAGCCGCCGCCGCCGCCGCAGTCGCCGCCGTCGCACACATCACCCGCTGCGCCCCGTGCATCTATGCAGAGGCCGCGGCCCATGGACGCCCCCTCGGACGAAGCTAATGAACGTGTCCACGGCGCCAAGCGCACAGCGCAGCGGGTACGCCACATGGCCAGCCGCTGGCTCGGGAAGCGTACGTAGGCTCAGTTTGAACACCTCCACCCTGCCATGCGTCGGAGGACGGCGCCGGGCGGCCCCAGCCGCGCGCCGGCGCCGGCGCCAGCTGCGCCTGTGGCGTGTGGGATACCGACGGAGCTCGTGCAGCGTATCCTGCTGTACAGCATCGAGTGGGACCAGGTAGCGGTGCAGCGCGTGTTGTGCCTGAGCCGCGCATGGCACCTTGCCCTAGCGCCGTACGTCTATACGCGTGTGCAGCTCGGCTCGTCCGAGGCGCTCGCGCGCTTCGCCGAGCTTGTGCAGCGGCGCCCGGAGGCGGCGCGTGCGGTGCGGCGTCTGTGGATTGGGCCGCGGCATGCGCGCTCCGACCTGCTCGCACTCTTGTCGCTGCCCATGCCGGGCGACTCGGACTATGTGCAGCAGCGGCGGGAGCAGGTGTATGTGCAGACGCGCTTCGTGCTGCGTGCATGTCGTCGCCTTGACGATGTGGCGCTCAGTGGCTCGCTGGTGGCGGCCGATGTGGTGCGCTCGTACGGAACGGCGTGCCAGCCCCGGCGCCTCACATCGATCAACCCGCACAGCTTCATCTCGGGCTTTGACGCGCCCATCTTCCGCCGCGTCCACACGCTCGTCCTGTGTGATGTAAACGTGTCGCTCTCGGAGGCGCGTGCGATCCGCCAGATGCCTGCGCTGCAGACGCTGCTCCTGACGACCCCGAAAGAGTATGGCGACCCGGCCAAGGATGCGGCCATGGTGCGCTGGGCGCTTACGTCGGACGACCCGCTCGACAGGTTCGCGCGCCTGGGACTGGACGATAGGCCGCCCCTCCGTGTGTGCCTGCGCGGCCCGAGCGCGCGCGCGCAGCGCATGGCCGAGAGCCTCGCAGCCCTGCTCGACGACGATGTGCTCGTTCAGATCGACTATGACATGCTACCTCCTACATTTTGCGACGAGTGGGATGCGCTGCGCGACCGCTTGTTCCACGCCCGCGACGACGACGACGAGCCACGCGACCCCAGCGGGGCGCTGGCCTTCCTGGAGCAGGAATGGCGCTTCTCTATACCAATGCGGTCTCTTTGGGGACCAGCAGCCATACCGCGATAGCCGTGAAGAAGCCCGCCGCCTTTTCGACAGCCGTGTGGTAGTACATGGATGTGGCACACAGCATGCCCGTCCACAGCGCCATGAGCGCCAGCGTGCCGAGCAGCACCAGCTGGTTGCGGTGGCGGACCGCCGGCGGGCCGTCCCGCCACACATTGCGCTGCGAGCGGACCGCCGTCGGGATGGCCAGCGGCGCCCACGATACAGGCACGTACGGCACAAGCATCTCGCCGAGCACGAGCAGGCTCAGCACGAGGATAAACGTGTGGCCCGACACATTCACGCCGCCGTGCCATCCCGCATGCAGCGTCGAGTGTCGCTCGAGAAGCGTCGGGTGCAGCTGTCCAAGGAGGTGCGGGTGCGTCTTCAGCGACAGCGGCGCGCGCGTGCGGCACAGCGTCGGGTCCACCTCCATGGCATTCACGAGACACTGCCCCCCACTCGCGACGTGCATGCGCTCAAGCAGGCTCGCGCCGAACGACCACTGCGCCACGAGGAACCAGCCGATCGTTGCGATGAGCCACCGCACAAACGTCTTTGACGCCACGACATCGTGCCACGAGCGCACGCGCGCAGGCACCGGCACCTTGCCCATCTCGCCCTGCACACCGCCGCCCGTGCGCTTCAGCGTCGCGGCGATCAGGCCCATCGCCAGCGTGTTCCAGAACCACGCACGCTTAACAAACAGCGTGTTCATCCAGTTCCGGCGGTCGGCCAGCAGCGACGGCACCTGCCGCTGCAGCTCGACGAACGCCGCATAGTCCGTCGCGCGTGTGGCGCTGAGCCGCTCGTTATAGTGGTTCATTCGGAAGAGGGCCGATGTACAGGTGCCCACAAGGATCACACAGGCCAGAAATGCAATCATGTACACATGGTAGCTCTGGATGCGCAGCTGCTGGGGCAGCCGCAAGTACGCGGGAACAGCACGTCCCATCGTGGCACCGAGATACGCGCACGGTGACCTCCGAATCCCACGTGATGCATCCTCGCCTCGCACGATGCGGTCCCAAGGCGCCGCCGGCCTGATCATCGCGACGGTCGTGGGCGTGGCCTCAGGCTACTACATTTTCCAGCCGCTCGTTGAGCAGTCGATGCAGAAGATGATGGCGGAGCGTGATCTGCGCAAGACGGTGGATGCGCCTGCCGGAGAGCCGCGTACAAAGGCGTAATCTACATGGGCGAGGGCCCCCACCAGGCCCCGGCCTCGCGCCGCTGCTTCGCGACCTCGGCCTTTCGCCGTATGAGTTTGTTGGACAAGTATTGGAAGACGAACTGGCCGTGCGCGTTGGCGACCACATTCGTCTCTTCCACGACCTCGATGCTCGTCACTGCAGGCGCCCCGGCCTCACCGGCCTCTGCAGCGCGCTTCCGCTTGCCGAGCTTGGACTTCTTGTCCGTCTTGTAGTCGTCCTCACTGGTATCTTTACTCTTGGACTTTTTTGCTTTCTCAGGCTCGTGCTTCTTGGCCTTGGCTTTCTTTTCCTTCTTCTCTCTCTTCTCTTTCTTCTCTTTCTTCTCCCTCTTCTCCCTCTTCTCTTTCTTCTCCCTCTTCTCCTTCTTCTCCTTCTTCTCCTTCTGTTCCGTCTCCCTGTCGGTCGGGCTAGGGCGCCCAGATGCGTCGGCACTCGCAGGCGCCTCGGCCGTGCCCTGCTTGATGCCGAGAATCTCGTTCATACCTAGGGCACTCGTGCCGACCAGCGCCTTGGCCTGGCGGAACTTGGCACGATGTCTGCGTTAGTAGGTGATACGTACGCAAGTCGAGAAAAGGCTGGGCGCGGCGCCGGCTCGGGCGCGGGTGCTGGAGGCTCGTCGGCGCGCGTCGCCGCATTCGCCTGGTTCAGGCGATCGAACAGAGAGCCGAGATCGCCGCCAGCACCGACCCATGCATCCTCCTTGCCTTGCTCACGCGCCTCGCGCTCGTGGCGCTGCGCACCGATGCCTTTGTTATCCAGCTTCATCGACACGGTCAGATGGCTCGACATGCCCTGCCGCGACTGGCCGAGTCCCGTGCCCGGCGCCCAGCCCATCATGGACATCATGCGCTGCCCCGGCAGCGACGAGTCCTGAAGCCATGCAGTATTGTGCTGCGAGGCCGCGCCGACCAGGCGCTGCTTCTTGCGCGGCTCCGACAAGCCCATGCTCAGCGGAGAGCCGCAGCGGAAATGCACCCAAATTTTTGAGCGCTGACTAAGGAAGGACCCTACTTGCTGCGCTTGTACACCTTCTCGAAGAAGGCGACAAACACCTGGCGCTTGAGCCCCGACGATTCAGGGATGGCATTGATTAGGCCATGGATGCGGTCGTAGCTCGCACGCTCGTAGTCGGCAAATTTGCCCTTGAGGTCAATGTTCTCCGCGTTGAAAACGTCCTTCACCTTTTGCTCGCACTGCGCGTCCTTGCGCCCGTAGTTCTCGTCCAGGACCTTGCGCTGCTCCGCCGTCGCGTGCGCCAGTGCCACGTTGATGTTCCACGAGCACTTGTTGTCTAGAATGTCGGTGCCGATCTTGCCAATCACCTCCGGGGCGCCATAGCAGTCCAGGTAGTCGTCCTGCACCTGGAAGTACTCGCCGAGCGGGATGAGGATCTCCTCGGCCTTCTTGTAGGCGTCCTCGTCGCTCACGCCGCACATGCGCATGGCCAGCGCCACGGGCAGGTAGAACGAGTAGAACGCCGTCTTGTACACCACGATCAGGTGGTGCTTCTTCAGCGAGAACTTGCTCAGGTCGACCGAGTCCTCTGGCGCCGTGATCAGGTCGATCAGCTGGCCCAGCTCCGTCTGGAAGGTCACGTCGTGGAAGAGCTCCAGCAGGTAGCCATAGTACGGCTGGCCCTTAAAGTGCTTCTTGAGCATAAAGTAGATCGCCGCCTCAAGCATAAACGCGTCGTTGATCGCGATGTTGCCAATGCCTTCCAAGCGGTACCAGCACGGGTGGCCGCGGCGTGTAATCGACGCGTCCATCATGTCGTCAGCCACGAGGAAATACGCCTGCAGCAGCTCGATACACCAGCCCAGGATCGCCGCCTGCATGTACTCGTCGTCCGTCAGCTCCCGCACCTTCTCACTGCTCTCGTTCGTGCACAGCAGAATCTCCACCGTGTCGACCACCGACAGACCACGGTTCAGCTTGCCGCCCGGCGTGTTGTACTCGAGATTCCTTTTGTACCAGTCGATGGCCTCCTCAGGCATCGACTGCGACTTCAGGTAGTCCAGGAGCTCCTCAACAATCCTGGAAAACACGCCCTCAAAGCGCTGGCGCTTGGCTAGCTTCGCATCTACGGCCGACATGGTCACCTAGGAACGTGCGCGCGTTGGGCGCCGCGCCAGCTCGACCCTGAACCACGTGACTATGACCTTGGCCCTCGCGTCAGTGCGCCACGTTGGGGTACACGTCGAAGCGGCGCTGCATCGAGATGGGGACGATGCGGCGGACTTCGGCTACGCGCTCCGGCATGAGCGTCGCGTAGACGACCGCTTCCTTCTCATCACACGTCTCGACGACCACTGCGAGCGGGTCGACCACGGTGCTGTGGCCCCATGCGGGGTAGCCCTCCGGGGGACGTGCGGGCGAGCAGCCGACCGTGTACACTTGGTTGTCCACCGCCCGGGCGCGCAGGAGCAGCTCCCAGGCCAGCGGCCCCGTGGTAGTGTTGAAGGCGCCGGGGTACAGCAGAGCACCAGCGCCGAGCCGCGCGGCAATTTGCGCACTTTCGGGGAAGCGCATGTCGTAGCAGATACCTAGGCCAAAGCGACCGTGCGCTGCGTAAGTACTAGCCACGTACCACAGTCAAAGATCGTGACGCGGTCGCCGCCCGAGAGCGTCTTGCTTTCCTGGAACGTCATCTTGCCGGGAATGTCAATGTCGAAGAGATGCAGCTTGCGATGCAGAGAAAGTACGCGGCCTGCGTGAGTCTCGAGCCCGTACCTTCGTTGTCAAACACGCAGCTGGTGTTGTAGATCCGGTCGGTGTCTGGATCGATCTCAGGCACGCTGCCGCCCACGAGGACCACACCCGCCTCCTGCGCGAGCATGCTGAGCATTCTGAGGCTGGGGCTCGACTCGAGACACGCCTGTGACAGTGTCACGGCGCGTGCGTTGTCCAGGTTGTCTATAGGCCACGCGCGCTGACCGCCATTCTTTGCGACATCGGTGCCGCCACGCTTCACCTGCTCGTACAGGCCCGAGAACGACTCTGCATACTGGCGGAACTTGTCGACGCTGTACGGCGAGTTGAAGCACTCCGGCAGCATGACCAGATCGACGCCGCCCTGCGGCGCCTCCTTCACCGCGCGCAACACGGACGAGCGCGCATGCTGCAGGTTGAACGCCTTGTCAGCGCCAATCTGGCCCAGCTGCACCAGCGCCATGCGCGTGGTTTGCAGATGGAACGGGAGCGGGGTGCTCGGCATGTCGTCGCGAGGGAGCCCCGGTCGTGGCGGCCGCGCACGTGGCAAGGGGTGGAGCCGCGCGACGCACGGCGCTTCTTCCTTACTCATTTCGTGTTCGCTTATTGTGGGAGTCAAGGCCGCCGTGAGCGACTCTCTGCCTTTTCTCCTCTATCTTGCGACCTAGAGCATCTACTTGCCGTAGGCCCTGCTACGCGTGTGACGTTGTGATCGCGCCCTGGCCAAGCAAGCACACTTCTAGTCTCTATAGCATGTCCAAGTACTCCCAGAGTCAACGAGCGGTGATGGCCCTGTACCGGCGCGGCCTGCGTCTCATACGGACCAAGCCAGAGGTACGTGCGAGTGGCTAATGGAAGGATTCCCGCTACGACTTCACGCTATACCTGCGCCACTTTTTCCGCCACCCGTCGATGGGCGGCGGCCTCTCGAAGCGCGACTTTACCACGGTCGAGTACATGATGCGCCGTGCCAACAAAATGCTGGATGAAATATTCGCGAATCCTAGCGCTCGCCGCGTGCGCCTGGGCGCGCCTGTGCTAGAAGAGATGCACAAGCTGGGGCTCGCGCACCGCCGGCGTACGCCGCCGTCTTCGTAGCAGTGGAGGTGTCTTTCGTGTTCTGCCAACGCCATGCGCTGGGGTCGAGTCGAGCCGGGCCTGGGCCTTGCGCGGCGTGTGTGCGTGCCGTCGTCGCCTATGTGGACGAGGGCGGTATGCCCACGGTTCTATTCCGCGGCGCCGGAGAAGACGGCACCGCCAGCCACGTCGTGGGCGCGCTCCGTGTTTCGGGTCCTGGCGTGGGTCCCCGTGGTGATGTTTGTCACGAGTCATGTGTGCAGCATTGCCAACGTGCATGGCCACAGCATGAGCGTATGTCTGCTAGCTAACCGCAGCCTACGTTCAATCCTATTGACCCCGAGCAGTTTGGGCATCCCAGCGAGCGGCCCTCGAGTGATATTGTGCTGCTCAACCGCACGGTCACGGCGCGGCGCAACTATAAGCGGGGCGACATTGTGACACTGTACTGCCCGAACGATCCGAACCGACTCATCACAAAGCGGATTCTTGCGCTGGGCGGCGATACCGTGCGAGTATGGGTGCCCAGGGGCATGGACCTAGCTCCTGCGTCGTCCGGGCGCGGACGTGCCGACGTCGTATCGCTCGCATACACCAATATCTACCAGAAAGCGCTCCGCGAGCTGGCCTCGGAGATCGAGGACCACGCATCGGGTGCGTGGCTCAGCATCACGATTCCACCGCAGTACGCCTGGGTTGAGGGCGATGCCAGTGCCCACGCACCGACGCAATTAAGCCGGCTGCATCCTGACATCAAGAGCCGTGATAGTCGCGAGTTTGGCCCGGTGCCCCTGGGCCTGATCACGTCGCGTGTCGAGTACATTCTATGGCCGCTAGCGCGGTTCGGACGGCCGCCGCCGCGACCGAGGCAAGCCGTTAGTTTATGAGACTGTTGGTGTACATGCGATGCACATACGTCTTCCACAGCTTCTTGTCGAGCACGAGGCGCCGGGCAAGGTCCATGACCGAGCGCAGCGTCATGTCGTCCCGCGCATAGTTGGTAAGGGGCTTGACGGGCTTGGCCAGGCGGCACACGCTGCCGTCGCAGTCAAAGGGCGACGTGATACCCGCCTGCCTGAGAGCACGCTCGAGCAGCGCGCGCGGCACCGGGATGTGGTGGTCCTGCGGCGACTCATGGTGGTGCGGCGGCGGCATAATCTCGCTGGGGCTTACGAGCTTGTCGTGGTACTGGTGCCACAGGACAGGCGCCGTGTAGGTCGTGTACTCCAGGTCAAAGTCGAGCGTCAGGTTTGTGGGCGCCCTGCCGCCGTGCTTCTTGCGCTTATGCAGGAACTCGGCGTTCGCAGCGTCGAGGTCCAGCACCCATTGGCTATAGCCCAGCGGCGTTAGGAAGGTGTTGGTGCGCGACGGCGACAGAGGCGACGCGTACCGGGGGAGCCTCTGGTCCCGGCGGCGGTGGCGACGGCGGTGCGGCGGGCGGCTGTGTTGCCGGTCCTTCTTCCACACCGTCACATCGCCCGGCAGCGGATAGGGCTCGCACTCGTCCGATGCCTCGTGGTCGTCACACAGGTCATACGATACGTAGTCGAGTAGCACGGCGAGGTCATTGGTAAATTCCCGGTTCCACACGGGGCGATTGTCGTGCTCGAGGCTCGTGTTGTACGTCCACACACGTAGCGACGGCAGATAGGTCGGAACCAAGCTGGGCGCCTCGTAGAACACACTGTACAGGTCCATGTTGGTGCGCGCGTTGCCTGGCAGCGACTCGTAGTCGTACCGCAAATCCTCCTCGATCGGCTTGTACACAATCGGGATCTTGGGCCGCGGGTGCTTCTTCGAGGCGAGCGCGGACTCTTGCACGAAAAAGGCGTCGAGGTTCATGTGGCCAAAGTGCTGGCCCACAATCGTGTCCTGGAAGCGCAGGACGAGCTCTGTGTACACATCGAAGCAGCGGTCAAAGTAGTTGCCAGCCGTCGGCGGCACATGGCCGATCAGGTGCACCTGCATGTTGCGGTGCCGGAACTCGACGAGGCGCTCGGTGAGCCACTCGAGCTGCAGCGTGCCCGGATCGACGTGACTGTCCCTATCCTGCCTGCGCCTGCGAGGACAGCCATCGACGGCCTTGTTCGAGTCGTAAAAGTAGAGGGTATTGAGGCTGATGACGCCCAACTTGTCGGGAATCACGTCCTTGGCAAAGTAGCCGCCTCGCAGGAAGGTATCGCGCTGGTCAGAAGGGATGTGCTTCTGCCAGATATCGGCAAAAGCCTCGATCTCTTGCGTCGGGCCACCAGGCATGGTGTTGTGCAGCTGAATATCGTTGTTGCCAAAGTTCGGCACTAGCGGCACGCCAGGGAAGTAGTGCTCGAACAGGCCCACCGTGTAGCGGTTGAGGTCCTGGATCTCCTTGGGCGTGCGCGGGATCGTGCCATCTTGCTCATGGCGCGCCGAGTCGCCCGTCCACAGGATAAAGTCGAACGGGACCGCGGGCACACCCGAAAAAGCGTCGCTGGGCTCAGGCTGCCATGCCTCCTTGGCCCACTGCAGCGTCGCATTGGCAAGCTGCAGCGGCGCATCACAGTCGCTCACAGGCGTGCCCCAGTACCCCGAGCGCCACTGACCACCGTGCTTCTTGTGCGGTGCGTCCCTGTGGCACTGGGATACGACCGAGCTGCCCTCCCGGTAGTGCCCGTCCATGTGCATATCGGTGATGTGTAGGAAGCGCCCGGAGAGCGGTGCATCGCTCTCCATGCTGAACACATGCTGCTGTGCGGCCACACACGCCGCCGCCGCAGACAGCAGGCCCCACACAAGCGCCCCGCGTGGCATCGCTGGTCTAGCGACACGGTGCCGCCGCCCCGCCCTATTCTATCACGTGACATTACAGGCTAGGAGAAGGTGTGTTCTGTGCTCTCAGCGCCGTGGCTGCTCGTGCTCGACGAGCCCCGGACCGTTTGTAGGACGCGGTCCATGTACATAGCTCCACTCCAGCGCTGATGCGTCAGTAGATCGGTGCGCAGCTCGCGCTCCTTGCGCTGCACGAGCTCCACGTAGGCAAGCATGCCGTCCTTGGCAAACGCGCGGCTCAACTCGCACGCCGCGGCGCCTGTGAGGTGGAGACCGGCGAGCGAGACGAGTTGCAGCACAAAGCCGGCCTGCGCGAGGTCCCAGACAAAGTTACGCAGGTCTGTGTCGCTGAATCCATGCGCGGCCCAGTTGAACGAGGGGCTCAGGTTGTATACAAGCCACTTGCCGCGGTGCTGCTCGTGGATTTTGGCCGCAAAGCCCTGGGCCTGCACCACGTCCGGCGTGTGGGTCTCTAGCCACAGCAGATCCGCGTGCGGAGCAAACTGGTTCGCCCGCTTGATCGCCGCTGCAAGGCCGCCCTTAAAGTGGTAGTAGCCCTCGCGCGTGCGCGGCGCGTCCCAGTCCCACTGCGGCACGCCCTCCGCGCCAAACACTTCTTCAGCAATGCGGCGCGCCTTGCTATGCGAGACACCGCCCTCTACGCGACGGTCGTACTCGGTCAGGCGCGTCGGGTTCGACGCATTGTGATTCGCCACCGCCTCGTTGAATGTCAGCAGCACAACGCCCTCCATCCACTCGCGCTCAGCGCGGTCGAGCTCTGCCTTCGACGCGCCGCGCGCCTCGAGCTCCGAGAGTGTCTCTGCCAACGACGCAGTGTCGCTTGGCAGGTTGTAGGCGCCCTTGATGAACTCGTGGTCGCGCTCATCGATATTGGACGAGATCAGCTTGGCGCTCTCAGAGTCCGTGCGTGCAATGAGCAAATTCGAGGCGCCGAGCAGGTCCCATGCAAAGCGCGTTGTGACCAAGCGGTGTATATGCTCGGCCATGGGCACGAGCACCTTGCCTGCTTGATGCCCGCACTTTTTGCCGCCGTGCAGCTGGTCCTCGAGGTGCACGGCCGCAGCTCCCTGCTCAGCAAAGAGCTTGGCAAGGCGGAACACGCTGCTAAGCCCGCCATGACCTGCATCGCCATCCGCGATGATCGGCCGCAGGTAGTCGACCCAAGGCGTACTGGCGCGCTCGCTCGCCGACATGTGGCACCGCTCATCCCAGTGCTTCCGGTCGTGATGCAGTTGCGCCTTGAACAGGCGCTGCACCTGGTTCGGCACGGTCGTGTAGGGATAGTCGGCCAGGTCCGGCCCCACCTCATTGTCGCATGTAGTCAGCAGCGCAGAGCACGCCCACCCTGACACATACACTGCCTCCTGCTGCATGGCCATCTGCGACTGCTGCGCAGGGTCGACGGCGCCCAGCGTCGTGAGCGCCGTCCGCTCCTGCGCATGCTTCTGCAACGAGGCATAGAGCTTGTCCGCCAGCAGCGACGATGGTGGCGGCTGCACGGGCATCGTACCGCGCTTGGACACGATATCCCGTGCGCTGTACGGACGAGTGAGACCTTCGAACCGCGGCGACTTGAGCCACCTTTCAACGTCGCGGACCGCCTCCTCAAACTGGTGTGCTTCCTCGTCCAGCGTCGGCGGGGCCACCCGCAGCGCCGGCGGCGCTGCCGACCCAGCCGCCCCCGACTTGGCGCGCTGGCCCAGTGCGCCAGCCCGAACTACCGCTGCCGAACGCACCGTCGGCCGCACTACCCTCGTCCAGGTCATCGACGACGAAACGCACGGCCCGCTCCAGTGGCGCAACGGGCTCGGCTGAGTCAGCTAGCGCCTGCCAGTGGGTGGAGGAAAAACGCCCTAGCGTCCAGCGCCTCGATCATGCCGGAGCATCCAGAGGGCCATGCGCCGCGCGGCCGCATCACTGCGCCCAGCACGCGCGCACCGGCACCTGGACGGACAACAAGCATGGTGCCTAGCCGTACGAGCTCGGCGGTCGGCGCCGCAGCGGCGGCGTCGCCGTCCGAGTCGTCTGCTGCCTCTCGTTCGTCGACACCGCAGCCGAGCGCCAGCCGCATCCAGTTTCGCCCTGTGATGCCGCAGCGCCGCCGGACACCGAATGTGTCTACGCCGCAGGTGAAGAGTGAGGCGGAGGAACGGCCGAAGCCATCACGTCCCCCACCGCGGCCGACACCGCGGCCGCCGCTCGAGATGACAGCCACAGGTCCATTTGCGCTGGGCGCTGCACCAAGCTCTTCCGCCTCATCCTCGCGGCGCGCGGCGGCACTACGGGCCGGTACGCCTGCGGTCATGTCGATGGTAACCGCGGCGGCGGCCCCCTCGGCCTCCGGTGACACCGAAGCCAGGGGCGTCGACATTGAGCATGTGCATGAGCTGGACGACATGGCTCCCCAGTCGCTCATGCAGGCGCCGCCGTCAATAAAGCGCGAGAAACCGTCGGCCAAGCCTGAACCTATGGACGACGTGCCTGACGTCAACCAATCCCAGGCACTCGACCTGAGCGACAATGAAGACGACGCGGAAGAAGAGACGGCGAGCTTTCTCTCGTCGTCGCTGCAGTCGGGGTCGCCATTGGGGCAGCTCTTCCTCTTCCAATTCCCACAGTCGGGCCTGTCGTTCCAGCGCGCCGAGGGGAGTGCCGACGAGGCGCCCAAGACCGAGGATGGCGCACCGGCGGCGCCTGAGGGCCACATTGGCCACCTCGATGTCTACCCGAGTGGGCGCATTGTGCTGCGGATCGGGGATATGCCCTACGAAGTGGGCGGCGGCAGCGAGTCGAGCTTCCTGCAGCAGGTCATGCTGCTGGACACGGAGCGCCAATCTGCCGAGTGCCTTGGTGAACTGAACGGCAAGGTCGTTGTGACACCGCAGCTCGACTACCTCATGGAGCGAGCGCGTCTCGACGCAGCACCATGATACCCGCCCTACGAGCGCCACCAGCGAACGACCTGCGCTGTTACTGTCTCTACGACTTCACAGGCTATAGTACAGGCTTATAGTGCGAGACGCTGGGTGCTCTGGGCCAGCTGCTCCGCCAGCGGCTCCGTATCCAGCGAGTGGCTTGTCAGGCTGTGCCCAGAGCGGCTGCCGTGCATCTGCGACGTCGTCGGGATGCGATCGCTATCGCTCGCCGTATCGCTCTCATAGGTGCCGCTCCGGCTTGAGACGGCGGAACTGTCCCACATTGTGCCTTCGTCGTCATCGTCGTCCTCCTCTTCGCGGTTGAGTAGCTCCTCAATGGTCTGCTCGACCTCCTCGAACTGGGCCTGGATGATGCCCTGCCCTTCGGGCACCGATCCATCCGAGGCAAACCAGCGCAACTCGTCGGTCGGGTGCCCCTCTTTGTCCAGAATTGGCTTGCGAAGGCTAGCGATCTGGTGCAGTGCGAGGCGGTACGGGTACATGTCCCGCAGCGTAAAGGTGCCGCCAAACTTGCTTACCTCCCGCAGACACTTGGAAATGGTGGATAGCTTGTCCGATATGGGTATGAGTTCTTCTGATAGCGGCTCGGACGACGACAGCAGCTTGTTGATCAGGCCGTATGAGCGACGCAGCAGGTACAGCAGCACGAGCTGGCCCTCAGGCTGCCTGCCCTCGCTATCGACGAACCGGCCGTCCACGCGCATGCGGTCAATGTCCTTCAGCGTCAAATGGTACGTCCACAGGTCCGTCTCTTTGAGCGACCACCGGTGGCGCTGCTCCAGATGCTCCAGCTGCTGCTTCGTCTCAAGTAGACGGTCATAAATTGGCTGCAGCGTTGGCGACACCGTGCTGTTGCGCACAAGAATATCGTTGCTCAGCTCAAAGCAGCTCTCCAGCAGGCCAGCCAGCATTTCCTGCCCCTCAGGCACCGAGGAGCCACCGGGACCCAGGAACTTACCATCGACGCGCTTGCTCTCGATCTTGCGCAGCTCCTCCTGCAGCTGCCGTACTTCTGCCTTGGGCGGCTTGGGACGCGCTGCGGCCGCATTCAGCTGCCGCCGGATCTGCACGAGTTTCTGGTGGATCGGCAGGAGCTCCACGGAAATCACCGACAGCGCATTTTGCAGCTTGTTCGTCACCTGCTGGCACGCCTCCAACTTGCGCGACATGAGCTTGGTCAGCTGGGGCGGATGCTTGTTCTCACGCTCGTCGTTGCGCACAATCTCGCGCAGTTCCTGGATGCGCGCCACAAACGGCGTCAAGTCCGCCTCCGTATACACGGCCGACTCATCGAGGTGGTCAAGCAGCTGCTTCATGCATCCAATCTGGCTAAACAGCGCGGGGCATTCGCGGCTGCGTCCGACCGTGATGAAGAAGAGGCTCAGCAAGTAAAACACGTCCACCAACATGGTATCCACACGGGTATTTTTCGTCGCTGTCGAGTCTGTGTTGGTCGCCGACGTGGCATCCATGGTCGCGGCCTCGTTGCTTGCATCTTGCGCCACGCTAGATACGTGCTGCTCTTCGCGGATCCGATTCAGTTTGGCAATCTGCTTGAGCACGGCATTGTAGATCATCTGCACGTCATGAGGATTGGCAAATTCCGTATTAAATGTCTTGAACGCTGTCAGCTGGTGTCGGATGCTGCAGTGTAAGTCATGCTACGACACAACGTACTTAATCAGCGCCTCCAGAATAGGCAACTCTTCAGGCGGAATGCCCGACATGGTACTACCCCGCTGGGCTCGGCGCGGCGCTCGGCGGACACTCAACGACGGCTCCACCAATCGAACGCTGGCCTCTGACTGGGTAGCACGTGGGCTCCACTGTGGCGTCCACGCACAGACAGGCCGTAGACCTAGTCTTGTCCCTCTACCATGTTTGCGGTTGCCCGGATGGCTCCACGCCTCGCCAGCCCGCTTCCACTGGCTGCAGTGCGCTCTTTTTCGACCCGAGTGGCTGCGCGCCCGGTGCCGTGCGCGTCGTTGACCCGCTCGCCGATCGCTCAGCAGGCCCGCCACGTCCGCCACACCCGCTTTAACCGCCCGTCGCCACGCTCGCACGAGTATGCGTCGCCGGCGCCGGCGCCGTCTGCGGGCTACGGCCAAGGCGAGGGGTTCTCTGGATCGAACCCCTTTGCTGCTCAGGGCGGCTGGTCGCGTGCTCTCGTGAGCGCCGGCATTGTCGCTGGCACGGCGATTGGCCTCAACCTGTTCTTCAACCGTGAGACGCGCGACGCCCTGAGCATGTACGAGTCGAACTACCTGAACTCGACATTTACCTACCTGGGAGGGGGCCTTACTGTCACGGCGGGGGCTGCGTACGCGCTCCACCGGTTCGGCTACTCGGCGCGCCTGATGACGGCGAACCCGTGGCTGGTGCTCGGTGTGGGCCTCGTTGCCTCGATTGGTGGTATGATGGGTGCGCAGGCGCTGCCGCCGAGCCACCCTGCGAAGGTGCCGTGCTGGCTGCTGTTCAACCTGAGTCAGGCCGCCGTACTCTCGCCGCTCCTGTTCCTGAACCCAGCGATCCTCGCTCGCGCGGGTCTGTACACGGCTGGCCTCATGGGCAGTCTGTGCTACGTGGGTGCGACGGCGAAGGAGAACCAATACCTGTGGCTCGGTGGTCCTTTGCTGGCAGGCGTCACGATTGTGGCGCTGTCGTCGCTGGCGCCGCTGGTTCTGCCGATGCGCTTTGCGCGCACGCTGGCTGCGACTGAGGCGATCTGGCTCTATGGTGGTCTCGCCGTGTTCGGTGGCTTTGTGTTGTGGGACACGCAGAAGATTCTGCGCCATGCCAAGCTGGCTGAGGCGGGCATTCTTCCCGCGGACCCGCTGCGCGAGAGCATTAGCCTGGAGCTGGACTTTATCAACATTTTTACGCGCCTTGTGCAGATCCTAGCTGTGCGTGACCAGCGCCGCCGCTAAGTGCATTCTATAGCTAGTAGCCTACCGAGATCAAGTAGTCGGCCAGGCCCTCGACCACCTTGTTTGCGTCGCCGGGGAGGAGGGGGGATGTGTAGGCGCCAATGAGCACAGCCTGGCTTGTGCGCACGATGCAGACGCCGTCGCCCTGCGTGTGAGTGAGATGCACTTACCGCTGCTTTGCCGTAGATCGAGCGGGGATTCGCCTGCAGCGTGAGGTACTTTTTGCCATTCACGTAGACGCCGCTCGCCTGCAGTGGCGTGGGGTCATCCAGGCCCTTGATGATGGCCTGCTGCTCTTCAGGGCTCACATTGAAGCCGGGAGAGGCCGCCCACACGCCGCCCTTGAGACCGATGATGGCCGCGGTCGTGACCTTGCCGGTGCCCACGAGGTTGGTATCGACGTAGCCCTGCCACGACATGGTGTTGCTGTGCGTCGGGGCCAGCCACGTCGGCGGCCAGCCGCGCCACGCCGAGTCGTACATAATCATGTGTCATACCCGGCCCGGGGCCGAGCGGGGCCCTTTGACCGTGCGCGGGACCTACCGAACTTGCATCCCAACCTCATCTACACAATGTCTCGCACATTCTTTGTCGGTGGTAACTGGAAGATGAACGGCTCGATCGAGCAGACCCAGTCGCTCCTGCAGCACCTGCTGGGTGCGCAGCTCGACTCGAACACGGAGGTGGTCGTCGCGCCCCCCGCGCTGTACCTGCTCTCCGCGCAGGAGCTCGTGAAGGGCAAGAACGTGGCTGTGAGCGCGCAGAATGCCTACTACAAGCCGTCGGGCGCCTTCACGGGTGAGATCTCGGTGGCCCAGCTGAAGGATGCCCAGATCCCGTGGGTCATTCTCGGCCACTCGGAGCGCCGCCAGATCTTTGGCGAGAGCAGCGAGCTGATCGGCCAGAAGACCACGGCCGCGATCGAGAACGGCCTCTCTGTGATTCTCTGCGTTGGTGAGACGCTCGAGCAGCGCGAGAAGGGCGAGACGAACCAGGTCGTGCTGGACCAGCTGCAGACCGGCACGAAGGACGTGAAGGACTGGAGCAAGATCGTGATTGCGTACGAGCCCGTGTGGGCCATTGGCACCGGCAAGGTCGCCACGGCCGAGCAGGCGCAGGAGGTGCACGCCGCCATCCGCGAGTGGCTCGGCAAGAGCGTGAGCGACGAGGCGGCCAAGTCGACCCGCATCATCTACGGCGGTAGTGTCGCCGCGAAGAACTGCAAGGAGCTCGCGACCCAGCCCGACATTGACGGCTTCCTTGTCGGCGGTGCGAGCCTCAAGCCCGAGTTCGTCGACATTGTCAACGCCCGTCTGTAGGCCGCCGTAGTCCCTCCTCCACGTGCTTACGTGGCGCGGTCGCTGCGCCCGACCCCTGGCCACCATGTCGCGCGCGGCGAAGACGACGCTGGGCGCATCGATCGTCGCGACCATAAGCATTGTGGCGGGCGTGCACTACCTGCAGATCAAGGAGCGCGAGGTGTGTGCTGGGTGCTGATGCAGACCATGTACAAGGGCGTGGAGCGCGACGAGAAGCGCCAGCAGGAAAAGCAGCAGCGCAAGGAGGACCTGGCGCGCAACCGCGAGCGCGAGACGGCGCTGCGCCAGCTGCAGCCGATTTCTGATCCTCCAAGGCAACGATTAGCATGAGATATCTATGGCAGGTCATAGGATATGTATGAACAACGGGGAGCGAGCGCCTCGTGCCGCTACGTGCGGGAGGCGGCCGAATCCATCTGGTCCGCAAAGAGCCGCGTCGGCTTGGCCTTCATGTGGTGGCGCCGCTTGGCGAGATGCAGCTTGGAGCTGCAGGGCGACATCATCATATCGGTGGGCGAGCTGAACACGTGGGTGGCGGCGCGCGCCGCCAGCGGCACGGTCGGCTTGCGGTGCCCGATCTCCTCGGTGACACTGGCAATGAGGCCGTCGTGCTCGCGGCGCTTGAGCACGACGAGGCTGCGCTCGGCGCTCGCGCCCGCCTTGTCGAGGACCATGGTGCGCGCCGGGAGCGACGCGGGCGTCTCGAGGAGGCGCAGGGAGGCATGCTGGGGCATGACCCAGCGCGCGAGCACAGCGTCCTTGCCAACAACCACTTCGCCGGTCGGCATGGAGTAGATCACGTCCGGCGCGAATACCTGCGCGGCCAGGTCCGTGGGGTGCGCGAGCGCCTCGAGGATCGAGGACTCGTCCTCGCGTGCGGCGCGCTCCGGCAGCACCATCGAGTGCTCCGGCGCGAGGCCGGCCGCATTGCACTTGGGGGGCATGGGGTAGTGCGACATCACAAGCTGGAAGGGGCGAGCGACGAAGAGCAAAAGCGCCGCCGCGGCCCCTTGGGTCGTTTGGATGTTACTGGCGGCGACGTCGTAACTTCCACAATCACGTGATCAAGGCGGTAGCGCGGCTCGTCGCGGCCGTCGTTTCTTCGTCTCGCCCGTAGCGCGCGGTGCGTGGTGCGGGCGGGGCGGCTGGGGGACGCGCAAAGGACCGCACTTTGATTGCAGCCATGATGTGGGTGTCGCAAGGCACCTACCCTGCTGTAGGGAAAGTCCCCGGACAGGAGCGGCGATGGATCCCCACGGGGGCCTCTGTGGCGGCCGGCGCAGACTTGGGTGTGGTGGCGCTGGCGCCGTGTGTGCCTATGCATGGCTAGCGTGCTGTCCGTGCTGCGGCCTCGGAAAGCGAGTACGCTGTCAACGTGTGCGCGCCGCGGTGCGGGCAGGCGTGGTGCGGTGCATCGGCGGCACCATGTGCGCGCGGCGTGCGGCGTGAGCATGCATCGCAGAACGGCTCACGAGGCTGTGGGATGCGGCGGTGGCGCGAAGATAGGAGCGCGCCGTGGCTGCCCACGCGCCGGCTGAGCCGGGCGCGGTGTGTGCGCCTAGCCCAGGAGCCTCTGCGGCGGCCGTGGCAGGGCGTGCGCTTGTCGCGTCCTCGCCACGTTCGTCTTGGATACAGGTATGCGGTCGCCGTGCACCGGTAACACAATGGGGCTTACTCTTGCGCGTCCCCACTATAGGTTCGTAGTGCCCGCGGCCCACGGGACCTGGGAAGTATGCGTGGCCCTGGTTCGCCCCATTCTACCATGACGCAGCCGACCGCGATTCTGTCCGTGTACGACAAGACGGGCCTCATCGAGCTCGCGCAGGGCCTCGCCGCGAAGGGCGTGCGCCTTCTCGGCAGTGGCGGCACCGCGCGCGCTGTGCGCGAGGCGGGCCTCGAGATCGGGTAGGTGCAGGCGACTGACCGCAGCGATGTGTCGGATGTGACGCAGGCGCCGGAGATCCTCGGCGGGCGCGTCAAGACGCTGCATCCCGCGGTGCATGGCGGCATCCTCGCGCGCACGTCGCTCGACTCGGACCGCAAGGACCTGGAGGCACAGCACATTGCGCCAATCGACATTGTGGTGTGCAACCTGTACCCGTTCGAGGCGACCGTCGCGCGCGACCCTGCGCCGACGATCGCCGAGGCCGTCGAGGAGGTCGACATCGGCGGCGTCACGCTGATCCGTGCGGCCGCGAAGAACCACGACCGCGTGTGGGTGCTGTGTGACCCGAGCGACTATGCGACGTTCCTGGCGCAGTACGGCGAGGCGACCGAGGCCGCGAAGCAGAGCCGCGAGCGCCTCGCGCTCAAGGGCTTCACGCACACGGCGCACTACGACACGGCGATCAGCCAGTACTTCCGCGAGCAGTACGCGTCGCCGCCGCGCGAGCCTGTGCAGCACATCGCGCTGCGCTACGGCGCGAACCCGCACCAGACCCCCGCGCGGGCGTTTGTGCAGGACGGCGCGCTGCCGTTCACGGCGCTCAGTGGGTCGCCCGGCTACATCAACCTGCTCGATGGCCTGAACGCGTGGGCGCTCGTCAAGGAGCTCAGCGAGGCGACGCAGCGCCCCGCCGCCGCGTCGTTCAAGCACGTGTCGCCCGCCGGGGCGGCCGTCGCCGTGCCGCTGTCGGACGCCGAGGCGCGCGCGTACTTTGTCGCGGACCTGGGCGAGCTCTCGCCGGTCGCCACGGCGTACGCGCGTGCGCGTGGCGCCGACCGCATGAGCAGCTTTGGCGACTTTATCGCTCTCTCGCACCCCTGTGACGAGCAGACGGCGAAGATGATCTCGCGTGAGGTCAGTGATGGCGTGATCGCGCCGGGCTACGAGCCCGCCGCGCTCGAGGCGCTGCGCGCGAAGAAGGGCGGCAAGTACTGCGTGCTGCAGATGGACGCGTCCTACGTCCCGAGCACGATCGAGTCGCGCCAGGTGTACGGCGTGACGCTGCAGCAGCGCCGCAACGACCTGGCCATCACGCCCGCGCTGTTCCAGAACGTGGTCAGCGCGGCGAAGGACGTCCCCGAGTCGGCGGTGCTGGACATGATCGTCGCTACGATCGCGCTCAAGTACACGCAGTCGAACAGTGTGTGCTACGCGCTGCGCGGCCAGGTGATCGGCCTCGGCGCCGGCCAGCAGTCGCGCATCCACTGCACGCGCCTCGCGGGAGCCAAGGCGGACAACTGGTGGCTGCGCCAGCACCCCCGTGTGCTGGCGCTGCCGTTCAAGAAGGGCACGAAGCGCCCCGAGAAGAGCAACGCGATCGACCTCTTCGTCGAGGGCACGCCACTCGACGGCGAGGAGCGCGCGCAGTGGGAGTCGGTGTTTGACGAGGTGCCCGCGGCGCTCTCAGCGGACGAGCGTGCCGCGCACGCCCAGGCGCTGCGCGACGTCGTCGTCGCCAGCGACGCCTTCTTCCCCTTCCCCGACAATGTGCACCGCGCCGCCCGCTCAGGCGCCAAGTACATCGCGGCGCCGGGCGGCAGCGTCATGGACGAGGCGTGCGTCGCCGCGGCCGACGCGCACGGCATGGTCGTCGCGCGCACGAATGTGCGTCTGTTCCACCACTAGAACGTAGCCGCCGTAGCAAACATGGCCCGCTCGTGCGTGCGCATGTGCTGCACGACTCGGTTCGCCAGCTCGCCCAGCCCCGAGGCCGAGAGCAGCGGGCTCGCATGCATGCACAGCTCAAACGCCTGCGTGCGCCAGCCGAGGAGCGCCTCGTGCGCCGTGCGCTGCACGACCATCTGCAGCGGCGCCGCGATGGGCGGCGCGCGAGCGTCGTCCGCGGCGCCGGGCGTAGCACGCACCGGCGGCGCACCACGGAGCGCCTGCAGACTATGCGCGTACAGCGTGCGCCGGCGCTCGGGCATCGCACGCGGCAGCACACACTGCCGCCGGCGCCGCGACGCATAGGCGACGTCGCGCAGGCCCGGCACGGGCGCCAGGGCCCCAGGCACGGGCTCAGCGAGCGCCCCCGGCAGCGCGGCGACGCAGCGCGCCTCACGCACGCGATCGCGGCTCGCGCGGCTCGCGCGCAGGCCGTCGCGGTCGGCACACACCAGGACAAACAGGGGCGCGTGTGCGCCGGAGAACAGGCGGCTTGCATACACGTACACAAAGCCGTGCGGCGCCGCATGGGGGAGACACAGCGGCGCCCACCCCTCCTCCTCGGACGCGCTGCAGCGCGCCATCGCATGCAGCAGCGCGAGGTCCGTCGGACTGGGCGTGTGGTGCCGCGGATGCGCATGGCTCAGCAAGCGGTCGTCGTCCCAGAGCTGCACGTACAGCACGCCCTGCGGCGCCTGCGCGCCAAGCGCACGAAGCAGCGCCACGTTGAGGGCGTCGCGCAGCGCGGGCTCGAGCGGGCGCACCGGCACCGCATCGAGCGCGCGCGCGAGCGACGCATGCATCGCCTCCACGGCCGCATCGACGTACTGCGCCATGGGCCCAATGAGGCCCATCAGGTCGACATTGGGCGCTCGCGCAAACAGGCGCTCGAGGCGCGGCGCACTCAGCAGGCTCAGGATCGCCGCGTAGACGTGCTCGAGACGTGCGCGCACGAGCGCGCGCGCCTCGGCGCAGTGCGTCACGCCCACGACGTGAAGCGGCGCGCGGCTCAGGAACGCGACGTGCAGCGCAGGCGCGAGCGAGATGTGCTGGAGCTCCTCGCGCGCGCCGAAGAGCGTGAGCATGGCGTGCAAAACCCCGGCCTGGGTATACGCGCCGCCCCACGCCGTATCGTCGCCATGCACATACACGAGCTTGCCGGCAGCACTCAGCACCATGTACAGCGCCGGCGCCGGCACCTCTGGCTCGTCCACGACCTCGTCCGCCGGCCTTACCGCGCCGGGGCCCGGCTCGCCGTCGCGGTGCACGCGGCGCAGCAGGCCGGCTGCGGCACTCGGCCCGCTGCTTTCGGCCTGCTGCGCCGCCGTAGACGGGTCCGTGACAGCGACGGCCGGCGCCGCGGACCCCGCCTCCCAGGCGCTGCCGCTTGGCGCGTCGGGCGCTGCGGCCCACGCCCGCCACACCGACGCCATGGAGTGGAGGTCGTGGCGATCCTGGCGGCCGATGCATCCCCGCAACGCGTACCGGGTGCCGCCCGACTGGGCGGCGCTGGCCGCGCGCGACGCGTCGCTGCGTGCCTGGCAGGGCCGGCGTGTGGATCTTGGCGAGCCTGCGGCGCTGCGTGCCTTTACGCAGGCGCTCCTGCGGCGCGACTTCGGCATTGAATGCGAGGTGGCCGCGGAGCGCCTGTGCCCGACGCTGCCGAACCGCCTCAACTACATTCACTGGCTGGAGGATGTGCTTGAGGCGTCGGGCGCCGCGCATGGCGATGTGCATGGCCTCGACGTCGGGACGGGGCACGTGGCCGTGTATGCGCTGCTCGTCTGTGCGCTGCACCCGACGTGGCGCATGACGGGCACGGACACGGACGCCGGCGCGATCGCGTGGGCGCAGCGCGTCGTCGACGATGCACGCAATGACCGGCATGCGTGGCGCGATCGGGTGCGCCTGCTGCACACCGAGCCTGCGCCGCTCCTGGTGCCGAGCGCGTGCCCGTATACGTTTGTGCTGTGCAATCCGCCGTTCTACGAGTCGCTGGATGAGCGCGATGCCCTCCTGCACGCCAAGGCCGAGTATGTGCGTCCGTGTGAGGCGGTCGAGGCGGAGCTGTGCACGCCCGGCGGCGAGGTGGCGTTTGTCACGCGGCTCCTTGAGGAGAGCGCGGCGCCAGCGCACCGCGAGCGCACGGCGTGGTACTCGTCGATGCTGGGCCGCCTTGCGTCGGTGGCTGCGCTCGTGCCGCTCGTGCGGCGCACCGCCGCGCAGTATGCCCTCACCGAGCTCGTCCAGGGCAGGACGCGCCGCTGGGCGCTCGCATGGTCGTTTCGCGCTGCGCGCGTGCCGGACACGCTCGCGCGCGCGACGAGTGCGTCGCTGCAGGCGTACGTCCCGCCGTCCAACACACGCACATGGCCCCTTGCGCCGTGCGATCCAGCGGCGCTGGCTGCGCAGCTGCGTGCGCTGCCGACGCTGCCGCCCGAGGCCGTCGACTGGGAGGGGCCGCTCGCGCTGGCGGTATGGACGCCGTGCTGGACGCGCGCCGCGCGCCGCGCACGCGCGCGCGGCGAGGAGAGCGTGCCGCGGGGCAGCGCGCCGCTCCTGCGGCTCGTGTGGGAGCCGCAGGCCTCGCAGGTGCTTGTGCACTGGACGTACGGCACGGACCGCGTGCTCTTCGACTCGCTGTGTACGCACTTGTGGGGCCAGCTGCAGCCTACGTAGATGCACGGAGCGACTGCACCGTCGGTGTGTCGACAGGCGTGCCTTCGCCGCGGCGGCGGCGGAGGACGTTTTCGATCTGGGTGAGTGGGGTGCACGTACGAAGAACTCGCCGGCGCGGTAGCTGCTGCGCACGAGCGGCCCGCTGGCGACGTACAGAAAGCCGAGCTCCTCGGCACGCGCCTGCCATGCGGCAAACTTGTCGGGCGTGACGTACTCGGACACCTTCATGTGGCGCTTGGTCGGGCGCATGTACTGCCCGAACGTGACGACATCCACGCCGTGCGCGCGCAGGTCGTGCAGCGTCTGCTCGACCTCGGCGTCCGTCTCGCCGCAGCCGAGCATGATGCTGGTCTTGGTCACCAGGTCAGGGCGCACGTGCTTTGCATGCTGCAGCGTCGCGAGACTCTGGCGGTACGCCGCGCGCCGGTCGCGCACGAGCGGCGTCGTGCGCTCGACCGTCTCGATGTTGTGTGCGTACACGTCGAGGCCGCTGCGCGCCACCTGCTCGACACACTCGAGCGCGCCGCCAAAGTCGGGCACGAGCGCCTCGACGAGGATGTGCTGCGCCTTGTGCTTGATTTTCTGGATCGTCGCGGCAATGTGTGCGGCGCCGCCGTCCGCGAGGTCGTCGCGGTCGACGGACGTGAGCACAATGTAGCCGAGGCCCCACCGCGAGATGGCCTCCGCCGTGTTCTCCGGCTCGTGGGGGTCGAGGGGCGGCGGCGCGCGCGACGTCTTCACAGCACAGAAGCGGCACGCACGCGTGCAGGTGTCGCCCATGAGCATGATCGTCGCGGTGGCGGCCTCCTTGCCGCCGGCGCCGCCCCAGCACTCGCCCAGGTTCGGGCACCGCGCTTCCTCGCACACGGTCGCGAGGCCGAGGCCACGCAGGTCCCGCTTGATGCGCGCAAAGTTGGCGCCCTTCGGGATCTTCGTCTTGGTGTACGACGGAAGGCGCGCCTCGTGCACGCGGCCCATCTGGACACGCGGTGGCGCACCGACGAACTCATCGATCGTCTGTGCGTCTTCGGCGAGGCGCTGCCGCAGTGCATCGAGGCGCGATCCAGGCGCTGCCTGCAGCCCGTAGGCGCTTGCGTGCATCGCGCGTGTGCCCATTCGCGCCAGCGGCGCCGACCCCGCAATCACTCGCATGGTGGTGGGAGAGGGCATCACGTGGTTTGCTCCCAGCGGGCGGCCGGCGGCGCGGCGCTCCTCCACCGACGATGGCGTCTGACGCAGGCTCGGCGCCGGGGCTACCGCCCGTGCCGCGCGCTACGGCCATGATCGTGATCGGCATGGCGGGCTCAGGCAAGTCGACGTTTGTCTCGAAGCTGGCGTCGCACCTGGGCCAGCGCGCGCAGGCAGCGGCGGCCGAGGCGCTCGCGGCCGATACGGCGGTGCCCGCTGAGGCGCCGGCGCGCCCCTACCTCATCAACATTGATCCGGCGGTCGCGGCGCTGGGGTATGCGCCGAATGTCGATATCCGCGACACGGTCGACTACACGCGCGTGATGGAGGAGTACAGGCTGGGCCCGAATGGCGGCATCCTCACCTCGCTCAACCTGTTCACGACCAAGTTTGACCAGGTGCTCCAGCTGGTCGAGAAGCGGGCGCATGCACTTGACCATGTGGTGCTGGACACGCCGGGCCAGATCGAGATCTTTACGTGGTCTGCGTCCGGCTCGATCATCACCGACGCGCTCGCCAGCGCGATGCCTACGGTCCTGGTGTACGTGGTCGACACGCCACGCACGACGGCGCCGGCCACGTTCATGAGTAACATGTTGTATGCGTGCAGCATTCTGTACAAGGCGCGCTTGCCGTTCGTCGTCGTGTTCAACAAGATTGACGTGCAGTCACACGAATTTGCCCTCAACTGGATGCGCGACTTTGAGGCGTTCCAGCGCGCGCTCATGGCGGGGCATGCGCGTGATCCGTCGCAGCAGGCCACCCAGGGCGCGGACCCCGACGCGCCGCCGTCGACGTTTGAGAGCCGCGGCGAGGAGCCGAGCTACCTGAACAGTCTCATGAACAGTATGAGCCTCGTTTTGGACGAGTTTTACAAGAACCTAAAGGCAGTAGGTGTCTCGTCTGCAACGGGGCAGGGCATGGACGAGTTTCTGGACGCCGTCCGCGATGCACGGCAGGAGTACATCACCGACGTGCGCCCGCAGCTCGAGAAGCAGCTGGCGGAGAAGCAGGCCGCCCTCGCAGCATCGCAGGAAGGCCAGATGAAGGCACTGTTGCGCGATATGAGCCTGCGCGATTCGCGCTCTGGCCTCGCGAAGGTGCGCGCGAAGCAGCGCGCGGATCCCGACGACGACGAGCCGCAGTACGATGGCGACGGCGCCATTGTGGATCCCGACTCGGACGAAGAAAAGCCAGAGTATGGCGCGCCCGACGGCGACGAGCGGCTCGCGCGCCGTTGGAACACGCTGGACGGTAGCTACTGGCCGACATCGGCGTAAGCGAGCATGATACCTAGATCGACGTTACTTCACAAATGGCATTGACTATCTACGAGTCCCTAGACAGGCGACTTGAAGCGGGGGTTCTTCAGGACGAAGCGGTAGCGCACGTCACCCTTGTCGAGACGCTCAAACGCCTCGTTGACACCCGCCTCGTCCATAGTCAGCATCTCAACGATAGGCTTGATGCTGTGGCGCGCCGAGAACTCGAGCATCTGGCGGTGGATAACACGGCGGGCGACGAGGCTGCCCGTGATGCTGTACTCATAGAACAGCAACTCAGCGTACGGGTGCTTCATCTCCTCAAAGCTGACTGTCAGAGGCACAATCGTAGCGCGGGGAGCGAGCACGTTGAAGTACTGCTTCCATTCCGGCTGGAAGCTCGTCGACACAAGCAGGTAGTTGACCGGCTTGACGCCCTCGAACTTCGGGTTCGTCTTGGTAGCCACAAACTCGCTGGCGCCGAGTTCGAGTGCCTGCTGCTTCTTGTTGTCCGAGCCACTAAACACGACCACGTCGCAGCCCATCTTGGCGAGGTACTGGATCGCCAGGTGACCCAGACCACCAAGACCGAGAACACCCACACGCTCGTTCATCTTCACGCCGGCATTCACAATGGCCGAGTACACCGTCGCACCACCACACTGCAGGGGACCAGCGAGACTCAGGTCCATACCCTCAGGCAGCTTGTGCACGAACAGAGCATCCAGGACGGCACGGTCACCAAAGCTACCAAAGTCCAGGTCCGCCTGGCCGTACATCTGGCGATCGGCACACAGAATGTCGAAGCCATTCCAGCACTGGTCACAGTAGCCACACGAACCGTGGTTGTAGCCCCAGCCCACATGGTCGCCGACCTTAATCTTGGTGACTTCGGGGCCCACCTGGGAGACGACACCCACGCCCTCGTGGCCGAGCACCATGTCCGCGTTGCGGTAGTGCAGGTCCGTACCACAGAGACCCGAGTAGGCAATCTCAATCACCACATCCCTAGGACGCAGCTCACGAGTACCGCCCTGGGACTCGACAATCTTGCCGCTAGGGCTACCCTTGTACACAGTGCCTAGGTTCACAGTAACCATTTCCGTTAAGTCAAAGTCGTGTGACGGGACGCACCGCCTGGTCCGTGCCTTATATGGATTTCAAACATTACGTAATTCGATAGCAAGCGCCACCGTTTGCCCGACGGCCAACCATGCAAACGTCCGTGGACGTCCGACCTCATCTTAGGACATCCAAGCGACACAGCCCGCGAGGTAGCTCGCATGCTGGCAGCGACACACTGGGTCGCAGAACACGCGCAGTGCAGCGGTGTTGGCGTAGATCATAGGTAGAGTGCATACATATCTTGATAGACAGCTATAGAAGATCGGCTTTCCATCCCGTCAGAATTACATGCGTTGGTGCACTGATTGAGTGAGCAGATTTCTACGCACAGGCAATAAGAAAATTGGCAAGAATGGCGATAAAGGTCACGGCACACACCAGCGGCGGGCCGATCAGATCGTCTGCATGTTAGCCACACACGCACACATACCAAAGCTACCTGGCCAGCGCATCTTGATGAGAGTCACCCGGCGCTGGTAGCTGTACAGGCCCCAAAGCAGGATGAAAGCCGAAAGCAGTGCATACACAATGCCAAAGCCACGGACCATCTTCGCGGCACCAGGGTTGCCAGTGGGCACCTCTGAGCCAGGCACAGGGTCGTAATAGGAGGCAGAGTTGAAGAGAGCAAGAGCGAGTGTGCCGATGAGCAGCGAGGCACGCAGCCAAGAGATCCACGTTCGCTAAATGTGAGCGGCAAAATTGTGCGTACCTCATTGGCAAACCAGACCTTGGCCTCAACCTTGATAGGCGTAACCACCTTGCGGGGCTTGGGCACAGGGATGCTGTTGTCGGTTGTGGCACCATATTCGGCGTTGCTGCTTTGGCCATGCAACAGCGGACGACTCTCGCTGTCCTGAGGCTGGGTCAGGTTCGTGACCATGTCAGAAGCACGCTCATACAGGCGAGAAAAGTACTCGCCGACAGCAGAAGAGGTAGAAGCGGACATGGGGTATGAGCGTCTCCGAACACGACTCGCAACGAGTCAGGGCAGGCGAGTGGGTGCCGCGGGTCCTCGCTGGGCCCACCAGTGCACGACCCACGTGTTCTACGTCCACGTGCTGCCTCGTTCGTCGAACCTCCGAATGTGGAGAGGCGCGCCACCAGCGTCGTGAGGTGACGCTCTAGGGTATGTGATGCGCTATCGAAAGAAGCATCTAGACCTGGAATCCAAGAGATGCCATGCACTCACGGTGTCGTCGTACCAATTCTTCGCATTGGCGGGCAGACTCGCCGTGCTCTTCCACGCTGTGGCCAAATTTGAGAAAACAGTCATCGCGTGCAGCTTTCGTTTCAGGGCATGCACAGCAGCTACCGTGTTAGATATAGGACGTACGGCCTGATCCCCTTCGGGTTTTTCTCGCTCACGAGATGTGCAGCTGTCTTGATTTTTGTTGGTTCCGACATGGTAGTCGATGCGGATGGCGATCGACAGCTGCACGCGTAAGCATCACGGCTGCATGGCTTGCGCCACCGCACGGAGCACACCTCCACACTACAGGTGCACCCCCTTGCTAGACGGACCTTCACGTGAAGCTATACAGTCGTCACGTGCTGACCTGGGAAGGCTCGACTTCGTAGGGCACGACGGCGCTCCTTCTCTACCGAGCAAGAACTCTATCACTGCCATGGCTTCTGCGTATGTATTGAACAATGCGCCGTTGTGGAACATTGCTAACACAAGACAGTGATCTCGCTGCTACTTACGCTGCTCTGATCCTCGCCGACGAGGGTCTTGAGATTACCGTACGTATGCTGTTGTCCGCCCGTCAAGGCGGCCCAGGAAATGACCTGAACGGTGACTAACAGGAGCAGAGCGACAAGATCGTTGAGCTCACCACCGCCGCTGGTGTGCCTGTCGAGCCTATCTGGGCTCAGCTTCTTGCTAAGGCGCTGGAGGGCAAGGACATCAAGGACTTGCTCACCAACATTGGCTCGGCTGGCCCCGCTGTCGCCGCTGCCCCTGCTGCTGGCGCCGGTGCTGGTGCTGCCGAGGAGGCTCCTGCGGAGGAGGAGAAGAAGAAGGAGGAGGAGAAGGAGGAGTCGGATGACGACATGGGCTTCGGTCTGTTCGACTAGTATGTTCATTTCGATGGTCTAACCCTGAGAACGCATCGCTTCGTTTGCATTCCTTATGCCATGGTGTTCCAGCCGCGACTCATTAGCTTCCCCAGTTTTTCTTACGGGGTGCTGTGTGTCTGCTAACGACGGTTGACCCCTCTGTACTCTGAACAAGACACCCTTGTTGAGTAGTGGTGAAAAATATACTCCGATTCCCTTTGCTGCCTGTGTGTGGGAGGATGCGATCAACCCCTCCAAGCATATGCCTGTGCCATAGAATCGTGTTTGCTCGCGCACGTCGCTGAGCTAGAGTAGTCGCAGCCCTGCGGCCGATGTGGCGCAGCAATGACTGCGGCGGCTTGGTGCCTGATTGCATTGTGATCGACGCCGTCAGTGTGGAGACGCCAGATCCCTATCTCACACCACGATGAGTGCCCCACCGGAACTTGAAACTCTCGCCGAGATTCAAGAAGAGCTGCGGTTGGCTCGCATGGTGACGGAGCCTGACACGGATTTCGTGAAGGAACCGGAAGAAATGACCCCGCGTCCCAACGTGAGGCGGACATTCAGTCTACGACCGCAACAAAAGCCTCCGTTCTCCCGTTCGTGGGACCAGCCGAAACCTGTCCGCCGCATGAGCCATGGAACAGATATGCCTAGGGGTGAATTCCACGAGTACCTAGTGGAAGTGGATGCTGTTATGAAGAAGCTTTTGGAGCAGGAGGACACAGACAACGATAACCAAATAAGCATCACCGACCACGGACCGAAATCTATTCAGCTGGAACTATTGAATGGGCATGGAAAGACAGGAGAAGTAAGAGGCACATACATGCTCTCAAACTTGCTGCAGGAATTGGCCCTGGCACAGGAACAGGGACTGCAGCACATTGTCATCTCCGAGGCGCGGTTGGCGGAGAACCCGATCAATCGACTTTCGCGCATGATTCGCGACACTTTCTGGGACAATCTGACGCGCCGTATTGATGCAGATGGCCTGGAGCGTATTCTCTCTGATCCGAAAAACCGGTCATCGTACAACAGGCAGGTCCTCTATGTACCGGCGGGGGAGCCAGAGATGATAAAGTATTACCGTCGCGTGGCAGAAGAACGACCAGGGCTGCGACTCGAGGTCGAAGTGCTGCCCGAGACATTTTCGCCCGAATATGTGCGTGATCTGAACCGACGCCCTGGCCTGCTGGCCATTGCCATGGAGTCCCGTCCTGATGAAGAGACTGGCCTTATTGATATGAAAGGCATTCCCTTCGTGGTGCCAGGTGCACGATTCAACGAGCTCTACAATTGGGATAGCTACTTTATCGCCTTGGGACTACTTGAGGATGGGCGTGTTGACCTTGCTAAAGGGGCTGTGGATCACTTTATCTTTGAGATCAAGCACTACGGCAAGATCATGAACGGGAATCGCACTTATTACCTACTCCGTTCGCAGCCACCCTTCCTTACCGACTTTTCTCGCCGCATCTATGAGTACCTCATGAAGGAGTCGCCCGATAAAGCGCAGGAGCACAGAAGCTGGCTCCATACAGCTTTGAGCGCCGCTATCAAGGAATACTTCACTGTTTGGATGAGCGAGCCTCGGTACGATCCCGAGACGGGCTTGTCACGCTACCATCCTGAAGGACTCGGTGTACCGCCGGAGACAGAGGCTTCACATTTTACGACATTACTGCGTCCATATGCCGACAAATACGGATGCAGTGTTAATGAATTCACGCGCATGTATAACTACCAGAAAGTGTCTGAACCTGAGCTTGACGAATATTTCCGCCATGACCGAGCAGTACGCGAGAGTGGGCACGACACGTCCTACCGCGTAGAGCGACGTTGCGCTAACCTGGTCACAATTGATCTACAGGCACTATTATTCAAGTACGAGATGGATCTGGGCGAGCTGATTCGTGATGTATATGATGATAACTTTATTCTCAGCGAAGACTTTGATATGCATGCACATGCAGGCATCGCGCAGCGCCGCTCGATCGATGCGCCTCTCCAGAGCCAAGAGTGGTTTGCTCGCGCCGAGTTCCGACGCCAGCAGGTGGATACATACTTGTGGAATGACGGGCGTAGTCTTTATTTCGACTACGATATCATCGAAAAGGAGCAAAGCCTCTATGAAAGTGTCACAACATTCTGGACGATGTGGTCGGGTATGGCGTCAGAGCAGCAAGCGGCAAACATGGTGCGCCATTCTCTGCGCAAATTTGAAGTCACAGGAGGTCTCGTGTCTGGAACAGAGGAGTCACGAGGCCCCGTGTCGCTCTCGCGCCCGAACCGTCAATGGGACTATCCATACGCATGGCCGCCGCACCAGATGCTTGCCTGGGAGGGCCTCCGAAAATACGGCTATATGGAAGACGCCCGTCGTCTTGCGTATCGCTGGATCTTCATGATGACAATCGCATTCGTTGACTTTAACGGTGTTGTGCCTGAAAAGTTTGACGCAGTCACACTCAGCCATCTGGTGAATGCCGAGTACGGCAACCAAGGCTTGGGCTTTGCGTATGTGCCCAAGGAAGGCTTTGGGTGGATGAACGCGAGCTTCCAGGTGGGGTTGACGTATCTTGACAGCCATATGCGGAAAGCTGTGGCAGTTTGCCAGCATCCAGACGCGCTCTTTCAGACACGCCGTCGCAACTCGTATTTCAAGGAGCTGCTTCGATCATAGCGTATGTAGTGGAGAATTGGGCCGTTTGTGGCGTTGGCCCCAGCGCTTCGTCTCCACCGTAATGAACACCTTGGCGGACGTCGAAGCTCGCGTACAGCAAGCCACAGAAAGACCTGGGACAGTTAGTTACGTGGATCTATACCTTGATCCAACCATCCAAACGGTAAGCCTCACGGATCCACTGACTTTAGCTAAAAGATGTTGCATCGGCTCCATTGGTGCGCCTTCTGAACCTCTTTGCTCAGGGCGCCTGGAGTGACTATGCGCAGGCTGCTGAGGGTGTGTTCCCAAAGCTCTCCGATGCGCAAGAAGCTCAACTGCGACGCCTTACCCTCGTTTCCTTGTCTCACGAATCTCGATGCCTACCGTATAACCAAATCGCCTCCGCACTGGGTCTTTCACACGACTCACTGGCTACAGAACATATTGTGCTCGATACGATAGACCAGGGCATGCTGGATGGGCGCCTAGACGGCGTTGGCGAAGTTTTTTACGTGTCCACTACTTCTGCTCGCGACGTGCTTCCTCTTCCTGAGGGCGAAGCTGCGATGTCTTCCTTGTATGCGGCTTTATCAACGTGGAAGGACGATGTTGCCCAGGCGCTGCAGTCCTTGGACGAGGAGATACAGCAGCTACATGAAACTACAGCCGTCTCAATGAGCCAGCATGAGGCACGCCATCAAACCCTAGTCGACGCTCTGCAGGTGGCTCGCGCCCACCTGGGCTAGTCACGTCTACGTGCGATCAAGCAACTGTGCCTGTTATATGGGTAAGCTACCGTGGAGAACGCACACTATCCTAACTGTCTTACATCTTTCCCTGTGCATCCAGGAGCAGCTTATCACAGAGGAAGCACAGCAGAAGGCAACTCAAGAGTGTATACACCGACTGAAAGCGGACGGGATCATCTCGTATACGATCATTTTTACCATAGATGCCAATTGGATACCCCACACTGTCTCGATGGCCAGCTGATGTGTTCCGATACTCTACCTTATTCCTATTCTAGTATCTATGCATGGTCGGCGGTCGATCCTTCACTATGTACGACCGACCTATCCGGGGGGAAGGAGGGAGGCATCCATACTTGCGACCTGCGTTTCGATCTCCTCCCGGTCAGATAAGCTCTTCCATTCAGACTTGATAGGCGTGCGTGGAAGCACCATTGTCCCCGAGCGGGACAACTCGAGAATGCCGAAAGGGCGGATCAGCTTAAAGAACGAATCGAGCCGTGACGATTTAGCACACAGCTGCACAATCACACACGAGTCACTGACATCCACAATGCGCCCATCAAACTGCTCCGCAAGAGACTTGATGGAGCGGAAGTTCTCATTCTTCAAGGTCAATGCTTCTGTGGCCGTCAAGTTCGGTTTGGGCACCGGGGCTTTGCCCTCAGCCTCAGCAACGGCATAATCCACTTCTTGTTCTGCATTATTGCTCATACTCAGGTTTTCCGCCTCAAAATACTCCGGGCCCAGGGTAGACACTTTCACGAGCATAATTTCGCGTTCAATCACCTTAGTCTCCGAGTAGTCAACCACCGCCCACACGGGTACGAGATCTTCCAGCTGGCGACGTACTTGCTCGATCGTGCCCTTCTGCCCACGGAGAACAATGCACATACGGGAAAGGTCAGGCACGTCTGTGGCGCAAACAACGAGCGAGTCAATGTTGACTCCACGTGCAGCCAAGCAGCCTGACACACGGGCCAGCACACCCGGTTCATCCTGCACGAACATGTTTAGGATGTGACGACGAAAAGGCTGTGTGCTTGGCGGTGGCGTATTGTATAAAATGTTACTCACCGCATAGCCAGCCTCCATAATGGGCCGATCCATCGCAGGCAGGGGCGGCAGCTTACCATGCCGATGGGACAGCTTATGGTCGAGCGCAGAGGTGCTAGACAAGCGTTCTTGATTATGCGATGATGAGGAGTAGTGGCGGGGCGCCACGAGAAGCTCGCGAGCCCCCACGCGACCGCATGCCGCGGCGCGCCACATTGTGGGCAAGCTTGAGCCCAGCATCATGACCAACGAAGATGAGTCACCCCGGCCGGGGTGGGGTTCTTCGATAGTATTCACGTGACTATGATGGGTGGGCTGCCTAAAGCTCGTCATGCATTTGGCCGGGCGGGGCCTGAGATAGGTTTTGCGGACTCTCTCTTGCCGGTGGTTCTCTTGGTTGCCCGCGAGATTCAGCACCTTCATCCTCTCTGAGGGAATTTTGATATATGTCGCGGAACGTTTCCACCGCACGAATCTGGCGTGAGTCCCTCAGCAATACGTACACTTTCCGAGACACGATGAGCTGTGTTGATGAGAGCGACTAATTCATTTCTCCGTAGCTGCACATGATGTCTAGTGTAAGTAATGCATACATACTCCTTGTCTGATGCCTCAAATGCGAACAGCAGTTTAAGAGCTGTGCCAATGCCCGTCACTTGGACTTTGCCCCAAAGCCGACATTTGTCGCAGCCGACGCAATCCATAATACGAGATATATTGCGGTAGTGCAGACGAAAATCTTCTTTGAGAGTAAGAACCTCTTGATTGTGTACAGGATCGTCGTTTAAAGTGAACAACTTATGCTCATCGAAGGAGGCCTGATCCGATCGCGCCGCTTCTAGAAGACCCATGAGTTGTTCGCGGGATTCTTTGTCTGTGATCCTGTCACTGTCCCGGAGGCCCACCTTCTCCAGATACTCTGAGGCTTTTGACAAAGCACGCATGAGCAAAACGTAGTCAAAGTACACATTCTGAAGCCGTTCCGGATGCTGGGAAATTCGCGTCATAAAGCATTCCAAGTTGGGAGCCCACGTCATAGTCTCTGGGTCCAGGTATTCGTTGCAAATATGGATGGAAATAGAGGCATGCAGTCCAGAAATAACGCGGTAGAATACTCGCTTTTCCAAGCACTGTTCCATAGCTGCTGGATCGGTAGGCGCTTTCACTGAATCAATCAGATTTTCCAAGGATCCACCATCATTGGCTTGCGGGTTCATCAACGTATAGGGGATGCCTTTTACTGCATTGATTACTTGATTTTGCGAGATGAACCCAGTGCCACCTGAGCTGACAGGCCGTGGCGGCTCTGTCCACTTCACTCCGCCAAAGCAATTTTCTTCATAGATGCTTCTCCAGACTCTGTTGGCGCTTGGTCCTGCATACCCAGTAAACCGTTCTGGATTTTTCATCAAATCGACGAAAATAGCATCTCCATTTGGGTTGTCATCGTCCAGTTGGCAGAAGTCTGTTGGGTTTTCGCCACTGGCCATACTACCTTGTTCATGGTCATCATTGGACCGCTCCAACTGACTCAATCGATACGAACGAAATTCTTCCGGCATATCCGTCTCATTCATGCGTTCCACTGTACATGCCCTGTTCATACAAAGTCCATCGTCATTCCAGAAGGGACATTCTTTGAATAAATCGACCAAGAAGTAGCGAAAGTATCTCGTTTTTCGTAGATTATCCAGTCGCTCAAATATGTCATGGTCGTTCATCTTTTCAACACTCTCATAGTCCAAACAAGCATCATGAATTTGTCCGGTGGGACGACAGATGGATTTCTCATGGTCATCGGCAACCTGGTTATCCGGTTCAAGCACTTCCCGGAGAAACTCTCCGCTTGATCGTCCAGGTGCCTCAAATGGTGAGCTAGCATCAGCATTAACAAAATCCAAAATAAAGGAGCCCAAAACAAGGACAATGCCCGCAAGACATGTAACCCTCATGGTAGTCTTGCCTGGGGTCAAGTGGCGTGTCTCCTAGAAGACCGTGCGAGCCAGTCTGACGTGGAGGGTTCCAAATCCACGTGCGAATCCGCAGTGGGTCAACGGCCAATGGTGGAGATAGAGCCAAACTGGCGTCGGAAATTACAAACCTATATAAAGAGCGATTTTCCTAAATTCTGCCCCCATTCTGCTGCTGTGGGACCCTCTCCACACACTTGAACCTCGCCTTTTACTAGATTCAACCGGGTTGGTCCCACAATGATAGCAGCATGTACGACTTTTTCGACTTCGTTCCGGATCGGAACCTGTTAGATCTGCGATGATGGGGGACCCTTGTGGACCTCCTCATCGCAGGTTTTTTTTGTGACCTTTGAACTGGTCACGTGATGCAAAACGTAGCCGCACTATCTCTCCATGTAGTTGATATACACTCTCAGATTCCACCTAAAGTACTCATTTCATTCTATACACAAAAACATGTACAATAGTTCTAGTCTATCAGAGTTGAGCGGCCAATCCCCCCATTATTTGTTGAGCAATTCGAAGAATCCGAACGTCCCAGACAAATCCAAGAACCCAAAGGCCTCAAAGCAAATAATGGGCTGCAGATCATCGACGGGCGACTTGGCCCATATACCTCACTGGCTAAAGGGAGTTGGCAAGCGCATGCGCTATAACGCCCGGGTTTCATCGACTAGACTGAAATATTGTGACATGCGTTTGAGCACGAAAGATCCGGTTATCAACTTTATTAAGTGATTCCGTAAAGCTGCGCATGGTTAGGATCCCATTCACTTTAGCATGATACATACTATGATCTTAAAGGAAACAAATTGTGGCACAGTCGTATTTTATATCTTCGCACCCCTCCACACACAAAAAAACTTCGGTCTGGTTTCTTCAGACCGTGCATATTGTTGGCCGGATCGATTTCTCGAAAACTGCGGCCAAAAATATTGCGAATATCCACCCTAGCGACACCTACGCGCATGATCGATCGCCACCTGCGCATTTGGTGATGCGATGGCGTCTCGACCGTTGCCTTCGCAGCGCCATACAGAGCGACCCGAGTCACATGGGTCACGAACTCTGACTGTGGAACGCGCAGGTACTAGTGAATCTCATGATTCCGACCCTTCAGCTGCTGTGGTTGGACGACTTCATTTGCAGGGACATCGTGTGGAGCCCTCGGAACATGAACACACACAAGGTGCACGGCGTCATAGAAGCCGTGTGGTGTGGTCGGAAGATACCGTTGATAATGAAGGAATGGGAAAGAAAAAGAGCAAGAGTACGTACTGTCTATTGCTTATACACACAGTCTGCTGCATCTTTCACAAACAGCGTGCCTTTGATGAGTCGTCATCAGAAAGCTCTGTCGGATCTGACGATGAGTCATCTAGTTTTGATGATTCTGACAATGATAGCGGCGATGATGGCGCCGCAAGACCAACACAGGCATTTGGTCATGGATCCTCACGTCACCGTGAGCATGAGCTCCACTGTGGCCATACTCGGCATGGGTCTAATAAAAATGCCTACGAGCGTGCGTAAGCAAAAAGATTGTATGATAGGCAACTGCGGCTGTTGATTGTTTTGCAAAACACACGCTGTTTTTGTGGGGCACCGAACGCGCTGCCCTGCTTGCATTCTGGCTTGGCTGTATGCAGATGATATAATTTTGTTTCATAGGATTGGTCGAGCTCGAACTGATTGCTCACATAATCAATGCCAGGGTGCTGCGGGCCTTGCCCAGGAGGTTGCGGTGCCAGCGCCCTCAGAACACGCTACCATCTAGGAGGTTTCGTTGATGGTGGACAGACCGGGGGTTCGCTTGCCGACGGCGAGGCCCACGTCTACACCTGGCTTGCATCGTATGCGCAAGCGCCAGGCTGCTAGCATTATCAGGACGACTGATGGTGATGGTGATCGAGTGACTGTGGTTGGTGCACCTGTATCAACTATTTATGATGAAGATGGTGATCCGTCGACGACCTTTTTCCTCACTCAAAGTACACTGGATATGGGACCGGCTAGTCTTAGGAGACAGTGTATGTACTAGAGATCACTTACGGGCAGCTTCCAGCATTCTGGCCGGCTACTCTTCTACCCTCGCAGGCCCATTGGGCGGCGCTGGTCTATCGAGCAGTGTGAACTCGGCGAGCTCTTCGATTTCTAGTTCCCTGTCCTCAAGATCCTCCTCGTCTTTGGACGATGAGACATCGACGTCTTCAACCACACCTTCACCAGCGTCAACATCGAGTTCGAGCTCAAGTTCGAGTTCGAGCTCGAGTTCGAGTACGCGCTCTTCTCGTTCGTCCTCGTCGCGCCAGTCAAGCTCAACGCGCGGACGCTCTTCGTCTGACGATGAGTCTCCGACTGGGAGCGGCGCGTCTCCTCCGTCGTCGACTCTTCCTCCGCCGACCCCTTCGTCTTCTGTACCCGTGTCACCCAACGAACAGGTTTCGTCGGGTGATAATCACACAGGTGCGATTGCGGGTGGTGTCGTTGGTGGTGTAGTGGGTTTAATTCTACTTGCGGTTCTAGCAGGGCTCCTCTTCTGGGCACTTCGCAAGAAAAAACGTACCCAACAAGCTACTTACGTACATGATGTATCACAAGAGCCGGGTCCTTCGTTTGGTTCTGTCAGCTCCGTCCCTCCCAGTGCATCGCCGCAGCAGAGTGCAGCTGTGCCTGAAACTTCAACGACCATTTCTCGTACGACGGCTGCACCTGCTCCCACCGCGGCGGCTAACGCGCCCCTGGCATCAGGCGTGACGGGAGCAGGTGCTGGGCTAGCTGCTGGCGGCTTGGCCTCAGCACCCCCCTACCATACGACCGCTCCTACCACTTCGTCCCCGACTACGTCCGCAACGTACCAGCCAAATCCTCCAATGGCGGAAAGTGCCATGGCTACGCAGCCAGCGTCCAATTTGCCGTATGCACGCCCATTGCGCGCCTCGCGTTCTCCACCTGGTAGTCAGAGCCGGGTCAACCAGAGCCAGGGCGTATCGCCGTACGCGGAGTATGCGGATGTTGACCCGAACTTGTGGCAAGACACATGGGCCAGCGCTGACAGTCCCTATGGTCGCGCAGGCGTAGGCCATGCGACGATGGAAGACGAGGCGTTACCGCCGCGTGCCTTCCATATGCAGCCTGGACAGCTGGTGTCGAACGTCTCGCCTGTGGGTGCATTCTCACAGCCGTGGAATGCTGGCAGTCAGGGCCAAGCCGTCCCCACTCGCTCTTCACGTGTCATTCGTGAGTCGTTAGGCCAAGGTGAGGCCGCGGCAAACGAACGCACGTAATTTTATATGTTAGATTGATAGATGGGCTACCTACGATTTCTATGGTTCATAATGTTACAGCCATAGAGTTGCGGATGCAATCGCGGACAGACCCGCCCCTACGAGCACGGGCGCCAGGACGAGGGAGCTAGCGCCATTATCACGCCATGGCTCCGTGGTGATCTCCAGCACAGCCACTTTGCCGTCTGAAGCGATCTGGTGGTTCAGGTCACTCTTCGACACGCCCTTCATCAACGAGGTGTCTGTGGTAAGGAGCTTGGTTGTATATTGCGTCGTGTTCGAGTGGATTGGGCCCTGCGTAGCATTGCCGACGAACTGGTCCCGGCCAAGATCGTACCCATTGGGTACAATATCATGTTGTTGCTTGAGGCCCATCTCCACTGAGGCAGCAATGAAGATAGCACCCGTGTTGGCCTTTTGGCCGTTTTGCATCCAGTAGCGGAAGTGGTTTCCGCCCTGGAGCACCTCCATCAAGGCAGGGGTCTTGCGGTAGAGTCCTGTCTGGTTCATCCAGCCGTTTCCGTCGCCAAGATTCGCCTGCTGTGCATCATCATCATTATTTTGGCCAGCAAAAGAATCAGGGTCGAATTGCAACGAGCTGACGTAGGCCGCGAAGCCATCCTTGGTGAGCACACTCGGGTCCGACGTCCCCGAGATGATTACATTCAGCGGCTCCTTTTGCCTCGTTAGTATTTTCCCTCCATTGCTGGATGGCGAGGCAAATTGCTTTCCTGCCGCAGCCGCGAGGGTGGCCACCAAAGCAACGAGTCCTACATATGCCCACAGCCTAGTCATTATGGTAGCCGGTCGGTCTGAGCATCGCCCGGTGGCGGTCGTGCACCAACACAATTAGTCATCATCTGAGGCCGTCGGGCGGCGCGTCCGTCGGAGGTGCGATGGCGCAGGGTATCTGAATCTCTACAGCACGGCCTATGTGCGTTGAAACAGTGCCATGGATGGTATCAATTCCACTTGGCACAAGCCTCAACACTAGTCTTTGGCGGGGCCGGCCTGGGATGCACTCGGCTGCAGATGGGCGTCCATATTCTGCAGATTGAACTCAACATTCCGGTGGTACCCATTCCACATCTCGGCGACGATTGTGATCTCTTGGTTATGGTTGTTGATGGCGGCGACAGATCGGTTCATCTCCTGTAACGACTCGTTCAGAAGGTCCACATTCTTGATGATGCGTTCTAGAAGAAAGGCCTGACGCTCTTCCTTACTGTTAATCTACAGTAGTACATACGTAGGGGTTCTCAATGGCTGGCGCCATGCCTGAGTCGAGGGCGGGGTCGAGGTGCAAGCGCGTAACGCGCTCGTTCGGCGACACATCACGTGACATATCTCTTCCGCCGTGCGGCGTCTTCGTCGTGTGTGCGACGTGCGATGTTCAGGCTGCTGGCCGGCGGAGCGGCCCGTGTATGGGCGCCTTCGCGCACCGCATTCGTGCGCCCACTGAGCATGACGTCGCGAGTGTTCCATGAAACCCCTGCATCGCCGCCGGAGCCCGCCGCGGAATCGAAAAACGAGCGTGTGCCTGTGCAGAGCGAGGCGGATCGTGCGGCGCTTTGGAACCAGATGTTGAACACGATCATTGTGGACCCTGCCGATGGATACCTGGGTGGCGCGAGTCCGCACCGCCGCACCACACCAGGTGGCGGCGTTGGCGCGAGTCCGAGGAAGCCGGACGGCACCAAGGACATGCGTGCAATGATCGAGCAGCTGGACCAGGAGTTCCGTGAGCGCCCCACGTATGGCCTTGCGACCCCTGGCACACCCACGACGGGACGTTCGGTGTCTGTTGCCAATTCCTACAACGGCACATCAGCGACGCTATATCGCCAGCTCTCGCAGCTGCTTGCGCGCAACCACGTGCGTCGAGAACTCAAGCTCGTCGAGCGCTACGAGAAGCCCAACCAGATGCGCCGGCGTAAGCGCTCGGAGCGCCACCGCCGTCGCTTTGCGGATATGATCCGGAAAAAAGTACAACTGGTGCGTAGAGGCCCACTGACGTTAGATTATGGCGCTCAAGGCGCGCAGTGCGTAGGACTTCTAGTAGTTGGCCACGTGGCATTCATCGCAGGTGCGGGCGTCGTGGGTGAACAGTTTTTCTGGCCACGATGCCGCCCATGGCGCTCCTACGAACCAGCACGCTGCCTGCCCCTAGGCGGTGTGCGGCTGCGCGCTCTATGTATGAGCGCTGTGGCCGTGCACGCGCGCTCAGCCACTCGCGTGCGTGGGCCACCATGCGGCGCGGGGATCCACTGCCGGAAGATCCAACCCCAGCCATGTGGCAGCGCATGGCGCAGCTGGTGGCTGGCACGACGGCCACTGGTACCCTCGCATACTTTGTATTTCTCGCGGACTTTGGCGAGGCGGAGCACTGCTTTAGTCCGGTATGTATGCACATCTAACAGCGTAGATCCGCCGAGCCTTCGCCCCCCTGTGGCAGAAGCTAGTGTCTCCCCCTGTATAGATCTAATCCACGACGAGCTGTACCCACATGCGCGCTGGCCTCGCGCGCCAGAGGCCAGGCACGATCGCAGCGACCTCGGCCGATGCAGCAAGTGCGCGCGCCTGGCGCTGTCGTGCCGACTCGGCCGAAGTGTTTGGTATGCGTGCCAGGCGCTGCGAGCGGCGCGGCGGTGGCCACGGTCCTAGACGCTTAACTTTCGCGTGAGGCAGCGTGGTGGTAGTCGCGATGCTTGTCCGTACCCTCTTCGCTCTTCTCGTGTGTGTGCTAGTTCAGCTTGCCACAGCGGACAACAACGATCCCCGCTCACTCGTCGGCACATGGAGCTCTGGCTCCGGCGCTGTGCTGACTGGGCAGGGTCCGAATGGAGTACGTGAGCAGCCGCTGACGCAGACTTCGTTCTATAACCCCATGAAGCGTCAGTTCTCTGTGCCCCCGACGGCCGGCTACTCGTACAGCTTTACTGAAGATAATAAATTTGAGACGGCACAATTCTTCTACCAGTCGAATCGTACGTGATGTGCGCTGACGCCAGCGAGCCAACCCCACTGCTTCAATGCGACACTTCTTTGGCAGCACGGTACATACAAGGTTGATGGCAACACGCTCACTATGACCCCGTACAAGGGTGACGGAGCCGTGCAGTCCATGGGCGAGTGCCTGCAGCCGCAGGTGCGCCTCGACTACTTCTCGCAGTACGTGCCGCGCTCTGACCAGCAGGGTGGAATTTATGAGAAACTGGACGACGTTCGTGGAAACGGATCCGGTATTCTTTCCCGGCGTGAAATCTGTGTATGGGCTGCAGATGTACAAGAGCAATGGTATCCCCGTGCCCAAAATGTACCTCCAGTTCCGCCCCCCCCAGATGATGCCGACGCAGGCGATCTTCAAGCAGGTGATCGGCGCACCCGACGCGTAACGGTCCAGGCCTCGTTCAGGCCCTATATCCGCCCAACCGCCATGCTCGGGTCCCCTGTGCGGTCTTGTAGCTCGCTTAGATAAGGCAACTTTCATTCCTGTCTCCTGCGCACTGGCACAGGTGCGTGGACGCCCGTCGCCATGTCGCGCGTGCAGCAGCTCATTCTCCAAGTGCTCCAGTCGCGCGCGACGCGCCGGGCGTCCAAGTCGTACCTAGACATGTTCGCCCGTGCCGCTGCAAGACCTCCCTCAACGGCGCCGTCCTGCGAGCCGGCGACGGCCGCCGCCGCCCCGCCGCTGTCCGCCCCATCGCGCTCGAGTCTCGCGACGGACCCGCTATCGACGGCCGACCGCACATCGCATCGCGTGCCAACGCTCGATCAGACATACTTTGCCCTGGTCAAGCTGCAGGGCCCGTTTACTGATCGGCAGCTCGCCTCGATCGCCGACGGCCTCGTCTACCTTCAGACGCTGGGCCTTGTCTGTGCCGTGGTGCTCGACCACGACCAGTGGCCGCGTCCCCCGCGCTTTGGCGCGGATGGCGAGCGCGTTGGCGTGGACATCGATGAGCTCGCGGCGTGGACGCCGTCCCCTCGTTCGCGCGACGAGCGCGTGGGCCTCGCCGAGGCAGGGCTCCGAGCGCGCATGGTGCGCGAGCTGTGGCGCGTCACGGATGCACTCTCGGCAGCTGGCGCACAGCCGCGCCCGCAGGCGCATGCGGTCGTGCGCGTTGGCACCGCGCACGAGCTCCCAACGGCCGCGCACGAGCCGCGCACGCCTCTTGTCTCTGACGTCTCACTGGCGCACGTCTATGCGGACTTGCAGGCGGGCCACATGCCCGTGGTGCTGCCGATGGCCCTCGCCGATGGGCCGCACCACGACGCGCCGCCCCGTTGCGTGTGCGTCGACGCGGACGACGTCATGGTCGCCCTCACGCGCGACATGGCCGACCCGGCTGTCTTCGAGTTGACGCCCGTGCGCCTGCTTGTCATCACGCGCGAGGGCGGCGTGCCATCGCATGCGCGCGGTGGGCATCCCCACCTGATGATCAACTTGGCGTCGGAGTACGAGTCGATCCGTTCGTCGTACATTTGGCACGATACCCATCCGACCGCGCTGCGCAACTTGGCCATGGTGCGCGATTGCCTAGCGTACATGCCCAGCGTCGCATCTGGCGTGCTGGCTACGCACCGCTCGCCACAGACGCTGATCGGGAACCTGATCACGAACAAGGCGGCGTACTCACCTAGCCTGCCGCCGCGCCTGCTCGCCGCGCGGCGTGAGATGCGGCACATGCCGACCGTGGTGCGCGCGGGCCTCCCGGTGCGTGTGCTTTACGATTGGCGCGACGTCGATATGGGCCGCGTCCAAGCGACGCTCGAGCACAGCTTCCAGCGCCGACTCGACCGGGCGGCGTACGAGGCGCGACTCGCGGCTTCTCTCGACTTTGTCATTGTGATGGGCGACTACGATGGCCTGGCGATTGTGACGCGCGAGCATGCACCGGACGATGCGCCGGGGGCGCCGCCGATCGCCTACCTGGACAAGTTTGCGGTGCGGCCCCAGCTGCAGGGCAGCGGCGCCGTGGACTTTTTATGGAACGCTCTGCGCGACGAGGTGCATGGGCTTGGCCTTCTCGACGCGCTCAACAGCAACGGCGGCAAGGGCGGTGTGGGGCGCGGCCGTGATCTCGTGTGGAAGAGCCGCGCGACCAACGTGGTGAACCCGTGGTACTTGGAGCGCAGCAGCGGCTTTGTGCGCTTGCCCAGCGGCTGGCTCATGTTCTGGTGCGATGCCGAGGACCGGCTCAGGCAGCTGGCTGGCGAGCCCATCGTCCCGGCCGGCGCACGCCTCGACGATGTGTGGACGAATGGGCCGCCGGCGCTGCCGACGCTCCCGGTCATTGCACCGCAGGAGCAGGGGCGTCTCGAGCGCTGGGCCCGGTGCCTCGCGACGCTCCCGTCGGCGTGGATGGACCGCTAGCAGTTGCGCAGCACGCCGCGGCGCCGCTCCTCGGCGCGATATTCGTACATAAGCTGCGCCGCCACGAACAAGACGCCCGTAAGCTGCAGCAGGCACACGGCGCCGGCGCGCGTACCGAGGAGCTGCGACCACACATACTGCACGCCGTCGAGACCCACGACAAAGCCCACGAGGTTCGCCGAGATCATCATGAACACGTTCGCGACGGTGCCGAGCGCACGCACATGGCGGAACCACGCGCGCTGCCCGTACACACGCGCAGGCACGAGCGTGCGGCCGAGCACCTCGGGCACGATGAACAGCACGATGAGCCACGCCCATGCGAGGAGCGTGAACGAGAGGTCGTGCCACAGCGCGACGAATGTGAACACGACGAGCGATGCCAGAAGCTGCCGCTGCGCGCCGCCCAGCGGCACATAGAGGTAGCGCACCACCCACAAATTGTAGCTGCGGTGCCATGCCCGCCAAAACAAAATGGCCGACGGGCTGTTCGTGATCGAGCGGATGACATTCTCTGGCACGTCCACGCCGTCCAGCAGGGCCCACAGGCGGAACGTGCGCCACGGCACGACCAGCTTGAGCCACACGAACTCGAGGCTCCAGAACCCAAGCAGTGCGAGCTCCATCGGCGTGTAGCCATCCCACGCCCGCGCACTCTTGATCGCATTGACGTACATGTAGTGCAGCACAAACTCGATCGATAGGATGGCCACCGCACACCGCACCATATACCCCAGGACGGCTCGCCGCGATATCGCGAGCGGCGTGACGCGCTGACTGTGAAAGTCGTTGAACGTGACAATCGGCCCCGCGATGAACAGCGGCGGGTACAGCAGGTAGAGGACCTGCGACAGGTACGTGTACTCCGCCACCGCATGCGGCGTCTGCACACGCGCTTTCGCTGGCGCCCGCGCGTGGCTCGGCGGCTGGTACGCGTCCGACGCCCACACACTGTCCAGCGCAAAGCTGACGAGACGCAGCATGCTAAAGTTGTAGCTGATGTACCAGCGGTGGATCAGGCCGCTGTACTCATCCAGCCATGCGAGTGATGGCACCAGCATGCGGAACGGCACTCCCTCCAGGTAAAACACCGCGACAAGGACGGCCACATGACACACCCACACGAGCGCGAAGGCCAGCGGGCGCGGCAGCCGCGTGCACACGCGCGCGAGGCCGTAGTTTCCGGCGGCGATCACGAGGATCTTGAGCAGATTCACGCCATGCAGCGCGCCCACATACAGCACGCCGGTGAGCAGCAGGAACGCGGCGCGCGCGCGGCGCGGGGCGACGCCCAGCTTCGGCGCAAGCCACCGCACCGCCGCAGAAGCACTGCTATGCGCCACGATCAGCGCCCCAATGATCCCCGCATGATCCCGTAAGAGCCGGTACTGAAAGTCGCTGTCGTCCTGGCGTCAGCCGCGCAACGTACTCGGAGACGGCCGCCCATCCATCCAGGGACCAGGTAGTTGGCGTACCGGCCGAACTGGGGGTGCGACTCTGAGCTGAGGTATATAGGCACGTAGATCATGTATGGCACGACCACCAGGGCCAGCAGGTAGTACGCACGGAACTCCCACGTCCCCCACCGTGCCGGCGGCACGTCCGGCGGCGCTGCACCGGCGGCGCTTTCTGTGGCGTATGCATCGGGAGTCGCAAGCGTCACGCCTCGCGACCCCTCTGCACGCACCGGCTCCTCCATCTGCATGGCCTGCAGACGCGGCCGGGGGCCGCCTGCGTCGTGCATCGCGTCTCGGCGGTGCATCGGCAGCATGGACCCGTGGCAAGGCGCCATAGGTGGAGGCCGGCGCCAGCGTCGCTCAGGGCCACGACGTCCACCGCGGGCCATGCCGGTGCGTTGGCTGCGCTGACCGCAGATCCAGTGGGTGCTCCTGATCTCCCGCCAGGGAAAGATGCGCCTGTCCAAGTGGTACGGCACGCTGAGCCAGAAAAGCAAGGCGAAGATCGTGAAGGACGTGACGCAGCTGATCCTCGCGCGACGTGTACGTCCGGCTCGCTGACCCCAGTCGCGCATGTGCAACTTTATTGAATACAAAGGCACGCTGCCGCACTAACCGCAGAAAGCAAGATTGTGTACCGCCGGTACGCGTCGCTGTTTTTCGTGATGGGCATCTCGCCCGAGGACAACGAGCTGGTGACGCTCGAGATCATCCACCGCTTCGTCGAGGTGCTCGACCGCTACTTTGGCAATGTGTGCGAGCTCGACCTGTACGTCCGTGGGTCTTACGCAGCATTTTCAACTTCCAGAAGGCGTACCAGGTGCTCGACGAGCTGATTGTCGGCGGCGAGCTGCAGGAATCAAGCAAAAAGTCCGTGCTCCGCGTCGTCCTGCAGGGCGATGGCGTCGAGGAGGCCGAGCAAGGGGAAGAGGTGCGTTGCGCCGCTAACGCCAGGGCCTTGCGCGCATCGGCAGCCGCTCAGGATAGCCTACTGTACTCTAGTTGATCGGCTTGACCATGCCCTGCGATAGTCGGTAGTACACGACCGTCGCGTCGTTCGACATCATCGCTAGGAGGACATGCGTGTGCACTGCGTCGGACGGCAACTGCGCGAACAAGTCGCTGAGCCTACCGTCAGTGCGTCGTACGTACATAGCCGAGTCCATGGCCTGCTCTATGGCCATCGGCAGAACGACCTGCTTTTCCTGCGGTCAGCACGCCACACGTGCCTTGCTGCTCGGCGCCTGGCCGACAATCACGGCCCAGCCCGCTGCGCCAAAGGCTGCAGCGTCGGCACGGCCGCCTGGCCGCTCTATCGCTCGCGCGTCGAGCTCGCGCCACCGCGCCGCATACTTCAGGTCCACATACGTTTGGAAGAGCGCCGATGCTTGCGACACATACTTGTCGCACAGCGGCTGCACGTCTTGGTACGCCTCGTGCGTCTCGGCCTGCAGGCACGCCGGCGCGTCGTGCATCGATCGTAGGGGCGACGAGTGTGGAGTGAGGCCTACGACGGGGTGACTCTATCGATAGGTATATCGGCCCACTCAGCCTGCACGACCGACGGAGCCCTGCTCGAGTGGGCCGTCAGCGTCGGTCACACTCTCTGCGTCCTTGCGTGTCGTCTGGAACGCATCCATCGTGCGCACAACCAGCGCGGTATCTTCCAAGAATGCATTTAGCGAAAGGCGCAAGTGCCGCAGCGTCGTCGCTCGGATGTGCCTGCATGTTAGCTAGCACGACGTACACGTCCAGCACACACCCGCTGGGCGTCTGGTGCACCTGCGCCGTCTTGACGACGTCCTGCGGCCGCAGCTCGCGATCGACCCAGAGCACCTGCTGGATCGTCGTAGCCGTTGTCTCATCCGGACACGGAATCTGCATTGTTCTGCATTAGATTCGTCACGTACACCGTATGGCGCATCGGCACAGCCTCCTGGCGCGCTGCCATCGTCAGCGGCGTGCCTGCGGCTCCCAAGCGAGCGAGCGGCCGCGGCCCTGGCCGCCCGATCCGCCGATATTCACGTGGCACGCGCGACGCGTCGGTGGCGCGCCGCGCGAGTCGCAGCGCCTGCCATGCCGGACGAGCTGCGCTCCGGCCTGCGCATGCTGAAGCGCACATGGAGTAGTGGTGAGTCTGGGCCACCTAAGAACGAGGCAAGTCCAGCACCGCCGCGCACGCTTAGCGAGCACAATGCGCCGTTGAGCGCCGCGGTGCCCGAGTCTATGGCGGACTTTGAGCCGTTCGTCGAGTCGCCCCCGCCGTGGAAAGAGAATCGCGCTCCGACCGCCAAGCGCACGAAGACCAGCTCTGACTCGAGTCTCTTTGACCTTGTCGGCCCGCCTGTCAAAGACCTGTCGCGCACGCTGTCCACAGGCCCCGCAGCGCCCGTCGCGCCGGAGCACCGCGCGACGGCCAAGGTCTTTTTGTCGCCGGAGCAGCAGCGCATCCTCGATGCGGTCGTGACGCAGGGACGCAACGTGTTCTTCACAGGCTCGGCCGGTGCGGGCAAGTCGCACCTCTTGCGGCAGATTATCCAGGACCTGCGCCGCAAGTTCCAGAGCAAGAGCGATGCCGTGGCTGTCACTGCCTCGACGGGCATTGCCGCGTGCAACATTGGCGGCATTACACTGCACAGCTTTGGCGGTGTCGGCCTTGCCAAAGAGTCGCCTGAACGCCTCCTCACATACATCAGGCGGAACCGCGGCGCTGTGACGCGCTGGATGCGCACGCAGGTCCTGATCATCGATGAGGTGTCCATGTTGGAGTCGAAGCTGTTCGAGAAACTCGAGGCCATTGCGCGCATGATTCGCAAGTCAACGAAGCCGTTTGGTGGCATGCAGATCGTTATGACAGGCGACTTTTTCCAGCTGCCGCCCGTGTCGGTGCAGGGCGACGCGCACTTTGTGTTCGAGTCGCCCAAGTGGTCAGAGGTCATCCAGGACCAGTTCAACCTCACGCAGGTGTTTCGTCAGAAAGACCACCGCTTTGTCGGCATGCTCAACGAGATGCGTCTCGGCAAACTGTCGCCAGATACGGTGCGTGCGTTTTCGCAGCTGGACCGTGTGCCTGCGCTGCCCGATGGCATCACGCCGACGGAGCTGTACCCCCTGCGTCGCGACGTGGAGCGCGCGAACAAGCAGCGTCTCGATGCGCTGGACACGGAGGCCCGCACATATACCAGTCTCGACGGCGGCTCACTACCGCCGGACCAACGCGAGCGCGTGCTCGACAACTTTATGGCGCCGCGCCAGGTGTTCCTCAAGAAGGGCGCGCAGGTCATGCTGATCAAGAATCTGGACAGCACGCTAGCGAACGGCTCGATCGGCACCGTCCTCGACTTTATGGATGAGAGCACGTTCCAGAACACGTATGGCGACGACGCCGACCTGCTGCGCACGGACGTGGCCGAGACGCTGCTTGCGCGTGCGGAGCGTGCGCCGGGCGCCACGCGCACGAGCCGCTCGCCCGAGAAGGACCAGCCACGCAGTGCGCAGTGGCCGCTTGTGCGTTTCCACCTGGGGCGCGGCAAGGTGCGTGACCAGCTCGTGCGCCCTGAAACGTGGAAGAACGAGGACCCCCACGGCGATGTTGTCGCGTGCCGCACACAGGTGCCGCTCCTTCTTGCTTGGGCCAGTACGTACGCGCTACTTACCCAGTGTCGATCCACAAATCGTGCGTCGTTGCTACTTACCCCAGACAAGGTCAAACGCTGCCGTACTGTCGTATTGATTTGCGCCGCGTCTTTGAGAAAGGTATGTCGTGCTATCTTACCGCAGGCCAGGCCTACGTGGCGCTCTCGCGCGCCACATCGCTCGACGCGCTGCAGGTTGTCGGATTCCAGCCGACCAAGGTCATGGCGCACCCCAAGGTGATCCGCTGGAGCCAGAACCAGTTCCGCGACTAAAAGTAGAGGTCCTCTTCATGGTAGTTTTCCTGGATCAAACGGTACACGTACGACGGCGGATGCTCGCCCACATTCGTGATGATCACATCGATGTCGTTCGGCATGACCAGGTCCCACAGCGGATTCGCCACGTCCGCCTCGGACGCGAGCCGCGCGGACGACGCATAGTTGACGACCTGCGACGACGGGCCTTGGTTGCTCGTCGTCATGCGCTCAGGACCGACCCACGCCCAATCGGGCGAGATCCTGTAGACACCAGCGAGCGCCACGACCGGCGTCGAGTGCTCGCGCGCGGCCATGGCAATCGCCCGTGCGCCTATCGAGGCAAGAATACCACCATTGGCCAGCACACACCGCGCGCCAAGGATTACCTTGGACACACGCGGCATCAAGGCATACACGTTCGAGTCAGGCACGAGCAGGACCGAGAGACCCGCAGCTGCGAGGGAGCGCGCCATCTCGTGGCCCACAAACGACGGCGCGGATTCTGGCACCACTGCGATAAACTTGCGGTGCTTAGCTGCCGCACGTAGAAAGCTCTGCACAGTCGACGAGTGGCCGAGCGTGAGGATCACTTCACCCGAGTGGACGTGGTCGCGCGCCTCTTTCGCGACGTTCGCGTCCACGGACTCGACCTCATCAATCAGTTCCTGGATTGCCTGGATGAGCAGCGGCTTGAGCTGGTACGCATGCGACGCCGACGAATCGGTGGGGCCCTCGTCATCCGAGGAGCCCGAGTCAGTCGAGAGCGACGCCGGTACGGGGCTGTTCGCCTGGCTGAACGACGCACTAGGCGATGACACGATAGTCGGCGAGGGCATCGATGGGAACACGAGGTCCGAAATCGAGAAGGAACGGGCCGGCGTGACCGACGCGGATGACTCCGCTGGCAAATGCATCGAGGACGACGGCGAGCCAGGCGTCGAAAGCGAGAGTGCTGCAAGCGACTGGGCCACAGAGGGCGGCGGCTGCGTACGTGGCGCAGCGTCAGGCACCGTCGCCCCCAGGCTGGTCAGCGCCTTGGCTTCCTCACGCAGCAGAAAGAGGATCCTCCGCGTTATGTTCCCAATCACCGGCTCAGACGGCAAAGCATCCTGCAAGTGCCGCCCGACCGTACGGATCATCTGCACAAGCTCGTCGAGGCGCGTAAACTTGGCAGCACTCACGGTCGCGCGCAGCGTGCGCGCCGTGGCCTCGGCGATCGCCTCTGTGCCCGTGAGTTGGTGCCGGCGGAGACGCATTCCCAGCTCATGCACAGCCATCTGCGATGCACGGTCCTTGACGACCTGCTCTAATGTCATCGGAGCGGTCGACGCACCAGGGGCCTTTCCCCCTTGGACAGACGCCATGCCGTCGCACCACGACGGTCCGCGCAGCGAAGCGCTACACTCGCTATCACGTGATCTATCTCGGCGGCGGCGGCGCTCGGCGGCGCACTGGCCGCACGTCCTCCTGCGTCGGCGCCGACGGTCCTGTATTGGTGTCGGGTCGGAAGAGAGCACCGATGCTTACACTCGCGTGGCCCTCTTTTTCTCCGCGGCCCTTGCCCCAGCGGCGCAGCCGGTGGCGCCAGGACCCTGAGGCCGGGGCCTCGTTCGTAGGCACAGAGTCCGTCTCGTGCGCATCCATAGGGGGTATGTGGGTGAGATCAGGAAGCGACTGCGTCATCGCAGGATGGTGCACAGGCACTGTGCGCACCGGCTTGTGCGGTCGCGGAGGCGGTGTACGCCGGCGCACAGGCGCTTGCGAAGGCGGCGGTTCCGTCGTCCACCGCTCGAGAGCGAGGACATCCACCTCGCTGGGTGCCACGTCCGTCTCTGCAGCAGCGACACGGGCGGGCCACAGGACCGTAGATTCCGCATCCGTGTATGTGCCTTGAATGCACGCGACGGCCGCGGCCGCCGACTGAATGCGGCGGAGCACAAGCGTGTGCTGGATCGTCTGCAGCGTGGGCTCGGCGTGAAAGTGCACCTGATTCTCCGCATGCTCTTTCGTAAGCTGTGCCGCATGCACCTCGCCACCCTGGATCGGAGCAACGAGCGTCGCACCATCGTGCAGGCCGACAAACCACTCGGACTCGAGGCAGTCGTTTGCGAGTGCGAGTGTCACAGGACTCACGTCGTGCCACTGTGCGCCGCCGACCATGTGCGTGAGCAGGAGCTGCACATCAGCGCGCTTGTACGGTTCTGAGCACAGCTGTGTCTGTGTGAGCAGCGCGCGAAATACGCAGAGGTACGCTTGCCGGAGCAGCTCGTACGCCTCCGCCAAGTTAGCGAGCTCGCGTAAGAAGATATCGACCAGAACACGCAGGTCGTTAGTGTAGAAGTAGGAGGCTGTTTCGCGCTGCGCAAATACGTCTGCCAGCAGCTTGAGCGTGAGAAAGTGGAAGAGACAGCCAGATAGCGTCGCGCTGGACGTGCGGTTTAGACGGAACACGAGGGTCTCACCAAATGTCTTGCTTGTGTGCAGGCGGCGCCGGATTGTACCGAGCAGGCTGGAAGAGGGGTCCTGGACAAGGCACTGTTCATGCAGGGCCAGGACTACACGCATCAGACGCATGCAGTACTCGTCCTCTTGGTCCTGCTGCGCCAGCTCCATGGTATCAAATAGGTGGTCAACGAAGTGCACGGTCAGCCCACGCAGGTCGCTCGGGCGCAGACGCACAGCACACAGCACATGGTGCAACAGCTCGAGAGCATGAGTCTCCAGACCCAGGAGCACCATACGCTCCGCCTGCGCCTCGGTGCACACGCCCTCGACACGTACCGCGGCGCCGGGCAGCGGGAGCGCTGGCCCGTAGCGCATGGCCGCATCTGACGCCACGGATGAGCTCGCCTGCGACGCGTAGAATCCTGCCCATACGTTGTGCATGAGACGGCGGATCCAGCCTGGCAGCAGGCATGTTCCGTGGGGGTAGAGCAGCCAGCGGTATACATTCATATCGCGCTCTCCCAGTGCCCGGATCATGGCATACACACGCAGCAGCTGAGGTGCTGGAGACGCGAATAGACGCGGCCGCAGTGCATCCACGAAATACTTTGCGGCTCCGCACGGCTCCTTATCTGCATCCAAGGGTGCAAGACTGGCACCGAATGGCAGGAGGACCTTATCCACCGTGTGCCGCGCCCATACCATCTGGGCCCGCTCATCCCGTACAAAGGCGTCGTCAAGATCTGCAGCAGTGCCTGTAGCCCCTAGCACATGCGACACATATTCGTCCATGGCTGCCGGGTCCAAGGACGGCCGCTTCGCCGGCTGTGGCGCCGGCGATGCCAGGGGCATCGTGGGAGAGAACGACGCCGCCCGAAGGTGGAGGTGTCTGCACTGGCCACGATGGACCCAACGCCGATGCAACACCCCGTCGCGGGCGTGAATCATAATGTCGTAGCGGCGTACCTGCCAGCACAGCGTGCAGCAATGCTACGTGTGCTTTCTCTTTCTGTGCCTCCGGCAGCGACGGAGGAGCCGTACACTGGGCAAGAGTGCATTGGCCTCGGCGACGCGTGGCGCTCTCTGTACGCGCTCGTACAAGGCTCGGTGCGTGGACACGAGGGAAATAGCTGCCTCGTACTGGGCGAAAGCGGGTGTGGAAAGAGCCTTGTACGTGTGCCCTACTTACTCAGCTTGTTGAGTCAGTCATTCGACGAGTCCGTCGCGAGTGTGCAGAGTGTAGCGCGGCGGCGCCTTGGGTCGTCTCGCTCTCAGCGCTCCTGTACCCAACGGACCGCCAGTGCCTGGCTGCAATGGCACAGCAGCTTATGGATCAGGATGCGATCGCACGTGGCGATGTAGATGAGACCTTGCGCGATGTCATGGAGCCTGAGACTGACGCGGACATGAATGACGAGCAGCGCAACGACTGGGCAACTGTCACACGGGCGCCTGGCCAGGGCCCGGGCCCGGAGTCGGAGTCGGAGTCGGATGAGGAGGCTGAGATGCCTCTTGCCTCTCTTTCCGAGCCTGAGCCCTCCTCGAATGCGATCCTCTCGACTATGGCTGCGACCCTTTCCCACATCCTCTCGCTGCTTTCCAGCTCGGCACCGGGATCATCGCGGCATCCTCTCATCATTGTACTGGACCAATTTGACTTGCTCACCCAGCGACCTCGGCAAGCGCTTCTCTACTGTTTACTTGACGCCGTGCAGGCGAACAGCTATGTACCGGGCATGCTGGTGCTGGGCATGACGAGTCGCGTAGACGCCGCTGACTTTCTCGAGAAGCGCGTGAAAAGCCGCTTTTCCCATCGAATTGTGCATGTGGTTCCTCCTTCGTTCGATCAGTATATGATCCTCGCGCGTATGGCACTGGCGGCAGGGGCGTCGTCGTCCTCTGTCTGGGGCCAGGCGTGGCTTGCGGAGGTCGACCACCTGATCCAGAACCCCACGTTCCGCGCGTGCCTAGAGGGTCTGCACAATCTCAGCGGTGATGTGCGCCTATTATACCAAGTGCTCTTGCCGCCCGTCGCTGCCCTGCACCCAGGCGCCCCCACGCTTGAGCCCGAGGCGTTTGCGCGCGTTGCGGCTGCACAACGAGCTGACCCACTCGAGGCACTCCTACTTGGTACGCTACCCTACTCACCCAGACTTGAACGTGCCCGAGATGGCTCTCATGATTGCTGCACGACACCTGCAGTTGCGTGACAAGGAGCCCTTCACGTTTGAAATGTGCTTCCATGGGCTGCGCCACTTTGTCCAGCGCGTACAGCGCGACCTCAACAGCGGTGCTTCGGCAGGGCACCAGGCGCCTTTAGCGATCACAGGCCTCGATACCCTCGCACAACGTGCGCCAATGCTCCAAGCGTTCCATACTCTGCTGGACATGGAGCTGCTCCTCCCGGAGCCGGCGCGTCTATCGCTCACGCTTCCATCGGGCATTGCCTCGCGGACGGGTCCTGTGACCACGGCCTATGGCACGCTACCAAGCCTTACTGTCATCCCCGAATTTCTGCCGGTGTATGCACAGGTGTCAGCCAAGGCTATTCTCGCTAGCGTCGAGAGCCCAGCGCGTGCCGAGATGCTCGGCTCGGTGCTCGTCAAATGGGCGGCCTCAACTGGTCTCTAATATCGCACAGTGCAGGGAAGGGCCGCCTATCAGCGCCCCACCCGCTCGCGCTGTCCATGTAGGGCACCCGTAGACCCAGCGCGTCCTCGAGCGCTGGGCTCTGAGGTGCCCGGATCGGGTACATCAAAATTCATAATCCTGCGGTCGAGCTAACATGTTCGGACGATCCTTGGCCAACGCGAGTCCGCGCTGCCTAAGACTCTGCAGGCCCGTAAAGGGCTTAGAAGTAGGGACCGCTGCCTGGGGCGCTGGTGTCGGTGCAGGCGCGGCTGTCGCAGGCTGAGGCTCCTCCGGCAGCGGCTCCGCAGGGGGTGCCGCCGCACGAGCGACCTTGGGCGTCTTGTCCGCCATGGAAATGCTAGAGCTGACTGCACTTGCCGGCGGCTGTGTGCGTCGTTCACTGACTCCGCCTTCCGTATCCAGATGCAGCGGCTCAATGGCGAGGCGCTTGCGCTTGACCTTGAAGGCGAGATTGTTCTCACCACCCCCTGCCCCACCATCGCCCCGCTGACTGCCAGGCGCAGAGCCGGCGGCCATACCACGTAGTACCGAGGCACGCAGCGAGGGATTTGTAAGTGTGCCGATAGCTGGCGTGCGAAAGATCCGCAGCGCTCCTGTAAAGTCGGGAAATACTTCACTCAGTCCGGGCGTCGCTGCAAAGGACGAGAGCCCGAGGCAAGCGTCCGACGCATGAAGCAGCCGGTGGATCACATTCACCTGCCCTTCGCTCGAGCACAAGAAGGACGATAGCGAAATGCCAACCAGGCAAGGAATCGGGGGGGTATCAGCATCGGCAGGCGGCATCGACAAGGACCGTGCCAGGGCGCGTAGCCGCAGCAAGAAACGCACCAGGTCGCTAGGGGAAGCTTGGTCCATCCATACGGGCGATCCAAACGCGCGGACAACGATACGTAATACCGGCGCTTGCTTTCTGGTTGCAGCGACTGCCTGGCAATGTTTCGCGGCCTGCTCAATGGTATGCCAAGCGGAGGTGAGCGCATGGCCCACATCGAGGGACGACGTTGTGAGGGTATGGTTCGCCTCGGCTTGGCGTAGGAGATGCGGAGATATGCGCTTGGAAAGGTCAAATACGGTCGTAAATGTTGGATCAAGCGAGGGCGGAGGCGGCGCAGGCTTGGGCTGCTCGTACCGCCACGCAATTTTCATCCGCTGCAGCGACTCGGCGGAGGGCTCGGACTCGGCTGCGCGTTCGACGTAGCGGTCCATATTCGGCGCCTCGGGGTCATCGACGCGGCCCATGAGGTGCGTAACGAACGAGCTCGCCGATTCACCTATCACCACACAGTGGTGCTCGGACGCTAGGCCCTGCGCCGTCACGTAACTGAGAAACAGGTCCGTGTACACGTCTGCGGCGGAGAGAATCTGCTCATTGAACACTGCACCAAACTCTCCACCCTGTGCCGATGCGCCCAGCTCAGCAGCAGACACGTTGGCTGTGCCCGCACAGGGCACTAAGGTCAGCACGGACCCGGCGAGGATACCGCCGCCACACAGAATATCATCTAGGGCAGAGATCCCTGTGGATAAAAGTGGAACTGGTGCAATAAAGGGGGCATTTCGTACGCCTTTAGGTGCCGGGGTGTCGCCGGCCCGTCCTGCGCGCCGACGAAACGCCGACATGGCGACAGGCACGACGCAAGCCAGGCGGAGAGGTCGTCGCCTCCGCTCTGAGTCACGTGATATAGTGATCGAGGGAACGCGTCGCTCGACGGACCGACTACGGCCTACGACTCGACATGGTGGCCGCTGTAGCACCGAGCCAAGTCGCCGTCGACTCGGCCAAGTCGAGTACGAAGGAGATGTATGTACCCAAGGAGGAAACTCCCGTGGGCGTACAGTCTTTCTTCCAGTCCAAGATTCAGTCTTATGAACTTTTGATTAATGAGAAGGCGCAAAACCTGCGCCGTCTCGAGGCGCAGCGCAATGCTCTCAATGCCCGCGTGCGCCTTATCCGAGAAGAGCTGCAGCTTCTCCAGGAACCTGGCTCGTATGTGGGTGAGGTGGAAAAGGTTATGGGCAAGAAAAAAGTCCTGGTCAAAATTCAGCCCGAGGGCAAGTATGTGGTGGGCGTGGCGCCTGATATCGATGTGACGCAGCTCAAGCCATCACTGCGAGTGGCTTTGCGCTCAGACTCCTATACCTTGCACAAGATTCTGCCGAACAAGGTTGACCCGCTCGTCTCGCTCATGATGGTTGAAAAGGTGCCGGACAGCACCTACGAAATGGTGGGTGGTCTAGACCAGCAGATCAAAGAAATTAAGGAGGTCATTGAGCTTCCTGTAAAGCACCCTGAACTTTTTGAAAGTTTGGGTATTGCGCAGCCCAAGGGTGTACTGCTGTACGGGCCGCCCGGTACAGGAAAGACGCTCCTGGCGCGTGCGGTGGCACACCACACGGACTGCAAGTTCATTCGCGTAAGCGGCAGTGAACTTGTGCAAAAGTACATCGGTGAGGGTAGCCGCATGGTCCGTGAGCTATTCGTCATGGCACGCGAGCATGCGCCATCGATTATCTTCATGGACGAAATTGACAGTATCGGCTCGAGCCGCGGCGAAGGCGGCGGCAGCAATGGCGATTCGGAAGTCCAGCGCACGATGCTTGAGCTACTAAACCAGTTGGACGGTTTCGAAGGCACGCAGAACATCAAGGTCATTATGGCTACAAACCGCATCGATATCCTAGACAGCGCTCTGCTGCGCCCCGGTCGCATTGACCGAAAGATCGAATTTCCCCCGCCTGGCCCCGAGGCGCGTGTGTCGATTCTGCGCATCCACTCACGGAAAATGTCACTCCAACGCGGGATCAACCTGCGTGCCTTGGCCGAGAAGATGGGCCAGTGTTCTGGTGCCGAGGTGCGCGGTATTTGCACAGAGGCAGGTATGTACGCTCTGCGTGAGCGTCGGCAACACGTGTCACAGGAAGACTTTGAGCTAGCCATTGCCAAGGTACTCAAGCGGCACACGGACGGCTCCATGAGCGTCAATAAACTGTTTACGTGAGAAGCTACTGCACAAAATTCACAGAATAGCCACCACCTTCTTGCTGCTGGAACTGGAAGTTGTCGGTAGAGAGTCCGAAGTAGCCCAGCACCTTGTTACCCATAGTCTTGAGTTTGTCTACCATTTCGTCCTTTTCCTTCTGTGCAGCTAGGTCGACAAGTGGTGGCAACCGAATCAATGCTGCATCCAAATCTCGTCGGTACGAGGTAGGAGTACGTCCCTCTTTTGCGAGCTCATCCAGGCGCTGATAATCTATTGTGAGACAAGAAAACTCACCTTTCAGGGCTGAAGAGAGGTGACCCCATCCGCCCAATTGCTCGTGAGCTGTCGCACGGCGGTGCAATGCTTTCACATTCTGAGGATCTTCCTCAAGCGCTGAGTAAGGCCGAGTGTAACGTACCTTCGGACGTTGTCTTAATGGCGTCTTGGTATTGTTCCTAATGTCAGATCTTTACAACGTACAAGCTTTAAGTGACATGCGGCCAAGTTGGCATGAAGCTTGACGCGGAGATCCACAATGTCGTCTTTGAACATGTGCTCGTCGACTGTCACAGAGTTCTCTGGACGATCTTGGTCGTCCTGGACCCGCGGTGGAAGCCGCATGAGCGCGTCTTGGTAGTGGTTCATTGCCTCTGCATATTGGGTCCTCGAGAAGGCATCATTGCCAGATTCCTTGAGCGCACACGCCTCTTCTACGCGCGGCCTTAGGGGGTCCGAAGACTCGTGCACATCCCACACTTGGACCATACCCTGCAGTGTCGAGGATTGTAACACGTGGCTATCTCCACTACTCGATTTTGGCGCGCTTTGCGCTGTGGTCCTCCGAAGGCTCGGTAGGCGCCGGATGAGAGGGCTTTGCCTCATCTTTGGGCTTTGGAGGATTCAATGGCGGGCGGAAATACGGCTGAAGGTACCAATGCGGAATAAATTTGGGGCGTGTACGTCGATCGGACGGATCCTGCAGATGCAGCGGTGTCTGATAGTAGCGAGCCACGTCCTGCCCCTCTTGGTAGTATCTGGCATCTTTGGCATCTTCTGCCAAGCGATTCTGGAGTTCGTGGACAAATTCGCGATACTCCTTGACGCGCTCTTCCCCTTGTACCTCATCATAACTGCGGGCTTTCCCAAGAACCGGACGTAGATCCGTGTGAATGGCTAGCGCAGGCCTAGTTATCTTAAACATGTGGCCCTTAAGTGCGCTGGGTGACGTAGGTGTCTTTAATCCAGCCACAATGTCCAGGTATTCATGTGCTACGCGCACAATCTCTAGTGGTGCATACGACGAATGATCAGCGCCTTGCTGGCTGAGAACCGACAAATCGCGACCCACATCAGGATGGTACAGGGTGGGGTTGTACAAATTGCCCTCCGCACTCATCACTCCATCGCACCCTGTATAAGCGAGACAGTCGCGCCAGTCCTCGGGGTATAGCATATTTCCATTGGCAAATACGGGTATATCGAGGGCTTCCTTCACAGCACGAATTTTTGACCAGTCTGCGAGGCCCGTCTTGTGGCCTTTCATTTCCCGTGTGCGACCATGCACCGTTACAATCTGAGCACCAGCACGGCGGATCATTTTAGCGTAAGCGAGTGTCTTTTCTAGTGTGTCAAACACGCGGAACTTGGCTGTGACAGGCACCTTGAGATTCACGTGCAGCGTATTAATGAGTTTGAATACCAGATCCCAATCATCCATCAGAAATGCGCCAAAGTTCCCTCGCTTAGCAATCTGTTGAGGACAGCCCAGATTAAGATCGACAGCATCGCAGCGGTCTTCCACATACTTGGCTGCATCTAAGAGCATATCAGGGTCATTGGCACAGAACTACGTCAGAAAAGCAACATACCTGCACAATCAACGGTCGATCTGTATCTGTATTCTCACCCAGCTGTATCGAATGCGCCCCTTCTTCACCAAGATCCTGATTGAAATAGCCTTCCCGCACGCGATGTGCGCCACGGTTCTGCTGAACATAGATCTTTGCATTGATCATAGGAGAGTACACCAAATCTGAGCCATACCTGCGGCTCAAAATGCGCCAAGCTAGCTCGGATTGATCTACCATGGGCGCAACAATGTGTCGGGGAGAGCCAATGCTGCGGTAGAATGCGTACCCTTCGAGCTTGGAATGAAGTGGCTTGCCCGTCTCAGGGAAGGAATCCAGGCTGGGAATTCCAGGGTGAGAGCTTGAAGACATGCTGGATACTGTCGAAAATGTAATAGAAGCGCCAAAAGAAAGGCGCTGTGCACACGCACGAAGCAAGCGCCTGGAAACGTCTCCCAATATGGTGGGGCGTGTAGCAAGAGAAAAAGTGGAGCGCAGATCCAGGAAATTTTGGATCGATGGAGGCGCACATCTATGCCATGGACCCTGCGGCATGGGTGCCCATAGCGGACCTACGGTACCCGAACGATCTGCAGCGTAAAGTTCGCATAGTAGGATTGTATGTTCTGCATTCTCATTTAAAGCTGTGAATCGTACGATATACGGACGGCTAAGGCCACCCTAGTACATGAGGGTGCATCATTAACAGTGGACTTAACATTGATTGTCGAAAATGATACCTTTGCCTTGCCGGAACGTTGCAAACTTATGTGCATTGGAACGCTAGAGGAAAATGATGAGATGTCAGAAACATCCGAGGGGTCCTTGCACAAGCTACAAAGTGTGCATGCAAGAAGAATGCGTGGACGTTCAAGACAGGTTGCACCAGAAACTCGCTTTGTACTCTTGGCTATCTGGGCCAAGACTACAAACGAACTTGATTTGCGCTTATGGGTACGAGCCGCGCGAGAGATGCGCCGGTCGCTTCTACCTAGTGCCTCCTGACGGCTAGGGAGGATCCTCCACTCGAATACGATAGCAAACCACGCCGAAATGTCTGAGGATGTGCGCGACCGCGTTCAGGATGGGCCAATGACATATAACGGTATGTAGATATTGTCTTATATTTTAGAAACGATTTGTATGATAGCAGATCTCTGTACGTGGTGTATGGCTAAGACCAGTGGAATGTGCGATTCACACAATCCTTGCCGTGCGGCAGGTGTATCCGCAAGACCTGTTCGTTCGGTGCAAGGCGTATGATGTACCTGTATATAAAAGTCGGCACCCAGGCTTGACGCACTATATCTCTCAGGCGGTGCGCGCGATCACACACGAGCTCCAGGAGGTATGAGAAGACACTGACGCAAGGCCTCGGTCAACCAAGCTGTGGTGGCCTTGAACTACGAGGACGCACCTGATGCACCTGATGCCCTTGAGCGCTATGTGTTCTCTTTCCAAATGCTTCGTTCAGATACAGATCGGCGCGATCGTGACTTGGTGTATGTGTTACGATGCTGACACAGAATACGCGGGAATCTGTCCCCATCAGCCGCAGATATGGTAGCGCGGCAGTACCTCTTGCAACTTCTCACTTTGGAGTCGCGACTTATACCTCTAAATTTGGATCGAAGTAAGCATTGGAGCTAACGCTCAGATCTCACGTTTCGTATCCTGCTCGAAATGTGTGGGGGACATGTACCGTCGGGTGGCAGAGATGTATGTGAGACTAGTGTCTCACCCTTAGGCACCGCCGCATGGCCCATGGAGTCCAGCAGATGGCATGCCATTTATGGCTAATGAAAGTGACACTTCCACGGCTATATTGTCAACTGCAGGGCGGGTTAGACGAGACCATATTGCGACTGTATTACATCCATTAAAGACACTCGAGTCCGGAGTTGTCAATGTATGTATTGTCTACTGATGGAAGATTTCCCTGTATGTGGAAGAACGGCCTGCGAACAAGGGAGCTGCGGCTCATTTACCAGCCTTAACTATAAGCTCTCAGACGACAGAACCGCCAGCCTCTCTACAGCGCGATTTGGACGATCCTGCCATTGCCGATGGCGTCTCGCCAGACGGGGTGCCATGGCACAAGCAAACCCTATATACCCATGGAAGTGACAGTGATGAGTCCATATCAGAGGATATAGTCGACCAGGATGACTTCTAAATTACACAATTACGCTTTAGGATCCATTTGCACAGACTCCTCTGGCACGGAGCCTAGTGTCGTGCTATCTGCAGTAGCAGATGCCGAGCTAAGAGGCTTAGGTTCGGATATCCGCTCACCATTTGCTGTCCCTTCAGGAGCTGGACTCTCAAATTTAGCAACATTGTCTGTGCGAACCCACTTGAGGATTCGCACAGGATTACTTGAGCGCATCGCCTGTGCATCCTGGCCTAGTCGATCCGTCAAGTTTTGACCGGCACTCGCCGGGTGGGCTACAGCCACTGGAACAACCCACTGGCGCTCCCATAGTCTGACGTCAGGAAAAGGAACTTACGTGACGGGTTCTTTTAAACTACGCTGCAGTTCATTTTCCTGCCCAAACCGACCCCCTGCGGTGCGTGACATGAGACAAGGAGGTATGTGGAGAAATGCGAATAAAGACACGCCCGAGCGTCAATCTAAGTGCATATTGAGCTAGACTATATGCACGGACTAGATGAAGATATGAGGGTACTCGATGTAAGAATATATAATTGATTTCATGAAGTAGTACAGACTAAACTAGCACTATAAATTTAATGAAAAGTGCAAGATTGGGATGACGCGCAACGCTTGTACCGCGATTCAACTAAAGTTGCCAATGGAGGCACAGTTTATGGAGCAAAGCCTGGGAGCGATATGGGAGTGACTTCTTCCTATCCCTCTTCGCACTCGAAAAGGCTTGCATTTCCCCTAATTCCCCGATTTAATCACGAAGGTGTATAAACTTCCACGGAACCATGGCCTAGTTAAGTCCCTGGCTTCGGAATTTCTCTGGCGAGGACACTTGCGCCACTTTCCAATGTCAGCAGGCACTAGCCATTACTTGAGATGAAAACTACCGACCATATGCACGGACCAGTTCGTCCATTGCACTAAGTCCCATAGGTACGATTGTATAAAAAAACGATTTAATCACAAATTAGGAGGTACGAACTAAAAGAAGCATCACAAACTTATTGGCAGTGGCAGACTCCATTGCGGCAGATACCACCGTTGAGGCCTTGTCCATGGAGGGCGCAGCTTGCTGCGCAGCCAAACCCTTTTGCACTTTGACAGGAAACACGCTCCACGGTGTGCGGTTTTTGAACCTGAAGAGTGTTGTCGTCGGCAACGAAAATCTTGCCACCCAGGGTCTCCTCCAGGCTCTTAGCACCCTCCACACTGGGGTCCTCAGCCGAGACGAACGAGACAAGGATCAGGGCAAGGAACGAAATGACGATGGCGAACCGCATGATAGTGATTGCATCCTTCCCATAAACCACACCCTTTTTGTACCCTAATGCATGCTCTGCATCTGGCCTATTTTTAGACAGAGGCATTCCTACATAGAAGGCTTACGGCTTGGCAGTCAAGGAAGTCCGGGGACGTAGGTCGGTCGGTCAGATGTCGAATCCGGCTAACCAATTATATGGCCCTGCTACAGAAAGGTACTTGGAAGCAACTTTATTTATCTCACCGTTTGGCAATGAAGGTCGAAAGATTAATAATATTCGACGTCTCCGACTTCCCAGCATCCCCGGACTTCCTTGACTTCGGCTTTAACGGCTACCAAGTCGCAAGCGTTTTATGTAGAAAACGTTGCCGTCTAAATATAAACCAGACACAGAGTAGGAGCTATGATACAAAAAGGTGATTTATTGAAAAAAGATGCAATCACCAATGTACGTTTCACTACTGTCATCTCGTGAATCTGCTCGGTAGTTGTCATCTCACGAAATGACCAGTGTGCGCAGATATTGGAAAGCGACGCAAGTGTCTTCGCTAGAGGAATTTTGAAGCCAGAGACTTGATCATATTCACAGATTAGGTAGATTTCTAAGACCTCTGCACGACGGCAGGCCATGATTCCCTAGGCATCCATAAACCCTCGTGACTGAATCGTGGATTTAGGGGGAAATGCAAGCCTGTTCGAGTACGAAGAGGGATAGGAAGGAACCACCCCCAGATCGGTCCTAGGCTCTGCTCCATATTGAGTAGATATGGCGGACCATGGATGGACGGTTTGCTGTCTAACAGCGGAGCGCTATCCTGTGCCGACTTACTGGCCCGGCGTCCAGTATGGGGCACAGTTGCGTACGAGAAGCCAAGGGATTTCTCAAGGTCAGCTTCGCGCAAAAGGGCATCAGGAGACGAAGTAGCATATTCCCATTCCTGTATGCTTCCAATCCACCAGGGGTTTCCTTCCCGGTGTGGAAATCCCCAGCGCTCATTCCATGTGCGCAGAAGATGTCGCCGTGCCCGAAAGCGACGCCATCCAGCCATGGGGCCAGTGCCAAACGTGCCTCCTTGGCCATGCTTTGAATAGTACCGCCGAAGCAGTAAACCTTCGCGCGCTCGGAACGAATTGATGGCGCGTTGCTCGATTGACGTGAGATTGTGGCCACTCAAGTATGTGTGCATGATAAATAGAGAGCCCGTAAAGAGGAAAAAGAAAAAGGCAATCACAAAGACACTAATGATATAGCCATCGACATTCCATCCACGAATGCGCTCTGACCATGGCATACCTTCTTGCGACTTGACGCCACGAGCAAAGAGTGGGGCCATACTGACAATCACATAGATCGACAGTATCAGGGCCCAAAACACTGTGTTGTAGTAGTATTGGTAGTTTTGGGCGCCAACGCACCCACCGATCCATGGACAGTGGTGGTCCATTCGGAGAACACAGGTTCCACATCGGCGACAGTGATGAGCTCGAGGGGGACGTGATCGCTGACAGTGCTCGCAATGCAGAAGAGAAGAGGCATATACAGACATTTCCGGTGGACGCCGCGTTGGTTCCGGCATGCGCGTATCCACAGCAGAGGTACGAGGAGGGGGTATCGATGGTGAAGGTGCCTCGGTCTGGCTTGTTGGCTCCAGCATCTCTGGACCTTGAATGAGCACCTCGTTTAAGGGAATGGGCTCGTCGTACGACGTCTTACTCCCATTGGCAGCACGCGCATTGGAGTCTGTATCGACATGCGACGTATTGATACTTGGCGAAGCAGCCATGCTCTGCTCAAATGCGAGCCAGCGCTGCTCGCGCTCGTTAGTGGGCGAGAACATGGCCAAATTTCGCACACTGCTGCATTCTTGGTCAGGTACAGGCTCTTGGTTATCAGGAGCGATAATAGGTATCGGTTCAGCAGGCTCAGGTGGCACCGTGGAAACATCATTAGTCGTGTCCTGCCTTGGCTGTGGCTCCCATACGAGGTCCTTGACATACCCTGGCCGCGAGAATAGAGTAGCGCCAAAGCTCCATGCCACTGCGTCAGAAACATATACATACAGAAGAAGAGCAACACAAGGAATCCGACAAGAAGGCCGATTCCCATGCTACGCGAGCCCATGGCGTTGGCGTGCTCGGTCAACATGGGATAGCACACGCGCCAGATGTAGATAGCACAAGCCCAGCACACGCAAACCACCACTATAACCACATTCACATACCGCAACCACAAGGGATCCGGCTGCCTTTCCGTCTTGATACGATCGCGTTTGCCAATGCCCAAGCGCACGAGTACGCCTGGAGGCATAGCGGCGACAGCAACGATCCAGTTCCAGCAGACGCGCAGTGCTCGTGCGCCCACGTGATACGCCCTATTCGCCTGCGGCTGCATGCACTACTAGCCCCCGCGGGGCCAAATACAGTTTGCATCTCGCCCGAGACCATGCACCAAGCCGGTCGCCTTTGGGCGCTGCTTGGATCGCTGCTGATTGCCATCTCAGCAGGAAGCACATATGTGTTCAGTTCCTATGCGCCCCAGCTACAGACAGCTCTGCATCTCTCTAGCACGCAGCTGAATGTGCTGGGTTTGGCTGGTAATATGGGCATGTACATGTCTGGTCCCCTGTGGGGTCGATGGATTGACCAGTCAGGGCCACATGGTGCCGTGCTGGCAGGTGCCTTCCTTGTGCTTAGCGGGTACGGTGTGGTGTCGCGTGCGTACAAGTACGAATGGCAAAATATGCCCGTTGCGGTGCTGGCCATTTTTTGTATGCTTACTGGTCTAGGGAATTCGGCGGGTAACAATGCGGCCATCAACGTTCAAGCTAAGAATTGGACAGGCACACACCGTGGATCAGCCATGGCCCTTGTGCTCTCGGCTTTTGGCCTAAGTGCTTTTGTATATTCGACGTTATCGCACGTATTTTTCTCCGGCAACGTGACAGGCTACCTGGACTTGCTAGCCCTTGGTAGTTTTGGCTGCTTCCTGACGGGAATGTCGCTCCTCAAGGTAATTCCGCCTACCCAAGAGGAAATTCATGCGGAGGCAACCCGCCACCACGCGGACTACCGCCGGGTGCCTGATGAGGATCATGAGGCACATCAATCGAGGCCATGGCCAAAGCATCTGAGCCGTTTGCGTAGCTCGTCTGAAACAAGTGCCCGTGTCATTGCGTGGATTCGCGATGTGGCTGAAGCCGAAGAGACAGTGGACGATGAGGATACGGACGATGACGAGAATGAGGAGGAAAATCCTTACCAGGAGAATATCGCTGGTTGGGCGCTGGTCAAGAACGTGGACTTTCTGCTGCTGTTCGCGATCTTGGGACTGGTTAGTGGCTCGGGACTGCTGCTCATTAACAATGTGGGCATGATCACGCATGTGTTGTACGATTACGCACACAGACAGGACAAACAGGCGAATGCTCTTACGCAGATGCTTCTGCTCCTGATCAAGGGCGGCAAGGGCCATGAAATCCAACGAATTCAGGCGCTGCAGGTATCGTGCATCAGTCTAGGAAATGCCCTGGGTCGCATTGTGATTGGTATCTTTTCGGATATGGTTGTGCTGCGCACCAAGCAGCCAACCTACCGCACCTACCTGATCATTCCTGTGGTGGTGCTTGCTACCATTTCGCAGGGTCTCTTTGCTCTGCCCAACGTCATCAACAGTGTGGAACACCTGATGCTGGTGTCGTGCCTGACGGGGCTTATGTACGGTACCCTCTTTGGTCTGTTCCCGGTACTTGTCTTTGAATGGTTCGGTATGCAATCGTTCAGTCAGAACTGGGGCTGGAGCAGCTTTGCTCCTGTGATTTTCGGCAATGTATACAATTTACTATTCGGCGTCGTGTACGACTCCAACGTGCCTAATGAAGGGCACTCTCACAAATGTTTGAAGGGAGAGGAGTGCTACCGCTCTGTCTTCATTGTAACGACCTTGGGATGTTTCGTTTCGATTGTGGCATGCTTTATTCTACTTTGGCGCCGAGTGCACGGATTTTCAGACCGCGTGAAGTCGCTTTTCTCGCGGTCTCGTCTAGCTATTGAATAATCGGGAATGTAGTTGATCATGACGAGCTTGTATGATTTCACCTAAGGGCCACGTTGTGGACGCGCAGTCCAGATCCGACGCGGCGACCTCGTCGTCAGGCCAATCCCAATCAAACTCATCAGCACAATCGGGCGAGGGGAGTGGCTTGGTCCTTGTGTACAATTTTTCTGCAGCATGATGGGAGACTTGTTGGATGTTGTGCTCGACTACCTGGCGAAGCTGCCGCACAAGTAGTTGGTGGGCCATGTAGGGGCCCAGCGTATTGAGGCGAATGGAGCACGACATAAGATTTCGGGCCTGAAGGAATAAATTAAGACGCAGCATGCTCTCTCTTGATAGGCCCATGCAGCAGGAGAAAACGCCCGTGCATATCGGTAAATGCCCTGCAAGCTCCAGCGGTGAGAGAGCTAGAGCACCGTTGTTCAGCTTAGCGCCGCCGCGCCGGATGCGCAAGCGAAGACCCTCCATAAGCGTCTTGGCTTTTGACGCCACACTGTCCTGGTCAGATGCAAAAGAGCGCATATATAAGGACAACAGGGCCATACCCTGGATCATTGATGCACGTCTAGCCACATGGTTCAGCAGAAGGGTATGATGGTGCCAATCAAGCGCACCCAGACGCAAAAAGCACTCGTCCATGGGTATATCTTTATACAAGAATGCATGAGTAAGGTCATAGGCGGCCAGCATGTATGGAAGGACGCTGCTGGCATAGTTGGATAAGGTATGCTCCACAAACGCCGTCGTTGTTGACACCAAATTCTGCGGCACCTGCGTCATGAACCCGTGCGAGTAGTACGACTCGAGCCCCATGGAGGCAATAAAGCCGCCTGGAATCAGAGACACGCAACATACCAGTAGGCAAATTGGAGTCGCTCAGCATGAGCATAATATAGGCCTCTTCGCCGCTCTCCGTCATGGCAACCGTGCGAGTGGAGGAAGGGGCCAAGGCAAAAAGCCGGTCGACTACCTACATAATACATACAAGGTATCCTAGTGGATAATTACTTGGGCGGGTCCTGCTCCATGGCTTCATAGTTCTCCGTCTTCATATCGTTGAGACCCAGCATTTCGTTCTGTTCCCATGTGCGGTCATACACTTCGACGGTAAGCTGCTCGTCGGGGTCCGGCGCATAGGGGTTCTGAATGTAACTCTCCGAGAGCGGATCGTCTAGGATGACCGTGTAAGGGCACGCCTCTGCACTGATTGCACGTTTGAGTTTACCGAGGAAACCTTCGAAGTTCTCTGCATCATTTTTGTTGGCCGAGTCGCCACGCATTAGCACCTTTTCATACAGCTCGTCGTAGACGTTCTGCAAGAGACCCTCAAGCGTGGTGAAACGGCCACCCAAGGTACCTGGCGCAAGGTTAAGATCGATCTCGGGGATGCTCAGGCCGGCACTTTCCGACTTTAGGATATCACGCGACAGGTCCTCGCTGTCCAATACGCGCAGCGTCAGCTTGCGGCCCTTGTCACTGATTGCCGAGCCCGATTTGATCTCGTTGTCACGGTATCCGCAGTTCGCACAGTTAGTCGACATGATAAGAATATCTTTAAAGTAGGGGATGTTCACCTTCTTCATGTTTGTCGCCACCGGGGCATTGCAGCTCGAACAGGTGCCGTGGAACGAGTAGATTTCCTCATTGTCATACTCCGTCTCTCCCTCCTCCTTGCTGAACCCGGTCGTTTCAGCCTGTACTTCGTTTGTCACGGTCGGATCGGCGACCAAACCCAGGGCGATATTCTGCTCCTTCGTCCGGGGGTAGTCCCGCTTGCTCCATTTCACATCGGCTGCGCCACTGCTCTCAATCGAGCCGGTGTACTCGACAAAGCTGTTGCCTGATGGGTCGTCCAGCACGACCTTAAAGGGGGTAAATTTGCGCGCCTCGGCGTCGTCGACCGATTCAGAGGGGCCACCGACAGGGCCAAGGCTGCGCATCTCACCTTGCGACACCTCTTCATTAGAGGTTGCACCAGCTTCCACGGCGCGTTCACCAAGTACCTCGCGCAGACGATCACATAGCGCCTCGATCTTCTCATACACCTCTGGCTGCATATGCTTGCGAACAGGCTGGTCCATTTCAAGATCGCGGAGAGTATCTGTAAGGACACCCTCGATGGTCGTGATCTGTCCCCGTTTCGCCGGAATCTGCAGCTGCAACTCGGGTACACTGAGTGTGCAGAATTCTGACTTGATCAGCTGCCGGTTCAGGTCCTTCTTGTTAGTGACATGAATGGAGTAGATGCAGCCCTTGGGCTGGATCTCACCCGCACTCTGGACCTCGCTATTTCTGTTACCGCAGTGTGGGCACATAAAGCTCATAACAATCACTTCACGGAAGTAAGGAATATAGGTGGGCATCAGCCGAGTCACACCTTGCTTGCCGCATTCCATGCAGAGCGACTCGACCTCCTCGAAGGGCTTCGGCTCATCCTCCTGGCCAGCAGCCGCATTCACCTGGTCACCGATGGGCTTGAAATAGGGATCGTTGCTCATGTGTGCAGTGGGGAAAGTTGGGACGCGCACGACACTGCAACTTGCCACATTTTCGGCCGTCTCGAAGCCGACAGAACGAACGACGCCTCCACTTCGCGCTGTCGGTCGTTACGATCACCGTGTTCACTTCACGCCTAATTTGCCGCTCCTGGGCCCTACGCACATTCATGTCGGACGCCAAACGCATCAAACTGGATCAGGGAGCTCGCCCTGTGATTGTGACGCACTCAGGTACCTTCCATGCGGATGAGGCGCTCGCCGTGCACCTCCTGTACAAGCTGCCCCTTCTCAAAGATGCCGAGCTTGTGCGCACACGCGATGCGGCCGAGATTGCCAAAGGCACAGTAGTCGTTGACGTGGGAGCCGAGTATGTGCCTGAGAGCAACCGCTTCGACCACCACCAGCGCGGCTTTTTCGAGACCTTTGACGACGAACACAAGACAAAGCTGAGCAGTGCAGGTCTCGTGTGGAAGCACTTTGGCCGCGACATTCTGGCAGCGCATCTGGGTGTGTCGGACGACGACGATCGCCTCCCCGTCCTCTACAAGAAGATGTACGATGACTTCGTGGAGGCGATTGATGCGAACGACAACGGCATCTCCATGTACCCCGACGCGGCCGGGCCGCCAGCGTTCCGCTCGCGCACAGATCTGTCGTCACGCGTGAGCTATTTGAACCCCCGCTGGAATGAGAAATGGGACGATAATGACCTCATGACGCGCTTTCGCCGCGCTTCCAACATGGCTGGCTCCGAGTTTTTCGACCGCGTCGACGATGCCGTGGCGGCCTGGTTCCCTGCACGCCAGCTGGTCATCGACGCTCTGGAACAGCGCAAGTCGTTCCCTGGTGCGGACGCACAGGGACGCATTGTTCTGTTCGAGGGTGCGACTGCCTGGAAGAGCCACATCTTTGACCTCGAGAAGCACCTGGGCATTCCCGAAGCCGAGCAGCCGCTGTACATCGTATACCCGGACGAGGCTGGCAAGTGGCGTGTGCAGGCCGTGCCGGTCAGTCTAGAGAGCTTCGAGAGTCGCCGAGCTCTGCCCGAGCCATGGCGCGGCATCCGCGACGAGCAGCTCTCGGAGCTCACCGGCATTCCCGGCTGCATCTTTGTGCACCAGTCTGGTTTTATTGGAGGGAACCAGACCAAGGAAGGCGCCCTGACCATGGCGACCAAGGCTCTTATGTAGTCTACTTGATATGCGCTTGCAGCCATGCCTCCATATCTGATGCGCCTCCTGACGGTGCTGACACGGACAGGTGACGATACAGGGCATCGAGGCGCCGGATAGCCGTGGCGCGGCGCTCTTCTGTTTGGGCATCGGGAGCCTCCATGACCGCCTCGCCAAATGTCTGCGCTGTCATGGGCGGCAGGCCATACACTTCATCCGTGTAGCCCTGCCGCACGAGCCAGCCCCGAAGTCGGTCCACAATCTCCTGGCCCCGCACCCTCGTGTACTGCGAGGTGGGCACCGAGCCGGCGCGCGTCGCCTGTACGTGTTGTACGCGTGCGGCGCGCTTTTCCTGGGCACCCCATACAGTCTCGAGTGCCGCCGACGGATCGCGGGCATACACGCCTTCCTCGAGCGCCGCATCGTCCGCTGGGGGCTCGAGACGCTCGGCCAGGCGGTAGGGCTGCTCAGCGTCGAGACCCGCCTGCTGCTGCGCCAAGCGCTCGTGCATCGCATATTGCTCACGAGACATGGCGAGTCCATGCGATGGAGAGGGCGGCCGCCACTCATCCTCGATGGCTACCACAGGTGGCGCAGTCCTAGGCAGGGCCTCGCTAGCCGAGGCCGCGTGCTCCTCGCTCTCGAGTGCCGCAAGAAAGTGCGCGGCGTCTTTTTGGGTATCCGGCACCGTCGGAGCGGCTGCAACAACTGGTGCCATGGGGACACTCTGCTGCCAGGCGCGCTCCATCAAGTTTTGGTCCACATATGACCAGCGTTCGAAGGCCTGAAAGTCAGCATCAGCTTGGCCGCTCGTCTCGCGCGCTGCGCGAAAGGCACTGGGCCGACTAGATGACGCATTGAACGAGCTTTCCAGGCCCTCTCGTATGCGCGAGGGTCCAGCAGAGCCGCCAACTTGCTTGCCTTGGTCCGATAGCATAGCCCGCAGCTCGTCACCCAAGCCATGACCCGAAGCTCGGTCCTTGTCGCTCATGGGGAAGGTGGAGGCCTATGAGTCGTCTATGCTAGATCGAACGTGAGCGGTCCTAGCCGCTTGGCCTTTTTCTTCTTGGGGGCGGCAGGCGCCTTGCGCTTTGCAAAGGCAGGGCGCAGCGACTGTGAAGGTTCAGGTGCATCATCCTCGTCCTCATCGTCCGACTCAAATACAGCCTTGAAGAGGTCTCTCGGTGGCCGTGCCTCTTGCAGCTCGCGCTCCCGCGCCGAAACCTGCTCCTCCGACGGCTCGGCAAACATATACTCGGAGGAGGCCTCAACCGAGTCGTTGTGAGACTGTGTGGGCAGCAGAGCGTCAGCGTCGCCGGCCGTTGCCTCGCGTGCAGGTCCGTCTGGGTGCGGATACGGTACATGCAAGCGCTTGCACAGGAGGCGCGGTGGATGAAATGGCACGACGTTACGCGTCAATGCACCGAAAGTCTCATTGCGCGCCGCTTCTTGTGCGGCTGAGCGGGCCGGCGCAGGCGCCGAGGACGTAGCTGGGGCTGTCTCGGCTGCCGCGGCGCGCAGCGCCGCAGCAGACTGTAGACCCCCCGCCACGGGCAGCGACTCTTGCACGATGGTGCTAGTAGTGAACCGAGCGGCCATATCGCCATGCACAGGACGGTGTCGAGAGGCGCTCTCGAAAAAGTCGTCGAGCTCCTGCTGTGCCTCGGCGAGTGGCAGACCAGGCGTATTAGGCGCGTACGTAGAACCCTTCTCAAAGGACCGGAGATACGTACGGTACCGGGCCTCTTTCTCAGGCTCAGCACCGGTAGGACGAAAGGCTGCTAGGGCACGCCCTGCTGTCTCGGCATCAATGCGGTGCACAGTGAGCGTGTGGACAGGCTTAGCTCCTGCGCCGAGCCGCGCCTGGGCCTTGGCCTGGAGAAACTGCGAGATGGCCGGTGGCGGCCCAGGATGCTGCGCCTCGCCGAGGATCGCTCCGCGATCGGCCGCCGAGGTGGGTCGCACAGGCTGCTTGGTTTCGGTGGGTGTCGCGTCCCATACACGCCGTGGATCCGGCTGCCAGTCGCTCGCCACGGGCGGCGCGGGCCACTGTGGCTCGGGCGGAAGCATCTCGGTAGACCGCACGAAGCCGGCAGGCAGAGGACGGCCATCGTGCCAGGTTGCCTGCGCTGTTGGCACATCTGGTACGGCAGCGCGCTCCTCGCCCAGCACGAGCGTCTCTGTATCGGGACGTGCGAGTGTCGATTCGTGGATCGACGGGGCCGTCGCATACACGTGGTCCTCGTCGTCCGAGTCAAGGCCTGTGGCGCCCACATGAGATCGCCTCTGGGCATGAAAATGCGCAAGAGTGTCCTGTAGTGCTTGAGAGCGACTTTGGCCAACAAAGCCGAGTCCCTGGCGGTCTGACCGGGGTGAGAGCGTCGGCGTTTGCGTGTCGGGTGGGGGACACTTGCGGGAACGCGCGCTTGGAGGCGCCTCGCTCGGCGTGTGGGGCGGTGCAAGGTGCAGCTGTGTAAGAAGTTGGACAATCTGTGTGCGCCGCTCGTACGTCATGAGTGGCCCGATCCCCTGCCCTGGCTTCCAGCCCATCTTCTGCAGCAGCTGCTGGCCCATGTGCACGGACGCTGAGCCGGGAGCGAGCGTGCCGGTGGGGGGCGGCGGGGCGAGCGCAGCGAGGAGCGGGTCCTCTGTCGCAGCATTGGAGGGGCCTGCGTACGCCTCGGTCATTTGGAGGGGGCGGTCCGCGCGCCATTCAGCTAGATCCTCGTCGTCCATAAAGTCTTCTGGGCGCGATGTGGGCTGCGCTTCACTGCGCGCAGAGCGTGATGAGCGGAACGATGAGGGTGTCCAGCCCTCTTTGCTGCCTACCGTGTTGAAATAGCCAGCCGACCACCCGCCTGTGAAGGCGCCGTGGAAGCGCCTGCGCCCCCGCTCGTCGTACACTTCCTGCTGCCAGATCGGCTTGAACTCGTTCTTATCGCGCTTGTGGTCGGTGAGGGACGGGAGCGGCGTGCCGTACTGCGTGAGTCTTATGCACGTACCTTGCAAAAGCTCTCGGACAGATTGACATGCTCCGGCACGCCATCGCGCTCGAGCTTGCGCCGGAGCCGGGAGGTGGCCATGCGGAGCAACGAAGGGTGGAGGTGAGGAGAATGCGACGCATTTTTGCGGCGTCGCACCATGGTGCTGTACCTGATCGGCTTGGGTCTCGCGGACGAACAGGACATTACGCTCAAGGGCCTGCGGGCCGTGCAGTCCTGCTCGAAGGTATACCTGGAGAGCTACACGAGCATCCTTCTTGTGGATGACTTTAAAGCGCGCATGGTATGCCGTTCTACTTACACCAGGAAGCCTTGTACGGCCAGCCCGTGACGCTCGCCCATCGCGAGACTGTCGAGTTGGAGGCCGACGATATCTTGCGGGGTGCCTACGAGGGCAATGTGGCGTTCCTTGTTGTCGGCGACCCGCTCTCGGCAACGACACATTCGGACCTGATCCTGCGTGCGCGCCACTACCAAGCGCCTGGCGCATCGGAGCCGACGCCGGTGAGCGTCAAGATCATCCACAATGCCAGCATCACTACGGCGCTTGGCTCTAGTGGCCTCGCAGGCTACAACTTCGGGCAGACCGTGAGCATTCCGTTCTGGACCGACGACTGGCGCCCGGACAGCTGGCTCGCGCGCATTGGCGAGAACATGAACCTTGGCTTGCACACGCTGTGCCTAAGCGACATTAAAGTGCGCGAGCAGAGTATTGAGGATATGAGCCGCGGCGTCCTCCGGTACCAGCCGCCGCGCTACATGCTCCTTCCCCAGCTTATCGCCCAGCTGCTCGCAGCTGCGCGCGAGCATCAGGTCGACTTTCTCGACCCTGAGCGCACGCTGGCCGTGGCGCTCTGCCGCATGGGCGCGGACGATTCGGCAACGCGGCGCGGCGAGCTCGTGCGTGCTGGTACGCTGGCGGACATGCTCGCGTGCACCGAGCCTGACGAGGCACAGCGCCGGCAGGACGAGCAGGACGACGAGGCGTTTGAGGAGGCGCACCCGACCGTGAGCGAAAAGGAGATGGACGCGCGCCGCGAGGCGCGTCGCGTTCAGCGCGCTATCGCATTCTGGGGCGAGCCGCTGCACTCGCTCGTGCTTGTCGGCCGCCAGCTGCACCCGATGGAAGTCGAGTACGGCCAGTCGCTCGCACTGCCCGGCAGCCGCTGGGCAGAGGTCGCGCGCGACGTGTACGGCGTACACTAGGGCGGCAGAAACTCGCCACGGCGCCACATGGCCCAGCGCGCACGCCCTAGCCATAGCGACTCGGTAGCCGCTGCGGCATCGATGACCTCACACAGCATGTCGGCAGGGCACTGCATGAGCCGCTCCTGTGTGCTCCGCTGCTCTTCGGCACGGCGCAGGCTCTTGACCGTGCCACGCAGCTGCACGTACTTGTCGTGCACCGCCTGCGCACGCGCGTGCTTCGCGCCAAACTCATGCACGAGCTGGACATGCTGTTCACGCAGCCGGTCGAGGCGGTCCTGCAGTTCGCTGAGCGTGCCATGTGCACTCCCTGCATCGCTCGCTGCGCGCACATGCTTGTCCGTGTGCTGACCGTCCCAGTAGATATGCCGGTATTGGACCGGGCCCCGCACCGGCTTGGGCGCCACGGTGAGCGCATCGAGCCGAAGACCGGCCGGGCGCGCCTCCTCGTCGCCAGCGTCCCATTCATCAGCACTGCTCAGCAGCGCATCGAGCACAGACGATCCCGGTTTCTTGTTCGTATTGGACGACGAGCCACCCGCGCGTCGGTGCAGCGGTTGCATCTGTGTGTGGGGCGACAAGTGATGGTACGAAAGCGAGGCGAGATTGCGCACAATGCGTTGCGAGAGATGCGCAGCCAACGAGTCAGCGTGCGGCCGCGACGGCATGTCAGGCCCCTCCATAGGCTGGCGGCTCAGCGATGCGAGCAGGAGCAGCGACATGGTGCGCTGCGCATACGTCGTCGAGTCCGAGTCCGGCGCGCGATTCGCCGCTTCTGCGTCTGCGCGCAGAAGCTGGCGGATACTCCGCGTACGCGTCCGCGAGAATCGCGTTGACGCATACGCCGCTCGGATCAAGTGCCGGTACAGATGATGCACAGGCACCGCACACATGCGTACAAGGCCGAGCCCATCGCGCGTCGCTCGAGGACGCACAGATCACGTGGAGGACTACGAGCTACAGCGTACCGAGCAGCGCTTCGCGCAGGCGCGTCTGGTTCGTGCGAAGTCTGTGTAAGTGTGTGTCACGTACTTGAGGTTCTCCATCTCTAGCTCGCGAATACGCGTGTCGCGTTCCGATAGTTGTGCACGTAGGTCGGCTAGCTGCTGGTCCAACTCGGCGGTCGCACCGCCGTCAGCAGGCGCTGCAGCTGTTGGCGCTGCATGTACAGCCGCGGTCACCGTCTCGGCTTGAGCGGCTTTGGATGCATCCTCGGGTGTGTCGGCCGTTGGGGCCTCGGCAGGTTCTTCGGGAGCCTTGATGGGATCCTTGGGTGCCTCAGCGGGTCCCTTGCGATCCTCGACGGGCTCCTTCAGAGTCTCGGATGTTTTGGGCGCCTCGACAGGCTCCTTTGGGGTCTCGGATGCTTTGGGCGCCTCGACAGGCTCCTTCGGGGCCTCGGATGCTTTGGGCGCCTCGACCGGCTCCTTCGGGGTCTCGGACACTTTAGGCGCCTCGACAGGCTCCTTCGGGGCCTCAGGTGCTTTGGGCGCCTCACTCGACGCTGCCATAGACAGCGGCGGCACCGCCGCGCCGGCTATGGTCCGCTTGTCCTCCATCTTGATCAGGTTCGGCGTCCTCGTCTTTTTCTCATCGAAAAACTCGGAAGCTGTCATAGCCGGCTCCATCGACGGCGCAGGCGGGAAGATATCGGCCTGGAACGATTCCGACTTGCGCGGCACATAGAACGACACAGGCTGGATCAGTGCGTTGGTCACTTTGTACACGCGCGCAATTTCATTCTCGTTCACATTCAGCGCGCGGCGCGGAAGGAAGGCCATACCACTCTGAGGCTCGATCGACTTGTACTCGGCGAGATAGTGCAGCTCGTCCGACTCCAGCTCATAGTAGCGGATATTGCCGTCGCCCTTGCCTGCCAGGAACACAATGCCGTTATCACTCCAGAACGGCATGATGATGCCATTGCTGCTGTCCAGCGACACTGTCTTGATGGGCTTGTTCAACTGCGCCGCGTCCCACAGGAACATCTGGCGCTCCGACATTTTACTGAAGCCAGTCGTGATAAGGCGCGGCTTGTCGCCACACCACACCACACGCGCACCTTTGATACCACCGTGACCATCGGTTGTCACCACACTGTCTGGCGCGCGCGTATCAAAGAGACGCAGCTTGCGGTCGCGGCACGTCGCGACGATTGCGCTACCTGTCTGGTCAAATGCCATCGACTGAATCGAGTCAGTGAAGCCGCCGAGCGTGGTGCGCGCCACCTGCTTCTCCATATCAAACAGCTTGATAGCATGGTCACCTGTAGCTGCGGCAACGACGTTGGATACCGTCGGGTGGAACTCGACATGGCCCACACGCCGCTTGCCGGCCAGGAAACTTGCCTGCGGCTTGATGTCGGTGATGGTACCAGTGTCTTTGGCGGCGTCAAGGCGCTGGACAACATCGTCCGGAGAGACACGCCACAGCGATAGATGCGCATCGTCACCACCACTGACAATGACCTCATCGTCGAACGGACTGAAAGCCGTGTCCAGCACAGCCGACGTGTGCCCACGGCAGAGGGGGTACAGATCGGGCAGCTTGCCAGGCGAAGCGAGCGGCAGCAAGGCAAACGCGCCGCCGCCCGACACGTTCCAGTTCAGCGACACGAACTTGCCGCTGGCCGACATCAGATTCGTGTCCCATGCCTGCCGTCAGTATGTCCTACTCACATTGTTCGACACCTTGACATTGTCAAACGATGCCTCTTTCTTTGCGGGATTCCCATACACATGACTGTCTGTTAGACGACATCGGCACGCACCGGTACTTGGACGACCGCACGAATCGACCACTCATCGTGTTGTTCGCGACAGCGCTCTGGGCGTGCGCCGCACCTCCGCACGGGCGCTAGCACGTGGCTCTCCACCTGCAGCGCCAACCAGCCCTGTTGGAAAATTTTCATCGGATCAGTTGAATATACACGATGCTACACTATAACTACACGTAGAAGATTGGACCTGTCCGTTGAGCACGGTCGCATATGCACAGCTAAACGCTTATGCATTCACAGCCTTGTGGTTCGACTGCGCTGCCGCGTTGGAAAGCGACTCGACCTGGCGCATGGTGGAGACAGCCAGGATCTAGCTGTTAGGAGGCACTGCACATGTACATACATGGTAGACAACAATGAGAGCCATAGCCCCACTTCCGAGAACATTGGAGATTGTAGTAAGCGTGGAGTCGGTGATCATGTTGACTAGGTGTGCTGAATTGTGGTGGCAGCGCGCTAGATTTTATCAGTCTGCCTGATGTGGCGAAAATTTTTCTCCAGGCCTAATCACGCAAGCACTCCACATGGCGCACGCCATCGATAATGCCAAGCACAGGTCGCCATCCTTGCGCCACTATCAAGTTACAGTACAGGTATCGCTACGGGTGACGCCGAATCGCAGTGCGCCTTTTCTTAGCGGCCGATGCCACCTTTCCTTTCTCCACTCGGCGTTTCTCTGCCTGCGTGTGGTTCCACTCGCGCTGTTTCCGGCGCTCTTTTTCACGCTCAGCCTTGCTCAAATAGTACTGCTTCTTAGGCTTGCCACTCGTCTCCGACTGGTCCAGCACCTCAAACATTGTCTCTCCCTGCGCGGCCTGGGCCACGGCCGGCTCAAGGATCGCCGTGAGACTCCCTGATGGCACGGCAGGCGCCTGGGCACGCGGTGCTTTCGTCTTTTTGGCCGGAGGCGCGTCCTGCTTCTTGGACACGCGGCGCAACGATGGTGGCAGCGACTCCACAGCGACGGGCGGGGCATCCAGGTCGTCTAAATTGAGCTCCTGGACCGTGACGTGGGCCCGCCGCTCGTCCGTCTCGAAATCCCTCTCTTCGTACGTAGGCTGCTCTTCATCGTCCTCGTCCTCGTCACCCAGTCCAAAGGCGAGGCGCTCCGCGCGCACATTTTCTTCCGCCTGGCGGCGGCGGGCCTCAGCTGCAGCTAGACGCGAGTTGCGGATCTCCTCGCGGATCTTCTTCTGCACGAACTCATGCGCGGCTTGCTTGCGCTGCTGCTTGCGCTTGCTAAAGCCCGTCAAAAAGTCTCGGCGCGCATCCTCATCGAACGAGAGTGTCTCGCGTTTTCCCCTACGCGCTCTGACTCCGCCCTTCGGACCATTCGCCGTTCGTAATGCACTTCTCTTGGATCCTTTCTGCGCCGACTCTGTGAGGGCCTGCAGCGGCGGCACAGCGCTCATGGCCGAGGCGGTGGAACAAATGGATCGGGGTCATCGGGCTCTCCACCGTGTCGTCCGCCGCCATGCGCCCCGGTCAGGGATCGACGGGCCCGGCCAAGCCGCGCAACCAGGTGCCATCCTCGGCGCTGGGCCGCAGTCTCGTTGGCCAGGCACAGGTGCGTGATCGAAGCGGGCGTATATCTGAGTACTCGGTGCGTACAGCCTCGGCTTATGCCAGTCGTCCGACGACAAATGCCCGATCTGCAAGACAGACCGGTACCTCTCTCCTAGGCTACGCCTGATGGTGAGCCCGTGCTACCACAAGATGTGCGAGTCGTGTATTGACCGACTTTTCTCGCTCGGCCCAGCCGCGTGTCCGGTGTGTGGCCAAATCGTGCGCAAGCAGCAATTCAGTGCGCAGATCTTTGAAGATTTGAGCGTTGAGGAAGAGGTCAACGTGCGCAAGCGCGTAGCCAAACTCTTTACACGCAAAGCTGAGGACTTTCCGAGCCTGCGCGCGTACAATGACTACTTGGAAGAGTTCGAAGAGCTGAGTACGTTCGTCTACTCACGCAGCGTTCAACCTCGTGCACAAGATCGACATGGAGCATACGCAGGCGCGTCTCGCACAGTACGAGGCACTGCATCGCTCAGCGATTGCTCAGCAGCAGCAGCAGCATGAGCAGGACTCGCTGCGCCAGGCTCAGCTGGACGACGCGGAGCGCCAGGAGCGCATGCTTCGCGCGCAAAAGGTGCGCGAAGAGCAGGAGCGTGAGGCCGCGGAGCGTGACGCGGAGGAGCGCGAAATGGTGCGCGAGCTCGAGCAGGGCCGCAACATTGATGACGTACTGGCCGAGCGCGAGCGCAAGCGCGAGGAACGGGCCCTCGCGTCGCAGCGCCGCGAGCAAGAAGAGCAGCGGCGACAGCAGCAGTTTGAGGCGCGCCTGCGCGCGGCGCCTGCCGCACAGCGCACCAAGCTGAGCGCCGCCGAGACAGAATATATCCGTGCCGTGGCGCAATCTGACTTTTCGGGTCCGTTCGCGACGCTCCATGACGGCTCGGACCTCGCGCAGGCGCGGGCGGCGCCCGCGTCGCTGGGCGGACTCGGCACAGGTGATGGCTATGTGGATCCGTGGCTCAAGCCTGAGTGGGCCTCGCGCACCGCGGCGGCGCAGTACCGTGCGGGCGGCTATGACTGGCAGCACCAGGTGTGGCAGCGGGGGCTCAACGCCGTGTGCAATGGCCTGACACTTTCTCCCTTGTAGTATATCCTGCACTACGTAGCGGGCGGCGCCCGGAGACGATCCCACATTTCCTTTTTGCAAGCCATAGCCAGCACCATGACGGCCGGCAGATGAAACAGGCTGAGCCAGAAGCAGCGGCGCGCAGAGCCTTCACTCGGTCGGTACCAGAAGCGCCCAGCGTACAGCGCAAAGAGCACATTGGGCACGAGGCTCAGCAGCGCATACGGCCACGGCTCAACAGTGCCTGTGAGTGGCAGGGCCACCGAGCACAGCGGGATCAGGGCCAGGGCATAGCGGAACGCCACGCGGCGATTCAGCGCCGGGTTCGTCACGGCCATCATGCGGAAGCCGCCGCGCGCATATTCGTTGCCCATGGCGTGCGAGAGCGCATTGAAATGCGGAAACTGCCATGCGAAGAGAATACCTCCCAGGATCCAGCCGCACGCATCCGTGGCATGGTGCAGCGTGCCGGTACAGGTGGCCCAGCCCATGAGCGGCGGTAGCGCACCGACCACAGCGCCTATCCATGTATTGGCGATGGTGTGCCGCTTCATCGGCGTGTACATAAATGCATAGAGCGCAATATTGAGGGCGCCTAGCGCGGCGGTAAGGGGGTTCGTGAGCGCAGCGAGGAGAGTGACGCCGCTCACAGCGCTCGCTGTCGCTACGCCGAAGGCATGGGCCGGGGATAGCGCGCGCCTCGGGAGCGGCCGCGCCTTGGTGCGCGCCATCTGCGCGTCATATGGAGCCTCGACAATCTGGTTGAGGGCGTTTGCAGCGGTCGAGCACAGCGTGATGCCTCCCGCCAAGGCGAGCAGCTGGACGACAGGCGGCAAAGCCGTGGGAGCCGCGAGCGCGGCGGGGCACAGCGAGTACCCCATCATACCCGAGAGCACGACCAGGAACGTGAGCCGCGACTTGGACAGCTGCCGGTACACGCGGAGGAGGCGAGACGGCGTCATCGGCTTGACCGGCACATACCCGGGCGGCGCGCCGTGGCTGGGCGCAGGCGCAGGCTCATGCGGCAGCACTTGCACATACATCGGATCATCTGTCGCAGGGACGTACTTGCCCACGATACTCTGGGCAGTGGGCAAGAGCGCCTTGTTCGTAGGCGTGAAGAACTCGGGGCGCAGCGGCATATCGGCCATGCGCTGGGGCTGCTGTGGCACCGACTGACTCGGGCGCGCGCTATGTTGAACTGTGCGCACAAGCGCTAGCATGCTGCCGCCATGAGCACCTCGCAGCGCCGTAGCGCGCGCGGCCTCACAGCCGACTCGCACGGGCAGCCTCAGCATGGCGTCGTGCGCGAATCGAGCGCGGCGGCCGCGAGGGGCCACATATCACGTGCGAGGTACGCTATGTTGAGGCAGGAGCGGGCGGCGCAGGCGCCGCGCGAGCGACTGGCGCGCCGTGCCGCACCCACGCTACTTCCTCGGGCGTCGCGCGCGCTAGCACGCTTCTAGGCCCTTTGCCGCCGTACATGGCATGCGGTGAGAGACGTGCGCGCACCTGCTTCGGCGGGGCAGTGTCCTTTGGCAGGGGCGAGTGTAGGCCCTGCGCAACGGCCGCGAGCGCTGAGGCAGGCCGCGCGCCGATCACCGTTTGCAGGTCCGGCTCCTTGCCCTTCCACTCCAGTAGAGGCGCCTGTGCAAGGAGGCGCTGCCATTCTCGGCGCCGTGCGCGCGTACGGTGCATATAGTCGATGGGCTTTTCGCGCACACTGCGCTGGTACTGCGCGCCGCGTGTGCGGACGAGGTGGGCGACGTGGGCCTGCGCGGACGCCAGGTACGCTGGCGCTGATGCGCTAGGCGCATCTGCCTCGGCACGCCGCGATTTGCGCGCGCGCCGCGGCTTGGTCGCCCCGCGTGACTTGGCGTGCGCCTCAGCCTGGAGAAACAGGCGCGATGCGTGCTGGTTCCACTCCATGATCTGAGCGCGCAGGCCGCGCTCCACGGACGGCGAGGGCGGCACGAGCGCGACGCCTATAGGCGCATGTAGCTTGGCCCACTGCGCCTGCAGCCAGCGCCAGTGAGCATTGGCCGTGCGCCGGCGACTGACCGTGTGCCCAGGGATCTTGGCGGCCGACTCGCGCGCTATAGCCAGCTTCGGCGGGCACGCGAGTGCGCTTGGACGCGGCGCCTGCTGGCCCCGGTACGCGGCTGGGTCCAGGAGCCATGCGCGCAGCACGGGCGAAATCACAGGGAGCCGAAGCCGCTTGGGGTATCGCGCATTGTCGCCGACCGGCGGCGACGGGTGGGGCGGCGCCATGGGCTGCAGGTGCTGGTGCCACAGGGGCCCGCGGCGCGCATACGCCTGCTCGAGAGCGCGGCGCACAGCCGTGGGCCATCCCGCGTTGGCCCACGCCAGCTGATCGATGCGGCGCTCGCACTGTGCGTGCCGTCGCGCCGTGTGAGGCGAGCGAGTATCGAACCGCAACTGGTCCACGGCCCGCCGTGCCAGGTACGAATGGGCCTCGTAGAGGTACGGATCACGCCACTGGTAGGCGAGCCAGCGCGCCTGCTGCCGCCATGCGCGGTACAGCGCCGGCAGTTGGCCGTGGAGCATGAGGCAGAATGCACGTGAGCTACGGAGCCTGCAGAGTGGCAAAGGCGGCATCGTCCCACGACACAAAGGTGCCGTCAGCGCCGGGGCAGTTGCCCGTGTCTAGCTGTGGCGAGGTGCGCGAGCCCAGCACAGAGAGGGCCGCGAGCACATGCGCCGGCTTGCGGGCCGGGAGGAGCTTGCCCTCCTTGTACAGGGTCAGGAACTTGGCCTGCGCCTCGGCGGGCATCTGGTCTGAGGCGCGGATCTGGCTCTGCATGTCCGTGTCCACGACGCCGGGGCGCACTGAGAAGCACGCGATATCACGCTCCTCGTTCGCGAGCGTGCGCGCATACGCATTCATAGCAGCTTTCGATGCACTGGGTCAGCCACAATTACGTACTTGTACGAGGGCCATGCGGCGTAGTTGCCGACGGCCGCCCCGCTGCTCACAAACACGACGGTGCCGCGCTGCTTGCGCAGCTCAGGCAGGCACACGCGCACGGTTACCGCGAGCGATACCGTGTTGACATTCAGCACATGCAAGAAGCGGTCCGCCGTCTGTGTGAGTGGCGCGCACGTACCAGGTTCGCGCATGAGACGAGATCTGCGATTCCCGCATTGAGCACAAGAGCATCGAGGCGGCCCCAGCGCTCGAGAGCAGCATCGCGTGCCTTCACCGTGTCTGTCTCATCCGTCACATCGCCCTGCACGATGACGAGGTCGGACGGGTGCTCTTGTGCGAGCGCCTCCAACTCGGCGGGAATGGAGCGCGAGAGTGACACAACGCGGCTCGCTGGGATCACCTCGGTGCCCGTAAGCAGGCACCTTACGACTTCCAGGCCAATACCGCGGCTGCCGCCCGTCACAAGCACACACTTCTTTGCTACGTCGGCGTCCATGGTGGTAGTGGAGAAGCCGCGCTGGCCTACGGAGTCGGCGGGGTCGGCGCCGGCCGCCACCGGCCTGCGTCGTGCATAGGCGTCGATGGTATGCTGTCTACATTGTGGGTGGCATCCAACGCTTTGGGGGGCGCGACAGGGTGCAGCGGAAGTGGCGCCGAGATAGGGGGCTTCGACTCCCGCATCGGCGTCGAGAGCGGCGTATGTAGAAGCGCAGTCCACGCGCGTTCCAGCCACGCGGCCCGCTTAGAGGCCTTGGCCTTGTCCTGGGGCATCATCTCTGCACTCTCCGCCGTGAGGCGGCGGCGCTCGAGCCACGATGTGGCGAGGAGCAGGCATGCTGCCACACATATCGCGCTGAACACGGTGCCCGCATCCAGCTCCCACACTAGAGGCGCAGGCTGCGACCCCCGCGGCACGCGCGCAAGTAGTTGGGGCCCTAAAGTGCGATCCGCATTGGCCGCACGAAAGGCGTCGATGGTATGCGACACCTGCACGCGCATCGCGATCATAATGAGCAGTAGAGCGCCTGCCGCGCCGTCTTGTACATGCGTTGCCATGCGCACCAGTAGCAGTGTGCCTCGCTCCGTGGGCGGTGCATCGGCAGGCACCGTGCACTGTCGGAGCACGCGACGCACCTGCACGACGCTCGTGCCGAGGATTAACAGGAGGGCCACGAGCACGAGCGCCGGCTGCGACGTGAGGCCCGTGGGCAATGGTGCTGTGTCTGTGTTCATGCCGGGCTCGGCGGTGAGCCATGTCGTGTTGTAGGTGGGCCTCAGGCGCGATGGAGTGCAGTGGATTGTGTGGTGCGCATCAATGTAGCAGGAGCCAAGAAGGCCTGTAGCATAGCGCACAAATGTGGTGGAGAGAGCCTGTGCAGGGGCATAGGATGCATTCCGCCGCTGCAGTGTGGCCGGCGCACTCGCGGGGGCCACGTCGCCGTCGGTGGCCGTGTAGGCCATAGGGAGTGACGCTGGCGTGCTAGGCGCAGGTGTCGATGCAGACGACAGCGCGGGAGTCTGCGTCGTTGCAAGCGTCAGACTGAGCGGCGTGGATAGTGGCGCTGCACTCGACGAGGCGGCCGGCTCTGGCGCCGGAACGGGCATCATATACAGCAGCGAGAGACTCGACCCGTGAAACGGAACGGGGCTCACGAGCGCAAATACAATTAGGAATACAGCCAGCAGGTGCAGCAAAGGTGGAACAACGAGGCGAAAGAACATAGGGGCGCCATGGCCGCGGCGAGCGCCCTTATACGGCGCTGCGAACAAGGAACATTGTTGCGGCGACAAAGTTCGCACGGGCCAGCGCGACGCTCGTTCCCGCTCCACTCTCATCACAATGTCGTGGCTCGGCCGTCGCCCTCTCCTGTGGCGCTCTGCTCTTTCGAGTGTGTCCCCCCTGCGCACGCCTGTGCCTGCGCGTACTTTTACGTCGCGTGTAGGCACTGACAAGCCCAAGGGTGTGCGTACGCTCTCGACGACAGCGTCGCTTGGCTTTTCGTTGCTGGGCCTCTTCTCGGCCCGCAGTGTGTCGGACGTGCTCGGCACGAGCGAGAGCTCTTCGATCGTGCGCGAAGCCTCGCCGGCAGCGATGACGAAGCAGCCGTACACCCTTGTGTTTGTCAGCTCGACCGAGTGGGGTGTGCCCCGTGACAAGTGCGTGTGTCGTACTCACAGCAGGTGGCAGTCGTGGATTCTGTACTTCCGCGAGCAGGGCTACGACTGCATCGACCTGAAGGTCGAGTGCCCTAACAAGCGTCCTGAGGACAAGACACCGCAGGACCTGCTTGCTGCCCGTACGTGGCTCCCGCTGACACAGAAATTTCCGAGCAGGTGCGCCTAAGCTCGCTCCAGCGCCAGCCGGTGCTGTTCCTGCGTGGCAGCGCTGACACGGTGGTGCCGTCGTACCTCGGCCACGGCGGCCTCTTTACGAGCACGCGCGGTCCCATGTCGGGCCTCGTCCTCCTACACCCCACGTCCAAGGAGGCGCTCCAGCAGGGCGACTGGCCCTCTGGCACGCCTGTGCTTGTCGTGCCGGAAGGCTCAGACACGTCGGCCTGGGAGGGCGTTGTGCCTGCGCGCCGTACGACGGTGCTCGGCGATGCGTGGCATGAAAAAGAAGGCCTGATCAAGGAAGTCGAGAACTGGCTGCGCTACCAGGGCCTGTAGGTTTGCACTATGGGCGCACTGGATGCCGCTGCGTATTTAGACGGTACACAACGCCCTGCGGTGAGACGTGCCGTACATACATGATTCGATACACGGACCACATGATTCGCAGCCAGCAACGCAATGAGCGCCTTGTTGACCTTGCCGAGCGGCCGATCAGGTGCCTGGGCCAATTCGGCGGCTGCGTCAATAGCACACACGTACCTCGAACGCCTGCCTCGCCGGCTGCGAGGAGGGCCAGGATAATGTGCTGCACTAGGAGGCGCTGCTTCTTTGGTCAGTCAGCGCTACGCACGGGATCGCCCTGGCGGTACTCGAGGGGCATGGTATCGATAATATCGTCGGCAAAGGTCTGCGTAAGCCAACAATACATACGGTCCGGCGCTTGAGCACGGCAGGCGGTACTCGCTGCCGCACCGGTGGTGCAGTCGTACTAGATTTGTTGCGTGGCGCCTGGGTGCGGGATGAGGATAGGCTCGAGGCTGGCGGCGCCCGTGGCGCCCGCTCTGTCGCAGGGCGCGCGGCGGGCCGGCGGGGGCCGCGACTGGTACGGGCGCCTGTGTCCGGCGACACTCGTGCGCGGGGCTCATCAGCATCCATCTCCGTCACATAAGTTTCGTCCGCTGCGAGCTCGTTCGGCGCCGTCGAGGACCGCGGGGTGCGCGCGCGCTGCGCGGGGCCGGCGGGGCGCGCCGCCCACGCCTGGAGATGCGCGTCGGTCGGGGCCTGTGTCAGCGGTGTGCACGCACCTCGGGCCACTCTACACAGAATGCATTCATCTTGATGCCGTAGAGGAACGCGGCGAAGCTTTCGTTAAAGGTGCTCAGAGACTGGTGGATGTCGGCCATGTCGGCCAGGTTCGCATGGAGCGCGGCTGTCTCCTCGGCCAGGATCGGTAGTGCTTCATCCTCGAGGAACGTGAGCGGAGTTACTGTGGGTCTCTGTGAACGCCCCGCATGCGACGAAAGCGTGCTGCCTGACAGCACGCGGATCGGCGTCGACGTGCGGCGCGGCGTTGTCGTCGCCATGCCGGCGTAGGGCAGCGCGGCGCCACGCGTGTTGATCTCCGCTTAGTCAGCTACTTGCACGCGACGCGGCGGCGGCAGGCCACGGGGCTTCTTCACTGACCATGTCCAGCTATATCTACTTCCGCGGTACGTGTGTGCGACTTATGTCAGTCACTGGCTCTGTTCAGGGTGTCATGTTCCGAAAGAGCACGCTTCAGCAGGCCCATAATCTGGACCTGCGTGGCTGGGTGCGCAACGAGCCTGACGGCACGGTGTCGGGTGAGGCGGCAGGCGCGACGGAGCATGTACAGCGGCTGTAGGTGGATGCGGCTGACCGCAGACGCGACTATTTGCACATGGGTCCGCGAGATGCGCGTGTGGACAACGTGGATGTCATGTTTATCAAGCACCACGACATCTCGCAATCGACGCTCCCTTATCCATTTGAAATTCGTGCATGATGACTGTAGCTACGATGTGTTCCTATCTTGTTCGCGCGTGAGTGCTTCGAGCTCTAGAGTGCCTTTTTTGACGCGCTGGCGGTACTCATGCGAGGCGCGGCGCCGCGGGCGACGGCGCAGCGACGGCGCATTGTCGGACGATGACGCCGCGGTCTCGGCGTCCGAGGCGCGCTGGTTGTACACGCCAATGGCCTCCTCGTAGTCAGGACCTAGATCGCCGCTCACCTCATCGCGGTGTGCGCCCCACTTGTCCTTGTTGCGCGCCGTGCGCCACCCAAAGAGCCACTCGTCGACGAGGTTCATCGGGTGTGACAGCGAGTGTCCGCCTGACGAGTACATCGTGCTGCCATGCTTCATCAGCTGGTCGAGCTCCTCGGGGCGCGGGGGCGCCTGTGCTGTGTAGGAGCCACGCGCAATATCGCTGTAATTCCAGCCCTCAGGCTCCAGCTCCGCAATCGTGGAGAAGAGCTGCGAGGTCAAGTTGACGCGCTCCTGCTGAATGCGCTCAATCACGCGGCGGCGGCCTGGCAGCAGCGACGCGATGAGCGGCGGCAGCGACTTGTACACGTCCATGCCGACTTCGCTGATCTTGATCGCGCTGTAGCTGAGCATCGGCAGACCCAACATCACATACAGGGGCATCAGGCGCTTGTGCAAGAGCGGCAGGCGCGCGCGGTACGCCCAGTAGGTCGCAAGGGCTGCGTAGGTAGAGTAGAGCACGGGCGTGACGCCGAGCGACACGAGCACCTTCCATGTCGCGAGCACATCGCGGCCATACAGTTTCACCTGGGATGCCGCGAGGGCCTCCTTGGCCTTGCGGTGGCTCACCACCTTGGCCAGGATGATCACGGGCGCATTCAGCACCGTGCCCGGGAGCGCACATCCGCCCCAGAAGCACAGCAGGCCTAGGCGATAGAGCAGCAGCGCCAAGCTGCGAAGAATAGAGCGGTTCGCGCGCTCGACCTGGTGGTCGCGAATGCCCACTTGCTTGAGGTGCTTGTTGTAGGTGACAACGGCCTCGCGCAGCGCCACGACCTTGGGATGGTCCTTGAACTGCATGTAGCCCATGATCAGCTTGCGGTTCTGCTCCACCTTGTCGGCCAGGCTCAGGTGCTGGCCGGGCAGCGACATGAGGCGGCGGCTAGCCTGGATCATCATCAGGGTGTCATAGTCGGGCGCGCGCACCGTGACGCTCTTGAGTCCATCGAACACAATGTCCAGCATGCTCGCAACCGCCTCACGCTTCTCGTTACCGCCTTTCTTAAACAGGTCCACAAGGTCTGGCGGCACGTTCAGCGGCACGCCAAACTCGATCACGGCGCGTGACCGGAACTTGTGCGGATGGAAATACGACAAACCCACAGGCACAATCTGCACGTTCAGACTCGGGTCATTGGCCATCGCACCGAGCGCCATGATCACGACACCCGCCTTGAGCGGCAGCAGGTCGGTGCGGTCGTGACTGCCACCTTCGGGAAAAATACACAGGCAGCCCCCCTTCGACAGCTGCTGGTATACACTCGTGTACATCTCACTCTGGTTGACGTGGGGGAAGCACTTGTACTGCGAGCCTGTGGTACCACACGCGGGTATCTTGCCCTGCAGTGCCTCGAGCGCCGCTGCATCTGTGAATGGCTTCATGAGGCGCACCTCGGTGTCGCTCAAAACCTCGGCCACATGGACCGACGCATACTCGGTTTCTTTCGGCAGCACGATTTGGCCGTATACTTCCAGTTGCTTCGTGAAATGGGTGTCGATACCCTGCAGCATGTATGGGTCACCGGACGGATGCACAGTCACACAGCCCTCGCCCTCCTTGGCTTCGTCCGCGGCTCGATGCACCGGGATCGACTGCAGCATGCGGGAAAGACGACCAACAAACGGACGTTTCGTACTTTTATGCGCAATAAGGAACGACACGCGGCGCCCGACCTTGCGTACCTCTGAAGCCACCATCACGGGATCCAGGAACTGGTTGTGGTGCGGAGCACAGACAAAGATAAGGGGGCCCTTGGAGGGAATATGCCACGACGAGCGTGGCTGGACCTCTCGAAGAAAGATCATTAGAATTGAGCGAAGAATGGTGAGTGAGGTATCGTAGAGAATATCGGTCGCCAGGAAGCGACCGCGGTGTAAAACACGCGCCATGTACCTGACCAGCACCTTGGGCAGGACACCGTTCAGCGGGATAGGCAGCGAGGAGAGCATCTGCATCAAGTCGGCCTCGACATACTGCAAGGTCCGCTTCAACGCCGACTCCCCTCTTGGCGCCGACACCTCCGTTTCCTTGGAGGTAGCGACCGCTTCTGTCGCTGTTCCGGGCACTGGCACTGGCTGCGTGGCCTCTTGGCGTACTGTGGCCACGGGCGCACGAACTCTCGCCTCTTCAGACACAGGTGGATGCATGGGGGCCGGCTCCGATGTCGACGTGGGATCGAGACTCTCGTCCCTCATGCCGCTCGTATAGGAAGGGCCTAGTGGTCCGATCTGGTTGGGGTCGCAGGCCTGCGTGCCTTTGCCACGTGCACCCTCCACGGTGTACCCTGCATGGTACTCGCGCTTGACCGGCTGTCGGACGCGCAGCGCACGGCCGTGACGTGGGATGCGGCGGAGCCGCTACAGATCCTGGCCGGCCCAGGCTCTGGCAAGACACGTGTGCTTACGACGCGCGTCGCTTGGCTCGTACTGGGCGACGAGCACCGTGCGCCCCTCGATCCGTCGCGATGCGTCGTGGTCACATTTACGAACAAGGCAGCGAACGAGATGCGAGAGCGCCTGATTGCGCTCATTGGCGCAGAAAGGACGCAGAAACTGATTCTCGGGACGTTCCATGCGACATGTGCCCGCTTTCTGCGGCGCTGGGGCCGAAAGATTGGCGTGGATGCCAACTTTACTATCGCTGATGTGGACGACGTGTACGTGTGCGCCACTCACGCAGGAAACGCATGATCAAGGAAACGATTGAGTCACATGAAGCGGCATGGGCCGCCGAGGATATCACGCTCAAGCCTGAGCATGTCCTCTCGCAGATCTCGCATGCCAAAGCCCGCTGTCAATCGCCCGTCGAATTCCGCACGCGACACAAGTGCCCGCCCGGTTCCGCATCGGCTCACGCGCATGGCGCTGTGGCGCAGGTATACGAGGAGTACCAGCAGCAGCTGCGCGCAAGCAACGCGCTCGACTTTGATGACTTGCTCATGCTGGGCGCCCAGCTCTTCCGCGAGCACCCCGCTCTAGCAGACCACATTGATCATGGTACGTCGGTCCGCCTCACACAGTCTTGGTCGACGAGTTCCAAGACACCAATGCCGTACAGTACGAGCTTATGCGGCTCATGGCGGCCAGCTCGCGCTGCGTGAGTGTGGTGGGCGATCCGGACCAGAGCATCTACAGTACGTGGATCGTCTAACACAGGCTGGCGCAATGCGGAAGTCGGCAACCTCGACAACATGTCACGCGACTTTCCCCGCGTACATCGCGTACTCTTGGAAGAGAACTACCGGAGCACTAAGAGTATTCTGCAGGCGGCCGTGCAGGTGATGCGGCAAGATACACAGCGGATCGACAAGGATCTATTTACTGCGCATGCCCAAGGCCCCCCTGTCACGGTCCGAGCGTGTGCAGATGCGGACGAGGAGGCAGACTTTCTTGCGCATGAGATTGCGCGGCAGGTGCAGTGCGGCCAGGGGCTGCTGACTTACGCGGACGTGTGCATCCTGCTGCGTTTCAATGCGCTCAGTCGTACGATGGAAGGGGCACTGCAACGCTTGGGCATCCCCTACCGCATCATGGGCGGCATGCGCTTCTTTGACCGCGCTGAGATCAAGGATCTGCTCGCTTATCTTCTGGTCGTGGACAACCCGCAGTACTCGCCAGGAGTCGTGCGCATAATCAACGTGCCCCGCCGCGGGATCGGTGCAAAGGGGATCCAGTCACTCCTCCGCATGGCTGAAGCGGACCAGATGCCATTGCTGCCTTGGCTCGAGCGCGCCGCGCGCACGCCTCCGGCAGGTCTACGACCTGCGACACTCCAGGCTGTGCAGTCGTTTGTGCACTGTATCGAGCAGGTGCGCCATGCAGCCGAGCAGGGCATGCCTACCGCTGAGCTGCTGCAGCTGCTCCTTCGCGAGGTCCAGTACGAGGAGCACCTGCGTCGTGACGATGACTTTGAGTCGCGCTGGGAGAACGTGCAGGAACTCATTAACTTTGCCTCGAGTGCCGAAGCTACGGCACAAGGTGCCGCCGCAGACACGTCTCCGCTCCGTGCATTCCTCGAGTCCAGCTCGTTGGCCAGCGAGGCGACGGGCGCCGAGACTGCTGCCCACAAGGTGACTATCAGCACGTGCCATGCCGCCAAAGGCCTCGAGTGGCCCATTGTGTTTCTGCCAGCGAGTGAAGATGGTACCTATCCGTTCTACCGATGCACTACACCCGAGCAAATCCGCGAGGAACGCCGCCTGTATTATGTGGCCATGACGCGCGCTCAGACGCAGCTGTACCTGACGTACGCTGACCGTCGGCGCGTGGCTGGGGAGTGGGGCTCGCGGACCCTGTCGCCGTTCCTAGCACCGCTGCTGCCCAAGGAGCGGGGCGGCACGCTGCCGCGGGGGGCACCGCCCAAGGTGCCGTGGAGCTTTGACGTACCGGTACTACACCACGAGGGCCTAGCGTCCGTTGCGGCGGTGCTGGGCCGCCCTCCGCTCACAGAGGCCGCTGTAGCTGTACAGTGCCATGCCTTGTACGTCCACATACTAACCCAGCGCTCAATCGCCACTTGCTCGGCGCTTCCATGCACCGACGAAAAAACGCACCGCGCCCAGCGAGACCACCGAGGTGCCTCGACCCAACAGCGGCTTTGTCTCGGCACTCAACTCGCTGGGGGCATCGTCACTGGGGTCCTCGGTTCGCACTGACGGCACTGTGCGTGCTGCCGCCGTGCGTCCTGGCATGCTGGGTACCCGGCCTCGCACGCTGGGTCTGGCCCGACCGCGGCTGGGTGCGCTCCCTCGAGCGCCGCGAAAAGGCCCATAACATATAGTACATTAGACGCCCAAATAGCGCTTCATGCCCGACCACACCGCAAAGCTGATCGCGGTCATGGGAACGACTTTCAAGTACCCGATACCCAAGCCAATGTAGAAGCCGGAAAGGCCGTTGGTTTTGTAGATCCATGCGGCTGTCTCGCTGAAGCGCATCAGGCGCTCAGGATGCAGGATGCCGCCGACCTGCAATCGGCGGCGAACGACCTCAAAGGGATATGATGCGGTCTGCGAAATGGCACCAGCCAGTGCGCCGGATGCCAGGTCCACCGTCGTTCGGCTAACAGGCACAGGCGGTGGCTCCGACGATAGCGGGTGTCCGTGCGCATCCTGGTTAAGCAGAAGTCGGTACATGAACGATTTGGTGCGCCCAAACACGAGGAAGGACGTGCCTGCATACGGAACCATGCCCATCAGAGTAGCGACAAAGCCTCGGTAAAATTTGAGCAGAGGGAAGCGGTTGAGCAAGAGGTCTCGAGGCGGCGTACCGTCGGTCGATACCTTGATACCCTCGTGGTATATTTTGCGCACAATGTGGTACAAGCTGCCTGGCTGGGGCTTGCTCTTGGTATCAAAGGCCAAGCGGACTCGCACAAGATCCAATGGGTACGTGAGAAAGACACTCAGGACGCCAGACATGGAGCCCGCAAGGAAAAGCCGCACGCTCGTCTCGTCTTTGGGCGTCGGCATCAAAGTCATGTGCAAAAAGTCGTATGCCATGTACTTGGCCGTCGCATAGGGAAAGATACGAAGGAGCGTTGCGCTGTGCCCCTGAAAGAGGCCCATAATCCCCTGCTGCTGCACAATATGGCGGCCAGCCTGCAGAAAGCCAAGCCACCGACCGCTATACTTTTGGTATTCAGGGTTGCTGGCTTGGAACAGGATCTTGACGCGATCCAGTGGCGCGATCGCTGTTTTGGCCTGCTTGTCAGTACTCATCCCACGTACAGCGCATCCAGCAATGCCACCTGCCAATCCACTGCGGATAACATAGTCCCAATTCTTTTTCTGCGGCGCACTTGTTTTGTCCCTTTTCATCAGCACAATAGAGCCTCAGCCTTGCGCCTGCAGCCAAGGGTCCAGTGCGGGGTGAAATAACCGGGCAGCCTTGCACCGGCAGCCTTGTCAGCAGGACTCCGGCTCGACCACGTGGCCAGTTCTCTCGACGCGCGAAACTCCACCCCTACGCGTCGCGGTCGGGCATGGGGTGTGGCATATGCCTAGAGGCGTACACCGCCGATGAGCGTCCCGCCGCCCTGCCTTGTGGGCACATATTTCATGCAAATTGTGTGCATGACTGGCTTAACAGCCGCAGTCATGGTGCGCTTCCTGCAGGGTGCCCTCTCTGCAAAGCTACGGCGTCGCCCTCGTCGATCTTGCCCTTGTGGCCTGGCGATGCAGACGACTTTCACCAGTATGTCGCCGTGCATAGCCAGTCCAACGACGAAAGCCATCAGCTACTCATGTCTGTGCGCGATCTCGTTTTTGCTATTCAGTCGTATGCGATGGCCGCACACGGCTTGCGCAGCGCCGCCATGGCACGCGCAGCGAGCACTGTGCAGGTCGCTCTGCAACGAGGCGCCATCCGGGATGCGCATGCCGCTTCCAGTCTTCAGGATGCACTGGCAGCGCTCCATCGTGCTGTTGCCCAGGCGGAGCACCTGTCCCGCCATCTCTCCACTGCGCACACGTCGCTGGCGGAGCGCGCACGACGCTTGCATGCACAGGAAGTTCGCGGCAGGGAGGATCGCATTGCTTTGGACGCAGCAAAGCGGAAGTTTCACAAAGAGCGCATTCTCTGGAAGCAGAAACAGAAGCAGGTCCTCGCTGCGCAGGCGGAGGTCGAGGCTCATGCGACCTCGATGCGCGAGCGCGAAAATGCGCTGCAAACAGAGAAAAGTACCTACATGGCGCGTGCGCAAGAAAGCATTGCACAGGCAAAAAGCGCCAGTGCAGAAGCTATCCGACGGGCAGCACTGGCTGAGCAAGCAGCACAGCAGCAAGTAGCCCAGGCCGAGGAGCAAATGCACCGCGCTGAAGAGCGTGCCGCTGATGTCGCAGAAGCCCTGGAGGAAACTCGCGCTCGGAATCAGCGCCTTGCGGACCAGATGCGTGATATGCAGCGCGCGCATGCTGAGAGTCGCGCCAAGCGCAAGGCCGACAAGGCGCGTCTGGAAGAATTACACGACCAGCTTCGTGCGATGGAGCGCGCTGCTCCTGATACCCACCGAGCGCCCCTTGCCGAGTGCCCACAGCCCAGCGACCTGTCTAGCAGTCCGGTTCGGGAGACGCCTAGCACAAAGTGCGCTGCGCAGCTACTAGACGATTTGGACGATGCACAGTATCCGATGCCGGGCGCTCATCTAGCCCTTTCTACCAAACCCAAGGCGCCCATCCAGCGCACGTTGGATGTATGGAATCCAGGAAAGACCGTCGCACTAGGGCCGCGCAGGCGCGTGCGCTAATGTGTGTGCCCTTTGCGCGCCATGCGAAGACATGCATTCTCGAGCCAGGTCTGCGGAGATTCGCGCGACACCTGTAGAGCCATCGACGTGAGATTCGGGCATGCCATGCCCATGACAGCCGGCGAGCCCGTGGGCATCGCTTGCGTGACATGCACATCGGCCGCACGAAGCCATCGGGTCCCTTTACATTGCACGAAGTCTTCTGGCTCTCTTACACCCTGTACGACTAAGACGATTTTGAGGGGCCGGAGTGTGTCATCCAGCGAGGATCGTGGGGGCGTTGCTTGCTTATCCAAGATACGTCTCGAGAGCCAAGCGGCCGTAGAAACAGGTGGGTGCTGGTTGAACGCGAGGATGCGCTGCGTACATGGCACATTTCCGCTAAGCCTCTCGGAGCATGGCTCCATGGTGGTGTATAGAGCCAAGTAGAGCGGCGATCGTTTCCGTGCCTCCGAAAGCTTCTGTGCCGAGATAGCTTCCGGCCTCTTGGCACAATACCTCAAGAGCTTTTCCATCGCACACTCCTCGGCATGGGTGTTCCCAGGAAGCTCGCGCGAAAATCCTGTGGTCAAGGCTAGCGGTTCCATCTCGCCTGTCCAATCGGCATTCACATTCTCCAGCTGCATACCGTTGATGGCCAGAACGGATCCCACAGAGAAGGCAGTGCCTACTGCATCGCAATGATCTGCCTCATGCAGCGCGCGAAGCATCATGGCAATGTGCGCTGGATGCGTCCCGTCGAGACCAGAGGGACCCATATTTGTGGGGCACAAGTCCCCGTACCAGGTTGAATAGGTAGCCTCGACTAGGCCCTCTGGGCATCCCAAGGACGAGTCGCATACACGGAGAATGCGGCATACATTGGATCGCAGGAGCGCTATCCAGCGGCTCCGCATCCACGGATCCTGCTTGAAAAAGTGCTCCGTGATACCATAGTACAGCACTCCAAACAAAAAACCCAGAAAGGCACCCACAAAAATTTGCTCTGGTGTATGGTACAAAAGATAATGGCGCGAATAACATGTCATACCAGAGAACAAAATCGTGAGGAACAGCAAGTACGTCTGGTTCACACGCGCCCACCAGAGGCTCCGAGCGAGTCTTGGTGTAGATTTAGGCCAATGTAACAGGATATGCAGTGACCAAAACGCACAAAAGAATCCACAAAATTGGGAGTGAGAGGAGGGCATGCCATAGCCCATACCCAATATATCTGGATAAGCATAGGCTCTACGTACTCGTAGGTCTGGGTTGCTGAATGTGCCTCTTAAGCTTTCCGTTCATGTATTCACAAATAATTTGACCAACGAGCGCATTTAAGTATACAGTGTCGCGACGCTGTACAATTACGGTTAGGTATACAGCAAGTGTAAGGACAGGAAATAAAGTAATTAAAGCCCAAAAACTACCAAAAGGATCACTTCGCCCATCTAGTGTCAGCTCGTAGGCATACATTGCACATGTGTGAGATCTAGGGTCACCAAGTTGGCCAAATCCCATTCTTTCGTCATCGTGGATGCCAACCGTGATTAGATCTTTACTACCTCCACATGTCTAAGATGCCCGTGCGCGCTATGGTTGGTTCCGCAGTGCCGAAGCCATAAGTTGACTTGAGTGCTATGACTCTTTCTAATGACGCCTGAATTTTGGAAGGTGTCGTACAGAGCCATCCGCGAAATCATTCCAAGCTTGCCTGAGAGCCATTGACGGCATTTTGCGACCGACAAAAATGCGTGGCCTTGCGGGCTTTGGGGAGAGGCCAGGTGAAGTAGCGTCGATGTCGCCCCATGGCGCTGCAAATGACGGCGAAGAGCTAATGAATTGGTTTAAATTAACATGAGACAGTTCATCCCCCGACTTTGTGTCAGTTGTCTCTTTTTTGGAAGCAATTGTGGGCCTTGGTGAGGATGTGTCCTCATCACTGTTCATCACGAGACTTGCATCCAGATACCCTTGTAAATTGGCATGTCGCGGCTGATTCCATGTGCGGCGTGTATATCTGAAATACGGCAGGGTATACTTACCCTGGTTCGTTTCCTTTTCGTTCGACGAGCTCTGTCTCATCGAGTAAGACTCGACGAGCTCGCTTGTTGAGAAAGTGTCTCTGCTCGAATTCTGATCAATACATGCTGATTCCTCTTTCAATTCAAATGGAGAGGAAAGCCGCGGCAACTCCTCTCTTGAAGCATCTTTCTGGGTTGTTTCGCGAGAGGTCTCGATAGGAGCCCGTCGGAATACAGTGAATGCTTCTCGCCATTCCGATATCTGGATTTCTCCTTGCAGAACTTTGTACGTCTCCAGGCTATCACATAAGTTAGGCTCTTCCGAAGCTGTCGCAAAATTGTGCCGTAAATGACAGCTGCGACCGACCTTGGTGCCAGAGCGCATTGATGGCGATCTAAAGTCCTTTACCCCGCCTGCTGATCTTATGCTGCGGTTTGTATATTGATTCGATTCAAAATCTGAAATGCTTTTTGAAATGATGGAATAAGATTTTTGTTCTTCTAAGGAATCTGCCTCGGCCTTAATCGAAATAGGCTGGTGCCCTTCGCATGCTGGAGGAAAGATGACGCCTGGCGGTAATCGGGGAGATGGAATTTCGGGCAAAGGGATTGCGTTGGGTATAGGAAGTGCGTATGAACGCACTACTCGCCGACCAGTATCAGCGTGAATGCCGCACTGAAACAGTCGATTTTCAGGACTACCACTTCTTGGAATAGTGAAATGTCCTTGAATCTTGCCGTTATCCCCTAATAGAATTGCTGGGATAAATTCTCCGGACTTGTAGCAGGACGCAGAATCCTTGGGAGGTAGGTAATCAGTGAATCTTGCTGTCCGAGAAGTGCGAAAAACGAGATATGGTTGGGTGCTAGGAGACACACAATCTTCGAGTTGAACTCCGCTAAAATTCAATTCTTGCACATTTTTTGGTGCTCCATGACACCTTGACTTGTAGGACCTGCCCTTCTCTGAATGACGTGTTGGAGGAGAGTTAGAGGACGTGCGCGGAACACCGTACTTCCGCATGCTAGGGCTCGAATGTACTCTACGAATGGTTGACATTAAGATACGATGATAAAAGTGCACAGATTAGTTTCCTAAATAGTGATGCTGTTGGATGTGTGCCATTTCCTACTCTGCTCAGCCTGACTGACACACGACATACTCATCGTGGTCCGTGCGAAAGTGGAGTTGCTACGCTTACTGCGAGGCCTTCGCAATTTCATACAGGTAGGTACCGAGCAACTGCGTGCCTTTCACGTAGTTCGACAAATCAAGTTTCTCGTTGGTCGAGTGCGCACCATCGTCCGAGCGGCCCATAGGTAGCAGAAGGACGTTCTTCTGAAGAGCATCAGCGAACGTAAGAGTAATAGGGATGGAGCCACCCTCGCGAGTAAGATCTGGGCGAACACCGTAGATCTTCTCCGTCGCCTTGAACGCTGCCTCATAGTTCCAGTGCTTGGGATCAGCAACCCAGGGCTTGCCGGGGTGGTCAGGTGAGAGCTTCATTGTGTTCTTCGACTTAAGCTTGGCGAATTCACTTTCCACGTGCTTCTCCACGCACTCAATCACCTTGCCTGGGTCCATGTCAGGAACGAGGCGGATCGAGAACTTGCCAACAACACGCCGAGGAATGACAGTCTTAGAGCCAGCCTCGGCAAAAGCACCCTCAATACCATGCAGACTCAAGCTGGGGTAGCGCATACGGGCCATGAGGACATCAGGCTTATTGTCACTCACCGTAGTCTTGCTGCCAGTTGCCTCATCCACAAAGGCAATGTCAAAGTCCATCACGTCATAAACCTTGCGCTCCTCATCTGTGAGAGGCGCCACTTGCTCGTTGATACCGGGAATGGTTATCTCACCCTGGGGCGTCACCAACGACGACATGATTTTAATAAGATCAGTCATCGGCTCATGAACCATACCACCAAATACACCACTGTGAAGGTCACGAGCAGGTCCGGAGATGGCCAGCTTGAAGTACGCAATGCCACGGAGGCCATTGGTCACACAAGGCTTTTTCGTGCCGAGCCAGTAGTTGTCCGAAATACAGACAGCATCCACACCTGCGAAAAGTGAATCCTTGTTCTTCACAACAAACTCATCAAGACCCTCGGAGCCACTCTCCTCCATTCCCTCAAAGCAGAACTTCAAGTTCACAGGAAGGTCCAGACCGAGCTCTTTGTGAGCTTCAATCGCGTGCAGCCATCCAAGAATGGGGCCCTTATCATCGGTTGAGCCGCGACCAAATAGACACCCAGTCTTTTCATCGTGCACGAGCTCAAATGGCTCTGTGTTCCAGCCGTCAGACTTGAGAGCAGGCTGGACATCATAGTGGCCATACACCAAGACCGTCTTCTTCGATGAGTCCGAGCCAATGGATCCTACAATAACAGGAGGAAGGGGTACTTCTTTACCATCCAGGACCTGCATACCCAAGTCGTGCGCCGAAACATCAGCGCCGAGAGTCGAAAGCTTGTTCTTGAGCCACTCGCCCATCTTGAATACATCCTGGCGATATGAAGCATCGCCCGAAACACTGGGGATAGCAACCACTTCAGCTAGGCTATCAATCAGCTTTTTCTGGTTCTCCTCGATATAAGAAACAAATTTGGCCTGGTTATCACTCATGGTGGCGGGTAGAAAACTTAAAACGCACGTTGTAGCATCCAAGACGTTCCCGCCTCCACATGGACCAACGGCATGAGTCGGAGTCTGCGCGCGTGGCTCCAATGTCGCGTGGCTGATCAGTCGAGCCATGCCTATGCCTGTGAAGGAAGCCGGATTCAGATCGCGCGTGTTTGTATTGACGTAGTCTTACTCAGTTCTTGACGTTTCGCCCAGAAGAGAATCCATTTGCAGATATGGACGTATGGGTGCAGGTGTGCGACAAGGCGCACTATATGCCAGCTCGTTTCACACGACAGAGCATAGCTAAGTTTCACTCAGTGACTCCCCATCTCAGATTTACTCAACTTCGTGGCGCATATGTCTCTATCGATTTGTGCTCGATTGAGTTGGATACTGTCGAAACACAAGTAGCTGGAAGTCCATGGACACCCGAGTCACCAAAGACGTATATCCTGGTAGTTCATGCATTTCGTGTTCTGGGCGGCATTGCGGAGCCACTCCATTCAGGAATGATACAAGATGTCATGACAGGGATCTATGGAAGAAAAAGCTAGAGCAATTCCGTGTCTACTTGTAGTTCCACGGTCCAATAAACAGGTGAGTCAGTTTCAATCAAAACCGTCCCTGAGAGGTTGTCGGGTGCCAAGTGGTTAGATGTGGACAAAAATCCTCCCAAAGATGACTTCTGTGATTCTGGTGTTAGTGATTTGTACATGCCCAAGTTCCATTCCAGCCCTTCCGATTGAATACACGCTGACGAAACGCCTAAAGGCAGGATTCCACAGGACTTGCCCACAATTGACCGGTTGTGTTGAAGTACATGTTTCCCAGGACCAAGCAAGCACGTAGCACACGTATCAGAAAGGACCACTGTATGAGGTCTCTTTCGTAGGCGGCCATCTTTGTTCTCGTCTGTCGAAGTATCGTGCGAGGTAATAATGTCGTCCACAGGAACACCAGGCGCTAGTTGCCAAAGTACATGCAATGTGTGCATGGTCTGATCCAATCGTCCAGTAAGCCCACCAAATATTACAAGATCATATTGCAACGATGAAGTGTCTTCTTCCAGCTCCAAATGTTGTATAGATTTTTGAAGGTCGGTCGAATATTGGGACGCTAGTCGTTGTATGTGTACATGCTGTGTAAGCAGCCGGACATACTCGCTCCTCGAAGTAAGAACGTGCATGATCAGATATAGAATCCAAATCACCACAAATAAGGTCAGGCATCTTGAACAATTTATCTTTGTGCGCATCCATAAATTCAAGAAGCATATTGGCTGCCCCATCAGCAACGATGCGAATTGCCGCTTGCTGCCAAACGCGATAGAAAACAATAGCATGTTTTTCTGATATAGGTGTATTCAGTAAAATCAGGGCATAGGGAGTGTTTCTAGGAGCCTTTGGATCAAGAACAGAGGAGATATTCCATTGTCTCACAATAAGCTATCACGGGTACAAACCTAATTTCGCTCATGGTCGATGATCGTTGTGGAGCAGGGATACTTTCGATGACTAACCATCTATCAGGGTTGCCGCCCGCCCATTTTCTATGAGAGCATATGCAGGGACATTAATAACTTGGTACGCTTGTGGCGCTGCTTATGTAGCGATGTGGCTGTCAAACAAATGATTCTGTCTATTGATGAGCACATGCCATGTATTGTTATGGATCTCGACGAGACGCATGTACTCGTGAATACCACCCTGGTCGATCAACTTCGTATTATGTTGGACGCTGAGGTACGTGAAAAATCGACGACTCACGCCTATCAGTTCGAAAAGAACACATATACCCTAGATATATAGGTGCAAAAGGCTATATATGGATAGTGTTATCTTATTTCTGCTTTTCTTGAAGCTCACGTTCTTGACGCTCGATATCAACACGCGCGGCCATTAGCTTGGCCATGCAATTGCGAACATTTTGGTCGGCACGCTAGAATAAGTAAACTTTCACGTACATCAATACCATTTTCCTTGGCCTTTTTGTATGCATGGATAGCCTCTTCGAGTTGTTCGCCTGAGTTAGAAAGATGTATACGTACAGGCTTCCAGCACGGTCGCCAAGTTGAACTGAATCTCGCCGTCGTCAGGACTTAGTTCGGCAGCCGTTCTGCTATAAGTTCCGGTGACGTACTTGAGATGGCTCAAAGCCAGTTCACCTTGAGGAGGCTTTGACATGATGTAGGCAGAGGCCAAGTTCGTATGCGCATCGGGGCTGTCGGGTGCGATGGCAAGAGCTGCTTTCCATGATTCAATAGCGCCGACCAAATCGCCTGTATGTAAATAAAAGAAAGACATACGTTCTTGGTACTGGCAAATACCGAGATTGTAGTAGGCGGAGGCATTTTTATGTACCTCAATGCTTTGACGGTAGTCGGCCTGGAATTAAATACTTAAAGACATACCATAGCCCCTTCCGTGTCGCCTACTTCCAGCTTTAGCGTTCCACTCTCCAGTAGTTTTTGCGCTTCTTGCTCCGTAGGATCATTCAGGGATACTTCTGGGCTCTTCTCGGTAGCATAGCCTAGCTCATCAGAAAATGAGTACGTACAGCGGATGATACCATGTCTACACCTGGTGGGCCGTGCAAAAATCCTCTGTGTTTGAGGAACACGAATGCGTGCAGCGCCAAAACGCACAGAACGTGCCGTTGCGCGTCCCAAGAACGACATAATTATGCAAGAGACCAAGGCACAGCAACACTTTCTGCTACCGCCTCTGTGGTGGCGTGCTATGTGGAGGTAGCAGCCCCTTGCGTGCATTGCGCGCAGCTTGCATGCTAATGTTGATGTTAATCTATTTTTGACTCGCTCGTTGCCAACATCTTACTTTATACACTAATCCCCACTCCCTTTCCCACCCCATGCGCATTTACCAATTGTGCGCCCTAAGCGCCGCTTTGGTCGTTTTCTTGTGGGCTGGAGATGCCTCAGCCACGCCAGGGCGTTTTGCTAGCGATGTGGGGTCTGCACAGAAGGGGGGTCTTCAGAATGTGTTTCAGCTTAGCGCACCGGTGATAGAGCCTCTTGAGGCCGAATGTAATCGACGTGTGACACTCATGGAACATACTTTTGGAAATACGAACGAGCCATTCAAGACCCAGTTCACACCCCCAGATTGCCACTTTAATCGCGTAGTCATCCATTTCAATGGTACAAGCAAGGGTAAACAATTCGATCGTTTGGGTATCATGTATTTGGGCAGCACAGAGGTGTGGCGTACGAGCACGGCTGAGCCGACCTCTGATGGTATCAAATTCTCGTACGACAAGGATTTGACAGCTTACCTCTCCCTGTGGAAAGAAACCCAGACATTCATCTTTGATTTACCAAATGTTGTGGATAAGACATACACCGGTGAATACCACACCAGTTTGACGGCACATTTCTGGTACGATAGTCATCCGCCAGAGGTGGCAGACAAGATTCTCCCTATTAGTCGGGAACTTGGCCAGCAAGGTAATCCAAGTGTGTTTCACCTTCCATACCAACGAGGAATGGTGTATCATCATATTTCGAAAAAGGCTGTCCATGCCCATGTTTCTATTGCAGCGACTGGACAGCAGGATGAAGAATTCTGGTACACGAATGTGTTTAATCAGTTCAAGGACGACTTTGGCTCCAATGGGCGCTCGCTTCCTGCTGGTGGTCCCTTTCGAGAAGTGCAGCTTCTTATTGATGGTTATCTTGCAGGTGTTGTATGGCCGATGCCTGTCATTTTTACTGGTGGAATTGCTCCGAATCTTTGGCGCCCGACTGTTGGCATTGATGCATTTGATATGCGTGAGCAAGAGATTGACATTACGCCTTGGTTGCCGTATCTAACGGACGGAAAGAGCCATACCTTTGAAATGCGTGTAGTGGGTATTACACAAGATATGGAGACCAACTCAACGTATCTTGGGACAGACGATATTGCCCACTACTGGCTAGGATCGGCAAAAATCTTTGTATTCTACGGCAAGACTAAGAAAGGGAAGAGTCACTATGAGCGACCTAAAATGTTAACGAATGAACCAAAGATTCACGTACAAGTTTCGCATTCAAAGAATAGCTCCATGCATGCCAAGGTGCAGGTCACCCGCTCTATGAATATTTCCTCCGCTGCAGGAACTTGGCATCAAACTCTCGTGTATTCTAACGAAAATGAGCTTTCCAGTGATGGTGCCGTCCAAACAACTAACCAAAATTTCCACACGACGACCACGGCCAAGAATATGTATGCACCGAAATTTAACGAGCAAAAGGAGTATGGCATGCCTCTGTCGCTAAAGACGACTACGAAAAAATTGGGCCGTGGGTCAGATCATATTAATGTACATGCGGATGTTGACTACACTTTGAGTGTTGACGCATCTGGTCGCCCCGATGTGTCTGCCTTCTCGCTGGCGAGCGGTGCCGTGAGTCTTACTCAACGAGTGACCGGAACGTCCAAATTTTCGAACGATATGGAAAATAATTCTGATGTATCTGACACGCACCAATTCCTCCATCACTCTTGGAATGGAAGGATTTATAAACGCGACACTTCGACAAAGAACTCGCAGCTGGTATCTAGTACGTAGGCTTATGGATGTAGATGAGTTAGGACCACGTTTTAAAAGAGGTTGGTGTGTCCAGGTGGAGGTGATGAGGTGCGACAGCTAGCTGCCCGACTACATGCAATGACGAGCGACTCGTGTGAGTCGAAAGATCCGCAAAGGGGTCCGACACTTATCATCCCTAAGAGAAGCAGTTCATTTATATCAAACTCTCAGTTTGCAGATCTTTGTGCCGAGTTTGGCACATCTAGCACAGCGAACATCGTTGGTACTGCGAGCGAAAGGCCACCCACCCAGTCAGGTACGATTGCGATATTAACACGTAGCGTGGGATCGATGCCCATTCTGTGACGCGCCTATGAATAAGCCATCATCCAAACTACATTCCATGATTCAGTATTGGCTTTTACGACAACGCCAAGGGCAAGTTTTACGCCCGACAGATACCCTAGCTGTCTGTCAGCGGCATCGCGACGAACAAGACGTGATTCCTCAGGGTCTTGCTAGAGGTTGGCCGGCGGCAATCGACTTTCGAACTTTACGCCGACGAATCTCGGATCCAGCGCAACGATACTTGCGTGTCCTTGAAGAACACGTCCTTACGCCAGAACAGAGTTTCTGGTTTCAGCATGTCAAATCTCGACGAGAATCTGTCGGTAAAAAGGCCAGCTCTAGCGTAGTCCAAATTGATACATTCCATGAGCGACAGCCTGGATAGTACGTGTACATCCATTAACAACAGCTATGGGGAGCAGGGATGGGAGTTGTTCCATGATGTTTTACATTCGGCATTCATCAAAGACCCACTTTTACCCTCTCTGGACCTGACCCAGAGCCCTGTTCTCAAAAGCATCCAGCCATTAACGACACATGAATTCTTGGATCAAGTGCTACTTCCCGAGCTCGTTTGCATGTTGATCCAAGACGATCTAGGTGGTGAAGAAAAGGGCATTACATATGAAAAAGCCATGGAAGTTCGGCAGGAAAGCAGCAAATTCGGCATTGCCATGTACGCGAGTGACACTGCCTTCTCGGCCCATGATACCAAGCGTGCATCAGGAAGCTGGATTGGGGCTTCGCCTAAGCGTGCAAAGAAAGACAAGTCGTACACTCCACCCTCTAAATCCAAGGAGCATATATTGATACAGCAAAAGCTCCCTGTACGTCGCTCAGAACGAAAGGCATCGTTAGAACGGGTTTCTTACGTTGATCTTTCTTCCAGTGATGAAGATGAGCACTTTCCTGCGATGCCCAAGCTATACCACCAACAGCGTTTGCACATGCCTCAAAGGAATCAGGCGTCTCCGCGGCCTAACCCGCGACCCACGCCTCGTTTTCATGAAACGGGCTCGGGCTGATCTGTCACAGAGGGTGCAATGGCACGTTTCTTTCCCTTGCGCTTCTTCATGGCGGATACCACGGCACTTCGCACGTTGCTCACGATCTCACGACTTTGTTCCACGTACTCATGATCCTCCAGGCGCTCTTTCCGCTTGGAAGCTGCGCGGCTAGACTCAGGACGCTCGCCAGGCAGCTCTGGACTGGCATCCAGTGAATCGCCTGCATCGTCTAGTTTTTCTGCAGCCTCTTGAAAGTCGGCCATAGACTTGGGCGTTCGACCGAGCATTTTCTCCAGCTTGGCGTATTTGCGCTTCTGCGCTTCATCCAAGGCAGCCTGACGTTCAGGCGCTTTGGCAATGTATTCGGCCAAAAGCTTGGCTTCGTTAATAGATCCAAGGCGGCGCCCCTCAAGGTCCCGATACGAGTCCTGGCTCTCGTGTTTACCACGGGCACTCATGCGACCGCCCTGGGCACGGAGCATGTTACCAAAACCACCTTTGCCACCCATACAGCGGATCCTTACCACAATGCTAGTACATGGTGCTGAATATATGTCACTCAAACGCATCCATGGCGCAAAGAGGCGACCACTTCGAGTGGTTAAATACAAATGGGGCGTCGCACCAGGCAGAGCCTGCTGAAGCCCCTGCATGATTTGATCGGAGGTCGTACAAAGTGACAGGTGTAGATACACACTCTCAGGCAATGGCGCAAACAGGTGTATACACACAAGGACATCCTTACCGATACTGTGAAGGCGTGTGCCCGACGCTTTGCCACCCACAGCCAACATCGTCATGAATGGCAGCGAACCTGTATGTCACGTGCGAAAAAGCGTCTCCCCAGGCTTGCTCCAGATATTGATCTACGCCATGCTGGGCTATGCTCGTTTTTTTGTCGGTAGGAAAACAATTCCTCCGCAATCGCGTGGCTTGTCTTCGTTTTCCTCGGGCCGATATGACCCTTATAACGCATTGACGGCTAGGTGGGATGACGTGCCCGGAGGTGAAGGCAAACTTGGCGGATGGTCCGTGAGCGTCAAAGAGAATATCGCCATGGAAGGAATTCCTACAACATGTTCAAGCAAGATGCTGGAGAGTGCGTCTCATTCATGCTAATTCAGATTACGTCTCTCCTTTCGATGCGACAGTGGTTCGCAGGTTGCGTGGCCACGGTGCCCGCATCACGTCCCGGAACAATTGCGATGAGTTTGCGATGGGCGGTCTTAACAAGCACTCGCTCTTTGGCCCAGTCGCCAACCCAGCCCCTTACGAAAATGTGAATGAGCCTGACTTTGCAAAATATCCCCCTCGTGCGCCGGGTGGCAGTTCGGGTGGTGCTGCTGCTGCTGTTCGTGCCAACCTCTGTCGAGTGTATGTAAATCATCCTAACAGACAGATCGATTGGTACCGACACAGGCGGGTCTGTGCGCCTTCCTTCATCCTATTGCGGTGTATATGGGATCAAGCCATCGTACGGAATGATTAGCCGCTGGGGTGTCGTCTCTTACGCAGACTCGCTTGATACTGTGGGTATTATTGCTCGTGTGCCGGAAGATCTGGCAGTCACATTTGACGCGCTGGCAGCTCCGGACTCTCACGATGCAACATGCATTGATATGCCAATGCGGGCGAAGCTCGCGAATGATGTGGGCTCTATTTTGTCTCGCCTTCAAAAACCGCTGCAAGGCTTGCGCGTTGGAATTGTGGCGCAGATGTTCCCAAAGGAGCTTCACCCCGAGATTGCTGATATTACGGACGATGTGCTAGATGCACTCCAGCATTTGGGTGCGACACTAGTGGATGTATCGTTCTCCGTCTTGTCCAAAGCTTCGAGTGCATACTATATCCAAGCGCTTTCAGAAGCGAGCAGCAATCTTGGACGCTATGATGGCATCCGCTACGGTTCCCATCATGAGGAACCACGAGGCACGTTTTTTAAAACGATTGCAGCCAACCGAAGCGCCAACTTTGGTGAGGAAGTTAAGCGCCGGATCCTTCTTGGCACATTTGCACTCACATCTGAAGCATGGAAGAGCCACCTACAGACCTCAATTCAAATACGCAACGCTATCACGCACCAGATGCGCTCGAGCTTTGCGGCGCCCGACCAGCGAGTCTCGTCACATGAGCGCAGCGGCGATGATGTGGATCTCCTTGTATACCCTACAGCCATGCGCCTCGCCCCCCGTCTGAACGAAGAAACTGCCTCGGAATATGCGCAAGATGTTTTGACAGTATCTGCCAATCTAACGGGTATGCCTGTACTGTCTGCGCCAGCCTCCCGTACTGTGTCTGTGGAGAACGTGCGTCTGCCAACAGGGATTTCCTTCCAAGCGCAATGGGGCCATGACCAGCTCCTGCTCCATGTGGTAGAAACCCTGGCACGGAACTCAGATGTGCTGGCCATCTAGTTTAGTGACTCTGAGATAGCTCGAGAACCTTGGCAGCACCATCAAAGGAGCCTAGAAAGACGGCTCCACCGAGACCAATCCAAAGCGTGCGAGGAACAACACCCGCAAAGAGACCACGCACGCCGCGTTGTTCCAGGACACTGTGGAGGGTTGGAAGAATACGGGGAGTACTAGTACTGCCATGAGCCTTAGCCAGCATGATGCGCGTCTTGATGACATCGAGCGGCGTCGTAAGAGCGGCAGCCACCGCACCCGCCACGCTTCCAGACACGGCGGCCTGCAGCCATGTTGGCTCGGACTTGTATCCTGCCATTTTGTGCTTGAGACCCTCGTACAAGGGAAATTGGATGCATGTAAATGGAATCTCCCGGAAAATGGTGCTGCCATAGCCCCTATACAGGCCCCGCACGCCCTCTTGTGCGATGACCTGGCGGAAAGCCGCCGCCGATGAGGTCCTGCCGTACGCTGATGTTTGCTGCCGTGATTTTACCACCTCGGTGGGCACGCGCACCATGCACGCAGACTATAGTGAGTAGTAACAGCGTACCATTTCTGCGATCGTGCCACTCAGCATGTGGACGGTAGGCGACATGACCTTGGCATCGAGGCTGTGCTCAGGGTATAGCGATCTGGACAGGAAAGACTTCGCGCTCTCGTATGTGACAAAGAAAATCGATGCACCTGGTGCGCTTCCCACCGCGACACTGCCCATGCCGCGATACACGCCGGAGAACCCTCCACTCTTCCAGAAGCCCTGCGCGCTCTGTAAACGTGTTTTCAAGGTATCGATAGGATAGAATAGCAAGTCCACTGACAAACCTGCCATAGCGCCCGCCAGAAGCGAGGTTATGAAGCTGGGGTTCACCCGCTGCACCTCGATATACTCAGACTCCATGGTGTGAGGAGGATGGAGCACGCTGACTAATTGATCTTCTACGAGACGTCGCGCTCCTGGGCCGTCTTCCACAGATCGTACAGCTTGCGGCGGCTCGGGGCGTAGGTATCAGAGCCACTGGCAACAGCCACGACGCGTTGTAGCGCCTGCTTGTGAATGGAGGCCATGGTATTGTCTTCGTCATCCTCATCGTCGTCAGCCTCGGCCTGGACACGGGAGAAGATGGAGTCGTAGAGAGGCTCGCTCGCCTCGGATTCGACTCGTCGGCGCTTACGATCTTGCATGTCATGAGATGCACGTCTCTCACATTCGCTCAAGAATGGCGTCAAGACGCTGGCCATGACACGTTCGAACATGCGCTTCGACTGGCTCGTGGCGGCCAGTTCCATGAAAGGCGACAAGAGCTCCAAGATCGGTACGGTAACGTCTGTGTCCTCCAGTTCCACAAGCGAGTGCTCTACCTCGTCCAAAAAAATGTCACATACATGGTAGGTGATGCTGTCAGGCACACGCACATTGTTAGAGGACAGGGGACCGTCGGTTCCGCGCATGATTGCATTAAACCGCTGAACAAGAATGGACGGATAGCCATGAAGGGCAAGTAGCTGCAGCCCAGCATGTACAAAACGTCGCATGAGCAGATAATATTTGTTGATTCTGCGACATGAGAGGGGCCAACTTACCTAAACTTGTCCACACCATGCCACTCTGAGTGGACCGTAGACCAGAAGCCCTGGAAAAAGTCGAGAGCAGCTAGTGCGCGTGCCGTATCGTCCACTTTTGATGGCACGCGCTCGATGCGCTCGCCTGCTGCATCCATCTTGATGCCAGCAATCATAAGCACCAAGTTCGCCAGCTCCTGCGCCAGCTGCTGCTGCACCAGCGGTTTATCACTCATCCAGTAGCCTTGCATCAGCCCAACCTTATACACTTACAGTAAAAGATACCCTTCCATAGTTTGGATAATTCCTTGGGTTCAAGCGACAAACCGGTCTCCTCCGCGCTCTTCAGCACAAAAGCGGCGAGTGAGCGGATCGCCCGATCTCTGACACGTTTTTCTGGTATCGGTGCAAGGGTACATACCTGTTGACGCCAGGTACTTTCCCAGCGGGATCTCTGCTTCAACAGGCTCGGCAGGCTCGCTCCGACGCTTGCCCATCGTCGCGTACGGCAGCCCCGAGCGTCGCGCCGCTCAAAAAAAGTGTCGGCCGAACGCACGACCAACTTCGCTGGGACACCTGCCGCCAAGCGACGCGCGATGGCCGCAGGAACGGGTGCTCCAGAATTTGGACAGCCTATTCTTCCGGTAGGCACTATTCCCGATGATGGAGTGCCGCGAACTGGAGAAGAGTACCTGGCGATGGTGCAGCAGGAGGCGAGCTTGCAGCCCCGCATCCTTTCTCAGTCAGGCATGACGCAGCCATACGCGCCAGCCACTTCTCCCCAGGTGCGCGCGCTACCGCCCGCGTCCATGCCCACGTCGGCATGGTGTACGGTGTTTCTCGAGCGCTTCCGTCGCCTTCACTATGTAAGTTGCCTGCGCTCACATCAGAGCCTCCGCACGCCCATACCCGACAGACACGTGCGCCTGTCAATACCCCATGTGCAGGATGAAAGAGCTTGGTACCAGTGGGTGCATGGACGAGAACCACCTAGTGAACAGGAGCGCCAGCTCATGGTGAAGCGCGCGGAAGCGCTAGACGCAGCTGGCCCTGGCATGCGTGACACAGAAGACGATTCAGAGAGTGAAGTGAGTGGGATGCTGGAAGTTTCAGGCGACTTCCTGGAGCAGTTTGGCTATGCGTTCCGGGAACCTACATTTCGTTTTCTGCAGCGTCTCGATACAGAGGATGTGATTTCGCTAATGGTAATGATCCGAAGGTGGATGCAGCACCCCCAGTTCACGCACCAGGCCGTCACACGTGCGGCTATTCATCCGACACATGCGCGATGGCTATTTGCCATACTCGCACAGCTGGATCGGCAGCTGTCAAGTGACAACATTGCCTCCCTTCGCACCTTGGCACGGGTGTGCATGAAATGCATAGCACGCGTGCGCAGCCAAGTGGACTATCTCTGTGACGAAAAATCTGATACGTTAGAGGCTGAGATGGGCGCATGGATGATCATCACGGCAGTCGCTGGCGTGTGGGGCCAGCGCGATCTCTGGGACGAGGTGCAGGCGCAAGTCACGTAGGAATTAAATAAGCACGTGGGAGACAGGACCCGCCTCTAGGCCACCATGGTGTTTGTACACATTGTGCTGTTCAAAGTGAAGCCGCAAGTCTTGAACAATGGCTTTGAAGAATTCAAGGCCCGTCTAGAGACGCTCCGTGATCTGCAGATTACCAAGGACGTTGTGAAGCAGCTCAAGTTCAGTCCCCCGATCTGGGACACTCGGGCACACGGCTTCAACTACGGTCTCTATACTATCTTTGAGACGCGCGAGGATCTCGAGCGCTACAAGGAAGACAATGATCACAAGGAGTATGTTTGTTATGCTAACAGTAGCTTTTCGAAGATGATCATCCTTCCCAACGTCGATGGTATGCATCATGAGACTGACGCTAGATGTGCTCGCATACGATATGGAAGTGTAATCGGATAGATAGTAATACCACAGGCTCATAGTATTAGACACCTGTGAATTCACCGCGCATTAGTATGGATCAATTTCTACCGGCTATACAGGGCGGGGACATGGGGCCAAGCGGTCGGCGCTGGGGGCGCCGGCGCCTGGCGGCGAGGGCCGTGCACGGCCGGCCTGGGCTTACAGGCCACGTGATACGCATCCAACGCGTGCACGCGCATCGTGCGTCAGCAGCAGCGCTTCGGACCGCGACGTGGTGTGGCGGATCACTGGGGATACGCCAACGATGCCTTTGACCAAACGTGCAGTGAGCTCTCACGATGTTTTGCGCAGTGATTCAGAGCACCAGGGACTCTCTCGCGTCTCTTCTGCCTATGATACGATCCCGTCCGATATTCAGAATCGACTGCAAAGCATGAGCTGGCGCATACGGTCAAGTACGTGATAGCCTCTGACGTTAGATGTGAGCCGCGGCTACCTGGGCCATACAAAGACATATGACGCCCAAGATTCGGGCGGCACCGAGTTTCAGTCGGCTAATTCGACGCTTGAGAATGTGAAGAGCACCTACAATCAGTGGGGACGCACCGCCTCGGTGCCGAATGGTGCCCTGCGCGGCCATGGAAATATGATGCCGCCGCCGCCGCCGCCCAATATGATGTCACGATGGTCCTCGGACACGGAGACGGCAAATACATCCTTCGGCTCTAGTGTGCCCTCGCTCTCCTTGAAGCGTGGCATGGGTGAAGACGACAGTGATGCGATCCTGGCTGGTGCCTTTGCTGATGAAGACGGTAGCTTTGGCGCATCGTGGGACGCACCCATGGTACCTGAAGAGAACAGTCCGCCGTCAATGGACGGCCCTACCCTCTCCGGTAGCCGGCCCATGCGGCCACTGCCGTCTCGTGGACCCTTCCGCCCGGCACTCTCCTTGCCTGTGGTATCGCAGCCATTCACTCATAATGATGCACGGCAGGCCATGGACCTAGCTGAAGAGGACGGCTCGGAGCAGTTCCACCACATTGATTTCTCGGCGTACGCGGCGAACCCCGATGGATTTTAGTTATATACCCTGCACACACGCGTGCTACAAAAATCCTTCGTTTTCGTAGTCGATCTCAGGCTCAGGCTCGCCTTCCTCTGACCCAGAGTCCGCGGCAGTCTTTTTGGGCTCCTTCTTGGGCAGTCGCGGCTTGGGCGGTGGGGGTGGGCGCCGGTTGGTATGAAGGGGTGGGAGACGAACATGCCGCTTCAAGCCAGGGACATATGAAGGCGATGAGGGAAGCAGGGAAGTAATAGCTGCGTCAGTGATGGGAGCGTACGCTTGCCAAATAGGCGTTTTCGCGCCGATGTCGCATCGAGCTTTTGGAGCGCGGGAGAGAGTGATGAAGGAGGGCCATTCGAGGGTATATGGCTGCTAGTTTCTTGGGCAAGTCGCGATTGCGAATCGCGCTCGTCAGGCGGGTGGGACGCTTGCGCCGGTGAGTCGCGTGGCTCATGCGAGTCATTCGTGTAAAGCGCATCGTGCGATGTCCGCGAGGATAGCTTGGGGCGCTTGGTCCGTAATGAAGCAGCTGCCTCGTCCTGGCTCTCCAACTGGCGAATTGCCGCTGGCTCACAAGCACCTAGTTCTTCGCCCTGTCCATCGACGCAGGAGGCCTCAGAGCGACCTGGCGACGGGCACGCTGACTCGCGACTTGGATGATCAAGTGTGCTAAGCGACGAAGACGGAAGGTTCTGACGCGTGCCTTCCCGGGCGGACAGGGCCAGAGCGCGCTCAAGGTCCTGCGCCTCGCGTCGTCGTGACATGACGGTGGCAACTATGGGCATTATGATTGGCGCGCCTCCACCGAGCGGCGCGCCTTGCGATGCTTCACTTCACGCACGAACGCGATCGCTAAGGGGAGGAACAAAGGACCAAAGAGAGGAAAATAGACAGCATACTTGTGTTCTTCAGGGAAATAGAGCATGGCCAGCATGGAGGGATCGTAAAAGGATTGTGAAGCGAGACGATACGCGCGACTGGCATGTGTCAGCGCCGTGGAAACGGAGCTATTTGGCCCCTGCAAGCTCGCTTCGCACGCGTCCAGCATATCGAGTGAGGCTGCATAGTTATCGCGCACGTCTGCATTGACGCCCAGGTTCGAAATTTTGCGCACAAGTCGATCGATACTTGCCAGAGTTTCGACGGTACCACGGGCCATCTCGAGGGTGCGGCGCCACTGGAGGCCCTCCACGGCAAGGGCCAAGGCCTTGTGGTCGTTAGGGGCCACATTCTCCAGCTCGATGCCAAGGAGTATCGCGAGCTGCTCCGCAAAGAGACGCACAGGCTCCTGCAGCTCGTCCAAGGTCATCAGAGGCTCAGCACGCAACGAAGCATCGCGATTCCACACAACAACGCCACCCCACTGGGGCACGAGCCATGCGGGCTGTGTCACGAGCGATTGGTCGTCTTTACGCATGTACAAGGGGCTGTGTGTATCGCTCGGGAGGAAAAGTACAAAGTGCAGAGTACGCTCCTCGGCAGCGGTCGACGTGTTGTGAGTGCCGTATGACTCGAGGTTCCATTGCGGCGAATTGATGAACACGCGTACGTCATCCATCGATGCAGTGTACACTCGCGCCTCGTCCACAGTCTCCTCGTGTGGTTCGAACTCGAGGGGCGCGTACCATTGAATCTGACTCTCGAGCTCAATGTCGTGCACGTATGCCATGGCATCGACGATGCGGCGCAGGGGCGCGAGGGCAGGCGCATCGATGGTCTCCAACGCATGCTGCAGGTCCCATCCATGGATCGCATGGCCACGGCTTGCATCTTCCTGCAGTAAGCTGAAAACGATTCGTAGTCGTGGAGCATAGGGTATCACGCGCGCATCCTCGGTGGTACAATTCTTGCCCTGCTGCGTATGCGCCAAGGGAATGCCCAAATAGTGTGCCATATGCTTGTGTACCTGCTTTGGCACATTCTTCGTGCCCTCCAAGGGTACATGCACAGGTCGAAGCGCGTGGTGAGGCGGCATAAGGGACGGCGTCGGATCGCAGGTATCTGCCATGTCGTACTTCAGGCACAAGTTGTCCTCCATACATGCGAGCTCCTCCATGCGCTTCATCTCGTTAAGGGAATCCATGACCACATCTGTACCCACAGGCTCGGTGACACAGATCCGAAAGGTATTCTTCACAGGGCACGTGCCCCGCTCCTGGTATGCACGAACGCGCTCTGTCGGCAGGGGAAGCCGTTCAATGGTAGTTAGGTACCACCATGCCGGTAACGCTGCAATGATGACTGCAACAAACGCAGCGAAAATGCGAATGTGCACGCGCGTGTCCTGCACCGACATCGCACTGGGCGTGCACCGCGAGACGCTCTCGCCGGTTCCCTGTTATCACGTGATATTACTGGCCGATGCGCCGGTCATTGCATGCGGGGCGCCGCTTGCACGTCCGCCATGTCGGAGAAGAGCGCAGTGATGCCGGCCTCCGGCTCGCGTGTCGCGAATATCAAGTCTTTGTCGTTCATGGATGTTATTGAAGGCATCCCGCCCAGTTTGATCCAGCTACTAGTCGCCCTAGCGCCGACGATCGACCTAGTACACCGGATCTTGCTGCTCGTTACCTGGCGTGGCGGCTATGCCATGCGGGTCCAGTCGTGGCTGCTACTCGTGGGATACATACTCACATGCATGTATGGCTACGAGGTGCTGCGCTATGCGCCTCAGGCGCTTCTTCTCCTGGTGTTGGGTTACACGTGGCTCTGCCGCTCGTTCACTCGTATCACTGGCCAGCGCCGCGCCGCGGACGAGAGCGGAAGTGTACGCACTCTTCGCAAGGCGGTGTCGCAGCTCTCTGAAATTTCCGACTTTTTCTCGGCTGTATACGAGTGCCTCCTTCGTCCCGTACACGATGTCCTGTGCTGGAAGGTGCCAGGGTATGGGCCAGTACAACTGGTCATCTTCCTCATCGCTTCGTGGCCGCTGTGGCTTCTGTGCATGCTTCCGCAGCACATGTGGGTGACGCCGATCTACTATGCATCAACGACGTTCTCGTCGATCGGTGCCAGCGCGCCTGTGGCGGCGCTGTCAAATTACTATCACACGCAACTTGCACCGGCCGCGCACACGCACATGGCCAACAACGCGCCACGCCTTTGTGCACTGTATGCCAAGGTGAGCGCTTGGGCTCATCAGTACGTGATCCCACTCGTGCGCAGCTGGGACCTGCCGAATATGCGCTTGTCGCTGCAAACGTTCCCGCCATTCCCTATCGCTGCGTTGACGCTACGCCATGTGCTGCTGGTGGGCGGCGTGATCGTCCTGACGTGGTGCTCACCCTGGGCAACGCTCATTCGCTCGGCACTCTGGCACAGTGCGTTTGTGCGCCATGTGGTACTGACCACCGTGCGTGTGCTGTCTGGCTCCGAGAGCGTCGCGTCGCGGCTACGCCCCAAGCCGCCTTCCCCACGCAAGCGCCACGCAACAGACGAGTTTGAGACTGAGTTTGTGTTTGAGATCTACGAGAACCAGCGGTGGTGGATTGGCCTCGACTGGACGGCGGCGCTCCTGCCCCAGGAGCGCCCCAGCTGGTCGGATAGCGAAAACCACGCGGTGGCGCCGCCGGCCTCATTCTCGTTGCCGCGGGGCATCCGCACGTATATGCCATCCTCGCGCTATCCTGGCAAGGACGACTTGCGCACCTCGCAGTGGCGCTGGGTCGACTCTGAGTGGCATGTGGCCGGCGTGCAGAGCATCACGTCCAGCTCCTACACGCCAAAGAGGAGCATGAATGCATCTGAGGCACAGCGCCTCAGCAAGGAGCTCGCTACGGCACATACGGAGCCTGTTGAGGTGCCAGACGAGGTCAAGGATGTGGCACGGCCTATTTCCGAGCCAGCTGTCAGCATGGATGTCGATGCTGAGGGATGGCAGTACGGCGACAACGCCTGGGAAAAGCTCAGCAAGCAGAGCGGCATGGGACGGTATACCCGCCGCCGCCGCTGGCTCCGCACGGCCGTGCTAGTTCAGAGTGTCGAATACGGTGTACAGCGCAGCTCATAGACCTACGTACGGAACGCCCCTCCGCGCTGTCGGAGCACCGTCACGAACTTCTCGACGAGGCCCGACTCTGTCGAGACCTGCGCACATGCGCAGCTCGCGAGCTGGCGACGCAGCTCAGCGTGATCAACATCGTGCGAGTCGTCAATAGCACCCCACGTCGAGGCCTGTGCAGCCGTCTCGACCTCGGCCGCAAGCGCGGCCTGCTCTGCCTCAATGTGGCGATGCACGAGTGCCAGACCAATGATCATCGACTTACTGGTCATCACCGCCCGCTCCAGCGCAGCAAGATCGAGCGGCGGCAGGCCGGCGAGTAGGCGGGTCAGCTTGGCCTTGGCCTCGTCAGGCTGCTTGTGCGTAAGTGTGCCCTGCGCAATGTTGATGGGAATCTGCAGATACCGCCGCGCCCAGTCGATCAGCGGCACCCACCGCTCCTTCTGCAGCTTAACGAGGGCGGCCGGCTGGTCCTGGTGGAAGCACACAGCGTCCGTGTCAAAGTAGCGCATTAAGAACTCCTCGACATCTTTTCTAGTGCGATCTTCTGAAAGGCCGTCGATGGCGCGCGACACGAGCGACGTAAGCGGCAGTGAATGCGGCTTGACTACCTGGGTCTGCTCATCCCATTCCTGCGCAATGAGGCACGCGAGGAGCGGGCGGTCAGACGGGACCGTCAGCTTGTTACCACCAGGAGTGCGCAGAGAACGCTTGTCCAACTGCACTACAAAGTGCTCGTCGTCGTCTGCAGGCTCCTCGAAGGCGATTTGCACATCCTTCCAGAAGCGCTGCATGGTCTTTTCGACCTTTTGCGCAGAGGGCATCGGCTCCGCCCGCGGTGCGTCAAAGCGCGTCATAGAAACATGCATCGCCCTTGTGGGCATACGCGCACCCACGGCGACCATGCGCACGGCCCGTGCCTGCCACAGCGAGCGCCACATTGCTCTCAACGCTAGCGAAGGAGCGAGCCAGCGAGAGGCCTCCACAGTATCTAGGCACGTGACACGCGCCGCCCAGACCCACCGCGGCGCCGCCCTCGGTCAGGGCACGGCGGCCACGAAGTAGTATGTCGGATGACGCACGTCCTGCGCCGACAGCGGCCCATGAGAAGGTCACAGATAATGAGGAGCATCCGATTCTCGTTGCGGTGGACCAGAACCAGACATTTGAGTTTGCAGTCGATGAAAAAGAGTGTGCAGTGTACACGGATGAGCACGACGTGTCCCTGCTGAATATGATTGCAAGCTGGATGAAGAATCTTCCGCCGCAGGCGCCATTCCCGCCGCCCCCTCATATTGTGCAGAAGCCGCTGAGCGATATGGTTAAGCAGGCCAAAGACCGAGGGAATGAGGCATACAAAAAAAAGGACTATGTATCAGCGATCAAGCACTACACGATGGGTCTCGCCATGGCGTCTAGCCGGCCGATGTGGGAGGCTAGCGGAATTGTGGCTGAGGAGCTGTCGGTCGTGCTGGCCAACCGCAGTGCCGCCTTTCTCGCGGCGGAGGCCTACATCGAGGCACTCTGCGACGCCGACGCCGTCACCAAGATCAATCGGGTGTGGGGCAAGGGCCACTTCCGCAAAGGCAAGGCGCTCGCAGCGCTGCAGCGCTACGACGAAGCTCGCGCTGCCTTCGATTTGGGGCACCAATTCGAGCCGGACAATGAAGACTTTGTCAAGGCAATTGCGGAGCTTCCATAGACGAAACTATCATGTCTACTGTGTCTGCTGCGTGCCGTGGTACTCATGGTCCACCACATTGAACCAAGGCAGGACCGCTACGCGTTAGTTTTCACACGTACCCAGGTTGAGCTGCGAGAAGATGCTGTTGCGGTACGCAGCGCCCTGCATCTCTTTCGTTAATGAGCTCTTGCCCTGCCCAATCACGTTGCCAGATGCAGCCTCGGCCTGTGCCATCGACTGCTCCCGCTCATTCTCGGTCCAGCCCCAGAAGCGGACTGTACGTTAGCAAACCGCACATACACGTCGAGCGCTGGTACGCATACAAGAAACCACCGCAGAGACCCAAAAAGGCAGAGAGCTTCATAGCCGCACCGAGCTTGCCCTTGCCCCGCGCCGGGTCAGCATTTTCCATCAGATAGAGCGCGCCCGGGAAAGCCACCGTGGCACCGGCCATCGCATAGTAGTCCGACGGGCGGAAGTATCGCACAACGCGCCGGAAGTGAGGATCAGCGTCAATCGGAGGGTAAGCTGTCTCAAACTCTTTCTGAGCTGCACGGTTAGCACACAGGCACATGCTACGCACGCATCGTGGTCGACCAGGGTGGAAAGCGCGACCAGACCGCACTGGCAGTCCGCCGTGGCCCGGTCACGTGATGTTCAAAGGCTGGGCTGTCGCGGCCTCGGGCGCATTGGCACAGGCCATGCTTCGACAGTGGGTTCGTGCGTCTGTGCGCCAAGGCGATGCATTAACCCGGAGTCGGACGGCAAGAGCGCTTCATACGAGTGGGTGCAGCCAACTCCCGCGCATGCGGCCGCGCTCGCGGCCCCTGCCAGCTGCCAACACGAGTCCAAGCACGCCAACGCCCGCCACACCGGCACCGACAGTGCCCTGGTTTATGGACGAGGAGGTTGTTGAGGCGCCGATCGAGACTGTAGCACCAACTCACGATGAAATGCTCCCGCCCATTGCATGGCTGCCGCCCTATCTACCAGCTACCAGCGACATCCCCGAAGAGCTTGCGCGGCTCATTGACATGTGCGTCACGGGCTCCTTGAGCGCACTTGTCGCGCGGCCAGCGGCTATGGACGACATTGATATCGACGATTGGTCTGAACGTATTCGTGGATCGCCTCTCGCGGTTATCAAGCCGATAGACCGGGCGCAAACGGTCGGCGAGCAGGGCCAAGACTGGATCGTTGTGGTGCAAGTGCGAGGCTCAGGTATCGGCACAGTGCGCCGCGTCGCAACCGATCTGGGTGCGTACCTGAAGCGCACGATACCACCGGCACCGACGCAGCCCGAGGCCGTCACACTGGATGCGATTCTAGGGCCTGTGCAAGTCGTCGGTGAGGGCGCCGCGCCCGAAACGACGCGCGAGCCACGCCCCGCGGGCCTATCGCGGATCGAGCACGAGGTGGGCCATACCCTGCCTGCCTGGCAGGTTCAGAAAATTGCACTCACACGCAAATACCCAGACGGATGGTCCCCCATGACCAAGCTGTCGCATGAGGCGCAGGAGGGCCTTCGGCTGCTGCACGCGGCTGACCCCGCGCGCTTCGATATCTCCGTGCTCAGTCGGCGCTTCCGCATCAGTCCAGAGAGTGTGCGCCGAATCCTGAAGAGCAGGTGGCGACCGACAGAGGAGGAGGCGCAGCGCAAGAACGAGCGTGCGCGCGCGGCCCATGCGGCGAAGCGCGGCACCACGCGCGAAGACGAGGAGATGGCGTCGCTGCGCGAGGGCATTGACATGGAGATTGGGCCGCGCCCGCCAGCGCCAGCGGTGGTCGACCAGGGCTACGAGCACGAAGTGCGATTCGAGGGCCTCGTGTCGAGTGCGGACCTGGCCGAAGGACGTCGCCGCCAGAAGGGCGTCAGCTCGCGCGGTAGTGGCGATTGGTGCCTGATCGACGCGGGATGGTGCGTGGTGCATGTCATGACGGCGGACGCGCGCGAGCGATACCGCCTCGAGGACCTGTGGCGCCACAACGGCACGAACCTGACGGGCCCCGCCTAGCCCATACACGTTGCCAGACGTGCGAGCACCTCATCTTTGTTTGTCTCTTGGATCTCGCCAGCAAGAAAAAGCTCGTCCAGTACGGCATATACCTTGTAGAATTGAAACACGAGGTCCTGTTCGCAGACCGGCGAGAAGTGTGCGTCGAGGACTTCGACAAAGAGCTGGATAGCTTCGAGGTAGGCAAGTTCATTATCACGCATATCGATACACATACAAAAGTACAGGCCTGCGTACTGCCGGTACACAATCTTGTCGTTATGGAACTGGGTCAGGCATTCGGCGTACCTGCACAAAGTTGCTTTGGTTGCGTCGATCACGCGTCAAAAGGAGCCGATGCACCTCGATAGGTATCCGCGCCTTTTCTGCCTCTTCGATAGGCGCATAGTACTTGGCCAGGCGCACCTTGCCCTGCCGATTCTGCACGAGAACGAATCGGATCATGGTCGCCAACACTGAACCGAGTGGAGGCGCCCCTTGCCCTCCGACGCTCGAGCCGCGCGATGAAGCTCAGAGAGCTGAGGCTCACATCTACGCTGCATGGGTGGGACCCGCTGCGTATTTTGGCACAGGTACGCTCCTCTACCCACACAGATCACGGCGCTCCAGGCCATCCACTATATTTTGCTTGCAGCGTTTGTGCCGCCTCTCCTGTCTATTTTCACGGCGCCTGCAGCGCTGCGCTTTGAGGGCGGGCCTGCGCAGGTCGGCATGATCATTGACTGGCGTGAGCTAGCGAGCCAGCCGACGTGGGACTGGGACATGCTCACGCAGCTGGTCAACATGTACACCGGCTGGACGGCCAAGGGGCAAGATGCGCCTAGGTGGACCGACGCGGAGCAGGCGGCCGTGCACAACTGGACGGCAGGCTCAGTGTGGCTGGATGTCGCGTACATCAACGGATCTGCTGTGCCGCAGGTGCTGCCACCCTCTGCGTTCCGCTGGAACGATACGCAGGCTAGTGACGCGCGGAACGACTCGGTGGCTACGTCCGCCACGCCGGCGCCGAGCAACACCCTGCTGCAGCAGGAAACACAGCTGGAACAGTGGGAATGGCACAAGACGCACGACGTGCGCCGTGGCTGGGCCATCTCATTTGGATGGCTCCTAACGATCATTTTTGATGTGCAAGTGCTCTACTACTTGGTGCGCAAACCCACGCACGTCCTCGACTTTGTGTGCACGATGCATGTGGTCCACTTCCTAATCACATCGTGGTACGCAGGCTCGATTCCCTACTCGCTCTACTGGTGGCTTGTCATGGCTCTGCATGCGACGCTATGCATCGTGTGTGCCGAGCGCTTCGCGATCCAGCGCGAGATGCGCGTCGGATTTTCCGAGCACCAGCTGCTCGAGTCGCATGGCACCGACGCCATGGAGCTGAACGAGCTTCGCGACTAGGCTGGTGGATAAAAGCCGGCGTATAGCACCGTCGCGGCCAGACTGTACCATAGTAGATAACCCAGGAAGACGCGCCCCACGCGCGGATGCTCGTCGCACAGAAGCGCCGCGCCCCACCATAGCAATGGCAGGCCGCCAGGCGTCGCAAAGCGCAGTGCGATTTGCACATGGCTCACGAAGAGCAGGAGCGCGAGCACGGCGGCCGTATAGTACACGTGGGCGAGCTCACAGGCCTGCCCTGCGCTCTGCCACGGCCACCACGTATCCGTCCACACGCGGCGCCAGCTGTGCGCAAGACGCACACAGGCCCAGGCGCCAAGGACAAGGACAGGTGCTGCCAAGACAAAGTTGGGCACCTGTGCCAACGTCCAGTAGCGCCCAAAGCCCACATCCCAGTACGCCGCCTGAATATACGAGTAGGGCAGTGGCACCGTATCGCGGCACCAGGGACGCCCGGGGCACAAGTGTGCATAGGCCCATGCCTGCTGCAGCGCGAGAGGCAGTCCTGCGAGCAAGACACTGCCACCGGCCGTGAGAGCATCGGCCATCCACGCCGCCACACTGCGTGGAACGCGGCGGAGGCTGGGGCGCCATAGTGCGTGCCAAATGAGAAAGCCGCTCAGGAGGACGCCATTCGCCCGAAACAAGGTGGCGCCTGCAAAGCACGCAGCCGCCCAGAGCCGGGCGAGGCGCGGCGCGGCATCCCATGAGAGGCACGTGAGGCCTAGTAGCGCGAGGAACGAGAAGAAGGGCTCGGGCGTGGGCGACGAAAGCGCCGTCCCCGATGCGGGGGCGAACACGGAAAGGAGTGCCGCACGTACAGCGAACTTCTCTGATCGGAACTGGGCACGCGTGACAAGATAGAGCAGCACAGGGCTCACGCACGAGAGGATGTTGGCAAGCAAGGTCGTGCGGACGACGGCGCGCGTGGGACTCCAAGGCGACGCATGAGAAGTGCCCAGCAGACGGAGTATGCCCACTATACCCGGTTGAAATGCAAGCATCTGTTCGTACTGGTACCCACCAAGTGGGTGCGCCATGCCGACGAAGTACACCGTATCCCAGCGCACGAACGGCACGGCCCACGTATCCCAGGCGACCTCCCTATCAGCGCCAGGGATGGTCCATCGCAGAAGCGCTCCAGATGTATCGAAGGCCGTCTGTGTGTGGGTCGTGATAATCAGTGTGGCCACGCATACCAGGCGCCACAGGACCGAGGCGACCAGCACGCGCGCTGCCGCCCGGCGCACGGAGCGTTGCATGTGGAGAAGGCGGCGGCGCTACATCACGTGGAGGCCGCGTGAGCGTCTTCTTCCTGGCGCGATGGTGTTGGCTGACCTGGGGCGGCGCCTGAACCAGGCGTTTGCGGACTTGCAACGCCAGCCGACCGTCGATGGGGCAACAGTCGATCTTCTTCTCAAGCAAGTGTGCAGTGCGCTGCTTGCGAGCGATGTGAATGTGCGCCTCGTACAGAAGCTGCGGCAGGACGTCAAGGCAGAGGTCCAAACGATGCTGAATGAAAAGAGCCATGCGGATAGCCAGACAGATGCGCAGCGCAAGCATCAGGTGCAAAAGATTGTGTTCGAGTACCTTGTGAAGCTCGTCGATGCGGGAGGCAGCGCCAACCACCGCCTCGAGAAGGGCCGGCAGAGCGTCATTATGTTTGTCGGTCTGCAGGGCTCAGGCAAGACGACGTCGTGCACGAAGCTGGCGCTGTGGTACCAGAAGCGCGGATACAAGACAGGACTGGTGTGCGCGGACACGTTCCGCGCGGGTGCGTTTGATCAGCTGAAGCAGAATGCGGCCAAGGCGCATCTTCCGTTCTACGGCTCGTACACCGAGACGGACCCCGTGGCGATTGCGTCGGCGGGTGTCGCGTCGTTCAAGAAGAACCGCTTTGATATCATTATTGTCGACACGTCAGGGCGACACAAGCAGGAGAAGGACCTGTTTGACGAAATGATCGATATTAGCGCAGCGATCAAGCCGACGCAGACCATCATGGTGCTCGATGCGAGCATTGGCCAGGCAGCCGAGGCGCAGTGCCGCGCATTTAAGGAGGCCTCAAACTACGGTGCGCTGTTTGTCACGAAGCTCGATGGCCACGCAAAGGGTGGCGGTGCCATCTCGGCGGTGGCCTCGACGCAGACACCGATCCTCTTTATCGGTACGGGCGAGCATATTCATGACCTCGAGCCATTCCGCGCGCGGCCGTTTGTGTCCAAGCTGCTCGGCCTGGGTGACCTGTCAGGCCTTATGGACAAGATCGAGGAGGTGCAGATGAATACGGACGTGCAGGAGCGGCACAAGGATATGATGAAGAAGATCCAGGAAGGCGGAGCTTATACGATCCGCGACTGGCGCGAGCAGATCACCCAGATTATGAGCATGGGTCCCATGTCGAAGATGGCCGGGATGATCCCTGGTATGGGCGCCATGTTCAATGATGGCGCGAACGACCAGATGGCATCGAATAAGTTCAAAACGATGCTCTACATCATCGACAGTATGACACCGGCCGAGCTCGACTCGGACGGTAGCTGCTTCACGACGCCGGTCGCACGCAAGGAAGCGCAGGACGACAAGGCCAAGCCGCAGCTGCGTCTCAATGCGCGTGCGCGGCGCGTTGCGCGCGGAAGTGGCACGAGCATGCGCGATGTCGAGGAGTTCCTTTTGCAGTACCGCACAATCAGCACGATGGTCAAAAAGGTTGGCGGGAAGAACAGCTGGCTACAGCAGATGCAGGGCGGCCGCGGTCGCGGTGCGCCACCGATGCTGCCGCCTGGCATGTCGCGCGAGCAGGTGATGAAGATGCAGAATGCCCTGCCCGCCGACATCAAGGCGCAGCTGCGCCAGCCCGGTGGGCGCGAGCAGCTGATGCGTCAGCTACAGAGCGGCAATGTCCCGCCCTCCCTCGCTGCGATGGGCGGTATGCCCGGCCTGGGCGGCCTGCCTGGCCTGGGCGGTGGCTTGCCCGACATGTCGCAGATGCAGCAGATGATGCAGGGCATGGGCGGCCTGGGCGGCCTGATGTCTGCGATGCGTGGAGGTTCTTCGTAGACGTAGAAATTCGGCGTTTTGACACCTCCACTCTTCTTCAGGCCATGGTGCGGACCGTGGCGCAGGAGAGCAGCTATGCGTACGCGCCGCCGACTGACGCAGATATCCATGGACAGCCTGTATCCAGGCCTTTTATCGACGATACCCCAACCCACAGGCGCAGCATGTGCTGACGGTCGATGTAGTTGATCGCCACATCGAGGAGCGACCCCCCCGAACGGCCGGTGGCGCACCGGTGCCGGTGCTGTGCACATCGCGCCTCCTGCTGAAGCGCGGCTCGCTGCCCAAGTGGGCGCCAGCGGGCATTATCAAAAACTCGACGTCCTGGGTGCTCGAAGAGAGCGAAGTCGATCTTATGCCGTCGGAAGACGGCGCACCACGTACCATGTCCACGTGGACTCGCAACCTCGACCATACGTCGGTGCTGGCCGTCACCGAGGCGCTGCGATTCACTGAGGCCATGCCGCGCGATGCGTCTATGACGCACTGCCATATCGCTGCGCATGTGAGCTCGGGCGTGTCGTTCCGCCTCCTGCGTGGCCGCATTGAAAAGTTTGGGCTCAAGCGCTACCTCTCGCACATGGAGTCGTCGCGGCAGGGGCTTGTTTGGTCGATCCACCAGATTGCGCCGCAGCTCTCAGGCGACCCTGCGCCCGTGCTCGTCGACCCGACGTCTCGCCGCCGGCGTCTTTTGCATGCACTGCGCCCGCCGTTTCTCGACGGCTATCCACTGGGCCCCTGGCAGTGGGTGCGGAAAAAGTGGGGCCAGCTTCGCGACAAGCTGCATAGCGCTCATGTACTATAAGAGTCATCACTTAGCACGATCACTTCGCGCACGCGTGCCTCAAGGAACTGCACGTCGCTATCATCAGACGGCGCCATCTGCTCGAGGTACTCGTCGAGGCGCGGCGGCGGCGTGCTGGCCCGCGGCACCGCTACGAGGCATGCCTGCACATGCGCTGCGTCGTGCCGCTGTGCGCGCAGGAGGGCGACCGGCACCCACGCTCGCCGCTTGCACGGCGCACACGACTCGCGCATGTCGAGCGCCTGGCACACTTGGTCCACAAAAGGCCGGGCCTCGTACGAGACGCGCGCTTCGTCGCGCTGCCCTACGCGCCGCCGGGCATGAACAGAGAGAACAGCCGAGCGCCGTGGCCCTGTCATTAGGGCGGCCATCGCATCGGTCAGCTCGTCCACGGACGTGCGGTGCGCCGTGGCCAGGAGTCGGCGCACATACACGCCAGACCACACGGCGCGCTCAAAGCGTGCGAGCACCGTCGACGGACTCCATGCAAAGAGCGTCTGTGCCTCGCGTGCCATGGCGCGCAGCGACGCGGCCCCGCTGTGCGCGGCGAGGCGCTCTAGCTGGGTGCGCCTGGGCGTGCGCTCCGACGTGCAAGGCCAGATATAGTCAAAAAGCCAGCGGCGCGCGCGTGCGTCGCCGAGAAACGCGGATGTACGAAGCGTCTGCGCTACTCTGGGCTGCTTGCGTGCGAGGCGGCCATGCGAATTCGTCAGTAGCTCATGCGCCATATCGTTGCGCCATTGGGCTACGAAGGTGTCCCATGCCGCGCAGCTGGCGTCCAGCTGTGCTTTTGAGGCGGTCGGTGGAAAATGCTGGCGAAACTGCGCAGCGAGTGAGCTGCCGTAGCCGCCGCGTGCGAGAGCCATGGCCGTCTGGGTAAGCGAGAGCGCCACGTACACGGATACCGCACGCTGGACAGCCATGGGCGTCATAGTCGCCACCTGCCAGCAGGGCGACCAGCACGAGCGCATCTGCGTCGTACGGCCACGCTGCGCTGCGCGTATCGAGCACAGCGACCGTATCTGGCAGCGCTTCGGCGCTGACGGCGCGATGGCGGAGCACGACGCTCGCACCGAACAGGAGGGTATCGACGTCGTCGGTCAGTACGCCATCGAGGGTGCCATGCGCGCTAAGCCACGCAAGCTCTGCTTCCGCCTCGGCAGGCGCACGCCAGTGCGCAAATCCAAAGGCACGCACGAGCGCCTGGAACGGCGCCTCGAGGGGATGCGTGCCGAGCCACACGGGCGCGCCGCGCTTCATCGCAGGCCGCGCCGTGCCATCCAATACAAATAGGGGAGCGACCGGGAGCGCCAAGAGCCGCACGAGGCGGAAGAAGACAAGGCGCAGCTCCGGCTCGGCGCCGCCCCGACTCTTGCGCGCATGGTACAGCCACGACGTCGCATCAATCCCCAGGCGAAAGAGCGTGGACGTGCGCGCCCAGTGCGCCCACGCCAGGTCCGCGAGCGTCGCGTCCGTAGCGTGGTCCGCGAGCTCACGCCACAGCCCTGGGACGCCCATAGGGCCGCACAATGGTGGCTAGTGGAGGCTATGGGGACGGAGGCTCGAGGTCGCGGCGGCGCGCATCGAGCGTGGCTGCCAGGAGGCCGCCGCGAGCCTGCGAGAGGACGCCGGCGAGCTGCTGGCCGGGCGCGCTGACCAGACCGACGATCTGGGCCCGCAGCGTCGCGAGGTCTGGCAGCTTGGTCAGCGCCGGCAGGCCCTGCGCCTCGATGAGGCGCGTATGCTCCACGACAGCGACGAGCGGCGCGATCTTCGGCACCTTTTTGCCGCTCTTGGGGTCGACGGCAGCGGCGGCTGCCCTCAGGGGCTTTTCCATCGCGCGCAGCAGGCGGCCGACGTACTCGGGCGACAGGACGGGGCACGCCAGGAGCGCGAGCTGCCCGTGCAGGTAGGGACCGAGCTGTTGGATGGCCTCCGAGTCGTGCTTGCGGCACACGGGGCGCAGCAAGCCGGTGCGCACGACCGAGAAGCGGCTCGCCGGGCGGTCCCACGGCTGGCCACCGTTCAGCGCGACGAGGCGCTCATGGTCCGTGGTCGGGATCGGGACGTGTGCAATCTGCGCACGCACAGCGTTCATCAGCGGCATGCTCACGTTTTCCGTCTCAAACAGGAGGAGCAGCTCGCTCTCCTTCATCAGGCGCTCGTACATGCCATACAGGTACGTCTTGCGGTCGCTCAGCTTGGTGCGGCGGTCCTGGTACGCAAAGTGCCGAGTCACTTTGGCGCTGCGCGCACTGCTTGCATATGCGCGCGCGCACATCACCTGGGCCTGGCGCTGCAGCGCGGCCATCGGCCGCCACGCCCTGTCCATGGTCAGAGGAGAGGCCGCCGCCCCCTTCGCGTCGTCTTCTTATCACGTGATAGAAATGTCCGTGCGGCGCCGCAGCGCCGGCCCCCGCCATGCGCCCGCTGCCGGGCGAGCTCGTACCGCTGGTCCTCGCACAGCTCGCCTGGCGCACGGCCGATCTCGCACGGTGCTGCCTCGTGTGCCGCTGGTGGTACCACCATGCGGTTCCGCTCCTGTACGAGCGCCTATGGCTACGTGACCAGACGCGCCTCGTGCGCGTGTTCCAGACGCTCGCCAGTGCACCGGCGCTCGCGCGGTGGCTGCGCATCGTCGAGTTGCGTGTGTTCCCATTTGGGATGCCAGCTGAGCGTCTCGAAGAGCTCGAGGCACATATCGTGCAGGCACTGCAGCACGCCACACACCTGCGCGTCCTTGCGTGGACGCGCACGGGGAGCCTGAGTGACCGCGTGCTGGTCGGGCTCTTCGACAAGATGACGTGCCTCGAGCGCCTCGAGCTCACAGGGAACACGCGCACTTGGTCGCCGGCGGTGCTCGCGCGCCACATGCCGCGCACAGTCACAGAGCTCTCATTCGTGCTCCCTGACCGCGCGCTCGCCGAGCACCTCGTGGCGCTCGTGGCCCGCCTCGACGGCCGCTTGCGCCGCCTCACGCTCCTGTGCCTCGATTCGTCGGTGGTCACCGATGCGCTTCTCGTGCAACTGGCGCCGCATGCACCGCGCCTCACGTCGCTCACGCTCGTCGGGTGCAAGCAGGTGCATGGTCCCGGCGTGCACGCGCTCGTATCGCCTGCGTTACGTGAGCTCGCTCTGGAGGCTGTGGCGCTCGCGCCCGATGAGCTCGTCGCACTGGCGCCGCGCGTCTCCCAGGTCGAGCGCCTCACGCTGACGACGCCGCGGCGCCTGAACGAGGCGCCCGCGTTCTTTGCGGCGAGTGCACATCTCGTCGACACCTGCTCGGGCCTGCGCTACCTTACTATGTATGCAAGAGGCGGGCGCGCCCCCGGCGGCCCGAGCGAGGCGCCGACGCACACCGCCGACCCCGCGCCGCAGTGGCGGCTTGACCCGGGGTGGCTGGAGCGTCTGTGCATGAGCCGCTCGGCCACGACCCTGCAGGGCCTGCAAATCCACGGCCTCGCCGTCTCGCAAGCGCAGCTCACGCGGCTGGCGGCCGCTCCCCTCGCCACACACCTGCATGAGCTTGCTGTGTACGTCGTCGATGCCGAGCCCGAGGTCCTGGCGCGAGCCGTCCGCTCCTTCCCGGCGCTGCGCCTTCTCCACTGGGTTGCGCCGGCCGAATCCGCGCTGCCTCTGGAACGCGAGGACCTTGACGAGCTGCTTGCCCATGCCGGCCCGTGGCTGCAGCAGGTCGGCGTCGGCAACCGCGTATGGCTCGTGCACACGGGGCCGGCCGGCCGTATGCTCGTGCCGTGGGACATGGCGCGAGGCACCTTTCCCTCGACGATGCTGGTCGTGCGCAGCTAGGCGAGCTCGAGGGACAAGTACTCGGCTTGCCGTGCGCGCCGGCCCACGAAGCTTGCCAGGGTCGCGCGCAGTGTGCTGAACATGGTCGGCTCCTGCAACTCGAGCGACGTATCGGGGCGGTGCCACCCCTTGAGAGAGAGCGAGCTCAGCACCACACTCACGCTGCTCAGTGTCATCGCGAGACCGGCCATCATGGGATGCATGTGGATGCCCCACGGCAAGAAGACACCCATCGCAATCGGAATCATTACCACATTGTACATCGTAGCCCACACATAGTTCAGACGGATTTGTTGGAAGATCCGCTGGCACAGCAAAAAGGCGATCGGCACATCCATCAGCTGGTTGCGCATAAGCACAATGGACGCCGCGCTCATCGCAATGTCCGAGCCGGAGCTCAGCGCAATGCCCACATCGGCGGCCGCCAGCGCCGGCGAGTCGTTCACGCCATCGCCGACCATCGCCACGCCTGTCGGCGCCTCAGGCACAAGCGCCGCCCACAGCGCCGCCCACCGCGTCGCTGGCGGCTCGCGCGGGGCCACATGCTCCTGGTGCAGCAGCACGAGCTTGCCATTGGGACTCAGACCCGCCTGGACGTGCGCGAGGGGAATACCGACCTCCTTGGCGACCGCGCGCGCCGTGCTTACTGTGTCGCCCGTCATAATACTGCAGGTCATGCCCATCCGATGCAGGAGCTCCACCGCGCGCGCCGCGTCCGGCTTGATGGTATCGGCGAGGGCAAAGGCCGCCACAAGCGCATCGTCGAGCCATGCATACACCATCGTGCATCCGCGCGCCTCGTGCGGCTCGCGAAATGCTACCGCACCGGGCGGGAGCGGCGTCGAGTGCAGTGACTCGCGCCCAACGTGCACGGCGTACGTGTGCCCCTCGCATACGCCCCTCGCGCGGACGCCAGCCCCCTGCACAGCCTCAAAGTCCGTCACCGTCACCGTGCCGCGCAAGCTGCCTGCCAACGTCTCGCAGTGCTGCACGAGTGCCTGCGCCAGGACGTGCTCGCTGCGGCTCTCCACGGCGTGGACGAGGGCCGCGGTGCGCCCCGCGGGCACGTCCGGGGCGTCCCAGCGGTCTACGACGCGCAGCTCACCACGCGTGAGGGTACCTGTCTTGTCAAAGACGACGTGCGCGATGCTGCATGCCGCCTCGAGGGAGCTGCCCGACTTGATTAAGATGCCGTTCGAGGCGCCGACGCCGGTGCCGACCATCACGGCCGTCGGTGTGCTGAGCCCCAAGGCGCAGGGACATGCAACGACAATCACGCTAATGCACAGCTTCATGCACTCCATGAACTTGCCTTGCGCGCTGCGCAGCATGTGCGGCTGCCATGTCGGGGGGAATACGTAGGCGACCGTCAGCCACACGAGGAGGGTGCACAAACTCAGCACGAGGATGCACGGGACAAATACGCCGGCAACGCGGTCCGCGTACGCCTGGATCGGCGCCTTGCTCGTCTGCGCGTCCTGCACGAGAGTGACGATCTGGCTCAGCGCCGTGTCTTTGCCGGCGCGCGTCACGACAAAGTCGAGTGTGCCCGTGCCGTTGACCGTGCCACCAATGAGCTGGCTGCCGGGCGTCTTGCGCACTGGCACGTACTCGCCGGTGATCAGGCTCTCGTCCACGGCACTCTCGCCGTGCTTTACGACTCCATCGGCGGCTATGCGCTCGCCAGGCACGAGCTTGACCGTGTCGCCCACTTGGAGCAGCTCAACGGGCACGACACGCTCGACCGTGCAAGCGTCGTCCTCGTAGATGGTGGCTTTTTGCGGCGTCATGCGCATGAGCCGCGTGAGCGCCTCGCTCGTGCGCCCTTTCGCCGCATTCTCAAGGTACCGCCCGAGCGTGACAAAGGTAATTAGCATCGTCGACGTCTCAAAGAACGTCTTGGGCGGCTTGCATGTGTCGCGCGTACTGCAGTGCAGTGCGAGCAGCATGGACACCACACTGAACGTCCACGACGCCATCGTGCCGAGGACCACAAGCGTGTCCATCGTTGCGGTGCCGTGCTGGAACGCCTTGTACGCACTGCGGAAGAAACGCCACCCAATCCCAAACTGGACAGGCAGCGTGAGAAGCAGCGCGAGCAAGTCCTGCGCGTACAGGCCCGGGAGCAGCTGTGCGTGCAGCACCGCGTGGAAGAACGAGAGGCGTGAGAGCACCATATGCAGCAGAAACGCGGGCACCGCAAAGTACAGGCACGAGACAAAGGCCTGCCACCACTCCTGCACCTCGCGCACGCGCGTGAGGCTGCTCAGCTGCGACTCGTCGCGGTCATCAAAGAGAATCGCGTCAAAGCCGGCGTCCTCGACAGCCTGCACAAGCGCCCGCACACTCGTAGTGCCGTGCTCAAAGTGCACCTGCGCGCGCTGCAGCGCAAGCGATACGGCCACCGAGGTCACGCCCGGCACATCGCGCAGCGCCCGCTCGACAGACGACGTGCACGACGCACACGTCATCCCGTACACTGACAGCGTCACCTCATTGTCGCGCGCCTCCTCCAGCACCTCTGCGTCGAAGCCAATGTCTTCTATAGCCTCGGCCACTTTTTCACGCGTCCACTGCGCCGCGTCAAACTCAACGACGGCCCGCTCGGCCAGCAGGGCCACCGAGACGCTCACGATACCGGACTGCTGCCCCAGCATCGTCTCGATGCTCGACACACACGAGCCGCATGTCATGCCCTTCACATGCAGTTCGACGCGCTCGGTACCTGCGTCGCCTGCATGCGCTACTGTCCCCATCGTGGCGCTGTGGCGGCGGAACTGAATCACGCGTTCGGCAGCACGGGCGACCAGATGCACCTCCACCTTATGCCCACGGCCTGGGCGACGCCGCCGCCCATGGGGCGGCCGAGCGTGCCCTCCTCGGAGCCGGCGCTCGATGAGGTGGGGGGCATCGGCGATGCGGTGCCAGCGGCAAGTGATTCACCGACAGCTGTGTCAGCGAGCGCGCGCATCATGGCGGAGGCGCGCGAACGCGCGCGCGCTGCCATGGACGCCACCCCCGAGCTGTCCGACATGCTGGGCCTGGACGACGACTCGGACGATGAGGCACTGCGCGTGCCGCGCCGTCCGCGCCGCGCCGCGTCACAGCGTGGCACGTACCGAGACAAGCTGAGTCTTACGCGGCCTGCGGACGAACGCGCACAGCGGCAGCATGGCGTGCCGAAACCGCTGACTTTGGCCCAGAGCAAGTACTCGCTCGAGGCACTCAGCCGCGACAAGGCGCGTCGCGAGCGCCGTGGCCTCCTACCACAGCAATATGCGGACGTTGACGCGCTGATTGCGCAAATCGACGCGCCGACGGACCGGACCGATCCCCATGCGGCGCTCTGGACGACACTCGACGCGCCTGAAGCCGAGCACCTCGTGCACCTCGTGAAGCTCGACCAAGTCGGACGCACCTCACATACCCCCCTTTTGTCTTCGTTCTGGCGCACTGACCCGCCGCCCGTGATCGAGGTCGACCCGAGCGAGGCAGCGGTGCTCTCGTGCCTGCGGTGGCAGCCGTGGCTCTCTTCCGATCTTGTGGCACCGATGATGCGGCTCTGTCTTGCGCGAGACGAGTGCTTAGCTCGCCGTGCGCGCGCAGCGCTGGTGGTGCGCAGCGACTGCGTGGGTCGCCTCGTAGTGCCGCTGCTAGCGGCGATGGGCGCGGATACCGACGTGCTCGCGCGCGCCGCTGGCGCAGCGGTGGCGCCGCTCGCCGCGTGGAACATGCCCAGCCCACGTCTCCAGGCCATGATGCGCCTCTGGCAGCTGCTGGCCAGCTGCTCCTTGTACGTGCGTGTCACTAACGCAGTGATGCCGATATCGCGCTTCCTCTGCTCCCCGTTCTCGTATACATGGGTGTGACTGCGCCGCTGGACAGGCGTCCGTGGCTCCGTGAGCGCGTCCTGACGCATTTGGCTGATGCGGTACGTGTACCTCGCTGATGCAGGTGGCCGATTCCGCTGCTGTGGCTGCGCGCCTCGTACATCTAGGGCTCGCATTGCGGCCGTCTGAGCAGGTGGCGCTAGTGCATGCGGTGCCCTCGGGCCTGCGCGCAGTGCGTGCGTGCGTGGCATGGCACCTGGTGCTGCAGACATCCTATACGCAGCTGCGCCCTGATCTGGGCGCGCTTGCACGCGTATGCGGTGCAGCTGTACCGTCACACGACTACACCCAGCTGGCCCCAGGCATTGCGCTGTTATCGCTTGCGCTCTCGGACCTCCTGGCGCACTGGGCCACGAGCGACGCGCAGACTGCCCTACGGAGTATAACGCCCGTCGCCCAGGGCGTGTGGGCCCTGCACCGGCGTATTCCTGACGCACACGGAGGCGCGGACATGGCGCGCAGTGCGGTAAAAGATGGTGTGCAGCGCCTGGGCCTGCGGCTGTGGTACCAGGCTAAATACTACGTCGAGCGCCAGCATGATCGGGGTCGCCTGCTGCCGCTTTTGGAGGGCCTCGCGCCCCATCGGGACGGCGCCTAGGCCAGCTCGATCTTGCCGCCGGCCTTCTCGACGGCCTCCTTGATCTTCTCCGCGTCCTCCTTTGTGACGTTCTCCTTGAGGGTCTGTGGCGCGGACTCGACGAACTTCTTCGCCTCGACCAGGTTCATATTGGTGTTGATAGCCTTGACTTCCTTGATGACCTTGGCCTTGGCGCTGTCAGTCGCCAGACCCACAAACTTGAGAGTGAAGAGCGTCTTCTCCTTCGGCTTCTCCTCCGCCGGCGCCTCCTCCGCCGGCGCCGCCGCCGGCGCGGCGGGCGCAGCAGCAGGCATCGCAATGTCGGTGATGTTCAGACGCGTCTTGAGTTCCTGCACGAGCTCCGCGGCTTCCAGCAGGGTCAGCTTCTCGATGCTGTCTACGATGCCGGCGATTTTCGGCGACGCAGCCGAGTCCTCCAGGGCACGCACAGACTGACTGAACATCCTCATAGGCATAGGCCGGGCGCTGCGCAGGGCCAGCGCGGCGCGGCGGGCAGCAACAGAGGCGGGCATCATTATGGCGACAGAGAACGAAGATCGACCACGACCGAGCCGCCGAGCAGAAAGGCACGTGATGCAACGCGTCGGGTGCCGCCCGTCGCGTTTTCCCCTGCCACCACGATGGCTGCTCCCCCGATCCGCGAGGGCATTCGCACGCGCTCGGCTGCCAAGCAGGCGCAAGCCACAGCCGCCCAGACACCTGTCACGCCGCCTCCTACTGAGAGCAAGTATGCTCACGGCTACTGCAAGCCGGATCTACGCGACCCGCAGATCGTCGGCGGCGGCAAGGAGCGCGCGGTCGTGCAGTACATGCCCGGCATCGTCATCTCCGAGCAGGGGCGCGAGCGCGACAAGGCTATGGACAGCCACTACGAATACGAGTTTGGCGGTCCCTGGGGTGTGACGGCCATGATCACGCTCTTCCCCATGCTCATGTACTACCTGTGGATTTGCCTGTGGTTCTACGATGGGCAGTTTGCGCACCCCCAGAGCCTGCGGGATGTGATTCCCTTCTTCCAGCGCATGGCGCACCATGTGTATGAGGATGCGTTCCCTACGTCGCGTGCGTTCATCGGCTACGGGGGGCTTATGCTGGTCGAGTTTGTCCTTGCGTGGGTGATGCCCGGCTACATGCAGGAGGGTCTCCCGGTGCCGTCCCTTGGATACAAGACACTCATGTACAAGTGTAATGCGCTCGGATGCCTCTACGTAACGCTGATCATTGCCGCTACGCTGCACGTCACGGGCGTGTACCGCTTGACGCAGATCATCGAGCACTTTGGCGAGTACATGACAGTGAGTATGATTGCAGGCTTTGCGGTAAGTTTCGCCACCTACTTCCACGCCGTGATCACCAAGACGACGCACCGAATGAGCGGCAACTTTGTGTACGACTTCTTCATGGGTGCCGCGCTGAACCCTCGTATCGGCCCGATCGACCTCAAGATGTGGGCCGAGGTGCGCATTCCCTGGATTCTGCTTTTCCTCATCAGCGTGAGCGGTGCATGCCAGCAGTACGAGAAGTACGGATACGTGACACCGAACATGGCATTCATGGTGTTGGCAACGGGTCTGTACATCAACGCGTGCGCCAAGGGCGAGGAGTGCATTCCCCAGACGTGGGACATGTTCCACGAAAAGTGGGGCTTCATGGTCATCTTCTGGAACTTTGCTGGTGTGCCGTTCACGTACTGCTACAGCATCGTGTACATGGCGGCGCACCCACCGGAATACTACCGCTTCTCGACGCCAACGTACGTGTTCATGTTCTCGCTGCTGCTCTTTGCGCACTTTGTCTTTGACTCGTCCATGGCCCAAAAGTCGCGCTTCCGCATGCAGCTGCAGGGCACGCTCAAGGTGCGCTGGTCGTTCCCGCAGTGGCCCTGGAACACGCTGAAGGACCCACGCTACCTGCAGACAAGGCACGGCAATGCGCTGCTCATCGATGGCTGGTGGCAGTTCCTGCGCAAGCCCAACTACACGGCGGACTGGACGCAGGCCTTCTTGTGGGGCGCCATCGCCGGCACACGCTCGATCATTCCCTACTACTACTCAGCCTTTTTCCTTGCCGTGCTCACGCATCGCTGTGGCCGTGACTTCGAGCGCTGCGCCCGCAAGTACGGCAAGGACTGGGACAAGTACTGCCAAATCGTGCCGTACCGCTTCATTCCGTTCGTGTATTAAGTAGCCTGTAGTGCCACGTGCTTCGTACGGCGACCCCCCGCGCCGCTCCGTGCGCCGCGACCTGCATGAGCGAGGCTCGCCTCCCGGCCGGCGATCCTATCCCTGGCTCCGACGCACATTTGCTCGCCACCGTAGGCGGCGACGTGGCATTGCCGGCTCTCCTCGCACAAGCTCCAGCTCCAGCGAGTGCCGAGGCCCCCTCCGCTGCGGACACCCGCGACACTGATCGGGCCACCCTCTCGACCGCAGACGACCAAGATGTGACTCTTCCTGCTGCAGGTGAGCTGAATGAACGGCCCGGCGATCTCATACGGTTTACCATGTACGAGTCTAGGCGCCATTTCTACCTCGTCTCGTGCAACTCCAGCCAGACTAAATATCATGTCCTCAAGATCGATCGTGTCCCCCCTATTGCAACGCAGGACAAGCCGGTCCAGGATGATGCGGCACAGCATGAGACACCCAGTACAGTGCCACTTGTGACGGTGCCCGAACCTCAGCCGCCTGCGACACCCACGCGGCCCAAGCACTCTCACAAACGGGACAAGAGCATGTCCAGTGTCGTGCTCAGTATCGCTGGCGATGAAAACGATCTGCACTTGCGGGCGGGAAATGCGCCTTCCGGCACGCTATCTTCTGAGATCACCGAGCTCGCCTCGTCGCTTGTCTCGGAGCGCGATGCAGGCGCTACCCCACCGCCTGACCAGCATGGCAAGTATCTCGGTCTGTACGATTCCGATATACAGCACCTGCGACTGACGGCCGAATGGAAGAGCTACGTGGGCGATGCAGGCGATCTACACCTCATGCAAGATGCGCCGGAGCGCACTGTGCCGCCCATCTCCGCGTTGGGCTCCAGTCGTTCGCCCAAATCGTCGCACCGCACGTCGCACGTGGCGAGCTCCAAAGAGCCTGAGCCGGCAACGACAGAGCCCAAAGACAAGCCTGACATGATGCTCGATCCGTCTAGCGACGCTGCATGGGCGCTTCACGTTACAGGATACAGCACCGACTACACACCAGCTCAAGTGGAGCACTTACTGGAGCGCATCCGGGAAGAGTCTCGGCCTGGCGGCGGTCTCCGCGATGTCGGGCGCTTCTTTGGTCTTGTGGGCTTTGTTCGGTTCACGTCGGGGTACTACATGGTGCTCATTTCCAAACGAAGTGCCGTTAGCCTCATTGGCGGTCATTATATCTACCATTGCGACGAGACGCAGGTCGTCCCTGTCTGCCATCCCAGCACGCTATCGAGCGTACCAGGTCGCTCCAAGCTTAAGGACCAGCAGGAGGCACAGCAGCTGCGATCGTTCCGCCAGGTGGATCTTGGCAAAAACTTTTACTTCAGTCATACGTACGATGTCACACGGACCCTCCAGGAAAACATGACGGGCCCGCGTGTGGCCCATCGCATCCACAGCACCTCGGCGTGGGGCTACAAGGAAAAGTTTATGTGGAACTACCATCTGCTTGTCCCTGCCTTTTCCGACTGTCAGTGCCAGCGCCCTGACGAACCAATGGCGTCGTCTCAGCTCGCAAAGCGCCAGTGGGTCGTTCCTCTTGTGCACGGGTTTGTGGATCAGGCGAAGCTCAGTGTGCTGGGCACCGCTATCTATGTGTCTCTCATTGCGCGGCGCTCCCGACACTTTGCCGGCGCGCGCTTCTACAAGCGTGGCATTGACGCCGACGGGCATGTGGCCAACGACGTGGAGACAGAGCAGGTCGTTCACAAGCCTGTGACCAGTCCCTTTTTTGCGCCGCCGGCACGGAGTACCGAAAAAGAGCCAGCACCGCTGCGCCCATCACCACACTTTACGTCGTACGTGATGATGCGCGGCTCGATCCCCGTCTACTGGACACAGGACTCGACGAATATGTCGCCACGACCGCCCATCGAGATTTCTGTGGTGGACCCATATTTTGCGCCGGCCGCACGGCATTTCAATGAGCTATTCCACTCGTATGGTACACCAGTCATTGTCTTGAATCTCGTGAAAGGGAAAGAGCGACAGCCTCGCGAGTCCAAACTGCTTAAGGCCTACAATGAATGTATTCAGCAGCTTAACCAGTTTTTACCTCCAGACGATGCTGGGAAAGATCGCCGCATACGTTATTTAGCATGGGACATGAGTCGTGCCAGCAAGAGCCGGACTGACAATGTGATCGACTTTCTAGAGCGCCTCTCGGAAGATACGCTTCGCTCCACCCGCTTTTTCCATTCAGGACCCTTGCCTTCGAGCTTGCAGCGCACGGACGGGTCGCCCAGCCACCCGATCCTCCTGCAGAATGGTGTTGTGCGGCTCAACTGTGTCGACTGTCTCGATCGTACGAATGCTGCGCAGTTTGTTCTGGGCAAAGCCGCATTTGCTCATCAACTTCATGCTTTGGGCCTCCTGAAACACGTACATCTTTCGTTCGACTCGGACGCTGTAAATATGCTCACGGAGATGTACCACGATTTGGGCGACACCATTGCACTTCAGTATGGTGGGTCGGCGCTCGCGCATACGACCGACACGTACCGGAAGATCAATCACTGGTCCTCGCATTCACGCGATATGCTCGAGGGCATCCGGCGGTACTATGCAAATTCGTTTGCAGATGCGGAAAAACAGGCTTCCATCGATCTCTTCTTAGGCCAAGCGCCCAGCGAGATGTCGGTGCCGCCCCACTCGGACTTTGGTCCCATTGAGACCTGCTGTATCCAGCACCTGGCTTCTGATGAAGATGTAGGTGCCAAAACTGCGCACTTGGTCCACTTTGCCAATACCGAGAAGGGATTCTGGGAGGGTTACTACCGCCCAAGCCTATTTACCGAGTACGTCTAATTCACTAACTCAGTCTACAACGACATCATGCATACAAAATGACTGCCGTACACCTTGCGAGTGCCGAGTTGGGCGACCCTCTTCCGACTCTGAACGAGGACCAGGAGACGCTGCCGCCGCCACTAGCCATGCCTTCACACACTTCGAACTCTGTGATTCTTTCTCCTTCGGGATCTCTACACCGTTCAATCATCGGTGGTATGCGTCGCTGGATGGGCTCCTCACAGGGCTTACGCCACAAACTACCAGGGAAGACGCCCGGCCAGCCCGCCAGCAACGAGGGTGCAGGCCCTCATGTGACGTCCCGTGGCTCTGAAAAGCCAAACCATGATCATACCAACACACTCGAGTCTTTAGTGCAACGCACATTGGCGCCCTACATATCACGAGCCGAAGCCCGCGAGTATCAAGCTTACTGCTCACAGTTTGACCACATGCCCTTTCGAATATCTTATCGCGCCACCGACGGAGATATGCAAGTGTATGAAAACACGTCTTCATTGGGCAACGGTATTATTGAGATGATCAGTGATACTCAACATCGTACTGACAGCTTACCCATGGCCAACTTCGACAACGCGTACGCGGTCTTCACGCAGCATTTCCAGCAGCCGCTGGCCTTCGTGCCCTCCACCTCGGCGGCCATGCGCGTGGCATCCCATTAGACATGTAATTGTACCTAGTAGGGCTTACTTGATCACGCTTGCGCGTCGGTGGTTCACCGCTTGTTGCTTGCGTCGACTGCAATGAACAGTGTGTTGAGCAAGTTCGCCCCTTCGGATCTTCTCCCTATCCGGGATCTTGAAGAGGATCAAGGCGCACTAAACTCTCAGTTCTCTTTGCCCGCTTCTGACCCTGGTCGCTTCTTGGCCCAATTTACCGATGTGGATTCTACGAACCAAAACGCTCGGATCAAGCTCAACCACGGCACGACGACGCTTGCTTTCCGATACAAAGGTGGTGTAGTGGTGGCTGTGGACTCTCGCGCCTCTGCTGGCTCCTATATCGCGTCAGGCTCTGTCAAAAAGGTGATTGAAATTAATCCCTACCTCCTTGGTACGATGGCAGGTGGTGCAGCAGACTGCCAGTACTGGGAAACTTACCTTGGCATTCAGTGTCGCTTGCACGAATTGCGGAATAAGGAGCGCATTTCGGTGGCTGCCGCCTCTAAAATTCTAAGCAACCTAGTCTACTCTTACAAGGGCATGGGCCTGAGCATGGGCACAATGATCTGTGGATGGGACAAGACGGGTCCTGCCATTTTTTACGTGGACTCGGATGGATCGCGTATGAAGGGTGATTTGTTTTCTGTCGGCTCGGGTTCGACATTTGCATACGGTGTGTTGGACCAGGGATACCACTGGGATCTGTCGGACGAAGAGGCGCTTGACCTCGGCCGCCGAAGCATCTACGCCGCTACGCACCGCGATGCGTACTCAGGAAACGTAAGTTTGTTTGAACTAATGACAGACTATCAACCTGTACCATATGGGCCCCAACGGATGGAAGTTTATCGCTAACTACGATGTTATGCAGCGTACGTGACCTCAGACTAACCCTAGTCCATTACGAGGGTGTACCTGACCAGGTGCCCAATGTCCCAGCTGGTGGTTATGGCTACAATGTGCGCACCGATGGTCTGTCCTCGAAAGACGACAAGCACTAGGAAGATACTTTATCATAGGCTGTACATGCTACGTATGATACATAGACTCAGAGCGAGCAGCACGAGTCGGTTTCATAATAATTGTCGGTTCTTTCGTGGATAAGGGGATCGAGTTCAAAAACTCATCCTCTTCCGCATCATGATCAATGTGGGGGTATTCCCAGGCGTCGGTGTCAAAATCGATCTTAGGGTCGTCGAAAGCATCATCGCGCGTATCCAACTCATCTCTGCCAAACATAGAATACGGCATTGTACTCATGGGGTATGCATTCGACATTTCAGGGTCATGGTTATCGTCAGCGGTATACGGGCGTGTTAGTCGAGTGCCTGCGCCGGGATCCTGGATTTTGCTCAGGTAGCGAAGGGTGAGCACGTAAATTAAGGTGCCAACAAGAGTAATCAAAACCAGCCATACAATATTCCAAATGGCCGATGAATGCCACATATCTGAGCAAATTTCGCTGGCACTCAATCCGACAGTAGCATCATCCCCCGATTGTTCCACATCACCAGTATAACGAGATTCATACGCGATACATTGAGAGATCATGGGATGCCGATTGGCGTAGATGTTCGCAAGCGACACCACTTGGGCAATGAGCGCCATGATAAGTGCCACAATACAAGTGCGACTGAATAGCTTTACCATCCCTACATGGGCAGCAAGGCCCATCAGGAAACCCACCAATTCGATTAGGAAAACCAACGTGAACAATAATGCAGAAACGATAGACAGTGTCTTCACCTTTCCATCTTCTAGAGAAAGTGATCTCCAATGAATTGCAGCTAGTACAATGGACACAAATGCAGCTAGGCCATGTGCTATAATGAAGGCAGGGCGAAGCGAATTATACAACAGCCATCGTAACGAATCTGAATAAGTTGGCGGCTCTTCATTTGCGTGACTGTAGTTATGCGCCCATCCTGGCCGCACGAGATCCCGGCGGGGATGCACTGACACCGACTCGCTCATGACCGCCTACAAGCGAGCGTGGCTATGGCAATTTCGGCAACCCCACGTTTCCGTCACGTGGAGCGCTTGGATCCCCGGTTGCCCAGCTTCCCTTTCTCCCGTACGCCATGTCAGGACAAATCGACGTTGCTATTATCGGTTCGTATCTATCTATCTGACAGTTCAGGTGTGGGTCTGGTCGGATCATCTGTGCTGCGTCAACTCGCCACTGTGCCGGCACTTTCTGCGCTTCGCGTCATCGCGCTGCAGAACAGCAAGAAGACGCTATTGGCGCAGCATGGTCAAGGCCTCTCGCTTCAGGATTGGAAGACGCAGCTGAATGCCAGCCCGGTTGCTGCACTTTCTCTTGAAAAACTTGTGAGCTCGCTTAAGGAGCTGGAGGCCGCGAACCAGCGCCACATTGCCGTTATCGACAATACGTCTAGTGATGACGTGGCCTCCTTTTATCCTTCGTTTTTGGAAGCTGGCTTTAGTGTCGTGACTCCCAACAAAAAGGCCTTTTCTGGATCCTTGGACTTGTTCAAGGCGATTGTGAACGCCAAGGCTAAGCCTAACGGCCCTCTCACGTACCAAGAAAGTACCGTAGGTGCTGGACTTCCTATTATCGGCACTCTCAATGACTTGATTGTTACGGGGGACAAGATTAAAAAGATTGAAGGCGTTCTCAGCGGTACCATGAGTTACATTTTCAATGAGTTCAGCCCTGCCTCTGGCAGCAGCTCCAAGTTTAGCGACATTGTTCGTGTGGCTCGTGAAAATGGCTACACGGAACCCCACCCTGGAGATGACTTATCTGGCTCTGATGTTGCCCGAAAGCTCACGATTCTCTCGCGCCTGGTTCCGGAGCTTGCCGACAAGCTTCCTGAGGGCTTCAATTCCGTCAACACCCAGTCCCTGACCCCCTCCGGTTTGGCGGGCGAGCAAAACGCTGATAACTATGTGAAGCGTTTGCCCGAGTTTGATGGTGAATTCGATCAACTTCGTGCAAGTGCCCAAGAGAGGAAGTGTGTCCTGCGCTACGTCGGCCTGATCGACGTTGAAAAGAACATTATTAAGGCTGGTCTCGAATCGTACCCGGCTGATCATCCCTTTGCCACCTCCCTGGGAGGGTCTGACAATATCATTTCGTTCACTACTGAACGATACCCCCGTCCTTTGCTAGTTCAAGGCGCCGGGGCTGGCGCTGATGTCACAGCCATGGGCGTCGTCGCTGACTTGGTGCGTGTCGCTGAGCGTCGGGGATAAACACATAGTTTTTAGACTCTTAAGCCCACTGATATATCACACAAACCTGACATCTCTACTGAAGTAGCTATTTTGGCGCAAGTTTGCAAGATTATGGAGAGAAGTACAGGTTGCAAAACCAATATGTGGGGGATTGGTGTCTTTGGTGCGGATTATGTAACCCAGATTACCCCGCATTTGCAGTGACTCCACCTCGTGGCTCACTTGCGAGGGGTGAACACCACGTTGGCCGGCTGCGACGGCAAGACGACCATCGATGTGTAGTCAGGCAGAGGAAGCTTGTCTTCCAGACGCCACTTGAAGGCGCGCACAAATGTAGCGATAATCGTGCCTAGCTGGAGATAAGCAAACTGCTCACCAATGCAGCGGTGGCGGCCAGCGCCGAAGGGCAGGTAGGGGCTGTTCGCGCCTGTGCTGACCATACCCCAACCGAAATCCTCTTGCTTGTCGTCTGACTGTTCGTACTTCTTTGCGCGATCACCCAACCAGCGATGCGGGTCAAATACATCCGCATCTTCCCAGAGATGGGGATCGATCTGCGACACACCAGGAGCCGCAATCACATAGTGACCCTTGGGGATAACATACGCATTGTTGTCACCTGGCTTGGAAGACTTGGGCGCGGCCAGAGTAGGAGGAACAGGAATATCCGACTTCACCTTACGCATAAGGCTGTGAATCGGAGGATGCATGCGCAGTGTCTCACGAATCACCGCGTCAAGAACCGGTAGCGACGACTTTTGAATGTCATAGTCCAAAGGAGAGAAACCACCAGCACCATCGCTGAAAACTTTGACCTGCTCTTCGTACAGCTCCTCGATAAACTCAGGACGGCTTGCCAAGCGAAGCATTGCCCAGCTACCTGTGGCACTCGAAGTGTGTTGACCCGCCATAAGAAGAGCAATCATCATATGAGCGATCTCTCTGTCGTTAATCTCACGTCCATTCTTGTAGGATTGTTCCATAAGGGCATTGATCATATCATGTTCCGTACCCTCGATGCTTCCCTCACGGCGCTTTTTAATGATGCCCATGTAAAAGTCACTCATTTGACGCTGCGCACGGTCACGGCGGAAGTTGTTAGGCAGAGGCAGGTTGGGAATAACAAAGTTGATTGGTGTAAATCCAGAGTCCAGGTCATGGTAGAGTTTTGCAAACGACTTGTCCAAATTTTCGCGCACTTCCTTTCCTTGCAAAGTGCGACTGGCAGTCAGGATCGTAATTTCACTGAAAGCATTGAAGATATCCACCACAACCGACGGGCTTCCCTTCTGCAGCGGCAAAAATGCAGGGTCCGTCTTAATGAAGTCTTTGACCTCTGCCGCAATCAGTGTCACATAAGTACGGAAGTTCTCCACAGATAGACCAGCCTTCACAAAGCGCTTCTGCTCCATGAGCACCGCGTTCGGAACATCGTACACAACGCCCTTACCAAAGACGGGTGTGGTAAGGGACGTATACGCGTCTTCTGCGGAAACCTGGTTCAGACGACCATTGAACACTAAATTTGAGCCCTTTGGACCAAGAGCCACAGTAAGGTTTCGACCCAGTAACTTGAACGTAAACACATCACCGTACTTCTCACGGCACTCAAAGAAAAAGCGGTATGGGTCCATGCCATACGTCACGGCGGAACCAATCACCGGGAACCAGTGGAACACGACAGGGGGCAGCGACTTATTGCGAGGCAGGAGTACTTGCGAGAGCACATTGACAACAACAGACAAGAAAATCGCCAGAAAAATACCGCCGATTACTTGCTGCCACATCGGAAGTGCCTGAAAAGTAGCGAGCAAGTCCAACATGCTAGTAGTTGGGTTCTACGCTGTAAATGGCGCAGAAAGGCAAAATGGCGTGGTAGGATTCCTTTCCGTCACGCGTGGCACGACGGTCCAATAAAATACTCTCAATCACATAAACATCTGGCCACCCCGCGATTCAACGGAAGGATGGAGACGCAGGGCCCTGGCTTAGCAACAAGTCCTTGTAGAAGACAGATGCTATCAGACACTATCTATAGGTTAATACCGAGGGAAACACCCTCTGCTATATGGGCTAAACGTGCATCAATCGCATAGCCTTTGGTTTCGAATTCTGGTGTCAATAAAAGGCATCATACCTCGTAGATTTTCGCTCAAATGACGCAAGGGAACCAGGTGTTTTTCAATATATTCCCCCTCATCGGGCTCCGCTAGAGGCTCAGGTGCATCACGGTCAAGGGAAATGTCAATTACACAGAGCTTCATATTTGCACCGGTTAGGCCAGGATCATTGTACATGATTGTTGAGAGCGACTTAACGGTGATAGTAACGCCTTTGGCCGAATCACTAAAACCTGTCTCTTCGTATAGTTCTCGAAGGGCTGCTGACCTTGCTCCCTGCTCTCCCTCTTCACCAGCATCAACCAAGCCAGCCGGAAGCTCAATCACACATGAGCCAACGGGTGGTCGGAACTGGCTGACAAGGAGCACATGCGGATCCAAAGATGGTCTCTTAACAACGGCTAAAATTGCAACAGCTTCATGTCAGTAACCAAAGCGTACCATCTACATCGCCTGCGCGTGTCCGGCGATCCGCTGATTCCCACACCCTCGCCTTGCCGGATGCATCTTTCCAGTCGATGGCACGTAATCCAACCCACTTTGCATCATCATTGCTCAATGGCCGAGATTTTAGTACACGAGATTGTCTGATATCCAGCGCAGAAGACATGGTCCAAATAGTTGATCGAGAAATATGCAGAGCACGACCACAACTTACGCTACGTAAACGACACGCTAGCGGTAGATGCATAAGTTAAGTCTATAACTTCTCCACATGTATGGAGTCCCAATGCGGGCAGGGCATATTAGTTGACAACATTGCCGAAGACGTCCCCGTAACCACTAAGGATTGTAGAATTGGGAACTTGCAGCCAGTCCGTCCAGTTGGAAGTAATCTATTGTAAGGCAAAACAAACGTACAGCTGTGACGATAGGAAAACCAACCAGAAACAAATTCTCGAGAGCGGGTTTAGCCAGGTCAGGCAGTTTGGTGACATTCATGAAATACTCGTAGTCGTTGGAGCCCGGAGGAGCTTGTGTTAGTTGCCATTTACATACCGCGATCGAAATCACTCGCACTCCGATAAAGGATTGTGCGGCCATAGTCAGCAACACCAGCCTTGTGGGCGCGCACCAATGTCTCAAGTACAGCATTGTCTTCCTGAGCCGTGAGAGCGTAGGCTCCCGTGCCATTTGTAAGAGTGTATGTGAGATTTGATGCCATATCACCGAACTTGGCACCAGTGAAATACAGGTCGCTTGTCATAACATCGCCATGGAATACAGCAGGAGGGGAACGGGCAGGTGGCTGCGAATATGCCGCACGTTGATCCATCGCAAGCTGGGTGTCGTTTAATTGAACCTGAGTTGCGATAGGGAAAACTTTATCAAGCAGGCCTGTGTTGAGTCCAAACACTTCAGTTCCATAGAGCCAGCCGGGATATTCACCAGGCTGTGAAGTACCATAGTTCCAGAAACTATCAGTCCAATTGGAAGGGATTTCGCGAGCATCGAGACCATATTGCAAACCAAACTGGACAGCAAATTTAGGGAAACCCACACTGCCGATAGTCCCCATAGCAGGGTTGATACCGGCGATGCCGTTGACAATAAAGTAGGTTTGTGTCAGATTAAACTTAGGACTGAACAACAGGGCGGTCATAGAAGCAGCAGCATTTATTTCACCTTCACCTAGAGTAGCAAGACAGACATCACTGTTGCTAGTGCAAGAAACGTTTGGGAAAAGAGGGCTTAATCCAGGAACCTCAATTACCCTTGGGTAGGTGAAATTACGACCGATCCAGGCTTTCCTTTCCGGCTCAAACAAGGTCACGACCATCACCTTTGGCATAAGCGTATCAGGGCTGGATGTGGTTTCATTGTTTGTTTCAGGGCTAGCCTGAGAACTGGCTGTCGCAAGGGGATTGGCGCTTGTCGCAGCTGCGTCAGAGCTTTCGGAGCTAGGTGTTGCTGGCTCTTGAGCCCAGCCTTTTGAGACGCCCAAGATCACCACCAGAAGGGCTAGGAGAGTAAACCTCATGCCGGAAAGTGAAGATCTCAGTTTTAACAAACAACCGTTTCGACACTTGTTATCAATATTATGGAGCAATTTTATTCGCTAGAATCCAGCGGCAAAAAATGATAGGAGAAATAGTCATACTGACTGACTGCGTCAGCAGATGGCTCCAGTTCGTCGGATGAACCGCCTGCCAACTGATTAAGTTTTGCAGCTACCCGGTCGGCACCTTCGCGAATACCACCAAGGTTGTATGCTGTCGGGCCAATTTGGATGGCTGAGTAGGTCCCAACCACATATAGAGGAAGTGAGCCATACTGCAAGTCCTCATTTACAATAGGAATACCACAAACTTCTGGGACCGCTAATTTTTTTGAAAGAGTTTGCATAAACGGTAAAGTGCTGAAACCGACCTGTGACCCTGTCGATGAAATTAGAAAGTCTGCCTCACAAGAGACATATGTGCCTGGAGCCTGTTTATTGTTCATAAATCGCGTCTCGTTGTCTAAACAGTCTTTTCGATGAAAAATAAGCGTCCATTTCTGAGTATGTGAATCCCAGGTAGCAGAGTCTACTTCCGTATGTGTCTTGATTTCAAGCACTCCATTTCGCGCATGTTGAAGTAAAACTTTTGAGTAAGGGGGATTAATACTTCCGCCGTTCCTTCCTTCGTTAATCATATTCATGCGCTCCTGAGCGTTATCACTCTGCCAAAATTGCATTTTGTTAACATTAGCATACTTTCCGACCCAATCAATACTAAAGTCGAATGGCTTTACCTTAAAAAAGCCACGAAGGAGCAGTATCACCTTCGTAAACCCTTTGCGAACACACAGGTCACAAAGTTGAGCTGAGGATAAGCCACCGCCAATAATGACGACAGTGGTCGATTGACCGGTTTTCATGTGCGCATTTAAAGTTGCATTGGGGAAATCAAACGCAGGATTGCATATTGCCGATGAATGAGCCCATCCCTCACCGTAAGAGGCGCAGCAGGGTCTTAGGCCTAGTGTTGGCTTTTCATATGTCGACTCATCCTTTGAATCTTGGGAGTGCTGACCCTGGCTATCATCCGAATAGGAGAAAGAGTAACTTTCAGTCCTCGAAAATTTTGACTGAGAATTTGACCGATACGTATCTTGCAGCCACTCTGGGACTTGGGGACGACCTCCATATCCAATTGCAGACACAACGTAGCGCGCACCTATGACACACCCATCCTGTGTTTCAATCGAAAACCCTTCGATATCCTCTGATGATTCATCAAAGCTTGCTACCTGCAAGCGTCCGTAGTCAAGATTCGTCACTTCAGCTTGCAGGAGTGTAGCAGTAGGTCTCTGAGAAGAATTAATATCATCGAGCCAATCTGATAGAGCACGGACAGCTCCCTCGGCATTTCGCTCAGGTTCGATTTGGTATCGTTCCACAAGATGATTCGTGAAGTCCCGAAATAGAGGCGTTGATGGATTTTGGTAGTCCCTCCGATCACGCTCATTAACAATAGGGCCTAAGTTAGTCACCAATTGTGCATGCTTCTTGAGCCTCGCTTGTTTGAATTTATGCTTGCTCACTTCTTTTCCAACTACTCCTGGAACCTCCAGTAGGTCTGGGCGCTCAGGCACAGCACTTTTAGCAGAGCGACGGCGTCCAAAACTCGGCTTGCGACCCATAGTTTCGCTCAAATAAGTGAATGGACCTGATTTAGCATGACCTGTCTGGACGGCATACTCAAGAAGGCCATCCAAATCAGCTGGATCAGGATGAAAAAACATAGGCGATCGAAGATAGGGAATCTCCAGTGCAGAGAAGTTTCTGTGCCACTGGCCAAGCCAACCGTCGCCAAGTTTGTCGAGGATGAGAATAGATAGTTTTTGTGTCCTTGTGCGACCCTTGGTTTTAGAATTAAGACCTTTAATAACTCGGTCACTGCTTCTCCCTGGCTTACGAGTCTGTAGTGTGGGTGCCGATTGGGTCTGTCGTTTTAGCCAGTGCAAGTACTTCCGTTCATCTTCCAGATAAATGGCCGCGGGGCGATCTTCAAGGATGCGAGTAACAAAAGTAAGTGCGGCAGGCCCTGAACCAATTACTACAATATCAAAGTATTGTTTCTTTGAAAGAATGATTGGATTTCCCTTACGATCGTAGAGCTGTTGTATTTCAAACGGTTGGAACTCTTGGGCTATATCCTTTGTACAGCGTCGGGACCAGGAGGCCATCTTTTCGAAAATACAGTCCCAGGTCTTTGTTCATCATCTTTAAGACTCAGGGATATGTCCACCTCATCAGTTTTTATGCGTCCAAAAATACCTCGCTGCTGCAGTCACACAACCAGGAAGGTCCACGCTCTGCACGGTTCAAATGACGACGTAATCTGGATCAACAGAAACCGCTCAACCATGCTAAAAATCAGCCAACGACTAAAGCCAAGGAGTTCATCAAGACGTCAACTAAAATCTCGGTGAAGCCGGGCTTGATGACTGACACTTCTTGTGACCGGACCAAACACAAGAGGTGGTGTGGAGATTTGACACGGCCCTCCATCTCGTTGCGTAAATGGAAAGCCATAGGCAATGTGAGACTCCTTTAAAGGTGGCCATCATAGGTTCAGGTTTGGCCGGACTTACAACTGCCTTCTTATTAACAAGCGGTAATGCAGATGCGAAGCAAAAAATTCAAGTTGAGCTATTAGAGCGTAGCGCAACATTAGGCATGGACTCAGAGAGCGTAACAGTGGAGTACGGGGGTCAGAAGCGCCGAATCGACGTGCCTATGCGTGCTTTCTCGCGAGGTATGTGGTGAAACTAATATGCGAGGTTTTTATCCAGAGCTTGTAAAGCTGTATCGACATTTACATATTCCCTTCGCCCCGATGTCTTTTTCATTCTCTTTTGGAGCCTCACCGGCCTCCAAGACACGCCAGCAAGGACCATTGCCTTCCATCCTTTACAGTGGCCTTACGACCCGCCGTGCTTTTAGACTTCAGCTGCCTGGTAAGACATTCCTGCAGTACATTTACTATATTTTCAAGATACTATGGTCCTACCTGATACTAAATGTGGTGGCGTGGTACCATGTCAAGTCAGGCCACACAAGAGATCCCAAGCATCGAATCAGCAAGATCACTTTTGGAGAGTGGTGCGACAGTTCTTTGGTTTATCACTCATTTTTCGTTGAGTTACTATTACCTATGTTGTGTTCGATTATGACAGCCGATTGTGCGACTGTGCGTTCGATACCCGCAGCTGAGATGCTGAATTACCTCGTTGCTACCTTATTTTACCGGCACTTTACTGTTAAAGGTGGGGTATCGCAAGTGGTTGCAGCTTTGTCGGCCAATATGAAAGCTGACCATATCCATTTGAATATGGTTGTTAAAGATATGATCCCGATCACAGAGGGCGATAAAACAGGCATTGAACTCGTGTGTGAAAATAAAAAGACAGGAATGGAAAGCCATCTGCATTATGATCATATCATATTTGCTTCACAAGCACCTCAGACCGCAGCAATGCTCAGACAGCTGTGTGGTCATTTGGATCGAGATGTTTCGCGATCCTACTTGGAACATTGTGAAGAACAGATCAATCAGCTAAGCAAGCTCCGCTACGAGCAGAGTACTGTCGTTTGTCACACTGATGTGAGTATACTCGCCCCAGAAAAAGAGGCATGGAGAGATCTGAACTTTATTCGGCCTATTCATACAGCAAATGACGATCCTACGTATACAATGGCGACGCATGTCATATACCAGACTCCAGACTCTGTCTTTATGCAGACAACAAACCCTCTACCTTGGCTTTTCCCTCATGAAAACACGTGGGTTTCCAAAAGTGATTTTGAACGGTTTGTACTCACGCTCTCTGGCCGCGAAGCTCGCAGGTCCTTCTTTGATTTTGAGGTGGCAAATGGCAAATATACTATGCATCCCAAACTAGGGATCTTGCAAGGGCTAGACTCTAAATGCTTATGGGACATGAAGATGCCAAGCATTTGGTTCTGTGGAAGTTGGAGCTACGGCGTTCCTTTGCTAGAAGGTACAGTGGTATTTCACTTACTCTCAGGTTGCGTAACTAGTGCTAGACTAGTGGCCACAGATATTTTACGAAAGGCAGATCTCTCAACAAAGCATATCGAGGAAGTTTGGCAATGAACTGTATTTGCTATGATACAGGGTATAAAAGAGCCATGTCTATGATGCTGGACTTCATCCACGCCTTCTCTTTTTATTTTTCGCCTGGCAATCACTGCACACCCATGTTTGAGGGAGAGGCTTAGAGACACCCACGCATCCAATGTGGAACCACTCGTATTTACAATCGTCCGAGTCGCACCCAATCATTTCGCCGAAAGAACCACGCTGACAGAAGCAGTATAGATTTTCATCCCTCTCCTCTTCGCCATCCGCAGCAATGGTCTCATCCTTGCCATTGGATCTTCCATCTGAAACATCTCCATTCGATGAGGCTCTCCCAGTGCCTCTGCCTGAGATATAGGATGATGCACGAGCAGGCGCCTCAGTTATATGAGATGCGCGCTTCCTCCGGACTCGCACTTCACTTACGTCACTCTCACTGTCGCCGATACCTGCATTGAGTAACAGAAGAGGCAATTGTGAAGGTTCAGCCAAGACAGGAGGCTTAGGTACCGAAGACGACACACTAGCCACAAGATCCTCATTGATTGAATTCAGGTCATGGAGCAAGCGCTGATGATACGCATAAACCTTGCGCCATAACATTAATGCAAGGGCCGATTTCTCAGAGGAAAGCTCTTCTGCGCGCGAATAGTCCGCCGCAATTCGAGTAGAAAGCTTATCTAGCTTGGTCTGTGAGTTGTCAGAGTTAGATGGTGTGCCAGAGTTGTTCATCATAGAGGAATATGCCTCTTTCATTTGCGATTCTTTAGATGAAATGCGTGAGAGTGTGTCTTCGGTGAGTAACTGGCACTTACCTTGCACTTTACCATCCTTGATTTCAATCTCACGCAATATGTGCGACACTTCCGCAGGAAGATTGTCTAAGCCTGAACATAAGACTGACAATATACATACTCGAGATGTACTCCGTGGTAAGCACTGCAATTTCAGCAGGATCCTCCATCGTACTGGCTGCCACCACGAATGTTGCAAACAAACAAGGAAGAGGAGTGTCACGTGACAGGTCTCGAAGATTGCGATGCAAGTCCAAGCATCCTGCACTGATCGCTGGATTTGGGGCTTACGCCAGGAGGACATGCTGTGGAATTTCCGCAGAACAGGAATCGGTAAGTACTATCGCTTGCTTATATTTAGGTGTGTTTGTCCAGTCACAATCTTCAACGAGGGTTAGATATCGGAGGTTTTTCACACAAGCGACTCGCTGGAAAGACTTGCTACCGACTCCTCAACCTTGGACGTCTATACCTACAAATGCAAACAATGGACCAGCACTATTTGGTGATTTAGTATCAGCTCGTTCGGCCCAGTCGCACCTCTATGATCGATTACAGGAAAAATTGAGAAGTGATCCAGGGGAATCTCCGGCTCAGATGTTAGAATGGTATCAAGAACGACTGAAGGAGAGTCGCAGCCGACTTTTGCAAGGGAGTGCGGATAGCTATCATTCCAATCTCCTTTTGATAAACTATGCAGCACAACAGCACGATATCCGTACATTACGGCGACTTAAACCAGCTGCTCAAATATGGAGCCAACGTTGGAAACATGAAATGGGCAGTAGCGAAACAAGAGCAAACCTTGGAGGCACAGCGTTATTAAGTGAAAAAATTGACGGAATCTTATTTGTACTTGCGGCAAAACAAGGGAATTGGCAAGTGATGCTCAAGTTAGCAACATCTCGTCATCCTCGCAAACGTTGGACTCCTCAGATGTGTCTTGCGATGCTTCGATCACGCGGCGCTCTGGATATGATTACTCGCATTCAACATCATCTAACGCCTTCTAAGCTCGGTTCGAGTGACAATGACAACGATGATACCCCTGAACATAACGACGTTGTGGCAAAACAAATACTATGGAGCATGTTTTTGCGCGAGTTCTGGCAATACTGGCAGAAACCAAAGCTTACATCTTCGAATATATCTAAACCCCTTCCGTCCTGGATAACAGCTGCCTTGCTGGACCTGTATTCCAAGTCAGGTAAAGTCGGTCCAACGCTAGACTTGGCCTGGTCTTATATACAATTGCATGAAAACAAGGGTCGCTCGTCTAACCGGAGTCAAGCTCGCATACTTCGCAATGGATCTTCACGCCTACTTACTAGCCCAAACTCCCTGATACCTGGTCCTAGAATACTATATTATATCCTCAAAGCGGTTAAATTACAGGAAGACTCAAATGCTGTTCTTCAAGCCTTTGCTGCATTGACCCATACCGACTTACGACCGCAAGGTGAATTGAACTTGGCTCACCCATTGTTTCGTCAAAATAAATATATTTTTGAGCCTGATAACAATATCATTCTTTTGGTAATGGATGCCATGGTGAAGGCTGAGACCCATTCGAAGGATCTGCCAGATAAGCTGCTCTCCTTCTTAAGGAGCGTAGACCGTTCTTGGGGTAGCTGGCGCGCTAGAATGGACCCTTCGTGGCATCCTATGTTCCTTGATTTACGACCCATACAGCGACTACTCGACCTTTGTTTGGAAATGGATGCATATCGCATTGTAAGGCAGGTATTGCGCTTCCAACAGGGCCTCTTTCGTCGAGAGTTGAAATGGCATACAACGCCGCACAAAAAGCGTCTGTGGCGCCAGGGTCTCAATGAGTTGACTATGCTTCGTGAGTGGACCGACACATTGGCAGCGCTCCGCCGAAGACGATGGATCATTGATGATCAGGCACAGTCTCTGTACCATATGGCATCTCAGTTGGCACAACTGTACCGATATTGTCAGCCTGTAAGGCGTTCGTCACGCCAATTCAGACGAAAACAACTAGAATGAACCTATACCAGCTTTGTGTATCATAGATGAAACCCATTACATTGACTGTCTATTTACCCCAAGAAAACTCAATTCTATGTTTGCAGTGCATAGTAGTTGGCACCCACAGGATCGAGATTTTAGAAAGAGAAGAGCTCTGGTACGAACCGTACATCGCGTAGGGTACCCAAACCACCCATAGCAATGCGAGCATTCAAAGAAGAAACCTTATTGCCAACCGTGCAGACAAGATCTTTCGGGGCGCAGGCCAAAATGCACATGGTCCTGGATTGTGCATCCATGGCCTGGGACACTTGCTGGTCTAACTCAGAGACAAAGTCTGCCCTCAGGCCATGGTGCACATTCAAAAAGTCATGCATAGGCTCCTCGTTCCAGGCAACCATTTCACGAGACGCAAACACGTGCATTTGAACAGATACATCAGACCTGTGCGTAAGGTCATCAAGCTGCTGCAATTCCTCCTTGATCCAACGAATCATATCATAGGACCGAATGGTCCAAATAAGATGTACGGTTTTTGTAATAATCGGGTCGCCCTGGACAGAGCGCCGCACCAACTCCGATACCTGAGGAAGGCAGAATGTGATGCCTGAACCACCGGCCACAAGCACTGCGTGTTCGTACATGCCCAGGCTGTAGTTGTGACTGTACGGACCGTCCAAGTACGCCGTGATTTCCCGTGTATCCTGGTCAAAAGGAAGCGGCTTGTCCTGGAAAATATGTTTGGTCGGCGAATTGTCCACGGAACCATCCATACTAGAATTAGAACCAGACTCAGGGCTCATGTCACTGGTCTTTTCAAGTATAGGAGCTTGACGTTCTTTTACAGTATGCTCCTTACCGTGTCCAGCTGTCATATCGTACAATTGCCTAGTAATTCCTTTTTGCACACGGGCAAACAGGACCAGTTTGTTGGGTAGATGAGGCGAGGCGCTAGGAATTGACAAGCATGTAAAAGGATGCGCCTGCCATGGATAGACTCCGGGAAAGCGAACGAATACATGTTGGCCCGCATGCCATCGAAGTGGGGTCTCGAAGCTCAGACGCAGAAATTCTGCGGGTCGTTCTTGATCCAGACTCTCTTCTTTGCCCACTTGCGTCAAGACACGTACCTTGGCGCGAGGGCCACAGAAAAAGTTGGAGGAAAAGAGCACCATAAGAGAGCGTACAACAATTGAAAGCAGCCAGATACCCAGCGTAGCCCACAGCCAGATATGCGAATTGAGAAGGTTTTCAAAGTGCACGAATGAGAATCCAAAGAACAAGGCCGCACTCGTAATATGTTGCACCACAAAGAACTCGTAGGACATTTTGCGGAAAACTCCGAAACTCGAAAGGCAGAGCCAGAGCATAAAAAATACGGCAACAGTACCGCTCCAGTATGTCGTGAAGTGTGCGGACCAGACTTCCTTGAGAGCATTCATACCGCCCTCTCGTAGAGGTGAATTTACGAACGCGGCCGTGTGAATAATCGCGAAAATTAAGGCCAGGATGCATGTAGCCTGGTGAAATGTTTGCAAATGGGCATGAGAGATGCCCGTAAGCAGGGAGATGGGGTTGAACTTGAGAGCCATGGCAAACATGAAGGGGTACATGGCCGCTGACATCATCCCACTACGCAAGGCCAGGGGAGGAGAACCAAATGCATATGAGGTGCGGTAGTATGGCCACATACTCAAACACCACACGATTGTTCCAATGTAGACGGCCCCAATAATGATCAGATAGTGACTCTGGAGAAGCCACGTACCCAACACCTTAAATCGCCGATAGCCAAACATGCGGCAAATGGCTGTCAAAAATGAAATTCCCGGAATGCTGGCCAGTGGCAATGACAGCCGCGGACGATACGCGCGCAGTAAACGAATGAGGTGGATAATGAGCCCAAGGATCACGAAACCACAAAATATGTACGAGACGCGCTTCGCATAGAGTGTATGCGATGCCCATGGAGCGGTGCTATCTCGTACCGTCCGAACTGCACTTTTATCCGCATATTTGTAGTCTGTTTCCATGATACGAGAGCGGAGGCAGAAAGTGCTTGCGAAGAACTTAGTCGCTTGCCGTTGATATACATACAGAAAGGCTCCGAGAAAGCTCCGTGCCAAGCCTTGTGGAGGCGTGGCTGTGGGGTCGGACCCTTTGGACGGAAACGCCCCGAAGCAGCGGCACATCTCGCCATGACGCCCAACTCCCCAGATCGATCTTTTTATTAAAACACTTATTTCCAACAAGAGCAGCAAGTCCTTTTTGCATGTCTTCGACGGGGCAAGAGGAAGCATTTAATCTGGGCTAGGCTCATAGATGCAGTAGTCCAGCTGCACAGCTTAGTCTCTAGAGTATAGGCCCAGTAGATTTTGGGCATGCAGTAGGGACCATGACGCGACGGTGGCAGAGGGTGTCAAATAGCTTTGTTGTCGATCAGGATCCCAGCGATATCGTAATGGCCGCATAGACTCATATCTGGATTGTGCTTTAGGCGAGGGATCTGCCTGCAGCTTGCACAAGTGCTTTTCGCGTAGGACCTCGACCGTAAGACGATTTTCACCTAGGTAGTACAGTGATCGTACAAAAAAACTTAGAGGCAATAAGACTCCTAGGCATAGAAGACCAATCGCAATTGGAACATGCACAGTGGGTCGCGGCTCAGTCATAGAATAGATAGACCCACTGTGATAGGGTGTTAGTTCGACAGCATACGAGGCTGGGTGAGTAGTGGGTACGTACCCAAAATAAGACCCACGATCGGACGGCCAATTGGTCCTAGAAGCCACGACCATTTGCTGGACCAGAATGTGTAGGCGGCTCCTGGGACGCTATGGCCAATCGTCCAAAGCATTCGCACATGAATGGAGGCAATGCGGATGAGTGGCACGCACGCGAGTAGGCACAGGCACGATAGCACAAGCATCATGCACAGATACGCCAGCATACTCGCGGGGCATGTAATATCGGAGTCAAACTGGCGTTAGAAAAATGGCGCGTACCCAATAGCAGTGGTGATCAAAGAAGAAGCGACACTCGCCACAGGCGCCGCAATGGCGCATACGCGGAGCCTTCCAGTGCCCGCGACACTGATCACGCCAGCAGCGCTCTGGCTCACCGCGCTCATTCGTGGCATGAGCGATATACTTCACGGACGATGGATCGTCGTCGCGGAAGCGCGCTGTATATAGAGGAATTGGGTGCAGCAGTAAGAGAGTGAGCCATGGCCGGTCTGATAGTTTGAGTGACTGTTTATGGCATGATATAGCATCGACATACACGGGTACCGCCGTGCTCAGGCGCCATTGGAGTGCGACGCAGTATGCAAAGAGGACGTGCAAAAATAGGACGCCAACACCGGACCATGACCGCACGCCGTTAGAGAAAAGCACATAACACACTGCGTTGGTCATGGAATACGTACCATAATAGCCGTACCCAACAACTACGTATAGGTACACGAAAAGGAATACCACCACTGCGGGCACCACGCGCCGCCAGTGTGCACTGGCGCGGCGTGCCATCCCAAGGCAAGCCTCCACATGATCGAAACGTGACAGGGCGAAAGGGAACGGCTATGAAAAGGTGCGCAGGGGATCGCGCTTCTTGCGGGCAGGCTTGGATCGCGTATCCTTGCGTGTGCGGCGACCTGGCTTGTTCTTCGGGACATAACCCACGCGCGGCTCGGCGGGCGCGGTCTGACCTGGCATTGCAGCGATACGTGGCCGCAGGTACGTCGGCACATGCTTCATGTGTGCCTGTACGCGCGCAGGGTGCAAGGCGCGATCGTGGCGAAGATACTCGAGGTCGCGTGGGTTTGCCTCAAAGTGAGCTTGAAGGGCCTTGCTATTCAGAATCTCGGTCTTGATCTCCTGGATACGCGCCTCCTTGATGGCCGCCTTCGTCACGCTGCGCAACGCGTCGTTCATGCGGTAGCGGAACGCATTGACCTGATCCTCATCGTAGCGCCATGCCTGGATGCCTGCTGCGCCAACTAAGCCGGATTTGCGTTGATCTTCCTGGATAAGCGCCCATACCTCCTCGTCCTTCTTGCAGGTAGGGCATGAAAGCGACTTCTTCTGGCCATACTCGTGACGCGGCACGACGAAGCTGAGCGCAGTACCGGTATGGCCCGCCCGCGCTGTACGCCCGATGCGATGTGTATAGGCTTGCACGGAGGTCGGGAGGTCAAAGTTGATCACGCACGCCACAGCGACAAAGTCAATGCCGCGCGATACGCCGTATTCGCGCGAGCCGGCATCGCCTGAGCGGCGTTCGTCGGCGTCATGCGCATCCGTCGCAATGATATAGTCGTACTTGCCCTTATTGAACTCCTCCACCATGTGGAAGCGGCTGTTTACCGGCAGCTCCTCGTTGAGCACACACGTGCGCAGCCCAAACTGCTCGAGGAAAAGCTTGAGGCGGTAGCCGCGGTCAATATCATTGACAAACAGTAGGCACTTGCCCCGGATGAGCCGCAGCTTGAGTATAACATAGACTAGAAGGAATTTTTGCTCCTCTGATGTCTCGACATAGTACTGCGACAGGTGATTAGCGAGCGACGTGTCGTTCTCGAGACGCAGCACTACCGGGTCGCGCAGCACCAGGCCGCGCAGCGCACTCGTATCGTCGCTGAGCGTCGCACTCGTAAGGAACGTCTGGTGTGCACGAGCGAGGAAGCCCTCACGCACAATTGCCTGCACCTCGGCGTCGTGTCCGTACGACAGGATGAGGTCGGCCTCGTCGATGACAAGCGACTGCAAGCTCGTCTGCAGTGAGAGGTCGCCGGCCTGCAAGCATGCAAGCGCACGAGCAGGCGTCGCAACGACGACGTCTGGCTTCTCAGAAAGCAGCAGCTTTTGCACGCTGGTGCTGACCGCGCGTGCGACATTCGCCACCTGCACCACGTCACGACAGTATGTGAGCACGGCGCCCAGCTGGCGATGCACCTGTTCAGCCAGCTCGCGTGTCGGCACAAGCACGAGTGCGCGTGTGCCTACATATGCTGGATCAGAGCGTGCCAAGCTCTCCTTCTCCGCGAGAATCTTTTGCAGGATAGGCAGGCCGTATGCAAGTGTCTTGCCACTGCCCGTGCGAGCGCGCGCAACAATATCGCGCGAGCTGCCTCCCAAGCTCTGCTCGAGACTTGCCCGTTGCACAGGAGTGGGAATGCTGTACTTGAGCTCCGCGAGAGCGCGCAGCAGGCGCGCATCAAGGAGATGCGCATATGCCTGGAAGCCTGGTGCCCCGTCGGTCGCCATGGTCAAGCGCGAAAAAAAAGTGGAGACTCCTTTTGCCAAATGGACACATTTCTCGCGCAGCGCCAGCAGGCACCGCGCACGCACCTGGTTGTTGGCAACGAGGCCGGAGATCTCGATAGCCTGGCATGTGCCATTGCCTTTGCGTACCTTGCGCAAGCCAACGACAGTGCGCCATGGGTTCCTATTGTACAGACGCCGCGTGCAGACCTTGTGTTGCGTCCTGAGAATCTGCGTGTGCTAGCTCACTGTGGTATCGATCCTGCCCACCTCTGCTGCGTCGACGAACTGCCAAAGCTGCTTCCGGCGTCTACATGCGTCGTCCTTGTCGACCACAATCGCGCAACGGGGCCATTTCGTGATGCCAACGTTGTGCGTATCATTGATCACCACAACGACGAACACGCCCATGGCGAGGCGCTACGCACCATCTATGCGCCGGGCGACGCTGGCTCGTGTGCGAGCGTGTTAGCGACACACATGCTCGAGCGCTCCCGGGGGGTAGACCGCACCGTGGCGGACCTCTTGTACAGTGCCATTCTCGTTGATACCATCGGGCTCAGCGCACGCGCCGGCAAGGCGCAAGCATGTGATCTTGCCGCGCGGGACCTGCTCGCGCCAGCATCGTCATGGGCTCGGTCAGATGCCGCCGAGCTCTGGTTCGACACACTGCAGCACACCAAAAACGATGTATCTCATCTGAGCACATCTGAAAAGCTACGACGCGACTATAAGGCTTTCGAGTGCGCCACGCGCAATGCACCACGTACATGGCATATCGGCACAGCATCCACAACAGAGCCTCTGTCTGCATGGTCCCCCACGCCGCACTTTTTCGAGGATCTGGATGCCTTTGCACGTGCGCGCTCTTTGCATGCTCTGGTGGTTCTGACCAGCTACGAGATTCCGGGCGGCGAGCATGCTACACTGGCGCGTGAGGTACTGTTCTACGTGCCGGCGACGGGCATCGCGAGCGGTGCACCTGCGCTGGCCGAGGCGCTTGCGGCTACGCACACGCATTTTGTTGATCTAGTGCCACTCGACGTCGCCACGCCAAAGCATGGATGGGCGCGTGCATGGACGCAGCGCGACGTGCGTGCATCGCGCAAGCAGCTGGTGCCTGCGCTGCGCGATGTGTGTGCAAGCGTGGAGCAAGCCTAAAACTCAAAGCCTGCGCTGCGGAACTCCTCTAGATCCGTACCGACCTGGCACTTGTTGGCGAGGTCAAACTGGTTCAACATGACCATGACGCTGCGCAGTGTATTCCAGAGACCCTGACTTTCTTGGACGTGCGCGAGCATGGGTGTCGGCACAGTGCCGGGCGTGTCTGGTAGGGTCTGCGTGCGCTGCAGCGCGAGCGCCGAGAGCAGATGCTCGGCCGCCTCGTGGTGCGCGCCGAGGTTGAGACAAGATACACTGAGATTATAGATCGCACGTGTGAACGTAGGACGCAGCTCGAGTGCCTTGTGGTACGCTTCCGTCGCCAGCTCAGGGTTCCCGCCATTCGCCAGTGTTGCACCCAGCCGGTTCCATAGCTGCCAGTCGTCTGGCCGCACTGAAAGTGCGGCACGGAAGCAGTCGCGGGCCTGCTCGTAGCTCGAGCTCGCGTAGAACAACAGTCCCAGCCCAATCTGTAAATCAGGGTCTAGGCGCTGCTCTGCTGCGTCCTCGCGCACAGCCTTGAGGTACAGTCCACGCACATAGTCCAACCGCGCCCACGGATTCCTCTGCTCGTCAGGCAGCGTCGGAAACTCGCTGCTGGATGCCATATGGGGATGCGAGCGGGCGAGGTAGCGCAGCAGCGTCTCGTTCGCTGCTTGATCGTATCCCTCGTTGATGTACGATACGGCCAATGACATGAGTGCCCCGACGTTGCCCGCGTCGAGGCGCACCGCCTCCTCGAGCGCCTGGATCGCCTTGGTCTCGTGCTCGTTCATTGCATGGCACTCGCCCAGCTTCTGCCATGCGCGCGAGCGCTCCTCATGCGTGAGCTCAATCTCCCCCTGGGCTGCTGCGTCGCGCAGCGTTGCCGCTTCGAATAGCAGCGCTGCATCCGTGAGACTGCCATTTTGTTCGACGAGACGCATTCCTTCAGCGTACGGTGCCGCATGCGACACATACGGATTGTGGGACTCGTACTTGTACGAGCCCAGCGTCGGAAAACCACGCTCGTCCACGTCGTTCAAGTGCCGCCGCAAGGCTGCCTCGTCCTCACCGAGCCCATCGAGCTCATTGTGTCCAAACTCGCCGTAGCCTAGACCTCCGCCCGGATGCATCATGCTCGCCGCGTCCTCGTCGGCGACAGCCTCCATCAGCTGCCGCTCCCATTCGGCGAGGTCTTCGCGCTTGTCCAGCAGCGACGTATCTTTGAGCGCATTCCACAGCTCCTCAAAGCGAGGGTTTTCGTCATGGACTTCGTCACGAAGGCGCGCCTCCATCTCACGTAGCTCCTTCAGCTGCGCCTCTTCAGAGAGTGCATCGGTGTCTGCCTGGCTAGGCGCCTGCGCCTCGGTTGCCGAACTCTCAGCGGCCTTGCCTTTGCCTTTGGTGTCCGCCGCCTCCGCTTCCAGACGGTCAAATTGTGCCTGCCACTGCGCCTCGTCTAATTCCACAAAGCGATTTGAAACCTGCTCGCGCTCGAGGCCCGCTGGCATCAGAGGATGCGGCCCCATGCGCAATCCGGGCATAGGGGCGCCCGGGCCACGCAGGAAGGACGCCTCGTGCGGCCGCGGCGCTTGGGTGTGCACAGTAGGGCGCACGGGCGCGACACCTGCACCCATCGAGTGGAACTGCTCGCTCCAAGCGCCGCCGACGTGTGGCGCTGGCCGGTGCAGCTCCTGCGCCCAGGCATGGGCGCCACCGGCCGGAGCGGGTACACCGAGGTCCCGCACCGCCTCCATCTCGGCTCGCATGGACTGCATATCAAACGGCGTAGATGCTGGATCGCGCCCACGCAGGAACGCCTCCATCTCTGGCGCACCACCCCGGGCGCCTGCGGGCTGCGTGCGGAACGCGGGACGAGATGCGAGTCCGGTCGGTCCCTGCATTGTATCCTGTTGCAGCGAGCGGTCTGTCTGCGCATGTTTGAGAAATTGCGAGAGCTGGTTGTTCGATGCCGAGCACTCGGCGCCAGACAGCATTGACGAGAACGCCATGCTTCGTTGGACAAGGGGGGGCGAGCGCCCCACGGGGTAGAGGAGGTATCACGTGACTACCAATGCGCGAAGTCGCCCCAGCCCCCCGCACGGCCGCCGCGTGGATGCGCGGTGGGCGCGCGGGGCGCGGACGGCTTGGTACGTAGAAGGCCTGCGAGGCCGTGTTCATCGTTCTGAGTGAGACGATCTGTCATGCTCAATGGTGCAGCGTCGGTGCTGTCTGTCGAAGTGAGGCGTGTGCCGAGCCTGTTGTGAGTCGAGTCTACGCACCATGTCGTCCTGTCCTCCTCGCGTTTCCGACGCTTGGCGTCGCGACGGACTTTTTCTTCATCATCGGGGTTTTCGCGGCGGTGCCTGGCATCGCGCTTTTGCTGGTAATCATCAAACGGGTCCTCAAAGACGACGGCCTCGAGGAGCTGGATGGGCCGGATCGGGCGCTCGGTGCCGGGCTCGTTTGGCACGCGCTCCAGGGCATCAAGAACGCTATACGTGCCTGATGACGCTGTATCGCTCACGAGATGACCAAACACCGTGTGCTTTGCGTCCAGGTGCGGCGTGGGGCGGTACGTTACAAAAAACTGCGAGCCGTTGGTGTTGTACCCCTTGTTGGCCATCGAGAGGGCACCGCGGTCCGTGTGCCGCATTGCGGCTGGAAGGCACAGCTCATCGGCAAATGGCTTGCCCCAAATCGACTGGCCTCCCCGCCCCGTGCCGGTGGGATCGCCGCCCTGGATCATGAAGCCGGGAATGTTGCGGTGGAAGATGGTGCCGTTGTACGTGCCCTGTCGGCACAGCGCAAGAAAGTTGTAGCATGTACGCGGCGCCTTATCGCAGTGCAGCTCCAAATTCAAAGCGCCAAAGTTGGTCTGCAGCCGCACGAGCCCCTTGGCTCGCGTCCGCGTGATGCTCTCGAACATGACTTCCTCCTCGTCCACAGCGAGGCGCTCTGTCTTGGTGCGTGGCGTGAGGCCAGACGAGGTAAAACTCGCCGCCGTCATACCTGTAGAGCGGTTCGTCATGCGCGTGCGGGGGATATCCGCCGGCGCCGCCGCCGCCGCAGGACGGGTCTCAGATGCTGCCCGGGCCTCTTTCTCGCGCCGGATCTTTTCGATAAGAGCTTTGGAGCTGCCTGTAGCAGCCGCATTCACATCGTCGCCAGTCGCGTCCCTCTTGAGTGTGAGCTGGTGCTTCACATGGTGCATGTCCTGCATGCGGCGCTTGGCCGGGTCATGGGGGTCCTGCAGCGTGAGAATGTCGGCCTTCGCAAACGGCTCGTCTGTCACGAGATCACGCAAGCACTTGGTCTTGAGATTCAGCTGCTGTACTGTGTCGTACAAGTATACATAGCCGGTCGGGCGGATCGCAACGAGGTGGCTGTGGTCTGTTAGCTCACGCAGCGAGACGGGGTCCTGCCACGTGCCATCGTCCTTCTTCGCGATATGCAGCAGAATTATATCGTCCAGGGACGCAGGCTCACCTGTGGCAGGACTCACATGGTACTGCTGCACAAACGCCTCAAGCGTCGCGCGGTCACACACCAGGCCGTCCTGCGCCAGGCACGCGGGCTCCGTCCATGGCTGGTGCGTAATCGCACACAGATGGAACGGCACAATCACGCTCTTCTCTGTACGCATACCCGTCGTCGCACCATGCTGTCCATACACTCCGCTGTACTCAGACGGCGTAATGAACAGCTTGTCGTTCGTACCGTGCCCCATTGCCGTCGTCGCTCGCGGCCGACTTGCAAGTGGAGGTCCGCGTCCTCCAGCGATGCTCCTGGGGCTGCTCGTGCTGTGCGCGGCTCATGTGTGGGCGAACACCGCGCTGGAAAACGTAGGGCCTCTCCTCTGCGGGCCAACAGCCGCACCGGATGCGTGGGTCCGCTGGTACGTCGTCCCACTCACACAGGCCGGCCTTGCACGCATCATCCGTGCCCCACCGCGCCCACCTGCCCCTTGCGGGCCCCTCTGAGTTTGTGCTGTATCCCGACTTGTCGGAGCGCTGGCTCGAGACATATCTGCCTCTTCCTACACGGTGGTCTTGGGCGCTAACGCAAAGGTACCAACTGCGCATCTCGGCGCCCGCGAATGTATGTTGAGCACACTGATGCAGATACTCGCCGATGTGGATCTCGATGTACAGGCTCCTGGCCCATCCACGCCTCTTTCGGAGGCACGTCCATGCTCTGTGCTTCTAGCCCGCATCACTGTGCACCCTACTGGTGTGCGTGTCGCTCCACACCCCCATGCACGCTCGTGGCTCACACGAGCCGCTGAGGTTGCCCTCGGGTGGGCTGCACCGCCCGCGATACCTGCGCCCGCGGCGATTCCGATCGACATCACGTTTGAGCGCCTGTACCTCGGCCTTGTGCCCTCGACGGCCCTGCGCATGGCGTCAACCATGCTCGGCGTGCTCACCGTCCTAGCCATAGTCCTCGTTCCCCTGCGCCGCCCGCGGCAGGCCTAAGTGGAGGCTGTGGCCCTCGAGCTCCTTGGTCCGCGACGGGTGCGACGCTGGACGGTCATGTCCGCATCCACGTCGCTCTTCACCCTCAAGCCGGTTGTGCCGTGCGTGCTGCCGAGTACGGGTGAGCATGCTGGCTCTCCGGCTGACCTCGGGCGTGCGATGCGATGCGTGAGCGTGCGCCATACGCACACCTTGGTCGGCACGAGCGATGGCGCTCTGCACTATTTTGTGTCGGAGAATGCATCGTGGGTGTGGCGCGCGAGCGCGAGCGTGTCCTCGGCTGGAAGACCTGTGGAAAAAGTGCTCTTGTTCGAAGAGCTGCGCCTAGTGGCCGTGCTGTGCGATCATACCCTCACATTCCTTACGTTTCCCGACCTTACTCCCGTCCGCAGCGCGGCCCAGCCGCCGATTCGCGGCGTGCTCCAAGTCATCACGGATGAGGCTGAAGTCGATAGCGGTGCGTGGACATTTGTAAGTCTGTGCGTTATCCGGCGGCAAAGCCTGCTCCTAGGTGTGCTGGACCACTCGTCCTGGCGCGTGATCAAGGATATCCCTCTTCCGCGCGACGCGTTTATTGCGCACCGATACAACGAGAGTGTATGCTTAGCCACGGCCTCCGAATACGCGCTCGTTGACCTCGAGTCTGGCGCTCTCCAGCCCATCGGCCTGCCCATCTCGCAGAGCACGCAGGTGAGCTCGGCCAAGACGCGCCCGTCAATCGTGCCGATTCCCGCCTACGGTGACGAACTTCCGTGCTTCCTGATCACGTCGCACTCAGAAAACGGCACGCTTGGTGCGTTTGTTCGCGCGGATGGCGAGCCGACCGCCCGACTCCTTGAGTGGCCCAGCCACCCACGCGCTGTTGTCGTCGACTTTCCCTATGTGTGTGCACTCTTGCGCAACGATACCATCCACATTCACTACCTGCCGACACTCTCGCTCGTGGAGACGCTTGCTATCGACCCAGCCTGCGAACCGCGCTTTCTCGTGCCGACAGCGGCCAATGAGCACTTGTGCGACGACCGCCCCGGGCTGCCCACAGCGCCGCTCTCGCCAGGCACAGCGCCAAGCACGCTGCCATCGGACGCATGTGCCCGCACTGAGCCCCCCCGGGTGCTCTTTGGCGGAAAGCGCACATTGCAGAGCCTTGCACGCTTTACGCCTGGTAGCGCCTTCATCCGGTGCGCACGCGCCGGAGAATGGCGCGCTGCACACGCCCACCTCGCGCGAGCGACTTCCCTGGATGACGAGACACGCGCTGCATGCATTCTCCTGGGCCTGCACTACTTGCACGAGGGCCTCTTTGTACAGGCAGCGCCGTGGCTCGTACGGGGGCAGCTCGATCCACGCCTCGTGCTCTGTCTGTACCCCGACTTGGCACCATCCGCCCCCCACACAGCCACGCTGCCGCAGGCGGCCGCGGGCTTGTGGGCCGCATTGCCGCCCTCGATCGAGGCGCTGCTCCACGAACACCTCGCCTGGAACTATGCACCAGATGTGTCACTCGACGATCCTGTGGTGCGCGATTTGCATGCAGCACTCATGCGGCGCGCCGAGCAGATGCTCCTGCAAATTCTGAAGGCGAGCGACACACGGCGCGGCGACGTTGCGACAGCGCTGTGCCAGCTGATGTTGCAGCGCGATGCGACAGAGTCACTCGCGGCGCTTGAGCCGTACCTTGACACCTGCGATATGGAACGCACTGTGCCCATGCTGCGCCGCACACATCGCTACCATGCGCTGTGTATGCTCTATTTCCGTCGTGCGCGGCCAGCCGAGGCCATTGACCTAGCGCAGCAGCTTCTCGGTGGCACCGTACGCGACGAAGTGGATGGCCCTGTACCACTGCCGGCGCTCGCATCCTATGCACCCTCACTACCGCCGGCTGCGCGTATTGATCTGGGCCTTGTGCTTGCACGCCACGACCGTGCATGCGCACTCCACGTACGTGTCTCTTTCTCACGCCAGGTTCTCCGCGATGTGGACTTTCTTGCGGTCGAGGCAGCCCCGGCGCTGCGTGCGATTCAGGAGGTGGATGCGGACCTTGCTGCGGCGCTCCTTGAGCATGTGGTGCTCTCGGCGCCGCTCGCTATGCAGTCACTGCACGAGGCGCTCCTCACGCAGTACCTTACGGCGGACGACGTCCCAACCCGCGCCAAGCGGCAGCACCTCCTCGCATGCTCGCCCGCCCTGGATGAGCGCCTGGTTGACTCACTCGAAGGCCGGCCTGTGGACCAGGCCATCCTCCTCAGCAAGGTGCGTACACCACTCTCACACAGGCGGGTCACTACGAGCGCGCACTTGAGCGCCTTGTACATGCGCACGAATTTACGGCGGCGGAGCGGGTATGTGCGGCGGGCCGCGTACTCGCGCCGTGGGACGACGCGCCGCCCGGCTGGGAGCGGCTGCTGGCCCTCGTCCCTGCGGCGTCCCTGCCCGCTAGTGAGAGCGTGCGCATGCGCCGCGCACTTCTCGACCTCTATATGGACCCCGGTGCATCGGGTGATGCATTTTGCGCGCCGTGTGCGGCCCTGCTCCACGCGCATGCGGGCGAGTTTGCCCTCGAGTCGGTGCTGGCCGCCGTTCCGGCCCACTGGCCCGTGCAGGCACTCACTCCGTTCCTCGTGCGCGCGCTGCGCAGCGTGCAGCATGCCCGGCGTGGTGCGAATGTGGCTAAGGCCGCCGCATTCAAGCGCAGCCTCGACGCAGCTGAGCTGCGCTGGCGCGCGGTGCGCACGCTGGGCGGCCTGGTCGAGGAGCCCTCATAGGATCACGTGCAGGTTTGCGGTGGCGGGCGCCGTGCGTTGGGAGCGCGCCGTTTGCCACGCTGGGACGCATAGTTGGCAAGCCTCGATGCGGCCGTGTGTGCTGCCGCGAGCGATGTCGGCGGTGCCGACGCTCTCGCTGACGCCACTCGAATCGCTCCTATGTGGTCTGCTGGACCATGCATGCCGCTGGATGAGCGATGTCGATCCGCAGGTCGAGTGCGAGGGCCGGACCTACTCGTTCTCGCAGCTGTGCCGGCCCAATGAGCCGTCTGCGCTGCGCTGTGAGGCGCGCATTGCGGGCGGCTGGGTTCGCGACAAGCTACTCCAGCTGCCCTCGCACGACCTCGACGTCTCGCTCTCGACGCTTACGGGCCACAACTTTGCGCTGTTTCTCCAGGCGTACCTTGCCAGCGATGCGTTTGCTGCGACGCCCCTCAAAGCTACGATGGACGCACACGCACATGGTGCCACGGCGATCAGCCACATTGGCAAGATCGCTGCGAACCCGGAGCAGAGCAAGAACCTCGAGACAGCGACGGCGCGCGTGCTGGGCCTCGACGTGGACTTTGTGAACCTTCGCAAGGAAGTGTATGAGGGCGGGAGCCGCATCCCGATCATGTCGTTTGGCACACCGTACGAGGATGCGATGCGCCGCGACATGACCGTCAACGCGCTCTTCTACAACGTACACACGCAGCGGGTCGAGGACTGGACCGGCCATGGCCTCGATGACCTGCGCACCGGTCTCGTGCGCACACCCCTCGAGCCTGCGGCTACGTTCGAGGATGATCCATTGCGCATACTGCGCTGCATCCGCTTCGCGAGTCGCTTTGGCTACGCGGTGCATCCGTCGATCGTCGCCTGCCTAGCCGGCACCGAGACGCCCGAAGCGCACACGCGCGCGGAGACGCTGCGCGAAGCGCTCTCACGCAAGGTCAGTCGCGAGCGCGTCGGGATCGAAGTGGACAAGATGCTTGCGGGCCCCGATCCTCGCCGCGCCCTTACTCTGCTCGCCGAGCTGCACCTATACCCGGCCGTGTTTCAGCCGCCGCCGCCCATGTCTACGCAGCTTACGACAGCGGATGGCTCGCCGACGCATGCTGCGCCAGAGGCGCCTGTGCTTGTTATTAGCGCATTTTTCGACAGCATGCTGCGGTCGACGGAGGCGTACGCGTCACTGTACACGCGCCTCCCAACAAGCTGGCTCGCGCACCTGCGCGACGGGCGGAATGCTCGGGCAGTACAACGGCTTCTGTGGTACTGCATTGCGCTCCTCCCCCTGCGTGGCCTCCGTGTGCCGCAAGGCAAGCACACCGTGTGGGCCGGTGTCGCGACGATGGCAGTGGGCCTCAAGTTGGGGCACCGCACGACCAAGGATCCCGTGCGGAACCTGTACGAGGCCGCGGACCTATTGCACGACCCCTCGCTGGAACGCTTTGCGCCAGAGGGCGTACTCTCGCGTCGCGCACGCATTGGTCTACTTCTTCGGCACTCCAGCATCACGAGCCCGGCGCTCGAGGTGTCCTTGCCGAATGCACTTATGGCCGCGCTGCTCGTCGAGCTTGTTGCCCTGGTGGACGGTCCTGACCTGCGGCGCGACGATGCGGCGCGCGTCCTGGATACGTATGCGGCCTTTTGGACGTATGTGGAAACCGAGGGTCTCGCCGCGTATGCCCAGTCCAAGCCGATCGTCGATGGCCAGCGCATCGCCGAAGCGCTCGGCTGCGAAAAGCACCTCATCAGTCGGTTGCTGCCATTTGCCGTGGCATGGGAAATCGATCACGAGCATGTCGCTCCCGCCGAGCGTGTCGAGCAGTGTGTGCGCGACCTGCAAGCGGCGTGGAACGATGGCGAGCTGGTGCCCGAGGCGGAGCGCTCGCGTGTAGTCAAGCGGAGCAAGTAATACGTAGACTACACACGACAAGCAGGCAAGCGGTACAGCTGAGCGTCGTCCCAGAGCGCGTGGCGATGGGCATCGATACTCGCTGGGTCTTTGGTGTCGAAGCAGATGACGCATGGGTCGAGCGTGGGCGCCGCGGGCTCGTCGTGAGGATCGTGGTATGGCGCCACGAATGGGTGTCGCAGGCACTCCTCTACCGACATGCGCTGGCGTGGGTCCATGCACACTGTATGCTCAAGAAAGTCAATCACGTCGGGGTGCGCGTTCGGTAAAAGCGAGCGGAAAGGCTTCTTGGGAAAGTGGGGGAGGCTATGCACGTAGTCAATCGCTCTCTCTGCGCACAGGCAGGCCATCGAGTCGACTGAGTCGGTGCCGAGGACGCTCAGGATGAGTGTCATTTGGTGATGATAGTCCTTGCCCGGAAAGAGCGGCTGCCCGGCAAGCATCTCGTACAGAGTGCACCCCACGGACCACACGTCCACTGCCTTGGTGTACGTGCGGCTCGACAGCATGATCTCAGGCGCACGATACCAGCGCGTGGCGACATACTCGGTGAGCTGCATGTCTGAGGAGCCGGGCGGCCGCACCGTGAGGTCACGCGCAAGGCCAAAGTCACAGATCTTTAGGTCGCAATTTGCATTGACCAGCAAGTTGCTCGGCTTGATGTCGCGGTGCACGACACCTGCACTGTGGATCGGCTTGAGGCCGCGCAGGATCTGGTACGTAAAATACTGCGAGTGGTCGAAGCTCAGTGCCTGCGTGCGCAGGACGCGGTACAGGTCCGTGTCCATCATCTCCTGCACGAGGTACACGTCCTGGTACGTCGCGCGGTCCCCGGGGATCACCACGTCGACGAGTCGGATCACATTATCACACGCATCGTTGTCGTGAAAGAACTTGAGCAGGCGGAGCTCTCGTAGCGTGCGCACTGCGAGCAAATGGTGCTCGAACGGAGCGACGCGCTTCACCGCGACGCGCAAGCCCGTGTTCCGGTGCACGGCCGAGAACACGACACCATAGCCGCCCTCGCCAATGATAGACTCGACGTGGTAATAGCGGCCCACATCTTCGCGGGCCTTGCGTACGGTCAGCGCGCGACGATCCTCCTTGCGCGACTCGGTGCGCTGCGCCAGCTCGCGTAGGTGCGTCACGCTGAGCCCCGACCTGCATTAGCGTGCGCGGCGTACCTGTATTCCTCTATCTTCTGCACAGCAGCCATTTCAGAAGTCAGCTACAGGGGAGTCATACTAAGGCGGGTTAAATAGCCGCCAGCGCAGCCCGCCACAAAGGATCCAAGCGCTGCGAGGCATGGGCAGGGGATTAGGCAAGGATGGCCTCCACTCACACAATGAAAGAGAGCGCACGGGCCCCGCAGATGCATGCAGGGTGCATCAATGACCATAGACGTTCGTGGGACTACTGAGTTTTCGCCTGCGCAGCCGCACGCTGTTGCTGCTGCTTCTGGCGCATCTCAATAAACAGACCAGCAAACACCACAGCGACACCGACCCACTGCAGCGAGCGCAGGTGGTGCTTGTACACGAGAATGGAGAGCAGCATCGTGAACAACTTGCGCGTGACCTGATGTAAGGACTTTGCACGTACCGTAATCGAAACAAGGGTCAGGCTGCCGAAACGCTCGAGCGTTTCAAAGATGGCAATCTGGCCAAGCGCACCAGCCATGGCATAGCCAAGCACGTCGCGTGCTGCGTCAGGGTGGCGCATAAGGAACTGGCAGCCACTCACAAGCTGCGGCGTCCACGAAAGCTTGGGCGTACTAATACCAGCCATAAGCACCGCTGCAATCCAGTGGGGATGAACGAGCGACGCAAGGAGCTGGCGCGCATGCACTACCAAGTAGTGCACAAGGCCCTCCGGCACAAGGAGCGCCGTCGTCATGTAGGTCGCCGAAATGGCATTCATGACGAGCATCATTTGCGTGCCTGACACGGACGACGCATACGTCGCAAACACCTCGTCTTGTGTACTGTTAGTCGCACCATCGAGCATAAGGTGGACGGCAAGCAGCGTCATACCCAGGACACTGTTGCCATGAGCCACTGCCGCTGCCTTCTTCTTGCCAAGCGCCATGAACATCCACACGCCGACAGTCACGAGGGCAACGACCACATACTTGTACGTCGCAAAGTGCCGGCGGTACAGCAGTACATTCATCACAAGCACCGGCACGAGCTTGCTGGACTTGGCCAACGTAATGGCCGGGAACGACAGGTGACGCAGCGCCACGAGACTCAGCCACGACGCAGTCGACTGCAGCGCTGATACCAGTAGGTATTGCTGCAGAAGGGGCGAAACGTAACGAGAAAGACCCGTGAGGCGCTTGCCCGCCGGCAGACGGCCACGGGCCACGAGCGCACGCTCGCAGCCGCTGGGCGTCAGCACGTCAAGACCAAGGCGTTGTAGCGTGCCGCTCGACTGACCGGCCGGCACGACGACACGACGGCGACGGTACAGCAGGTAGAGCGATGCGGCCATGCATGAGCATAGCGCCTGGATGGCATTGAGCATGGCACCGTACGTGAAGCGCTCGCTCACGCTGAACGGGTCCAGTGGGTCGTCGCCAGTGCGGTACGTCGTGCTAGTGACTCACGTTAGCGGCGCAACGTACTCTTCTCTTGTAGCAAGCCCCATACAAGGAACATTGTATAGATGGCAAGCGCACAGGCCACTAGGGGCACAAGGCCCTGTCGCGATGACATGGCGGACGGCTCGTGCGTCACCTGTCGGACGGGCGGCGCCCGGACGCTGTGACACGTCACGTGGAGGACTGACTATAGGAGAGTGGAACGCCAGCTACGCTCGAACGCCTTCATGTTGCCGTCGCTCTCGACGAGCTTCGCAACCAGCGCCTCATCGTTCGGTACCGTCCAGATTGACTGCTCGCGGTGCATGAGCTGAAGGAGCGACGCAGCTTCAGCGCGGTCCAACGGGCGGCCCACGTCCATAGGCACAAAGTTCGACGCCGTCGCATGCGCGAGGTGGGTATCCTGGAGCGGGGTGTAAGCGTGCGGCTCAGGCACGCGCGTCGCTGCGCTCCTGCACGTCACCGTCGCGAGCAGCCGCTCCCACGGCACTGGGGCGCCGGGCTGCATGGCGCCGCGGCGCAGCGCCGTCAGCAGCTCCGCCGAAGGCGGGAAGCTGGCGTGCGCTGAGCTCATTGTGGCGAGCACAGCGCCGCGCTGGACACTTTGCGGCGCAGCAACCACAAGGGACAGGAGCGCGCGGGGAATGGCCAGCTCAAAAGCTTGGAGCGGCACGTAGTCAGGGTCACGGTACAGGGACTCGCGGAAGAGCGCCTGCACGTCGTCAATGGCCGCGAGGAACGGCACCTCCGTCTGCGTCGTGAGCACGCGGAGAGCATGTTCGAGTGCGCGCTGCTGCACCACGGGGCTCGCGCCGTCCTTCGTAGCGGCCTTCAGCACTTGATCGAGCGGCGTCTTGTCAGGGAACGAGAGCGTATCGTCTAGCTGTACGGCCGTGCCGGCGATGCGCGGGAGTACTGCGGCATTGACGCGGAGGAGAGCCTCGAGCAGGCCGTGTGCGAGGGTCGGCTGCAGATACGTGGCAAGGGCCTGGGAGTACGCATACGGCGCGGACGAGTTGATGAGGTCGATGGCACGCGGCACATACAGCACGGCCCACTCTGACTCGACCGCGTGTGCGACAGCCTGGAGCAGGTACGTCGACTTGCCGCAGCCCGGCTCCCCGATCAGCAGGTGACGCGGGGCAGCATCGTGCTGCTCCAGCCTGCGAACGAGCTCGGCGGTCGTCGCACGCACCATCGAGCGCGGACGCGGCTGCAAGGACTGCTTGCGCTGTAGCTCACGGGGCATACCAAACGCCTGGAATGCCGCTTGAGCGCGCTTCGACCACGCGAGCGGCTCGCCGGGCGGGCTCTGCAGAATAGCCGCCGAGTCCAGCGTCGATATGTCGCTTAGGTCGGGCACCGGGCGGTAGTGGGGCGACGACTTGGACAGCTGACTCGCCGAGTCGACGCCACCCTTACGCAGGCCGCCTGTGCGGCGCTCGCCCGTGGCTTGGCCACGGCGCACGGCAACCTTCTTCTTGGGCGCTATGGTCAGTCGCAAATCGTCACGCACCTGCCGCCTTAGGCGCGGCGAGTACGACAGCAGAGGTCGACATGGCCGCTGCCTGCGCGCGCGGCGCCAGCACCGGCCGTAGAAAGCTACCCACTCGGAGGGCGTGCATCGCTCGCGGGCTCGAGAAGAAGACGAAAAACGCGTGCGACCGGGGTTTCGTGCTGAGTCAGCAAGCGGCTCGAAGCCCCCGCTCACGCACCGCCCTGTCACGCAGCTGCGCACGGCTTGCGGACCCTGGCACCATGAGCTTTTTCAATTCGCTTGGGCGCTCGATGGGCATCGCGGCCAAGTCCAAAGGGCGGCCCATGCCTGCGTCAACGGTCGAGCAAACAATTGATGTGGGCATGCCTCCCGCGGACCCATCGGGCGTGGCGCCAGGCACTATGTCGAAGCCGCTGTACCTGTGCCAGCCCTTCGTGCGGAGCACGTTGATCAGGGGCTCGTTCCGCACGATTGTCGCGCTGCCCAAGTATGTGCACCCGTACGAATGGATTGCTATGAACTGTGCGTGCGCCCAGCTGACCCAGTGTTTGACTTCTTCCACAACCTGAATCAATTCTGCGAAGTGATTGCCGAGTCTTGCTCGGCGACCGCGCATCCCACCATGTCTGCTGGCGTAGGGTACGTGCCGTGTGCTAACGCCAGCCTGCACTATACCTGGGTCGACGTGAACCGTCGCCCGATCCACCTGCCCGCGTCGCAGTACATTGACTATGTGATGACGTGGATCCACCGCCTTCTGAACGACGAGGCCGTCTTTCCCACTCAGCCCCTGCGCGAATTCCCGCCCACGTTCCTGACAACTGCTCAGCACATGTACAAGCAGATGCTCCGGGTGTTTGCCCACCTATACCATGCGCACTTTCCGCTACTGCTGCACCTCAGCTGCGAGGGTCATATCAACTCGCTCTTTGCGCACTTTCTCGTGTTTGGCAAAGAGTTCCAGCTTTTCCAATTTGCTGAGTTCAAGGGCGTCGGCAACCCGGCGCTCGGCGCGCCGGCATGCCTCGGCGGTGTCGGCGGGCCTGACCACCCGGCGATGGAGACGCCCGGGGTCCAAGACATGGCCGCCGCACCTGTCGGCGCAACCGGCGAGCCGCAGCCCTACCCCGGCGTGTGCGACTTGATCGAGTGCTGGGTAGAGCGCGGCATCCTTGCCCGTGATATTCTCTTATAGCTACGTCGATGGCACGGAGGGCGAGGCGGGCGACGGCGCACCTGTTTGCCCCGCGCGCTTTTTCCGCGGGCGCGCCGACCACTCCTGGTCGCCGTGGCGGTCCCACGTCTGCGCCGGCTCCTCCATCGTAAAGTCTAGCAGCTCGCTCTTGCGTGCGCGCCCCTTGGGCTCGTCGCTGGCGGTGCGAGGCGAATACGGCAGCTTCTCGTCCTCGAACGCGGCGCCGTTGTGGCTCGTCGCGCGGCCGTACTCGCTTTTCTTCCAGAAGATAGGCTTTTGGCTTCGGACAGCATTGCGCATCGGCTTCACAAACGCGCCCAAGTTCTCGGCGCGCTCGCGGTCCATGTCGTGCTCCTTGTCGTAGTAGTACCAGCACTCAAGTGGGTTGCCGCGCGTGTCTTTGCCAGGACGCTGAATCTCGCCAAACATGGGCGTCGTCTTGAGCTCGTCTTCCAAGCGCTCGTGCCACGCCTGCCGTGCCACAGAGGCCCAGCGCGCATCCTGCGAGTGCCAGCCAAGAATGCGCTCGCCATGGCCGGGCGCCCGGCTCGAGGCCTCCTCGCTCGCGATGGTCCGCGACGAGGGGCTAAAAGCAGCGGCGCGAGCACCTGCCTCGCCACGCAGCATGCTCGGCGTGGACGCCAGCACACTGCGCACGGCCTCACTCGCAGAAATCGTGGCGGTGCGGTGGAATACAATGGCTCCGGCCAGGAGACCGCCGAGGTCATAGGTCGGCGCCAGGCGTGCCACGAGTGAGCGCGCCTGCTCCAGCAGTGCTGCCGCCGAGTCTTTCGCCGACACTTTGGTCGCCGTACGCGGCGCACTAGGCTCGTCTTCCGGCGACGATAGCCACAGCGGAGGAGAGTACACGCGCGGCTCGGGCGACGTTCCGCGCTCCGGCTCAGGGTCTGGCGACGCGTCCCGATCGTTGTGCCAGCGGGGCGGGCTCGACGGCACATTCAGCGCAGGCTCTGCATCTGGCGACGGCGCACGTGGGATGGCAGGCTGCACACTTTGCACGGGCTTGGTGGGCGACACAGATGTAACCGAAGCGCGGGCAAGCGTGGGGGGCGTCGCCCGCTCCGTCGTCGCAGGGGGGGTATCGACATGGACGGTAGCGCCGAAAAAGTCAAGCGGCGTAGTACCGGGGAGAAGGCGCACCACCTGGCCCGGACGCAGGCGGCGGCCCTGGACCACGAGTCCATTCTGTCCGAGGATGCGCACGACAAATGTACCTATTGGCGCGCCATTTTGGCCGGCCAACTGAGAGAAGGGCACCCAGCGGAGGAGCGCATGCACGCGGCTCGCATGCTTCGCGGACTCGGGTAGGCAGACAAGGACGACGGGCTGTGTGCCAAGGAACGCAGGGCTCGCAGCCAGCTGTGTGGCGCGCTCGGTGTCCTTGCACCGTCCAAAAAGGTACGTGTGTGTATAGCTGGCAGATAGCGACGTCTCTGCCGCATCCATAGTGACGATACGCGGCGGCTCGATGTTCTTAAGACGCATGGGCGTCGTGCGGACCGGCTTCGTCGGCGAGCACCCGCGGCGGCTGGGCACATCCATCGGCGCGTCGCGGGGCGGCGAGCTTGGAGGAGGCGATGGCAGACGCTCTGTATGGGCAGGGCGCCCACTCAGCTCCGACACTGTCACCTTCTCCGGAGGGAATGCCACATCATGGTCCGACGACGGCGCCGGCGTCGCGAGCGAGTCGCGGGTACGCAGCATGGCGGGAGGAAGAGCGGCGCACTTGTCGGCACGCGCCGCGCCCGCGTCCTAGGCGCGCGCGGCGCGTGCCTAGCTGAGTCAGCAACCTCACCTCCACGCTCGCGCTCGCTACGATGGAGGGGGGGCCTAGCGGAGCCGCGGAGCCGCGGCCGCACGAGACGCGCGAAATCGAGCCTGTACCGGCGCTGCACGAGGACGTAGCAGATGGATCTGAAACAGACGAGGAGGAGCGTGAGCGCCGGCGCAAGGAGGCGTCAGCCGCAGCACTCACGCTCGAGATCGTGGGCGACCTACCGCATGCTGAGGTCAAGCCGCCGGAGAATGTGCTATTTGTCTGCAAGCTGAATCCTGTGACGCGCAGTGAAGATCTGGAGCTCATTTTCTCGCGTTTTGGAGCGATATCGAGCTGCGAGGTCATGAAGGATAAGAAGGTACGCACGTGCTACTCACAACAGACGGGCGATAGTCTGCAGTACGCTTTTATTGAATTTGAGGACAAGGCATCGGCAGAACAGGTACGCTGCTGCACTAACACAGGCCTATGTCAAGATGCAGAACGTGCTCATTGATGACCGCCGAATTTGGGTCGACTTTTCGCAGAGTGTCTCGAGGCTGCATGGTGTCTGGCTCAAGCAGCGCGCGCGACAGCAAGGCCGCTCGGCTGAGCGGCATGCGCCTAGAGAGGCGCACTCGTCGCGAGATCGGTATGAGCGAGCCCAGTCGCGATCGCGCCCGAGCGACAGAGACCGGGCCCGTCGCGACTACCGGTCTGAGCACCCCCCTCGGTTGCGGCACGATGACGAGCATCGCTCTCGATCGCGGCGCTACGATGACCACCACTCACGGTCGCGCCACGACGACGACGATCGGTCTTGGTCGCGCCGCACGCACGACCGGGGCAGCGGGCGCCGGCACCGCGATGACTGGCGCAGCTCGCGCTACGACGAGCGCGGTGCACGGTGGCATCGGTCTGCGGACGCCGAGGCCGACCGGTGGTCCCATAGTCGCCCCCGGCGGGCGTCGCCGTCCGATAGTCCCTAACGCGTGGTGCATGCGATCGGGCGCCCGATCTCCACGCCTTCGCCTCCGATTCGGATGCGACGGTGGTTCGCGTGCGTGGCACGGGCGCGAGCCGTGGCCGCGAGGCCCTGCACGGCGCGCCGACTGCACCAGACACGCTTGGTGCAGCAGGATGCAGGCGTTTGTGTTGAAGCGCTACGCAATATTGGCATTGTGGCGCACATTGACGCCGGCAAGACGACTCTGACAGAGCGCCTCCTGCACTTGACGCACTCGCTCAGCCTGCCAGGCCTCAAGCCGCCGCCGGTGCAGGCGCCTTACACGGCGCCTGGAGATGTGGACACCGGAAGCACGGTGACCGACTTTCTCGAGGAGGAGCGCGAGCGGGGTATTACGATCCAAAGTGCCGCGGTCGGGCCCGTGTGGTGGGCGAGTGAGCAGCTTGACCAGCACCTGCAGCCGTCGGTACCCAAGCAGGCCGTGTCCATCACTCTGGTCGATACGCCGGGGCATGTCGACTTTGGGATCGAGGTCGAGCGCACCGTGCGTGTCGTAGACGGTGCGGTCGTCGTGCTGGATGGCGTCGAAGGAGTCGAGCCACAGAGCGAGAATGTGTGGCGCCAGACGAAGCGTTATGGGGTGCATGCACACCTGTTCTTCATCAACAAGCTTGATCGTGCCGGCGCGTGCGTCTCCCGCTCGCTGCGCTCGATCGTGGACCGGGGCCTGCATCCCCGTCCGGCACTGCTGCAGCTCCCAGTGTATGCATCGCAGGCGCCGGACGACGCTGGCGATCTATCGAGATTCAAGTCCGACGACCCGCTGATTGGCGTAGTGGACCTGCTGACGATGGAGCTCGTGCGGTTCGAGGGCGTCGCCGGCGAGCACATGACGCGCGTGGCGCTGGAGGAGCGGCATGGGCCGCTGTATGCGCGTGCGTGCGAGGCGCGCCACGCACTCGTGGAGCTCGTGTCGTCGCTCGACGTGGACCTGCTCGACCGTGTGCTGGAGCTGGACGACCCCGCCGCGGCCGCCACCGAGCTGCCGCGCACCGCGGTACATGCGGCCGTACGCCGCTTGACGATCCAAGGCGAGATCTGTCCGGTACTGTGTGGTGCGGCTGCGTGCAATGTCGGCGTGCAGCTGCTGCTCGATGCGATCGGTCTGTACCTGCCGAGTCCCCGCGACCGCCCGCCTGTGGATGGCACACTGCTGCCAGACACTCCGCGGCGCAGTGCGACGACGCTCCCGCTCGAGTCGCGCAGCACGGCTGCGCTCGCATTCAAGGTCGTGTGGGACAAGCGTAAGGGGCCAATTACGTTCGTGCGTGTGTACGCTGGCACACTGCAGAGCGGCGCAACGCTGATCAACACGACGACGCACCAGAAGGAGCGCATTGCGCGCCTGCTCCTCCCGTATGCGGATCAGTACGTCGATGTACCTGCGCTGCAGGCCGGGCAAATTGGCGTCGTGCTAGGCCTCAAGGACACCCGTACTGGCGATACCCTCGTCGACGCTCGCAAGGGCGGCGGCGGTGCGCCGCCGCACATTCCACCGCATGCGTGGCACACGCTGCGCCTGCGTCGCGTGCATGTGCCGCCGCCCGTGTTTAGTGTCAGCGTGGAGCCACGCAGCAAGGCGGATGAGGGGGCCGTGGCGGACGCGCTGCGCATGCTTGTGCGGACTGATCCTAGTCTGCATGTGAGTGAGGGCGGTACGGGCACCTCGGCGCAAACGGTGCTGAGCGGCATGGGCGAGCTGCACCTCGAAATCGCGAAGCACCGCCTTGACAACGAGTTCCATGTGCATGCGCACTTGGGCCATGTGCGTGTGGGCTACCGCGAGACGCTAGCGGAGGGCATGTCGGGCCATGCTACGGAGCGCCTGGACCAGGAGCTGGGCGGCAAGCCCGCGCGATTCGGCGTGCAGGTGCATGTGCGTGCACTGCGCGATGATGAGCCGGGTCAGGCGCGCTTCGGCGGCAACGACGTCGTGCTCGATATGGGCGAAGCACCGCCGCTCGTCTTCGACGCGGGGCGCAGCCTCGAGCAGGTGCTTGCGCAGGCCATGCAGGCGGCGCTCGTGCGTGGGCCGCTGAGTGGCTACCCGCTGCAGGGCTTGCACGTCACGCTGAGCGGCATCGAGGCGCATGGCACCGAGCTGAGCACGCCTGCGGCCGTGCGCGTGGCCGTTATGCAGGGCCTGCGTCGTGCACTGGGCTACGCCGTGCGCCGCACGGCCGGCGAGGCGGTGCAGGGGCACACGCGGCTGATGGAGCCCATGATGCGCGTCACCATCACAGCGCCCGACAAGTATGCGGGCGCCCTAGCCTCCGATGTGACCGTCGAGCAGCATGGCTCGATCATCGAGATGGTGCATGAGGGTGCGGAGGAGACAGCGTCGACTACGTACGAGGTGTACATTCCTGCGACGGAGGACGCCGAGCCGGCGGGGCGGACCGGCAGCCCAATGCGGCTCGAGGCGCTCGTGCCCCTCGCACGGATGATGCGCTACAGCACACGACTGCGCGCGCTAACCGGCGGCACAGGTACGTACCGCATGGAGCTGCATGGCTTTGCCATTGTGGCGCTGGAGCGCGAGCGTGCGCTGCTGCAGGCGCTGGGACGCCTGCCGCGCTCATAGACTAGACCTTTTGCCAGCGCAATTGCACATCCGTGATGCTTACTTCGTCACCGGCCTTGTCGTCGTAGTCATGCCACTCACCGTCGTCAAACTGCACGTCAGTGAAAGGCGTGCTGCTCTCGGCGCCACTGCACGTCCACGAGTTCGACTCGGGGAGCAGCGCGTCGATCGAGGGGTCGAGCGGGTTCATACCGCGAAAGTCGATGGTGCAGAGCGTGTGCCACCCCGTCGTGTGGTCTACGTCTGGGGCCGCGGGCGTCCATGGCGACGCATCGCTGCGCGAGCTGGGCACCACGAATGTTGCCGAGTTTTCGCGGCGACAGCTAGGGCAGTGGACGACAAGATTCGCCGTGCCGCGGCTCTTCTGCATGTCCGTCAGGTTCGACGGCTCTAGGGCGACGGGATTTGGGTGCGCCTCGTGGCACGACGTGCACTCGATAGGCAAAAGCAGCGCAGCCTCGACACCGTCGGCAGGAACAAGGCCGACGACCTGGCCAAAGTCCGCCTGGAGCTGCAGGGCGAGCGTGGGCATGAGTCGTGGACGAGAGAATTAGTCAGGCGGGCCCAGATACTATCGACAAACGGGCCGCGCCGCGCTATGGCTTGGGAATGCGCAGCGTCTTACTGAGCATTGCCACGGACCAACCGAGCCACACCAAAGAAAACTTGTGGATGGCAAAGCGACCGCCGTGCTCGGCGAGTGCGGCAAGTGTCGGCGGGCGCAAGAAGCGAGGCAGAATGCCGCCGACTTGGAGAGCGCGGTAGAGCGCGTCCGAGACGTCCACACGGAGCGTGCCAAACAGCATGCCCGTGCCGGGCATATACGAGTGCCAGATGCCCGTGTAGGGTAGGCTCGTTCCTGGCACCCAGGGGCCTGTGGCCGTCTCGAAACGGCCCAGGAGGAGTGAGAGGGCCAGAACGCCCACGAGCGCGAGGCTCGAGGGGATGGGCAAGCCTTCGAAGTAGCGCGCCTTTCCCTGGGAGTCGTGGGGAATGTTGGCCGCGGTGATGTTGAAGCGGGCGAGCCGCGCGATGCCTGCGCACACAAACATGGTCAAGCACAGAGTATCGAGTGGGCAGCGCAGTCCCATAGCAAAGGCGGCGACCGTCGGAGCCACACCAAAGGATACCAGGTCGGCAAGCGAGTCCAGCTCCTGCCCTAGCATGCTGCTCGATCGGCGCCACCGCGCAATCTTGCCGTCCAAAAAGTCAAACAGGCACCCAAACAAAGGGAGCCACAGCGCCCACCACATATGAAGTGGGTTTCCCGTTACAAGGAAGCGCGCCGACATGTAGAGCGACTGTGCACCGCAAAATCCATTCATGAGCGTAAATGCATCAGCCAGATGAAAGTTGCTGTGGTCAGGACCCGCCACGTACCGAACCAAGCTAAAGTGGCCATTCGTCTCAATGAAACGCTTCAATTGCTGCTCCGCATCCTCACGCAAGTCGCAACGCGACTCTTTGCGTTCCGAACCTCCGCGCTGACGCAATCCCGATGCGTTCGAAACAGAGGCCATGGCAGTCCGCAAATATCGCCCGCCCATCGCTGCACGGGCGTTCTACTCCACATCCACGTGCAGCGCGCCAGGTGCACCGCCCATCCAACAAGGTCCATCTACAAGCTGAAAATATGTTCTAGATTGGGTTCAGAGAAGACACGCTGCCCTGTAAGTTCTCGGTGTTTTGCGCAGCCACGTCCATATCAATCTCGTTCGGGTTAGCGGGCGCCTGGTTGTCGACCGCAGAGCGCGAGGGAGCCGCGCTCGTAAAGCCGGAATGCAGCAAGAGAGAGCGGTCCACCTCACGCGAGAGGCCGAGCGAGTTGACAGGTCCATCGCCATCCTGCACGCTTGGCAGCGAGAGGCGGCGGGCTGCGCCAAGGATGTGGTCCTCGCCCGTCGAAAGATAAGACGGAGGGAACACCGAGGGAGGCGCCTCGTGCACAGGGCTCGTGGTGCCCTGTTCACCGGTGAGAGACAGGCGGCGCGCAGCACCCATAATGACATCTTCCTTGGGTGGCTGGGCCGTACCAAGCTCGTGGCTCTCAAGTGGGGCACCGGCGGCGGCCTGGAGTCAGAGATGTATACGCACCATTTGCAGACGCTGCAGCACGTCGACGATCCTGTCATTCGCCAAGACGAGGCGGCCGAGGTAGTCCTCGTCGTTGACGGTATGGATAAAGCGAACAATTACTTTTTGCAACTCCAACACCGTCGTAGTCTGCGTGTGCACCTTAGGATCCTCGAGTAGCGGCACATCACGCTTCTTCGCATCCACCATGGCAGCCAGCAGATCATCCGTCTCGCTCTTAGTCGACTCAATAGTGCCTTCGACACTTGAAAAGCCCTGAAGGTGAGTGAAAGGCACGTACGTGAGAGAGGCCTCCGTTCATGTCAATGTTGAGTGCCGGTTTGTTCGGCGTGTTCATCTTCTTAACCTGATTCGGCAGCGCCGGCTTGCGGTCGACACCACCGCACAAACCGTAGAGACTTGACGCGACTGTCATTGAGGGGTCACGCATAAAGTGACGGTGCCAAGAGAGTAGAATCAACATGAGCTTGCGGCGCACACCATTGTCCGTCGCAAGGCTGCGTGCCGTCGACACAAGCGACCGACACAGATCAGTAGTCGCGAACAGCTCTAACCGTAAGCAGGGAAGACACACGTTGGAATTTAGGCGAGCCCATCTCGACCAGACCCTCGAGCACTGTCAGAACTCGCTTCTGTGCATAGATCGAGTCACCCTCCAGGTGCTTGCGAATCGCCGGAGCGACCAGCTTTTCGGCGCCCTCCGTGCGATTCACAACATCCGAAAGCTCGGCGATGCTGCCATGAGAAGTAAAGCACATACCCATCGTACGAAGTCTCTGTGTACTAGCCGTGAGAGCTACTAGCCACGTACCTTGTTTGAGCACAGCTCATCAATCCATGAGCCGATTGAGAGCTGTGATCCCTGGCCCAAATGAGGATGGGGCAGGTGAGGATGAGGCAGGTGAATATGAGTGCCAGAAGACTGAAGGTGAGCCATACCCACGTACCTCCGTCATAGCCAGGATAAAAGCTAGCGGGAAACTCAAAGCGACTCCCCATGAAACCCATGGCAAATCTTACAATAGCACCGGTCACCTCCACATACGGTCAAACTTGCATGCATCATCATTGCTGACTAAATACCTATAAAAAGTAATCGGGGGCGGGGCGCTTGGGCGGCATGCCCTGAGAGCTAAGGTCAGCGCCCAGATGCGGGTACGTACATCGTTTGGGCTGCATCAAACGTCAGATATTTCTGGTTAAGCGCATCATCTAGCTGTAATATACTCGCCACATTCCCGCAGCGGTAGCAATAGTTCGGAGCGCTCCATACCGTCACAATTGTAGAGTCGAACATGGGCTTAAAACCCTCAAGAATGAGTTGATGCGCACGCGCAATAAAGTCCAGATCATTGGTATGCACAAACTTTTTTACCACATCGCCTCCGAAGAGGAAGCCAGCCCCTCTTGGCGAGACACCCCAACCTGTAATGTCTTTGGTGAGGCTGATACACGTACCATCCGGATCGGACCAGAGCAAATCACACATAGCACCGTCCTGCGGCACTTCTTGCTTGCGACTAATCAGGCGGATTTGATCTAGTGTAGTAATGTTCGGGCTCAGACCTCCATGTACGCAAAATACTCGTCCATCCACGATAGCGCCTAGGGATAAATAGTCAAACACGTCACAGCAATAGCGCCACACATTGGCACTACCAAATTTGCGCTGACATTCATCGTAAAAGCCGTACACCTGTGTGATCTGGCGAGACTCGTGATTTCCACGGATAAGCGTGATCCGGTCGGGATACCGCACTTTTAGGGCCAAAAGAAGAAGGAATGTCTCGACAGAGTAGAGGCCACGATCAACAAAGTCACCTGCACATAAGCTCTCGCATGCATACCAAGGAAAAGATAGCTCGTCTGGGGGCACATACCGCCCACGCTGAAGAGCTCCATAAGATCATGAAATTGTCCATGAATATCTCCGCAGATCGTCACAGGCGCATCGACACGTTGCACATTGCTCTCTTCCACTAGGATTTCGCGAGCCTTGTCACAGAGATCTTTTACTTGCGCCTCCGATAGGGGCTGACATGACTTTAACTGCTGAATTTGTCTCGCGTCAGTACTGTATCCTTACTGATCAAGATCCATAGACATATTTACTCGTTGATCCTTTCAGCATGCGTGTGTGTTCAGCCTTATGCTCGTACACGCAAATATGCCTAACGATCGGATATCGACAATGATCGCGGCTCGCACGGCTGGACGTGAAAGGCGCGTAGGCGCAGTAACCTATCACGTGATCTTAGCAGCGAGGTGCACTGTTACCCCTTCGGCGTCGATTCTGACTGGGCTTGGCGATGAGACGCACAATCCCAAGATGGGCGGCCTGGGCTTCTCGTTGGAGTGCCAAGCCAACTCTTCCGATCGCTGGGTATGCGAGAATGTATTCTGTAGCACCAGTGCGCCACGAAACCTTCGGGTCTGTCACCCCGGCCCTCTTGCATAAGTTTGCCTCGGTTTTATCTGTTCCCCAGTCGTCGCTCTTGAGCACGATTCCCTCTGATGCAAAGATCTGGAATACAGTGGATGCTAGTGAGCTTGATGGATTCAATAATGATTGGATGGGCAAGTACAAAGGTCATTCGATCTGTGTAGTGCGTCCTAAAAGCACAGAAGAGGTCTCCAACATCATGAGGATTTGCTATGAGAACAATATTGCCGTTGTGCCACAGGGCGGCAATACTGGCCTTGTAGGAGGTGGTGTGCCCGTGCATGATGAGGTGGTCCTCAATCTCAGCAGCATGAATAAAATTCGCAGCTTTGACGCTGTCTCGGGCACCTTGGTCTGCGACGCGGGGGCCGTCTTGGAAACGCTGGACAATGAGGTGGCCCAGTATGGCTACATGATGCCCCTCGACTTGGGGGCGAAGGGCAGCTGCCACATTGGAGGTAATGTAGCCACCAATGCAGGCGGTCTACGATTCCTGCGCTATGGGTCACTGCATGGCACAGTGCTAGGCCTGGAGGTCGTGCTTCCGGATGGTCGCATTCTTCCAGGTCTTCGTACGCTAAGGAAGGATAACACGGGCTTGGACCTCAAGCAGCTTTTCATTGGTTCCGAAGGTTCTCTAGGTATCATCACTGGTGTAGCTATTGCGACGCCCCGCCGACCCAATGTATGTGAAACACGACTGACTTCAGGCGAACAATGTGGCCGTATTTGGTGTGAACTCCTTTGAAGCGGTGCAAAAGACGTTCCAGATGGTACGAAGGCACTGCTCAGAGATTCTCTCGGCGTTCGAATTTCTGGATCATCAGTCGTTTGATGTCGTTCAGACCTATTCGTCGATGAATTTACGTGACCCCTTTGAAAGTCGACATCCCATGTATGTGCTGATTGAGACTAGTGGCTCGAACCAAGAGCATGACGATGCCAAGCTTCAGGCTTTGTTGGAAGACTTGCTTGAATCGGGTGTAATTACCGACGGCGTTCTCGCACAAGACGAGACGCAGGTCAAGGCCCTTTGGTCACTCCGAGAGGGTGTACCAGAAGCTCTGGGCCATTATGGAAAAGTATACAAGTATGATATCAGTATGCCCATTGAGAAGATGTATGAGCTAGTGGAGACGCTTCGTGCGCGCATGGTCGCCAAAAAATTGATGCCTGCACCGCAAGAGCCTGGCCGAGTAAAGGCGGTTTGTGGATACGGTCATGTCGGTGATGGTACGTAGCTATGTGGCTTACATCCAGGCAACCTCCATATCAATATTGTGGCAGATGCATACGATACAGAGATTGAAGCTGCCATCGAGCCTTTTATCTATGAATGGATCCAGAACGTCGAGTTTGTATTACCTGGCTAATTACAGTGGGTCAATTTCCGCGGAACATGGATTGGGTCTCATGAAAGCGGAGAAAATCGGCTTTTCGAAGGATGCGCTTTCAATTCAAATTATGACAGACATCAAGCGAGTGTTCGATCCGAAAGGCCTCATGAACCCTTACAAATATCTTCCGTGTACCTGATAGGTCGATCATCCATATAAAGTCTCCGAAGGTAGATCACATAAGCAGTCAAACCTCTGTGGCGTCGTGCAAAGGTGCCTCCATAAAAGTAAGTTGCACGGGAAATTGTTTTTTCTCTTCGTCTAGCACATCACACATGTCGTATGGAACACACCGCGAAGTAGGCAATGTGGCTCATCGGGAGGCGTACGTTCAGTTTCGTAACACACAGACAGTACAACTATGCATTGCGAGCAGCGGGGCAGGGTTTCTTGATAGGTATCGCATCGGGCTTGGCCGGTGGTTACCTCCTTCAGCGCCGCTATGCGCACATCCGCAATCTCACCTTGACCATGAAAACCTTTTTGGTCGCCTCTTGTGGTACGGGTGTGGGTGTGATTTTTGCCGATCATGCAGGCATCCGGTTTGATGTACGTCTTTCTTGCTCACCCCAAGCAAATGCACTACAAGGACAAAGCAGCGTTGGCCGAACGCGAGGCAAAATCAGCGTCGGAACAGAAATGGGAGAATCTTTCTACTTTCGATAAGACACTTACTTTTGCCAAAGAGCACAAGTTCAAGGTTGTGATTGGAAGGTAGGTCTTTGTCCCTGACTCACCACCAGCTGGATCGCCTCTATGGCTGGCTCGTGGATGTACATCCAAACTCAGCCTTTGAGCTTTGCTCAGAAGCTCGTACAAGCGCGTGTTTGGGCTCAAGGACTCACTGTAGCCTCGCTAATCGGCATGGCAGCCGTCACGCAAATTCCATCTGCGGGTGATGATCTGGTTTCCAAGTCACACACGGCAGATGATCATTCTTGGGAAAAGAGTATGTACATCTATACTTACAGAAGTCATTCAAGAATCAAATCTCAAGGCGCATAGCCAAGAGAAGCAAGGCAGCGCAGAAAAGGAGCAGGGACCTAGTCAACCTGCTAAGTAAATGTTGTGGACGTGTTGCCCAACACGTGCAGCTAATACCGATACGTGTAATGGGCCGACGCGGCAAAGCTCTTGTCCTAATGCATCGTTCAATGCTTCGGCTAGAGTGTGACCATGTCGGATGAGCTGTTGACGCGGGACCGATACATCGTCCATAAAAGCAACGCTAGCATGGAACTGTGCCTTATCATAATATCCCCGAGCACCAAACAAACGCTGGAATCTTGGATTGAGCTCCTGGACAAGCGCGTAAAGCTAATATAAGACACATCATACCAACCTCATGCCATCCTGCACTCAGCTCCATGCATAGAAATACACGCTCAGAGGAATCGCTTGGTAGACAAATAAATCTAGAGAAAGCCAAGGAGAATCTGTATTAGTCTTTGCAGCGTACCGAGGGAGAGAAAGCGATTTTACTGCCTGTAGGACTTCTTCCGCAAAAGAACGTTCTTCGTGTTTTCGAAGAATAATGGGCCTTGTCAGCGATACATGAAGTGATGGTTCATGATCCATATGATCATAGGCAAGCATTAGGTCATGTGAATGTGCAACAACCTTTTCCAGCAAGGAAGGAAGACCGGATAGAGAATAGGGCACTGGGTTAGATGCCAGTACATACCTGGTACATACACAAAGCTAAGCCATTCATTCTTATAGCCTTCATCGCCCATGCTCAGTGGCGGAAGTTTGGGGAGCGGTGCTTCAGTTTCGTCTTCTGAGTCGGTATAATCGACCAGGCCTTGAACCATGGCACGGCGCACGGTCGCTTGTCAAAGACCACGTGGGTGGTTTTTCTGAGGAAAAATTTGGGCTGCTGCACACGTCGCGGCTGCTGCTATTATGACGAAGACCCAGGTGTCTGAGGGCATGTCGGCCCTAGGACGACCGGCACAGTATCAACGATCTTCTAGAAAGGGGAAGAAAGCATGGAGAAAGCATATTGATTTGAGCGCCACGGAAGCAGCGCTGGAGGACATCCGCGAACAAGAGCGTGTCATGGGTACCGCAGCGCATTCACAGAAAAATCAAGATTTGTTTGTGGAAGACCGAAGCGGACAGGAAACCCAGCTAGCACGTCAGGCTCGTGAGAAGCGAAAACTCAAGTCGCAAGAGATTCTGGCACAGCGGAGTGCTGTGCCAGCGGTGCAGCAGAAGGCACGCTCGAGTTTCCAGTTGGACACCAAGACGGCCGCTGGTAAAGCGAATGCGGCTGGTCTCCCAGAAAAGGTGAAGAAAAGACTGCGTACATTGGCTTCTCGCCCACACGAGGGACTTCAGGGAGAGGATGAGCACGGCAGCGCGGGAAAGTTCCAGAGCGACGCTGTCCTCGCGGAAAAGCATGACCTTTGGGGAGCACCAGTGCCCAAAGTAGAGAATGAATGGATCACACCAGCCATGAAGAGCGCTGTTCACAAGCCCAAGTCTATGTACCACGAACCATCAGCTCCGGCTAAAAGCCTTTCTGCTGTTTCCAAACCGCACCCCGGCATTTCCTACAACCCTGATTTTGATAGCCACGAATCTCTGATTCAACGTGCATTTGAGAAGGCCAAGGAGCAAGAGCTGGATGAAAATTCGCTTCGCCAATGGAGAGAGCAAATGCGTAATGTTACCCAAGGGCATGATCAAGCCGGTGCGCTTAGTATGAAGATCGACGATTCTACCACCAACGAGGAAGAGCAGGAAGATGATGACGAAAATGCGTCTCAACGGACAAAGCTTCCCGGTCGCAAGACCGCAGCCCAACGTCGACGAGAAGCGAGGGCCAGGGACCAATACAACGAGGCTCAGCAGCGTCGGAAAGAGCGCCAGATGCGTGCACTCATATCTGAAGCGTCTAGTCACAGCAAGAAGTTGGGTAAAGCAGCAGAGGAACGAGCCAAGTTGATCGAGCAACGCCGGGAAGCAAAGCTTGCACGTATGCGAGAGAGTGGTATGGCAGGCTCCAAGGTCGGCAAATATGCTGTTCCCGAAGAACGGATTGATGTTCAAACAGGCGATGAGCTCAGTGAGAGTTTGCGGCAGCTCAAGCCTGAGGGTAACCTGTTTTGGGATCGATTCCAAAATTTGCAAGCCCGTGGTTTGACCGAGAGTCGACGTCTGGTACAACCGATGCGCCGCCGCTTAAAAACCAAGACGTACGATAGACACACTTTCAAGCGTGATTAGGTTCTATCTAGGTATGCTAGAGGAATAGACGGTAAGGATAGGCGCCGCTGTTGTCAGTGCTGTCTGTACATACTTCTTGAACGTAAAGAACTTGATCATCAGGCTGAAAAGCGCGAGAAAACCGAAGAGACCAAGAAGAACCACAAGTCGCTGCAGCATCGGGCTTTTGATAGATGGGCCGATGATGATCAAAAAGATCAAGCTTAGAGTAAGCCCGGCGTAAGTCGCGATCAGCAATGACGACTCGATGCCAGTCTGACTCTGGAAACCATCTGCAAATAGTTTCGGACCAGAAGCCCCCTGCAATACAAAAGGCGCTGAGCGGATACGAGTCCACATATAACCAGATGTGAACATGAACACAAGACCGATGGCCAAAACCATGGCGACAGAGCGGAGCCCGTTTTCCAAAGAAAACTGAGTGCCGACATAAGAAAATGCGCCCACGCTAACGATACTCGAGAATGCGTAAAACATATTAAGCGGTGTGAACAGAGCAGTCTTGGGCTTAATTTTCACATTGAGCTTGCCACCCAGGTACTCTGCAATGTCGTCCGAGTTGAAGCCCTTCAGGATAGCATCGTATTCAGAGGAGTGATCCATGGCACCGTTAGAAGGTTTATAGTAGCGAAAAACTGGAGCATGGTGCAATTTTAGCTGTTGTTAATGAAAAGGACACGTACCATTCGGAAAATATCAACGTTTTCTTCGGCATCAGCCTTGGCCATCAATAGTTTGTTACGATGTTTGCTGGCCTTGACACCACGAGCCACTTCGCTAAATGGTTGGTCGACCATTTGGCAAGCAACACATCGGAATCGAGCACCCAGGGCTGTGTATAGAATGAACACGTCGTAGTCGCGTTTCGATGTCATCAAATCCCTGAAAAGTGCAGGGTTGAGTTTCAACACGCCATCAGGAGAGCGCTGCGCAAGCTTCAGAAATGGGTCTTCATTTTGAGAAGCCAATACATCTGCGGTAAAGAGCGTGACAAGGATGGTGAGTGCACCCACGAGCCAAGCACCCAGCCTCATCGTCAAGATGAACCTATCCAGCTACGGAGAGCTCGGACCACGTGTCGATCCAGCCAACCTCTGTCACGTGGATCTCATCCACGACATCAGCCTTGATGGCTACGGTCCAGTTTACTTGGTCCTTTGAGGCACCTAATAATATAGCAGAGCCTTCGCGGACAACACAAGAGATACCCTCATGCGGAAGTTCTGAAACAAAAGTTCCTTCAGGAGAGAGCACGCTTGCAGCGCTTGCTCAGGCGCTCGACACGACTCGCTCACACCTGAATGATATTGTTACTCACTGGAAAGACCTCGTAGGATCCGAGCAAGACTCTTCCCATGGTATTGGAAACAAACACTACCCTAGCGCGAATAGGGAAGTGGGAAAGGATAATGCCGACGACGTCGACGAAGACGATGAAGACGACGACGATGAAGAGTAGGAACGATTGTACATCTATCACTTAAGCTTCAGAGCTCGTAAGTTTTGCCGGCGTCAAGCTCGTATCGCACTCGCGACCAAGACGCGGTGGCGTCGAGGCTGTGACAAATTCGGTGCGAATGGGTAATTTGGCCGCAGCCAGGCGCAGAGCTGAAAGTTAGTGGATAGCACCCGTACCATCTTTAGCAACCTCAGCCCGGACCTCTACATGTCCACCAATCTCGAATAGGACACGACCCACCGGCACACTATAGTTAGCAGGGACAGAAAACGTACCGACAAGCCCAATACTCGAAAGAGCCTTTACCCTTGCCCATACGAGTCTCATTTCCCTTGACGCATACGGGCACATCGGGGAATACTCGCATAAAAACTTGAGACCCACGTACTACTTTCAACTTACGCTTAAGGGCAGTTTCCGCAGCAGTTAGTTGGTTGGCAGTAATTCGACATGGCTCAAGGGTACGAATTCCGTACATCCCTTGGGTGACCGTAGTGCCCTTCACAGAACCACCAGTGGGAAATGAAACACGACCCTTTTGGGACTTGCGATATTTAGTACGTCGTGGTCCCAGGTTCGAGGCAAAACGCTGCTGGCCCATGTTCATATTTGACAACGGCTGATTCACCGCCAAAGAACGCTGCAATGGTGATGAAAACCTCGAAAATGGTGCGCTTGCGCCAGTAAAAAGAGCGCGAAATGACATGACGCACACAGGCAAGCGGAGGGACGGCAGCGATCACAACCCTTCTTCTTGTGGGTATATCCGTAATTTTTATAGGCGCCAACTACGTCGAACCAATCTGACATCGCACGACGGCTTGTTGCACACCTGATGGCAGTCTACGACAATCCCAATACATATGAGCAACAAAATGACGAATCTCTTAATCGTCTTTTCAACAAAGTAAGATCATTAGTACGTATTTTGGTATTCCTTACCGGCAGAGGGAGGTCACTGTAAACATTCATGAAGATGCAGACCAGCAACGGGGCCTCATCGGTGAGACAGTATGTATATTGTGTGTCTATCAAACTTACACACAAGTCAAATACGTTTGATCAACTAGGTGCAAGTTTAACTTTCACAGCCAAACAATTTGCTCATAAAGTGACTAACTATGCTGGCTCTCATCGTGTTACGACTGGGATCGTTGGGTCATTGGTAGTTCTCTGGGCATTATGGTTTTTCTTCTTCTAAATCATGCAGTTAAACTCAAAGTCCTCACACGGACGCAGGAATCTATAATGGACTTGGCAAAATATACCCATGTATTCTCCATTATGGAATGCATAGTAGTATTACAATGGTTCTTTTCATAGTTTTAGAGTAGAATACAAAAGTGCAAAATCTTGAGATGCATTATAAACGGTATGTAGTTGACGAAAAAAAAGGATATGCCTACATGGTAGGGACCTTCACGATAGAGGGCAAAAAGGATGGAGAATATGGGAATTGAACCCATGGCCTCATGCATGCTAAGCAAGCGCTCTACCACTGAGCTAATTCCCCGATGTATGGAAGTTCCCATTGTTTGGGCATATATATACCCAGATCTTACATTGGAATAGGTATAAATGTAGCATTTTATTTATGTCGTACGCTCAGCCGCGATGCACAGAAAAGCAAATGGATATTTAGCACCCATAGCGAGCGCGATACGCCTGCATACTCTCAATGTCTGCACGTGCCGACTCACCCCGAGTGTTCGACATGTGCTGGATAATTTGGCTCAAAGTGACGACACTGTACACCTTGATGCCAAGACGACGTTCCACCTGCATGATGGCACTTTCAGGAACATCCTCCGTTGCACGTTCTTGACGGTCAAGAGCAATCACAACACCGATCAGCTTGGCATCCGGCTGGGCATTGATGATGTCAACGGCCTCGTTGATCGCAGTGCCTGCCGTAATCACATCATCCACAACAAGCACGCGGCCCTTCAAGGGAGCACCAATGAGGTTACCTCCCTCACCGTGTGTCTTAGCTTCCTTGCGGTTGAAGCAAAAATTCACGTCGCGACCGTGGTTCTTTGCAAGTGCCAGAGCTGTGGCGGCAACGAGAGGAATACCCTATCATGTTAGAAGATACAGGTACATACCTTGTATGCAGGACCAAAAAGAACATCGAATTCGACACCACTTTCAACGATGCGGTCGGCGTAGCATTCCGCCATTTTTTGAAGCTTCATACCAGTGTTAAAGAGACCAGCATTGAAGAAATACGGGGATTGACGACCTGACTTGAGCGTGAAAGGTCCTCCAAAGCGTAGGATGTCCCACTTAAGTGCACAGTCAATGTAATCCGCTTGGTAAGGAGCCAGTGTGGCTTGCGACATATTTCAAATACAGCAACTTGCGGGAACCAGAAAGTCAGCCAAGGATTTCAGTTGACCTCCACATTGTGGGAGACGATTAAGTCTCCCCGTTCACAAGAAGGGCGCCTGACTGTGGGTAGACACCATGGGTTCCCCGGACAAGGCCCGCCAAGATTCAATTTTGACAGAGATCCACTCCCTTGCTCCATATTTCTCATATGATCGCAGTAAGAATGGAGCAGAGGAAGATGCCAAAGGTACGGCTTCTGCAGCCAAGTCGCAAGCTATAGAGGAGCAAAGAAGCTCTAGCAACTGGGAGAAACAAAGGAAAGAGTACGTACTCAATTCTGACCTAGATTGCTTAATATTGCGAATGATCAAGTTGTTGTAAACCGCCAGTCCCGACAGATTAACGCATACCAATCCAGCGGCAACATGGACCAGGTTGGCTCTATGGCTAACATGGAATCGAGTGTCCTTCGTGGCCCTAATACGTCGTCCAGTTTAAATAACACTGTCATTATGCCGTGGGGAAGCGCGTATATCAAGGAGGATATTGTCCGCATCGTCACGCAATGGCTAGCCGATGAGGGTTTCGGTGCTGCACGGCAGGCCTTACTAGAAGAGGCGGGTCTCAATCTTCGCGAGAGTGAAGATGAGAAGAATGAGAAATGGAAGCTAAGGACCTGCTTGTTAGGTGCGTATCTAACACTGACGAAAGAGGGGAACTGGGCTGAAGTAGAGAAGATATGTGCCAAGCCGTTTTTTAAAGGACACAAGGCTTTTTTGTATGCGATTTACCGGCAGCAATTCCTAGAGATCATTGAGCACAGAGAGTACCAAAAGGTATGCAGTACATGCTCATCATCAGGCATTTACATTCCTCACAAAGCGTCTCAAACCGCTGGAACACTACCAGCCTCATGCAGCAGAGTTTGGGGACCTGTGCTATTTACTATCGGCCAAGAGCGTGACAGATGCACCTTCCTTCCGGATGTGGGAAGGCATTCAACCGGGACGTGAAGCTCTAGTAGCAGAGTTTTCGCCGCTTTTGGAACCGGATCGACTGGATCGCGAGGCTCTGTTGGATGATGCCCCAGGTGCAGGATCGAAACCGCGAGACCAGACTTACGTGCCGCCTCATCGACTGCTTACGCTTCTGCACCAGGCCGTGGCCTACCAAGTGGAGTTTGCGCGCTATCAAAAGCGTACTGTGCCGGTGGTGTCTTCATTGCTGCACGATTACGCTGGCTTCGTGATACCCAATCGCTGCCGTATGGCGTTGCGCGGACATACACAGAATGTCAAATGTTTGCGTTTTGTGGGTGAGGATGGCCGGAAACTAGTGAGCGGTTCAAGTGATTGCACGGTACGCCTATGGGACACAGAAACAGGTGGATGTGATGCCATTCTGGAAGGGCACGGAAGTCGTGTGTGGGATGTGGATGCAACGCGGAATGGCGCTCTTTTGGCGAGTGCAAGCAGCGATGCCACCGTGCGAATCTGGAGCACAGAGTCCAAACTGCCACAGCTGACACTGAGAGGCGGTTTTGGTGATGTGTACTGCTGCCGTTTTAGTCCCAGCCAACATCAGCTCGTGACGGGCGGGTACGACAAGCTGATTCGTCTGTACGACCTCAATAATGGCACGGCCGTGCGCATGTTCCCCGGACACCAGCTGGGCGTGTCATCCGCGGTGTTTAGTCCTCAGGGCAGCCTTGTTATTACAGGTGCTAAAGACACCAGTGTGCGATTCTGGGATACACTCAGTGGCACTTGCGTTAGGTCATTACCTGGCCATCTCGGGGAAGTCACTTCCGTGGAAATGAGCGATGATGGCATGCAGCTCTTGACTTCGTCGAAAGACAATTCACATCGACTTTGGGATATGCGCATGTTGCGACCATTGCAGCGTTTCAAGGGGCACCAGAACACGTCCAAAAACTTTATTCGCTGTGCCTTTGCTCACCCTAGTTTGATCGTCAGTGGCTCTGAAGACGGTTTGGTATATATGTGGGGCCAAGAAAACTCACGCGTGTTGCAAACACTTGAAGGCCATGGTATTGATGCACCTCTCTCCAAATCAACACCCGAGTGGTGCACTGCCACGGACGGACCCACACACGTGAGTCGCAAGCAGGTCGTGGTTTACAGTACGGTGTGGAACAAGGTCCAGGGCTTGTTGGCGAGTTGTGCAGATGATGGGACAGTGAGAGTCTGGGATTGGACAGCACCTCATGATACATCCAGGTAGTTACCTTATCGCTGTGTGCGCTGCCGAAAGCGCTTGTATACACGATCGTCCGAGGGCCGTTCTCTGCGTGGCGCATGCGACGTCGGAGGTCCGTACTGAGCCTGCCTGCGAGCCTCATCGAGCGTGCCAGGTTCTGATTCAGGCAAAGGATTGGGTATAGTACGCTGCATTAAGGCGCGCTTGGCTTTTTCCGTGGCCTCGATATTGTCCAATCGAGGCTGCACGCCGAGATCCACCTCTGGGACACTAGTAAGTAGCGCATCGTTATGTAGATTGTTAGGGCCAGGCGTTGCGGTCGGTTTCAAGTGCGAGTTAAGAGAATTACTAGGCTGGCTAGGTGCTGAAGGTGCATCATTCTCTTGTCTGGCGACATTTGCTTTAACAAACTGGAACCTGATGTCAATGCGCGCTATACATACAAGTGTCGATCAGCATTGGGTGGCGACGAAACAGCGCCTCCACGATGTATTTCATCATTATCCTGGATCTGATCTGTCGATTCTACTTTTCTCTGGCGCTTGTTGTCACCGGCATTCAGGCATGATAGCTCGATGCCTGTGGGTTTGCGTAGCATGTCGCGCAGGTTAACAAGCTCGTCAACAGATACAGACTTGTCCTGTGGCGATCCTTCTTCAGATTGTAGGGACTCGTATGCTGTGACCCGATGTGCGTGGCGCCCAATGCGCGTGCGCTTCTTAAACAGAGGCTTCCCCGCATCGAGCTCCCTCTCAGCCATGGACGTGCCGCGCCAAGAGTCAATGTATTTTAGTCAGCGATCCCAGAGGCCGCGACGACCTGCCGTACTAGCTGCGCCTTGAACGCTGGCCGCATCATGACCCCGGAAGAGGCAGCTCTCCGGGAGAAGCGCGAGGCTCCAATGCGGGATCAATTTTTGGAACATTATCTGCTGGTGCATTTGAATGACAAGCGTCGCGCCCTGTTGGGTCTACTCGTCTGTGCTGATACCCATGGGAATATCATCCTGCAGGAGACGACAGAGTACTTGGTAGAGCCAACAGGGCAGCTTATCGCCAGCCGCTTTGTTCCATTGTTGATGGTGCCGGGGAAATACATCGATCGAGTGGCCAAATCTAGTGGCAATGAGGCTACTCTTCCCAGCACATGGGACCCCTACATGTAATACCTATTTGGGAAGCTGAGACATAAGCTTCTCGTGTACCTGAATGTGAGATACCAGTATGCGCACCTTCTGAAGCTCTTCCTTGGGAGGCTGCGTCGACGGCCAGCCGACCACGAGACCCTTCTCCTGCGAGGGCTTGGGGATCACATGGACTAGACGTAAGGATGTTGTACATACAATGAACATGATCCACAACCTAGCAAAGTTAGACGCTGAAAGAGTACATACCTGGTGAGCCAGGCGGCCGTTGTTCTGCAGGACATTGTATTCCGCGGCGCCCGTGGCAATGGCCACCTTCTTGGCCACAGGAAGGATGTCAGCGAGACTGTCATCGGGAAGCTCATGCATCTTCGCTGCATGGTATTTCGGGATGATCAAGCTGTGGCCGGGCGCGCAGGGGCCAATATCTGTGGCGGTGAATGCACGACGACATACCCACGAAGGCCAAAGACTTCTCCGTCTCGACCAACTTCAACGATGGGATCTTTCCATCGACGATCTTGCAAAAGATACAGTTAGCGTCGTGAGACATGATTTTAGCTTGTTGAAACAGTCGGGCTGTGGGTCGAAGAATCTTGTCGACAGCGGCGAAAGCCAAGTCGGTCGTACGAGCCCGAGGTGTCCGTGCATCGGTTCGATCACGTGTAAATTCTTGGACGGTCGATGCGCAACACACAATTGCTTCATGGCCCCCGCAGTGTATTGGACGCCGACGATGCGCACACGGCCCAGTGCGCCGGTCGATGCGAAGCAGTCTTTGGAAGAGATGGCACCTATCCCTACGCCACCTTCGGTGCGGGATGTGACACCATCCCTGTGCTTGTCTTTGGTCGAGTTTAAAGGTAGGAACATGGTGTCTGACGCCCAGACATGCTCCGACAGTTCCGCGCTGTCGACGACAGTGTGACGCTACGTCTCAACCGAGCATTTGCTCATTCTCGTGATCGCGGCACATCTTTGCCGCCGTCGCTACTCATGCAGCATGATAAATCGTATTCGTCATCGACAGCGACGGACCTTGGTCGCTCCACGTACTCATCGGTATCCGAGACGATGTGTGCGTCCATCTGGCTCGACCTGGTGGATCTGTGGACACGCAGGGAAGATACCATTAAGTACTGCATGGAAATCAATGCGCAACAAGCGCAGCAGGCCCAGGCAGCCCAGGCCCCCATAAATAAGGAGGACTTGCTCGATCTCGATCGCGCACAAGCACGAGAGCGGAGCGCACCTATTGAGATTTCTCGCAGCCGGGGAGAAAGCACAGCAGAATTTATGGTGTGTGCATCATGCTGACAGGCAGGCGCGCCAGCTTCGCAACGAACTCATGGTTGAGTCGATTGTGCGACGGCGCTCGTTGGAAGGTACGGGTCGATCTTAACACGCAGTATTCCAGTCTCGATGCAAAATGTTCCAGCCCAGTACACAGGCTTGTGAACGCGAATGGGCGTATTGGCATGGACGATCAAGAGACGAGATGAAATAGTCTATCTCAGAAAAGCTGTCGTCTATTAGAGACGCTCCGTAAGCTGCGAGGGGTCAACGCCTTCGAAGCAGATTTCGTAAATGGTTCTCAGAAGGGGGTATTCATCCACCTTACCCCGGGCCTTGAGAAACTCGTACACGTCTTTGGCCGTCTCAGTACCCTGGAGCTTCTGACCATTGAGCAGCTCCGCTTCAAGGACGTGGAAAGGCTTGCGCGTCTTGACAAATGCTTCAGCACACTTGCGGTTACGGCCACCGTAGCAAGTAGTGATCAGGTCGGCCACACCGGCGCTGGTCTCCGTGAACGTCTCCGGACGAACGTTCTCGAAGAACTCGAGCGAGAAGCGACGCATCTCCATCAAGCCAATGCGCATGATCGCCGCCTTCGCATTACCGCCCCAGCCGAGGCCGTCGACAAGGCCAGCGCCAATCGCAACAATGTTCTTCAGAGCACCACACAGACTCACGCCTGCCACGTCCTCGATCATGCCCACGCGGAACTTGGGCGTGTCAAAGAGCTTCACGTAGTACTCTGCCAGGTGACGCTGGTGGGGACGGTAGCCGACGGTGGTCTCCGAGAAAAGACCCGCGGCCACCTCATTCGCAATGTTCGCACCACTGAGGGCCGCACATGGAATATTCAGAGCCTTCTCAATCACGTCGGCGTAGATGCTGATGTTGTGAGAGGACACATCCACACCCTTGATCATGGAAATAGCATGGGCATCAGGAGCAAGCGAGTTCTTCAGCGACTTGCACACGTTTTGAATGAACTGTGGGTCAGCAGCGAATAAGACGTACTTGATGGGGAAGCACAAACACAAGCAGCGTTGCACCGCAAGCCGCATCTTCCGCGTTGGGAACCGCCACGACATTGTCGGGCAGACGGGCGTGCGGCAGGTACTTCGTATTGACGTGGTCTTCGTTGATGATTTCAGTGAGTTTTTTGCCGTTGATCTGGGATGAGCTATCCAGGGTATTTACGTACCACCTCCTCATACACATACATGTTGACGATCGGCTCAAAGATGTCCGTGTGACGCGCAGTGTTGTAGCCTGTGTGTTAGAACGATCAGGTAGCGAAGGCGCTTACCTGCAATCTTCGCAATGGCGCTGCCCCTAGGCAGTGTTAGCTCCTTTGCCAGTGCACAAAAACATACCAATTTCCGGAACCGATAATAGCGACTTTCTGCTTTTGTCCAACCATGGTGTGAAGACTCCGGGGTAGTCGGAAAAGCTGCGACAGACGAGCGGACAGGTACGTGGCGGTCCCCAATGTGCACCTCCCCATGCCCTCAATACCGGTGCTTTGCCGGCCTATTTGTCAGACAAATTTTCTACCTATAAATTTACTAAGCTTGGCCGGTCAGTCGCAAAGGGCGGACCAAGCACCAATCACAGAGGAGAGGCAAAGCGCAGGAGAGGGCTGAAAAAGCACACACATCCAACCTGCGTTGCGGCACAGCAGATGGATAGTATCGGTGTTAGAAGCAATTATCGCGACGGCCGTTGGAGGCGGCGGATGAGCCGCTCCTGTTTCATAGCAGACTGGCGCCGTTCAGGCAGGCCCTAGCTTGTTAGCTTTACGGTACTCACCGTCTGTAGTTGTTCCAAAGTTGCGAACACGGTGTCCAGCGTAGCCTCCGACCTTGTCTTGGCCGCTGCATCGACTAGTGTTAGCTACGCATACGAACCATAGAGAGGTTGGCCACGAGCCAGTGCAGGGAAGGGCGCGCGATTCCGCATTTTGCGTAGCCGCCGCTGGCGTTGTTCCTCCTTCGCGTCCGCCAACGCACTACGCGCCTCCGCGCGGCGCTGAACTGCACGCGCATAAGCTGAGGGAAGATTTTTTCGACAAGCCACCACGCGCTCGGTCGTCTCGTCGACTTCGCTGGACAGTGTATGGACTCGCTGAGAAAGGCCCTCGTCAAACGGTTCCATCGCTGTTGTGAGTGGGACGCGACCTACCCGCTGACTGTTTCGCATAGTCTGACAGGGAAAGCCCATTGATGTGTACGTTGGGGATCAAACGGGCGCGCGCCGCATAAACCCACTGCGTGTGAGTGCGTGGACATACCCGCGCTAGAGCTTGCTCGAGCGTGCCCTCGAGCGCTGCTGCACCGCGACCGCGCGTACGCAAGCGCTCGTGACCTACATCTGTGGCGTACCGTAAAACGGCATTTATGATAAAGTCAATGTCGCTGGGATGCTCCAGGTCCACCCTTGGGAACTCCTGGGGCATCGCCTCGCGTCCAGCCTGTTGTGCCCACGCGCTGCGGTCGACACGCGCCTTGTTTGATTATGTCAGCTAAGGCGGCGAGGACGACAAACGTCGAGCTGCAGCGACGCCCGTGCCACGCCGTCGTGGGCAGCGAGGCGACGGTGTCACCTCATGTTCCATCGAGATCGCGCTGCTCTGCAGTCTATCGACTTTGATACTGATGCTAGCGTGTCTGTGCAGCTCGACGACCACTACGACGAGGGCCTAGGCCTTTCGAAGGCAGGCCTGTGGAGCGCCAAGGGGCCGAGCTCGCACGCGGTTCGCGCTAGCCTGGGCAAGAGTGCTGCGCTCCATGCCGATTGGGCGCTAGCAGGATTGCGTGACGCGAACAGATGGCAGCGTGTGTTCGCAATGGTGCGATCGTACGTGGAACATACTCACCACAGATCCCCGGCCCTTCGTCTGGGCCTGCTTAAAGGGCTCGTGCTCAGCGGCCTCGTGTGCGTGCTCGTGCATGTCTTTCGGCTATCTTTCGTGCCACACGCACTCCTCCAGCGCCGCGAAGAAGGTGCGTCCGCCTGGATTGGCTCAGTGGGTCATGTGTTCTGGCTGTACCCGCTGATCGCTGGCAGTTATCTGCTGGCCTCGACGTGGAGCACCAGTATTGCTGAGGCGGCCTTCCTTGCGCAGAACATCCAGCCGCGCGCTGCACCACCAGTGGACCACCCGTGGGTTGAACATGTGGTCCGGTTCGCTCTGGTGCTGAACTACTCGGTGGCCTGCTTTGCGGTGCAGTCGCTCCCCTGGGTGGGGCCACTGCTCGCGTTTGTATTTATGTGCTTTGTTGACGGCTACTTTTGCTTTGAGCAGGTGTGGGTCGTGCGTGGGTGGTCGCTCGAAAAGCGACTCCGTTTCGCCGAGTCACACTGGTCGTTTCTCCTTGGCTTTGGCGTGCCATCCACGGCCATCTCGTTCTTCCATCCGAGCGGCCTGCTCAACCTCATGTTGTTCATGCTCGTGTTTCCCATCTGCACTGTCCTTGCGTACCTCGCCGATCCGCAGCCCCACAGCTCTGCGTTTGGGGCACAGACCTCCATGCTGCCCTCGACAGTACAGGGCGGCCGCGAGCAGCTGCTTGCCTGGCTCCTACCTGCCCGTATTCCCTTGTTCTGGCCGACCGTGCAGCTGCGGCGCTGGCTCGTGCGCCGCTGGGCGCCGCCACTGCCGCCCAAGCCCACGCCTGCACCATCGCGCCCAGTGAGCCAAGCGCCGCTCTCGCCTCTTGCGCCGCGCCGCTCGGCAGCCTCGTTTGTCGGTGGCGCATGGTCGCCGGCCCCCGGCCCGCATACCTCAGCGGTCCATATTCCCATGGCCGACTCGCTGGGCACGCGCAAGTCTCATAAGATTTCATAATGTTCTACAGTAGTGGCTGCCGCAGGCGGATATCGCGCGATGAGGCACCTACGAGGATCTCGTACGAGCCCGAAGGACGGCGCCATTGCTGGTGCGCAATGCTCCACACCGACAAGTCGTAGTAGTTCAGCGTGTGGTTCACACGCACCGTCTCGCCGCGCGGTACCCACACGCGCTCAAATGCACGCAGCACCTTGGGCGGTTCGCCACTGTCTTGCGGGAAGCGCAGATACACCTGGGGGACTTCGTGGCCATCCCTATCGCCCGTGTTGCGCACGGTGAACGACACGCGCACGGCCGTCTCGAAGAGCCACGCTGGGAGGCCGTCCGGCGCAATTCTGTGGCCCCACTTGTGGTTCCAGTTGTGGCCATCGTCACCCACAAACTCGACATCGAGTGCTGCGTACTGGAATTGGGTGTACGACAGACCGAACCCGAACTCGAAGCGCGGCTCGATCGCATTGGCATCAAAGTGGCGGTAGTCGATGAGGAGGCCCTCGGTAAAGTTGATCTGGGGTTGTGGCATATCCGAGTTGTACATCACTTCGGCTGGGTAGTCACTGCGCTCCTTGGCGATCGTGTATGGCAGACGCCCAGACGGGTTGTAGTCGCCATACACGACATTTGCAACCGCCGAGCCGCTCTCGGAGCCGGGCAAGTGCGCCCACAGCACGGCCGTGACGTTGGGATGCTCAATCCACTCTTCCATCAGCACGGGGCCGACCGCATGCACGACAACGATCGTGTTGTTGTTGATCGCAGCGACCTGTTGAATCAGCTGCTCGCCGCTATTCCAGAGCGTGATGTTGTTCCGATCGCCCATATTGGCAGCCGTGTCCTCTGGCTTCGTGGCAGGCACAGTGCCATAGCCCTCGCCCGAGAGTGACGTGACGAACACCATGGCCACGTCCGAGTAGTTGGCGACTTTCTGCGCATTCTTATAGTCAAAGTCGTCAAACGACCAGTTAATGGCTGTGTGGTCCTGGCGCGCGCGCTGCTGGATCGCCTCGTACGCAGTCACCAGGTACGGATTCATCGTGGAGCCGGAGCCCCAGCCCATGCTCAGCGCGCCGGAGGGCCACCCGATGTTGTCAGGGTAGTAGTTGAGGCCCAGCGGGAAAGGCCCGGCGTCCGAGCCGATCAGCGCGATTTTCTTGGGCTTGGACAGCGGCAGTGTCTCGTTGGTATTCTTAAGCAGGGCAATCGCGGCCGTGGAAATCTCGCGCGAGACCACGTCGTGGTCGGCCATCACATCCACATGCTCGTTGGTGGCGGGATCCGTGATGTCCAGAAAGTTGAAGTTGGGCTTGGGGTACCCCTCGTCCTGCCGCACAAAGTAGTAGCCGGCAAGCACACGCGTAGCCATGTCTTGGACGCGAGAGAGTGGCACGCTCCCGTTCGTAACGGCCTGGGTGAGGTTCTGGCCCCAGAAACTCGTCGTGTTAAGGTCGCAGCACGACGTGCCGCCCGGCATGGTCATGTCCAGACCTGCCAGGGCCGATGCAACGCCCGAATGCTGCGCACCCCAGTCGCTGACCGTGTATCCCTGGAACTGGAGCTCGGTCTTGAGGCGGCCGTTGAGGAGCGCCGAGTTCTGCGACATCCACGAGTTGTTCACAAAGTTGTAGCCGGGCATCACCGACACGACGCCGGCCTGGATGGCCCGCATGAACGGATGCAAGTAGAGCTCACGTTCCGTGCGCTCGTCGAGGTTCGACGAGCCCGTATTGCGAAAGTGCTCCTGTTGGTTGGCCAGGTAGTGCTTGACCGTGGCCTGCACCCGCTCGTTCTGCACGCCCAGCACCGTTTGGTAGGCGGCCTCGCCGTTCAGGTACGGGTCCGCGCCAAAGCCCTCCCAGTTGCGTCCAGCAGCTGGCGCGCGCATCAGGTTGACCATAGGACCGAGATACACATTCGCGCCTTTGCCCCGGAACTCCTGGCCGAGCGCGGTGCCGCGGCGGCGCATGAGCTCCGTGGAAAAGGTGCCAGCCACGGTGATGGCTGGCGGGAAGGCTGTGGCGAAGTCTACGCCGCGCAGGCCCGTAGGGCCGTCCTGCAGGCACATACCAGGAAAGTCGATCGAGGGGATCGGCTGGATGTTGCCCACGCACGGGCCATTGCCGTACCCTGAGCCGGTGACCAGCGCGGCCAGGTCATCCAGTGACATGTCCTGCACAGCGGCGCGTGCGCGCTTCACGGGATGCTCCCACCAACCGTTCGTAGACGTATTGGGCGATGGGTAGTACGGCTGGCTGAAGGGCATCGAATCGTTCCCTAGGAACGGCACAGATGGGATTACCGGTAAATTCGGAGCCGTATCGGGAGTCTCGGGATGATGGGCGTCATCTCTACGAACGAGCGAGGCATGGACGCCTAGGGCGATCACAGCCAAACCCACATAGAGGTACCGCATCGTGACAGTCGGACGAGACGCAGTAGGGAAGTTCGGACGCCGAAAGCGGGGGCCTATCACGTGGTGCACGGACGCGCGCACCGCCCGTGCGCCCCGCGACGAGCGGTCCTTGCCACCATGTCGAACAGCGACTCGACCGTCCATATCCAGTACGTGTGCGCCGCTGACCCAGACCGCATCCTGCGACGTGTGCGTGCATGTGAACTGACGCAGCGAACCAGCCGGACGCTGGGCATGACGCTACCAGCGGCGCGATCCATGCGCCGCCGGGCCTGCAGCAGCTGGACCCGAAGACGGCGTCCTCGCTCGAGACGCCCCTATGTACGTTGATGCTCTGACGCCAGCGGATGAGGAGCTGAAGAAGCGCTCAGAAGAGCTGAACAAGTGACGTAGTTCGTCCTATACAGACAGCCACAACGGCCGTCGCTGCCAACGGCGTACGGCCATCCACGACCCGAGAGAGAGCAGGCTCGCTAGGCCGAGACAGCGTAGCAGGGTCGTGACGATGAGGGCGCGGCGCACGCACGAGTAGAATGCTGCGAGTGCGAGGCCCGACCAGTGGGCTCGGCGCTCCATCTCCGTGCCCATGCTCTGCTCCCACTTGCGCTGGATCGCCCGGTAGCGCCACCCAAAGACCCACATCCACAGGTTGACGTCTGGGTAGCTGAACCGCGGGAATACCTCGACGATGCTGGGCGCCTTGCGCGCTAGCAGTGAGCGGTGCGGCGAGCCTAGCAGCCACGAGGACGGCGTGTGCGATAGCACGCGGCGGAGCGCGCGCATCGTCGGGGCTTCCGCCGGCGTCTGGTGTATCTGGTACGTTGCCATGTGTCCGAGAAAGTCGAGCGTCATGCCAAGCGTGAGGCCCCAGAGCTGCAGTGGCTCGGTGTGCTCGGCGACGTACTCGCGCTCCGCCTCGGTAAGCTGCTTGGTGGCGTCGTCGTCCGCGGTCGCGGCTGGCGCGGGCGCGTCCGGCAGCACCTGCGCGGCATCCACGAGCGTCATGGCCGTCGGTGCGTTCGGCAGCTGGATGCACCGGAAGGTCATCCGCCCGACCAACAGGCCCAGGAGGCGGCGCAGGAATGTGTGGCGCGGCGTGTGGCGCGCAATGTCGAGATGAAGTGTGCCCCACGCCGGCGTGGGGGTGAAGAGCCGGGAGAGCGGGACCCAAAGCAGCGTGGCCACCTCGCTGGGCTGCAGACTCGGTGGGGGCGAGAAGGGCGAGAGCTGCACAAACACATAGGGGCTCAGGATCATGAGCAGGCGCTTCCCGAGGCTGCTCGTGATCTCTCGGTCCTCCAGGTGCCCGACGTGCAAGAAGTCCTTCTCCGCAAGGTCGATACCGACCTCCTCCCAGGTCTCGCGCATCGCCGTGAAGAGCCCATTCTCGTCCTCTTCATCGCGGCGCCCACCGGGGAACGCCACATGCGACGACCAGTTGTCGTTGACACGCACGGCGCGCTTGATGAACAGGAGCTCGGGCGTGCCGCTCTGCACCCATGGCAGCGTGAAAAAGTGGCGCAGGCGCGCCTCTGTGCTCATCGTACCATTGGCGTCCTGCTGCATCATCGACGGAAAGAGATGCGCATCCTCCTCGAGGACCTCGCCGTCGCGCCATTTGGTGCGCAGCCAGGCCTCGTCCTCCGCCGCCGGACGAATGCGCAGAATCAGCGCCACACTCGCGCGCCGCTGCTGCGTCGGCGGGCTGGCGAGCACGCGAGGAGAGATCGTCGCAATGCGCACAAGGCCGTGCTGCAGATGCGCCAGCAGAGAGGGTGTCATGGTCCCGTCCGTGACCAGTGCACGCATACAGCGCGGACCGAAACCCGACCAACGTTCGCCACGTGCTCCACCGTCCCTCTGATCGGCTCCATGGGCAAGCACTACTGCGGTACGTGGCGGCGGCTGACCCAGACTACTGCGACGTGTTCCTCACGCACGACTCGACGTCTGGCACGTATGGACGACTAACAGCAGTGCGCAAGGCCCACAACTGCGGTCGCAATCACCTACAGAACGTGCGCGACTACTATGCGGCGATGGCGCCGGCCGACATGCAGGCGGTGCTCGACAGCATCCGGCGCGAGTACGAGAAGCGGGGCATGCCGCCGCCTATTGAGCTCGTAGCGCCGCATGTCGCATACCGCCTGCCGCCGCCCTCGCTCATGCCGAATGGTACGTACCTGGCGCTGACGCAGGCCGCGCGCCGTTCATGGGCGGCGCCGCGATGCGCCCGCCACCTGGCGTGCCGCCGCCCGACCTGAGCAAGCCGCCGCCAGGCATGCCGCCGCCAGACTTTAGCAAGCCACCGCCCGGTTTTCCGCCGGTCGACTTGCGCAAGCCGCCACCCGGCATGCCGCCGCCCGACTTTAGCAAGCCACCGCCGTCCATGCGGCCCTAGCTTTATACCCCCTATGTATCGCGCTGCCGCTGGCGCGCGCGCTGGCTGTCGGACGCCTGGGCCTTGCGCTTGTTGCGCTCCTTGGCCTCGCCTACCTTTTCGTCATGTAGGGCCTGGGGGTCAGTCAAAGCCACGCACCATCGACGCGACGCGCTTCGCCGCGGACACCTGCGAGAGCCGCTCGAGCACCTGTGCCTCGGGCATCTCGAGCTCCTCGAGTGTGTGTTGGATTTTGTCCTCGATGGCCTGCACGAGGCGCACGTCGTGCTCCGTCACAAAACTCACCGCCCAGCCCCGCTGCCCCTTGCGGGCCGTACGGCCCACACGGTGCACATAGTCTTCCCACGCCGCCGGCACGTCCCAGTTGACCACGAGCTCCACGTCCGGCACGTCTAGGCCGCGACTGCCGACGTCGGTCGACACGAGAATCGGCACACGCCGCGCGCGGAAGAGCTGCAGGTGCGCGAGGCGCTTCGACTGTGGCAGCATCGAGTGCAGAGACGCATTCGGCAGGCCGAGCTCCGTGAGCATGCGCGAGAGCAGCTCGACCGTCTTGCACCGCGCCGCAAAGATGATCGTAAAGGGGACGCGCGGCGCATCGGTCGGCGCCGCGTCCTTCGCCGGCGCATGGCTCCGGCCTCGCGGGCGGTACACGTCCGACGGCGCCGCATGCGCCGTCGGTGCCGAGTCGCTCCAGCACGGCGGGTCGTGCAGCAGGTGCACCAGGTAGGGCTCGCGCATGTGCGAGGGCACAAGCAGGTACTGCTGCGTCAGTGTCGCGGGCGTGGCGGTACTGGGTCAGTCGGCGGCACGTACTCCATCTCAATCTTGCGCAGCAGCGGCGGCAGTTTGCCCGCCTCGGGCTCTTTCTGCGTGAGCCGCTCAATTTCCGGCGTGAGTGTAGCTGTGAATAGGAGCGTCTGGCGCATACGCGGCGGCGGCAGCACGGAAAACAGGTACGCGAGCGCGGGCGCAAACGTCGCCGATAGGAGACGGTCCGCCTCGTCCAGCACGAGGTACTTGCACCGCTCCAGGCCCCATTCCTGCGCTGCACCGCTGGACAGCAAGTCCATGAGCCGCCCCGGAGTCGCCACAATAACGTGCGGCCGCTGCTCGGCGAGCTCGTTGGCCTGGCGCGTCATGTCCATGCCGCCCAGCACGAGCGCACACCGCAGGCCCATGCGGCTGCCCTGTCCGACCGCGAGAAACTGCTCATGCAGCTGCACACCGAGCTCACGCGTCGGTGTGAGGACGACCGCGTAGCCGCCAGCCATCTCCTTCATGAGCGTGTGCAGGATCGGCAGCGCAAAGGCAAGCGTCTTGCCGGAACCCGTCTGTGCGCCACCGATCACGTCGCGGCCCTCGAGGATCGCAGGGATCGTCGCAGCTTGAATGGGCATCGGCGTCGTGATCGAAAGCATCTTGAGTGCCCGCACAAGTGTCGGTGAGATGCCTAGCGCCGCGAAGCTCGGCGCCGGCACATCCGCCATGGTCGTCGTTGGGCCCCCAAGCAGGTGGAGGACCGTAGCGAGCACGCCGACCTCCCCCCACCATGACGCCGCCTGCGGAGCTCTATGCGGTTGCGTACGTACGGCCTGCTAATGCAGTGACTTTTGCTGTGCGTGTGTGGTGCTGATGCAGTGATCCCCATGGGCACACCGACCACGTCCGTCGGCGCGTACATCACCGAGTGCCAGCGTGTGCTGGCCAGCATGGCCAGCGAGGGGATCCACTACGAAGTGCGTGTACGCTGCTGACCCTAGCTCCAGTGCGTGTGAATGCGCTGACCGTCAGTGGCTATGGCACGAATCTCGAGGGCCCCATCTCGGCTGTGTGGCGCGCGCTCCAGCGGTGCCACGAGGCGGTGCATGCGATGGGCGTCGAGCGCATCGCCACAGACATCCGCCTCGGTACTCGCACCGATCATCCCGCACCGACGTCTGCGGCATCCGCTCTCACGGAGAACCAGCGCAAGCGCGATAGTGTCCTGCAGCGCCTCGCCGCGCCTCCGTAGCTGCCTGGGCGAAATGCGCCGAATTCTCCACCTGTTCGAGTCATTGCACCACCATGCTCCGCGCTCGCGCCTGGGCCAGCCGTGCACGCAGCGTCCGTGCGTACGCCACGAATGCGCGTCCCTGTGCCCGGTACTTGAATGTGACGCATCCTGATCTGATGAGCGCACCGCTGACTGCTGACGTCTCGCAGCAGCTCGCGCGCTTCGACGAAACGACGCTGGGCACCTATGTGCGTCCGCGCGTGGTGTTCACGCATGGCGCCGGCCTCGATCTGTACGCGGAGCTGCCGACCGAAACAGGCATGCCGCGGCAGTACCAGCGGTACCTGGACTTTTCTGCGGGCATCGCCGTCAACTCGCTGGGCCACGCGGATCCGCAGATTGCGGAGATCGCCGGCGACCAGGCCTCCAAGCTCGTGCATGCAAGCAACCTCTTTTACAACCAGTGGAGCGGCGAGATGGCGAGCCGTCTCGTGGCCATGACGCGGGAGCACGGCGGCCTCGGCGCTGCGCCGGGCTCGCGCGCTGCGCCTGGTGAGGAGCTGCAAGTGTTCCTCGCCAACAGCGGCACCGAGGCGAACGAGGCCGCGCTCAAGTTCGCGCGCAAGTGGGCCACGCACAAGAACGAAGACAAACGGCGCACTGTGCTTGTGTCCTTCCGCAACGGCTTCCATGGCCGCACGATGGGTGCGCTGTCTGTGACGCCGAACCCCAAGTACCAGGCACCGTTCCAGCCGCTGCTGGGCGACGTGCGCTACGGCGACTTTAACGACACGGCGCAGCTCGCCGAGCTTGTGCGCGACGATGTGGCCGGCGTGATTGTCGAGCCGATTCAGGGCGAGGGCGGTGTCCTGCCGGCCGATACCGAGTGGCTCGTGGCTCTGCGCCAGCGCTGCACCGAGGTCGGCGCAGCGCTGATCTACGACGAGGTGCAGTGTGGCCTCTTCCGCACCGGCACCATGTGGTGCCACTCGGCGATGCCCCTAGAGGCTCATCCGGATATGGTCACGATCGCGAAGCCGCTCGCGAACGGGTTCCCCATTGGCGCGGTGCTGATGCGTGCGCACATTGCGGCGGCCATCCAGCCGGGCGACCATGGGACGACGTTTGGCGGCGGTCCCCTGACGTGCCGCATTGCGCACCATGTGCTGGGGCGCCTCGCGGACCCTGCGTTGCGGGCGCGCGCGCAGGCCGAGTCGGCGCACCTGCAATCGCGCCTCGCGCGCATTGGCACACTCTTCCCCGACCTGGTCGATACCGCGGCGAGTCCGCGCGGACGCGGCCTGCTACTGGGCATGAGCATGCGCACGCCAGCGCACGCCGGTCGGGTCGTTGCGCTTGCGCGCGAGCGCGGTGTGCTGTTCCTGACGGCAGGCAGCGATACGGTGCGCTTTGCGCCCAGTCTGACGGTGCGCACCGAGCAGGTGGCGCATGCGATGGATGTGCTAGAGAGTGTATTGCTCGTGCTGCGCGATGAGGCTACGGCTTAGCAGTCTGGCGCGCCTGCTCCTCGAGGATCGCCTCGTTGATCTCGGCGAGCGGCACCATTTCCTTGGGGTCGATCAGGTGGTATTCGGTGACAAAGAGGAAAAAGTGCCGGTACGACGTGTTGAGGTGCACCTCGAGGCGCATCGCACACACGTGCGAAAAATGATGGTGATACACATGAGCATAGATGCGGAATAGGCGGCGCAATATGGCCTTGACGCGGTCCACAAACGACGGGGGGAACGGCGCGCCTGGCGCCACCGGGAACAGCTGCTCGTCGTCCATCTGCGCCTGCGCCCAGTTGAGCAGGCACTCGATATAGTCGGGCGCAGACAGGCGCGTCGAGCGGCGGTACTTGACGGACGTCGGGTCCTGCCAGTGGTACTCGAACCGGGGTCCTGCACACATCACAGGGCACTCGCGCGGCGTGCACTGCGTCAGCCCACGGCACGTACGAGCTCGGTCAATGTCCCGTACAAAATATTGAGATGATTGAAAAAGTCGATCGCTGCGTCAGCCTTCGACACGCACTGTGCACGGCGAGCCACTCCTCGAACAGCTCACCGTCCGGCACCTGGACGGCCACACGAAGGTTGCCGCTTCCCAGCGTCGACTCGGCGAGCCGCTTCAGCTGGCTGAGGTAAGTCATGGGGACGTACTAGGCCCTGCTACCCTCGTTGGCAGGCCGCTTCGGCAAGAACGCCGTTGGTCGTGCAAGCCTCGCAGTCAGCGGCGCCGCGTACCCCAACATGATCGCAGCGTCGCGTGTTGGTCGCCGCCGCCTGGGACATCGCGTTTGTCACGTGATCTAGAGCCTACCGAGCTCTGCGCCTCGGCTGTCCGCTCCTCGCTGGCCATGCACGGCCCCCGCGACTCGATGGACGGGGACGAGATCGAGCAGGAGAAGCTCATGTATGTGGCGTACTCTGACGATAGCCTGCATCATATCGACTCGGACCAGTATGGCCGCCCGGTCATGCACTCGGTGCCGAGTGAGGGTGTCGAGAACGCGTCTGCGCCACTGGAGCAGGGCTACGTGCCGCCTGCCCAGCGCGACGACCACCTCGATCACCAAGGGCGTCCTGAATGGCTGCGCAACATGACGTTGCAGGTGATGCCTCCACCGCAGCGCCGACTTGTTCGTCTTGGCACGCTCGTCGTCATCCTAGGTATGGTGGCGGGCCTCTTTTACTTTGCGCTAGGCCCGTCGTCGTCGGAGCCCGCGGCGGCAGCGCCAAGCACACAGGCCGCTACCACAGAGGCACACATCGACATGGCGTCACAGGCCGCCGCTACGTTCGGCACGGATGTAGGGTACCCCGGTCCGTATCGGGCGGGGGAGGCGCCGCACTTTGCCGACGAGATGGTCGCTGCGACGCCGACGCGTGGTGCCTCGCCGATCCAGACGGCCATTCCGCACTTTACACAGTTCCGCCCATTTGATCATATGGGCCCCCTTACGCCGTACAAATCGGCGCAGTTCGCTGGCGTCGACAACGCGCGGTACCTGGCGACGCCTCAGGCGGCGAACGGAACGTGCAAGCTATCGCAAGTGCACATTTTACATCGCCACGGCGCGCGCTACCCCACGCAAGGCGCGCCAACAGAGCTTGTCAAGGCACTGCTCGCCACGCGCCACACACTTGCCTTCTCCGGGCCCCTCGAGTTCCTCAAGACGTACGAGTACCGCCTGGGCGAGGAACTTCTTGTGCCGCTTGGCCGCGAGCAGCTGCACATGGCCGGTGTGCAAGCGGCGATGGACTATGGGCGTCTTGCGGCGGCCGACAAAGCGCAAGGGCGGCGCCTCTTTGTGCGTGCGGGCAGCCAGCAGCGCATTGTCGACAGTGCCCTGGCGTGGGTCACGGGCTTTTGGGGCGCATCGTGGGCGCAGCACACGGACATGGATGTGCAGATCGAGGCGCCCGGCTTTAATACGACCCTCGCGCCGAACTTTGCATGTCGCGCGGCCAAGGATGCGTTCCGCACGGAAGCGTACGTCAACGAGACGCTTGCCTCGACGGCGCACCGCCTGCAGAAATACGTCAAGGGCGCTACGCTGACGCCCATGCTGCTGTACGGCATGCAGCAGCTGTGCTCGTACGACACAGTCGCGTTTGGGCGCAGCGACTTTTGTGCGCTTTTCACGCGCGAGGACTGGCTTGCGTACGAGTATGGGTGGGACCAGCGCTTCTACTACGACTATGGGGCGGGCCACCCCACTGGTGCCGCAATGGGTCTGGGGTGGCTTGACGAGTTTCTGAGCCGCGTCACGCGTACGCCGTGGAATGCGACAACGCAGACGTCCGAGAACCGCACGCGCAATGCCAATGCGGCGCTCTTCCCGGTGGATCGTGCGGTGTATGCGGACTTTACGCACGACTCCGTGCTCACCAGTGTGCTGGCCGCGCTGCGCCTGGAGTCGTTTGGCACGCCGCCGCAGCGTGCCGACGAGGCGCGTGCATTCCGCACGAGCGAGGTCATTCCCTTTGCTGCGCGCCTCATCTTTGAGGTGTGGGACTGCGCGAGTCCTGTGCCGGCGCCGACCGAGACGCCACACAAGCGGCGCCTTCCGCTGTCGACGTACCCCCCCGCGCAGTATGTGCGGCTCAAGCTGAACGATGCGATTGTACCGCTGCGACAGCTGCACGGGTGCGAAGACCGCGCAGACGGCCTATGCACGCTACCGGCGTTCCTGCGCGCCCACGCGGATCGTCACGAGCAGGGCTGGTGGGGACACTGTACGTAGTCTATCGACTCCATTCGTTATGGAGGCCCAAGTCTTCGGCGCCGTTCATCGGGCCGCTGCAGCTGACGAGGCCCTCGGGCGCGGGCGCGGCCGGCGCGCCGCCCAGCTGCTGGGCGGCCTTTTTCGCCTGCTCGTTGTCGGCGCGGTGCTTCTCGAGGGTGGCGAGGTACGCCTCATTGACGCCGCCTGTGACGTAGACGCCGTCGAAGATGGAGCAGTCGAACTTGGTGAGCCCGGGGTTCAGCGAGCGCACCGACTCCACGAGCTCCTCGAGGGTCTGGTAGATGACTGCGTCCGCCTGGATCGACTCGGCGACCTGCTCGATCGAGCGGTCGTGCGCGACGAGCTCGTGGCGGCTCGGCATATCGATGCCGTACACGTTCGAGTAGCGGATCGGCGGCGCACAGCTTGCCATATACACCTTCTTGGCGCCAACGTCGCGGGCCATCTGGATGATCTCGCGCGACGTGGTGCCGCGCACAATACTGTCGTCGACGAGGAGCACGCTCTTGCCTGAAAACTCGAGCGCCATGGCATTCAGCTTGCGGCGCACATTCTTGCGGCGCACACTCTGTCCCGGCATGATGAACGTGCGGCCAATGTACCGGTTCTTCACAAAGCCCTCGCGGAACGGAATGCGGAGCGTCTGTGCGAGCTGCAGTGCGGCCACCCGCGACGTGTCTGGCACCGGGATTACGACGTCGATCTGCTCACCCTTGCTCAGCAAGTTGCGCTCCACGGCCTTGGCGAGGCTGTCGCCCATGGCCATGCGGCTGCGGTACACACTCACGCCGTCGATCACGCTGTCGGGGCGCGCAAAGTACACGTACTCGAAAATGTCGGGCGTGAACGCCTGCGAGTCGACGAGGGTGCGGCGCGTGCAGTTGGTGCGTGTCACGATCACGGCCTCGCCGGGGCGCACATCCTCCCAGCTCTCGAAGCTGAGCGAGTCGGCCACGACGCTCTCACTCGCGAAGCAATAGTCAAAGCCGTGGCCGTCCGGCGCCGGCGCGTCCGCGCGGCGCTTCGCCATGCCCAGTGGGCGGATGCCGTGGGGGTCGCGGAACGCCAGGATGCCAAAGCCTGCGATCATAGCGACACAGGCGTACGCCCCGACCGCCTCGGTCATGACGCCCTGGATCGCCGTGAAGATGTCCTCCTCGTTGATCCGCACCTTGCCCGTGCGCTGCAGGCGGTCCGCAAAGAGGTTGAGCAGCAGCTCCGAGTCCGAGTCCGTGTTGACGTGGCGGTGCGCGTCGGTGTCGAGCATGGTGCGCAGGCCATCCTGGTTCACCGTGTTGCCATTGTGCGCCATGACGATACCGTACGGGCTGTTCACATAGAACGGCTGCGCCTCGGCATGCGCAAATGAGCCGGCGGTGGGGTAGCGCACATGGCCCACGCCCATCGAGCCCACGAGGTTCGCCACGTTGCGCGGCTCAAACACGTCGCGGACCATACCGTTCGCCTTGCACTGGTAGAAGCGCCCTTTCGGGCCGCATGTCACGATACCGGCCGCGTTCTGGCCTCGGTGCTGCAGGACACCGAGACCCTCGTGTAGCTCCGTCGCAACATGCCCCTGCTGCAACAGCACGGCAATGATTCCACACATTCGCAGTGGGCGGAAAAGGGACGACCTGGGGAGCAGCGAGTCGCCCCACGTGGACAAAAAAATTTTACGGGCGATCAAGCAGCGTCGATCGCTCGGCACCTGCGCCACCGATCCTTCGTAGATGGCTTCCTCTGCGACGCGCCGCGTTCCTGAGCGGCGCCCGCCGCCCTGGCTGCATTTTGCGGCCGGAGGGTACGTCGTGTATACTTATGCAGCGCTGGTGGCATGTGTGGCGCCATCATCACGTCGCCTCTAGATGTCGTCAAGACGCGCCTGCAGTCTGATCTGTACCGTGATCGGCGGGGCATCCAGATCGCGCAGCGCGGGGCTGCGGGTGTCCTGCTGCGTGGGCTCCTGCAGTTTGTCGACACGAGCCGCCTACTGGTCGAGATCGCCGCGCGCGAAGGCTCGGGCGCCCTCTTCAAGGGACTGGGCCCCACACTGGTCGGTGTGATTCCCGCGCGCGCGATCAACTTTTACACGTACGGGAACGGGAAGCGCATCATCGCCGAGCACTGGCACGGCGGCGCCGAGTCGCCACTCGTGCACCTAAGTGCAGCCGCGCTTGCTGGCGTCCTGACTGCGACTGCGACGAATCCCATCTGGGTCGTCAAGACGCGCCTGCAACTCGAGTCGCAGCAGCTCGAGGCGCGCTCGCGCGCTGCGCGTGCAGCCGCTGTCGGCACGGTGCATGCACCGGCCAACGCAGTGCGTGCGAGTGCCGCAGCGCAGGGGCTCTCGCGCCGGGCGCTGTCGACCTCGGCGTGGCGCCATGCGCGGTTTTTCGAAGCGTCGCGGCCGCCGCCAGTTCCTACGACGAACGCGCTGCGCATGACGCTGACCATTCTGCGCACCGAAGGCCTGCGTGGCCTGTACAAGGGACTGAGCGCGAGCTACTTGGGCGTGTCGGAGAGCACGATCCAGTGGGTGCTGTACGAACAGCTGAAGCGGGTGCAGCAGCGGAATCGGGACCCATCTGTGCCGTCGGTGCTGCCGACGGTGAGCGCGGCAGGCACGGCCAAGATGATCGCCACCATCATCACATACCCCCACGAGGTCATCCGCACGCGCCTGCGGCAGGAGCCAGCGCACGGCGTGCGCAAGTACCGCCACCTCGTGCAGACGTTCCGTGTCGTGCTGCGCGAGGAGGGCGCGGCGGCGTTCTACGGCGGACTAAGTGCGCACCTCATGCGTGTGATTCCCAACGCGGTGGTGACATTCTCGATTTACGAGTTGGTGCTGCGCCTAGGCGCAAGTGCATAGTGTACGATAGGGTATCTATTCAGCCTGGTTCTCTCCAAACACGAGCTCCTCGTCGAACAGCTCGATGAACTGCTCATTCATGACGCGCACCTTGGGGCCCGCGTACCTGCGGTACTCCTCCAGGATCGCACTTAGGTTCCAGTGCTGCAGCTTGCGCAGGCACCCGATGACCGTGCCGGTGCGGTGCCGCCCGAGGTTGCACATCACAAGGCACGGGTACGTCGATGGCCGCACAAGCAGGTGCAGGGCCTGCAGCACAATCTCCTCGGTAATTGGATCCCACGCATTCGTGCTGTACAGCACACCGAGGTGGTGCATCTCAATGTTCTGGTCCGCACAAAAGTGCTGGCTGTGGTGAGTAGCGTGCACGTACAAGCCCACGTCCGGCTCCTCGGGCGCGAGCCAGATGACGCTCCTTAGGCCCAGCTTCTCGAGGAACGGAAAGTTCAGCTGGTCCGGCTGCCCGGAGCGGTACAGGCTCTCTTCGACCATGCCAAAATTGGGCGGCGGCACCAACATGGAGATGGGAGACTCCTCCACCTTGGCGGGACGCTACGACCTATTCTCCGTACACCTCGCGACGCAGCGAGGCCAGCTCTGCGTCGTCCCAGGGGTCTATCTCGGCCACACGCACGGCGTCGACGGCTTCGCGCATGTGCTGTGGATCTGTGGTGCCGCTCAGCACACATGTCGTGAGGCCGGGGAGGCCCATGCCCTGACTCACGAACGCGTAGACGACCTGTGCGGGCGTCAGGCCACGCTGCGACGATACGACGGCGACGGCGTCCGACTGGAGGAAGCGCTGGTTGCCGGTCAGCGTCCAGAACGGTTGGTACGTGACGCCCCGCGGCTGCGCCTCGAGCACATCGGCCGGGGGCGGAAACGCGTTCGGCGAGAGCACTGGCGAAAGGAGCCCGAGCAACGACACGTCGTGGCCCGTCGAGCTATGCCACCGGTTCTGCAGTACATAGGGCTTAATGCGCGCGCGCTCAAACAGCAGCGCAAATATGCTGGGGTCATACACGTCTGTGTGAGCGAGTGCACGTACTGCTGAGGCCAATGTGCCGCACGAGGCCCGCATCCACGAGCGCCTCCATGACGAGCCACGCCTCGAGCGTGCCTTGGAGCGTCGGCAGCGGCGAGTGCAGCAGGTAGCTGTCGAGGTACACGGCCTGCCGTGGCGCCTCGGCGTGCGTGGCGCCGGGGTTCGCGCGCACGGCGTACCGCGCGAGCAGGGCCCGCACGTCTGGCACCTGCGCACCAGGGTGCAGGTGGGCGAGGCTGCTCACGAAGCTCGGGCACACCTGGTCCGCGACGCTCGCAGCCGGGTCGTATGGCAGTGGCCCACTGGTGTCCTGGCCGCTCAGGGGCGTGAATCTGGTAAGTAGCACGACGTACTTGGTCTGGATCCAAACGTCCTCGCGCTGCAGCTGGAGCTCGCGGCACGCACGCGCGAGCCCTGCGCCGACGAGGTCCTCACGGTAGTGCTTGCGCTGGGCGGCCGTATCCACACCCCGGAACCCCTGTACGAATGCCTCATATACAAGGTCGCTCGTGCGTGTGCCTTTCCACGCGGTCCCGTACAGGATCCGCGGCATCGCAGGGAGCACTGGGCGCTTCGACATGGCCAGCCGGTGGCGTGGTGCGTGCGGGGCTACGATGGCGTGCTGCTTATCTAACTAGGTGCGGAGGCAGCAGCGCGTCATCTGGCGACGCAGCCAGAAGAGCACGCACCCCATAAACCGGAAAAATGCCAGGCCAAACGTCGACCAGAGCATGACCTTGAAGTAGATTTCCTGGTTCTGCCGGCCCTCGCGTGCCTCGGTATCGAGCTTTTCGCGTGGTCGGTAACTGTACAGGTTCATAATGACGGCCACGAGGATGGCGTTCGTAAGCAGCCAAAAGGCTACGAGGCGCGTGCGGAAGGTCTTGTTGCTGTCGTCCATGGTGGGCGTGCTCTCTTCGCTGATGCGCGGGAATGGGGAGACGGCGCGCGCGACCACGTCTCGGAAGCGCAGGTCCAGCGCCTCCTGCGTGAGGGCCACTTCCTCCACGGTCTCGACGTGCGCTGCACTGGGCGCGCCGCCGACGCTGGGGAGTGCGTCGGCCTTGTCGGCGCCTTTGGTGCCCCAGCTCACGTCGTGCAGGTTGCAGAATGCGTACACATTCATCACATTGACCATCGATGGCGCGAGCAGCGTGTACTGCACCGAGCTGGTGAGCATGTGCCATGGATCTGCGTATAGCAGCGAGGCGATCAGGTACAAGCCGAACATGGCCGCGAGCGAGGCGATGAGGACGGCCGTCGTGTTGCTGAGCACGACTGACGCATAGTCGCCGTTCTCGACGTGCAGACCCGCGAGTGACTGCACTGTGAGCCACAGGGAGATGCCGAGCGTGTACAGCCCCAGGACGCCAAACACCACGAACGAGATGGCGTATACGTGGTGCTCGCTCTTGGGCCGATTGCCGAGGGCCAGTACGAACTGCAGCGCAAGCGTGAAGCCGTACACCCACATGGCCACGAGGTTCACGTAGTGGAAGGCGATCAGCCACGCGTCAGAGAAGTCGCGCAGCAGGATGGACGGCAAGTACTGGATGATGATGGCGAAGGTGAGCCACATGTTGGCAAGCGCGAACCACGAGAGGATGAGCTGCGCCACGTTGTACAGCGCCTGGACGTGGAAGCCAAGCTGGCGCAGCACGCCGTGCTGACTGCGGTAGAAGCGGTAAAAGTGCACGAGGGCATACACGGACGCCGCAAACGACCCATTGAGCCAGCGGCGCCGCTGCGAAATGAGCTCGGCGGTGCGCTCCGGCACGTCCGTCTCGGCCTTGCTTGGCTTGACGTACGACAGCGTCCAGCGGTCGTCCGCCTTGGCCACCAGCTCAAAGCACAAAATGCGGTCCTCGGCAAGAAACATGTTCTTGCGGAATATGTTCATATGCTGGATCCCCTTGCGCCCGAGCCGCTCAGCCAGCGTGTGGTCGCCGTGGAAGTACTGCTCGAGGGGCCGCCCACACACGGCGCGGTAGCGGTACGCACTAAAGGCGCCGGGGAGTACGCTCACGTACCCAAACATGGACTCGAGCGGCTTGTCGAGGATGTTGCTGATCTTGTACTCAAAGTTCTGTGCGGCTACGAGCGGGTTGAGCAGCTTAGTGCCGTGCCGGATCATGGCATGGATCTCGCCGCACGCGCCGCCCAAGTGCGGATTGTTGTGGAAGGCCTCCCACAGGTAGTACAGTGCCTTGGAGCCCGGCTTGGTGCCTACGTCGATAAGCACCACAATCTCCGGCTGCAAGAGGCGGCCGAGCGCATGAAAGACCCAGCGGTGGCTGTTGATCTTTTTCGCATTCTTCTGCTTCAGGCACAGGATCATCTGCACAGGCACGAGGTTCGAGTCGTTGCCGGGCGTCGGCTGCACGAGCCGCGGCGTGGCGTCCACAGACACTTGTGTCGTGTACTCGAACAGGTGTGCGACGGTTTCATGTCCATTGATCTCGCGCTTCATGATGCCATCCTGGTACACGCCCAGCGTGGCCAGCACGTCGAGCGTCTCCTTATCGCACGGATCGATCCCATCAAACACGAGGGACACGACTATGCGTTGCCATGCAGGCCGTCCCTCCTCTTCACACGCGCGCCAGTAGCGCGACCAGCGGTGCTTGCAGAGGTCGCGGATGTTCTGCATGACACTGTGCAGTGTACGCGTCAGGAGATGGCGGTCCTCGTTGTAGTAGGTAAGCGCAATCAACAGCTCTGTCTCGCGGCCATACTCGCTCGACGTACGTAGACCCCACCCGTTCTCGCTCAAGAACTCATCAGGATCACATGTCACAGCCGAGTAGCGCAGATGCGTAAACTCCGTCGACTGGCCTTGTGCGCGGTACGCAGCTTCGACTGCGTTGGCAACGGGCGTCGGCACGGGATGGTCCACGATCCAGTGGCCGTCTGTCAGCTGTACCTGCCGCGTATCGCCATGCTCGGGCGGCTGCTGACGTGCGAGCCATCCCTCGCTTTGTGCGTGCCATGGCTCGACGTGCACGTCGGGCGGCAAGCCAAGGTGCAGCTCCGACTCGTCGGGATGGGAGAAGCTGCTCTTGGGCGGTAGGAGCGACTCATTGCTCGTGCGTTGCCACGTTGCAGGCGCTAAGTGTGGGTGTAGCGGCCCGCTGAACTCGGCCTCCTCGAGCGGGTATACGGACGAGAGAGACGCCTGGTGGCTGGGGGGCGGGGATCTAGCAGGAGGGCGTGGTCCTCGGAGGCCTTGGCGCGCCGGCGCCTGCGGTGACAATGGCAGAGGGCGCATTATGTGCTGCTCTACAAGCTCGTGAGGCCCCGCGGTCGACGACGACGGCCGCCGCGGCTCCATGGCGCTGGCTGGGCCAGCGGCCCCTGCGCAGGCACAGCCTCTGTTGGTTTCAAGAGGATGTGTCATGATGTGTCAGCGTTGATGACGCGCGGCCCGCGACGCGCGCGTCGCTCACGCCTCGCTCATGAGTGGGCCGCTGGATGCCATGGCGGCTGGCGAGCAGCTCATGCAGCTCGACCAGGCCATTACGCTAACGCTGCAGGAGATTGACGAGAATTTTGCACGCGCACACCAGGTCGTGACGGCGCGCATCTTGCCGGCGATGCGCGACTACGAAGCCTCGTGCTCTCAGACCTGGCAGGCCGCGCGTTTCTGGAAGCAGTTTTTTGAGGCGTCCGCCCAAGTGTCTTTGACGCAGCAGCCACTGGCGGAGCTGGATGATACGACCTCGATGTATGAGCCCGAGCAGGGGAACTCGGCGGTGCACAGCGGTGCCGAGCACATGACACGCGATAGCGACGAGATGCTCTCGCCGCCGCGGCTGAGCACGAGTCGCTATGTACCGCACAGCCAAGGCTCATCACTTGATACGCCATTTGAGCGCCTCCGACGCGATGTGGAAGCGAGTCGCGCAGAAGACACGACGCATTCGCAGGTCCTACCGGCCGCGGACCTCTCAGTGGCGAATGATCCGTCCATGGCGGTGAGTGATGTGCCGCGCTCATCGAGCCCCCTCAAGGCACGGCGCCGCCTGTCAGCACGCCCGCGCGTGAGTGTGGTGCCTGGCCAGGACGGCGTCCCAGCCAATCCGTTTGCGACCGGCGACACGGTGCGCATGTGGAATGGCATTGCCGACTTGCGTCGGACGCCCCTGCGTGCAGAGCGGGCGGCTGGCGCCACAGATGACGACGACGACGACACGTCGCTGGCTCTGCCAGATGGCATGTCGCCGCCCGTCACGATGCAGTTCAGTGTACCGCCCAGCACGTACCTGAAGACGCCGGCGCGCGAGGCGGCGCGGCGCGTCGTTGATGACCTGCTGCGCTCGGTCGGCGCGGAGGACACCGATGCATCGGCAGGTGAGGTATCGCTGCGCCCACCTCCCAGCTCTGCACGCCGTAAAAGTGTCGTTGAGACGCCATTGACCAAGCGCCGCACCTCGACACTCCAGCGTCGCGACTCGCTGCCTACGCCGCCGACGATCACGAAAGTATACCCCCCACCGGCCGATGCTGGGCGCAGCGACGGGACGATGCACAGCCGCGCCGGGAAGCTGCTGGACGAGGGCGAAGGGTGGCCACCGGAGCTCGCGCCGTCCCCTGCCACCAAGGCCAGCACGCTCGATGCGATGCTGGCGGACGAGGACGACGAGGACGACGAGCCCGTGGCGCCGCCGCCGTCGACGGGCCACAGTCGCTCGATCGAGGACGACACCTTGTTTGGCTTGGGAGCGCGGCGCACACCCTCGACCGCGCCAACGCCGACGACGGGCGGGCGTGCTCTCTCAAGTGCGGTGCGGCGGTCCAGTGCAGAGAGGCGTCTGCTCGGTGACTACTGAGTCTGTATATTCGATGGGCGTAGCGAGTTGTAGTGCTGTGGTTAGAACCGCGTACATACCTCTCCGAGACCATACATTTTGATGTGGTAGGAGATGAGCAGGGGCGCGCGCTCGCGGAACTCGTCGTCGCCAATCTTGACCACAGGCATGCCGGCCTGCACGATGTGAATGGGCGTGTACAGGACCTTGGACAGCGCAAGGATCTCAGGCTGGCCGCCCCACGCGGCGGTTGTCTCCATGGCGTCGCAGTATGCAAGGTACTTGCTCCTGGGATCAGCAGCAGAGCCGCTGCCGCTCTCCCCAGGCACGCCAGCGGCCTGCTCGTCGTAGTCAGAGATAAACGGCATAAATTCGTCCGCGTGCTGCCGCATATAGTTGGCTGCCGCCTTGCGCAGATTGGCATACGTGTACAGCTCCGGCGCAGGGTATCTCATGTTCATCTGGTCGGCAATGGCATTGTACAGACAGTGTCCATCCGGTGTGATTTCGTGCAGTTCCACATGGAGCTCGTGGCAGAGGCGCTGCATGGCCTCGCTTTCCACGGCGCCCTGGTCCACGGGCGGGTTCTCGAGGTTCTCCCGCTCCACCTCCGCACGGATCGAATCGAGACGCTCCTGCTCGCGCGCCTGCTTGCTCATCTGCCGCCGCTGCTGGCGGCTCATTTTCTTGCCGGCGTCTGCCATGGCGAGTGTGTCAGCGTCGCGCGGCGCGCGAAGCGATGGAATCGGGGAAATATGAGCTACGACTCTACTTGCACCGTACATGCACAATCGCACTGCCATGCTCCTCGTACTCTTGCCGGCTGATCCACAGCTGGTGGAAAGTACCGAGGCTCGCCAGGATGCTGCCACCCAGCCACGTGGAGTGGCGTCGCTCAGTGTAGTTACCGGGCGAATGGATACGAATACGCTGGCTCGGCGCAGCGGTGCTTAGGTCATAGCTCAAGCGGTCCATAAAGCCGGGCAGAAGCGTGCCGCCGCCCACGCACACAATGTTGCCGAACATGGCGGGACGCGAGTCGACGTCAACGGCCTTGGTGGCCTGCAGAATAAGGTCGGTCAGCGACTGGTATGGGTCGTCGCGTCTGGGCAGCACATTTGGCACATCCGCGTAGAGCCCGGGCGTGAGCACAGCCTCGGGTGCCTTGAAGCGCAGCGTACCGTACGCATCGTTGGAGCCATCGGGGAACTCGTACATCTTGGTCGGCCGCGCGGCAGCCTGCGCCTCGTCCCAGGGTGCCTCGAGCACCTGGCATACGGCCTCCTTCATGTCATTCAGTAGCTCCATCGTCTGGTACATGCGGAACGACGGTGCAGTCGCCTTTAAGCGCTCCTCACGGAGTGTCGCATTAGCAGGCGCACCGGGATCGCAAGGCTGCTTGTTCTTCACGAGGAACTGCGGCACAAGACTGTCGGCGAGCCAGCCGCTGCGGTTCTTGTCGCCCATCTCATGCGTGAGGCCCCACAGCAACGCCCGCGAAACGGCATCACCGCCGTTTGGCTGCGTGCAGATGCCCTTGCGCAGCACAAATCCATCGACGACAGGAATCGCCGACACTTGCGACGCCCCGACGTCGACGACCAGCGCCGTAGGCCGACCCGACGCAAAGGCGCTCAGCACTGTGCGGTTCGCAAGGTAAAATGCAGGCACACCGAGGCCCTCGAACGCGACCTCGGCCATCTTGGCGCGCACCGCCTTCGGGTTCGTTGACGGCTCGGTGAGCAGCAGCGGGTTCTCGGCAGGGTCCGCGGAGAGCACCTGCAGCGCATGGCGCGAGAGCTCCTCGAATGTATCGTAGTCTTGCACAATGCCATTCGCATCAAATGGCGTATCGATCTCGAGGCCACTACGCCAGAATGACACACCCGCGTCACCAATAAAGCGCGTGCGGCCCTGTCCGCGATCATACGACACGCCGCGCGGCAGTGCCTTTTTGGGAGCAGGTGGCGGCCCATCCTCTCCCGCCTCCGCCATACTCACGTCTCCATCCTGAGATGGCTCCGCGGCAGGAGCCGCGCTGCTCGCAGCCTTGTCTGCCTCGGCACGCTCTTCGGCCGTCATGGGCCGCCAGCCGTAGTGCGACGGAAGAATAGCGCGAGGCTGGTCCTCGCCTGCCCAGCCACCGCGGTACATCGATGCACCTGGATCTAGGACGATCGCATTAATCTCGTCGCCGCCATAGACGCCAGGCATCCTGCTGCTCGTTCGTCGCAAGGCGCCCGCGGCTTGCCCCCCTTGGGGCGACGCGTATCACGTGATGATATACGCCCGCGTCGCAGCGGCGGCTGCGCTCGCGCGGCTGCCTCTATGCTGCACGCGCGCGCGTTCACCCAGGAAAATGATCTGGATGCTCTGAGTCCTATGCGCACGCCTAGTACGCGTCGCGCACAAGGTCACTCACCTTCCAAGGTCGCCGGCAGCAGCCGCGCTGCGTCGCCGTTTAAGCGTGCGGATCGGGTTGGAAAACCTATGATCGGCTCGTCGTACACGGGCCGCAGCGCGTTTGGAGACAAGACGAATCAGTCTCCCGCCGCACGGTCGCCATCCAAGCGGGGTGCAGGCGATGGCCCATGGGGTGCTTCACCGTCCAAGACCCCATGGCAGGCGCCACCGATGCACCTTGTCACGCCCGCCGATAATATCGGGCGTGCAGGGCAAATCAAGGCGCATCTGGGAGAGACGACAGGCGCTCCTACACCCAATGAGGCCGACACCGAAGTGCCCGCCCCTGCCCTATCGGAGGAAGAGCTGTACCCGCCAGTGGGCGCTATGCCGTCGTCTGTGCATGCGCGTGGTACGTGAACTACCGCTTACTCCAGACCTTCCCTACGATTTCTCGCCGGCCCTTGATGGCCTACCGCGCGCATCTCAGGCAGCGTCCATGCTGGCTGCAGCACCTCTAGTGGGCCATACGCCTGTGTCAGTGCCCCTGCCTGTGCCAGTGGACGCCTCGGATCTGCTGACTGCCTATCCCACGCTTGCGGCGACGCGGCCTCGGCGCGCGGCCCCTGCACCTCACCCGGTGCCCCGGTCGCGCGCGCGCGCGGCTTCCTCGATGCGTCGTGCTCCTGCGCAGGACGCCCTCGCGCGTCAAGTGGATACCCTGGCCCGCTCGGGTGTGGTGGACGATTTTTTTGTATTGTGATATAGGCCCTAAGTTCGATTAACACGCAGCTTGTGGTGTTGAGGGAGGGTCATGCGCAGATAGTGCAAATGCTTTGCATGCGTTGCGAGCTGCTGCCCAATACCGTCGCCACTCCATGTGCGCTGCGCTGCATCGGCACCGTAGACGACGGTGCGCTCCGGCAGCTCCGTCGGCTCAAATTTTTGCATATCGCAGCCCGCGCCGATGACGCAAAAATTGCTCACACGCACATGCGCTGGGACATGACAGCCGACCTCGAATACGTTGCAGTTGCCGACAACCTCGCTGGCTACGCGGCATCCTACACGGATCCAATTGCCGTCGCCTACTTGTAGGCCGCCAGGGCCACTCGTCAGCTGTACACCCTCTTCCACAATGCAATTTTCGCCCAGGACAAGGGGTGCTAGAGACCCGTCGAGCTTGACGCGGGGATGCAGAACTGTACCGGTCTTGATGGTTACTGTGCCCCGGATATCCACATCCGCAGGCACTATTACCTTGGCATGGATTGTGATGCTACAGTGAGCCAGCAGCTACACACGAGTCAGGGGACATGCCAAGAGGGCGAACAACCTCCACAGGCGCTGGGGCCCCTATGTCTCCATGACACAAATGGCTGCCCACCCCATTTTGAGGGCTGTGGCCGTTGTCGAGCTTCATGATCCTGACACCGAGAGACGACGTAGTTTGTGTCCCTTGCGATAATATACCACCCTGTCCCCCGTGCACGGCTCACCAGCAGTGCCAGCAACTGTATCCCAACGACTGTCATATCTGCCCGTCCAATGTGTGTGTCACGAGGCCCCATGATGAAGCCCATTCCAAGGGCATAGTAGGCGGTGTCGTCGGCGCAATCGTTGCTGCCATTTTCGTGGGTTTTGCATCGTATGTAACTTGGAAGGTGCTCTCCATCAGGCATCAGCGCCGATCGAAACGCCTGTCAAGCCAAGATAAGGCGAGTGTCATGTCGATCTCCGCGCCCCAGCCCATGACACAGGTTGTGCTGCACGATACTATGCAGGGCCCGCCAGCACATTTTTACAGCCCGCCGCTCACGTCGGCTGCGCCGGCCCAGGACGACCCGCTCACGACATCGATAAAGCCAACGAGCGCAATGTACCGCATTTCAGAGGCCACAGAAACGAGTACACAAGTGCGTTCTACGCCATTGGACGCGGGTTCTGGGCCTCAATGGGAAAGAGCGTGGCCTGATGTGCCACAAGACGAGCTTCCTTTGCGGCGCGTATTTGACGCTACGTTCCCAGACACTCCTACGCCGGTCCAGACGCAAGCAACGCGGGTCACGCTTAGCAAAGCATGTCCGCGGCTCGTCCGCGGTCCAGTGTACAAATGAACCAAAACTACCTTCTATAGAGAGACACTCACCACGCTGATGTGCGCATCGTCCTTGCTCGAAAGCGAGACGTTGCCCTGCGAGGACAGCTGCACATACTTGTGCGAGCTGAGCTCCTGGATCGCGTGACCCTGACCGTTGCCCTTATCGGTCAGCGAGAACGACGCGGCATGGCTCTTCTTCGAGGTGAAGTGCAGCGACGAAGTCAGGTACTGCGTCGAGTTACCGGCCGTCGAAATCAAGTAGCGGTTGTCCTTCGGCTCAGTGCCCTGCCAGTGGATGACAAACAGCTGCTTCTGGGAGTAGTCACCCTCGTCCTTGGCTGTCTGTAGCTTATCGCCTGAGTGCGAGAGACGGCGGCCCGACGAGCTGAAGCTGAGGTAGCGGCCCTCAGTCAGGTTGCCACGGACCATCTTCACACCCTTCTCTGTCTCAAGTGTCTTGTGCACATCCTGCTTGCCGTAAGGCACCTTGGGCTGCACATCGCCCTTAAACTTGAGCAGGCACTGCCAAGCACCGTTGTACGTGTCGGTGATCGGGTCCTTCTTCGCCGTCGGCACCTCAGGCACATTAGGCACGCTCGGGTTCTTCTTGCTGAAGTCAAACGCCCTCACCAGATCACTCAGGTGCTCACGACGCCACTTGTTCATCTCCTTCACGTGGAACGGCTTGCCAATTGCCTCGGCCCACTTCTCCAGGAACAGCGTCTGGCTCTCGTGCGATGACACCTCCGTGAACACACCACCATCGCGCGTGTACGGCGAGATGATGTAGAAAGGCAGGCGGAAACCGGGACCGGTCGGGCGCAGCGTACCGTTCGCGTCAAAGGGGTCGTTGAGCCATTCGCCCGGGGTGCCCTTCGGCGCATGGGGGGCCATAACGTGGTCGGCCCAGCCACCCGTCTCATCGTACGAGACAATCAGGGCAGTCTGGTTCCAGTTCTTACCAGTCATGACAGCCTCTGCCACCTTGCGCTGCAGCCACGCACCGTCCTGAGGCGTGTACGGCGGGTGCTCCGACAGGTACTCGGGACCGACAATGTACGAAACCTCCGGGAGCGTGCCGTTCTTCGCAGCCTCGTAGAAGGCATCGAGACCGCTGTAAGAAAGAGCGCGACGAGCAAGGTCGGTCTTGTTCTTCGCGGCCACCTGGTACTGGCGCCATTCAACAAGAGTGTTGTCGCCAAAGTTGTCGTAGTTCTGCCAGACCTTCCAGTCAATGTTGGCTTCGCTCAGGTACTCAGGCACAGTCTTCCAATAGAGGGGACGGCACGAGTACTTGGCCCCGTCCTCGCCCTTCAAGCAGTAAGGGTCACGGTTGTTTTCCAGCACCGTACCACCCAGGTCCGTGTTGCCGCCAACCGAGCTACCGTTCGCGTTGATGCTAGTCGAGAACCAAGTCACACGGTTGGGGTCCGTCGAGGCAATCTGGCCCTCAAAGTACGAGTCGCCCACCACAAAGTTCTCCGCAAGCGAGAAGTGGACAGGGACATCCGAACGCTTGAAGTAGCCAATGCTGTACGGCGTGTTGTTCAGCGCCCAGCGATCAATGTTGCCGTCGTTCCATGCGGCGTGGTTCTGCTGCCAAGAGTTTGAGCCAGCCAGCATGCACTGCGCACGCTCAGGCCAGTCCTTACCCTGGTAACCCAGGTACCAGGGCAGCAGCTCCGTGACGTTCTCCGGAGGAGAGTAGTCGTTCGTAGGTCCACCACTGACTGTCGCCATCGACGAGTTCACCGGCTGGTGGAAAACCGACTTGCCGGTGTTGTTCGACACGCGCACGTTGGGGTCCTGGAAACCACGCACACCAGCCATGGTACCAAAGTAGTGGTCAAACGCACGGTTCTCCTGCATGAACAGGACAATGTGCTTGATGTTCGAGAGATCATCGGCCAGAGCGGGTACAGCGGCCGCCGCAGCCAGAACCAACGCCTGAGACACACGCATGTCGGTGGTGGGTTGTGTGGGTCGGGGGGCCCGACGGACGCAATTGTGCCCGTTACTTAGGGCTGCATGAGCGAAATGGTGGACGAGGTCGGATTCGCACGTGCACCAATCATATGGGTGGGTTATAATTTGCGACGCGAACCTGGCCAAATTTTGAGGGCATTTGTCATCTACGACGGCTGTACATAATTGCGAGGCTTACATACATCGGGGGAGAAGTGGCTATGGGACGCAGGTTATACTTGGGGTGCTGAGGATCTGCGCGACCTAGATATCAACGGAGCTTCCGCAGACCACGGGAAGTGAAGGACAGGTGTAGTGAAGAAAGAGTTGGTGTCGTCTGCAATGCCCGAATAAGCATTGTACCAAGCGATGAAGGCGGTGGTAATGCCAAACGCACCATCAAGGCGTGTAAGGGTCACACTCGCATTCGAGCCATCATTGAATAGAAGCGCCAGGCCCGAAAAGAGATACGTCAAGTCCAGGGCAACGAACAATGATAAGAAGGCGACAGTTGATTTAGCGGTCATGAAAGCCATGATCGTGGTAAAGATAAACCATCCAAGCTCGTAGAGGCCGAGTGTGTTCATATAACCGGCCATCCCTTCCGTCTTGACAAGGGTGTCCTGGATTTGAAAGCCGCCCGGCGTCAGAATGATAGCGTAGGTGACCCAATAGGCACCATAGGAGGTCAGCGTTGTCGCTCCAAACGTGTTTCCTATCGCCATTTCCCACATCCCTGCGAGAATTTGAATGAGACCACCATATATGAGCCCAACTGATATCATAATTGCGTTGCTAGACAGCCCTTTCGTGCCAAGATTGATGAGAGCGAGAATGAAGTTGCACATGGCCATACCACAGAGGCCCAGAGGCGCTGGGTTGGGCCGCTTGCGATCTTTCCGCGGGTAAAGTCCTGGCTGAAATTCACCGCCAAATGCACGATTGTACTGATCCTCCAGATCCCGAAAGCGAGCATGAAGACTCTCGATATTTGAAGCGTCAAGAATTTGGCTGGACCGATCGCGACGTTCCGAAAGTGCCAAACACTCGTTGGCAGTGTTTTCCGGACCTGTGTGCATATTATCCCTCATGTAAGAAGCATTGGAATCAAAGTCCCAATTCGACACATGGGAAGTAGGCTTTCTTGAACCCGTCGTCACCATGAGACACGGAGGAAGCAACAGGGTCCATCTCTGCTCACACGCGACATTCACCCAATCTGAGCAAAATCCGCGACACACGTGAGATCCATCACGTGGCTATGTGAACCATCGAGTGCACGTAAGCGGAGGATAGATTCGTGATTTCTGATTGGTACAATCTGGATGATGCCACGAGGTATACAAAGGCGGAGACCAGATATAGGCTCACTTGGCCAATCACAGCGCTACAATTCAGCTTCACTTCATTCGGTTGTGAGATACCACGCACTTTTATAATATCGTATATATTATGTCAGAATAATACACAGCGGCTCGCGGTGCAGCCTTCGACAGTTATCCTCTTTCTCTATAATGGCTGAGAGTGGTGCGCAAGAGGCCACCTCGAATCCTGATTATGGAATTCCGGACCCCAAGTCATTCTCTCCGGAGCCATCGCAAAAGTATGAAACGGTGGTGCCGGAACGCGACATCAATCGACCCGGAACGCCGGAAGTAATTCTGTTTTCGGGCGAGCGAAATGAGCACCAGAAAGTGACGTCGGGTCTGCAACGTAAATTGGCCCATTACAAGTACGGCAAGCCCAACAACGTGGAATTGCGTATCAAGCCGGTGGTCAAGGAAGGGCAGGTTGAGCTTACGCGGGAGCTGGCCTTCGATAAAACAGCGTTTAGCTTTCCGTCCTGGAAGAAGTGGATGATTCTCTCTGTTATTGCTATGGTGCAGATTAGCATGAACTTTAATACCTCCATCTATCCGAACGCCACGTCTATGATTCCCGACGATCCTCGTTTCGAAGGTGTGAGTGAACAAGCAGCGCGTGCGAGTCAGATGATCTACCTGGTTGCCTATGCGTTTGGTTCCGAGCTCTGGGCCCCTTGGAGTGAGGAGCTGGGACGATGGCCGATTCTTCAGGCCTCTATGTTCCTGGTTAACATTTTCCAGCTGTGGGCCGTCTTTGCCCCGAACTATGAGAATTTGCTTGCTGCACGGTTTTTCGGCGGTCTTAGCACTGCCGGTGGTAGTGTGACGTTGGGTGTGGTGGCTGACTTGTACGACTCGGACGACCACCAATATGCCATTGCTTTTGTGGTGTTGTCTTCAGTTATTGGTACATCGATTGGTCCGTTCATTGGTGGTATCGTGCAACAGGTGATGCCATACAACCCCTTGTACTGGATGTTCTGGCTGATGCTCATTTTTGGTGGTGCGACACAGCTGGTGCATGCGCTGGTCGTTCCGGAGACGTTGAATACAGTCTTGCTGGATCGGGAGGCCAAGCGTCTTCGCAAGGCAGGTCAAACGCAGTACTACGGCCCCAACGAGCTGCGTCCGAACCGATTCAGCATAAAAGAGATCGGCATTTACTGGATGCGCCCCTTCTACATGTTCGTGACGGAGCCGATTGTGCTGTTTCTGTCGCTGCTTAGTGGATTCTCGGATGCTCTGATTTTCATCTTCGAGATGTCGTTTGACCTCGTATTCGCACAGTGGTTCGGTACTAATCACCTAAAGATTGGGCTTATGTTCTTGTCGATCAACATTGGGTACATTGTCTCATTCTTCTCGTTCTTCCCTACAATCATGCATCAGCGCCATATGCGTCGTGCGGCACCTGAAAAGATTACGCCTGAAGCCCGCCTGTGGTGGCTATTGTTCTTGGCACCGTTGGAGATTATTGGTCTGTTCGGTTTTGCATGGACATCGCTTGGACCCCCCCAAGTCCATTGGATTGCACCCCTTGTCTTTGCCTTTCTCATTGCTATTGCTAACTACGCCATTTACATGGCTACCATTGATTATATGGTGGAGTCATATGGCATGTACTCGGCTTCTGCGACAGGTGGTAATGCGCTGGCGCGTGATCTGCTCGCCGGTATTTCAGCGATGTTCGCTGTGCCCATGTACGAGGGTATGGGCAAGTCAAACTCGTACGAATGGGCTAGTACGCTATTGGGCTTCATTTCGATCCTTGTGATTGTTCCTATTTTCGTATTCTACTATCATGGTGAGGCCATTAGAGGTCGCTCCAAGTTCGCCCAAGCCCTCAACGAGGAAAAGCATCAGCCAGGCCCGCCCGAGCCGCCGGAGGAGGTGGGTGCTGAACAGAGAGATGTGGAAAAGCAACATTAATGCATCATTTTGCAACAGTACTTTCATAGCATAATAATGATTGACCCACTTCGACTTGTGGCCTTGTTACGAAGCTACGGATAGTAGACCATCCTATCCTTAAGGATCGACTGGGGGCAATAAGCTACTGATGAATTTGTCCAAGTCATAGTCGTTCAGGGGCAACTGCCCCATAGGATCCCAATCCTCTTGAAAAGTGTCCCAAAGATATCCAGGAAGAGGAGTTGAAACGTCATCACTAGCAACTGAGGCGCCAAAGTGATCCCAAAGCGTGACTTCATTGGATGTACCCCCGTCCTGACCAGAGTGGGGCCCTACGCTCAAAATTGGATAATGATTAGCGTTATTTTCTTGGTGCTGTGACGACTTTGGGTCCGCCATAAGAGACGAGAGACTGGATTTTCCTGTCATGACATTCGTTAATAGAGATATTGGCTCGGAGGAACTGGAATCTTGCATTTCCGTTTGAGGATCATTTAATCTTTTTGCCCAGAGCAATATCCCATTCTCACCGTCTGTTTGCAATAAAGAATTCGTAGTTTTCATAACATGCATAGAGGCTCGCAGTAGGGCGGTGTAACCTTCCCGGGCTGACACAGATACGGGAGAAAGGAAATGCAAAATTTTGCTCAATGTACATAGATCTTCCACAATAAACTTTTGATTCGGATCCGCAGGCTTTGGAAACTCTCGCTCATGTGCCATGGACAAATGCGTCACCAGCAGTAGTGCAGCCACACAACACCATCGGGAGGCAAACTGAAAATGGTTAGCCATTCGAGAAAGCGATCCTTCGCTCTTGTCATCGTCTTTGATGGACAATGAACATTGAAAGATATCTCTGAAAAGATGTAGTAGGAATAGGGCGCTTTCAAAGCAAGTATTTTTGGACAAGGAAAACTCATCGTTGTCCCAGCCGCGAACGTAATATGGTGCATGAAGGTGGATGAGGAGGTAATGTAAGAAGGCAATGCCGAACTTGGACCTGACAATATGGGGAGAATTTTCATTGTCTGGGGTAGATGCATTGAGAACACCCTGGAATATTGCCATGGCATCTAGGATATCTTGATGCAGTTCTTCGGTGTTACTTTTTGTCCTGTTCAAAGAACGTGATAGAGTAGTGGTACGAAAAGATAGTCGTGCACAAAGTAGACGACACAGAATCGATTTAGGAAGATAGCGGCAACGATTTTGATCTGTTCCAAAAATAGAAGGAAAGCGTTCCTTATCCACGTTAATAATCGGATGTCTCTCCATGACACTCATAAGATCCCAATCGCTGGCACATAAAAGAGCGAACCACCTTACATGTCTCTTTGCCTTGTCATACTCCATCTGCTCGGGCGGCTCTTGGTTAAGGCCGAGCAGAGCGGAGACATTCATAGCCTGGAATAATAATTCGGCCGCTGTCAACGGCCGGAGAGCGTACATAAAATTCGTCAAGAGTAAGGCTGCAATAAGAACAAATGTTGGATCAGGTGCTTGGTAGATGTTAAGACTAGCAAGTCCATTCAAAGATATATGGATGTAGTCAAGAAGATGAGATTTTTTATTTACGTGTCGGATGAGGCTGTGGGAATAAGCCGAGGCGGATGCAAACATGATTAGACATAAAGAGCATGAGTACATGCATTGATGGAGTTGTTCTTGATCATAGCGGAATATTGTGTCTGTGTGCTCTGATAGCATATCTTTGAATCGAATGACATGATAAAGATGGTAATGCGCCAAACATGAGCCCACAACGTCGTCCAGGCAGTCCACATTGGCTAAGAACGTGTTAACCAAATCTTTCATTACCTGCACAGAAGGTAATAATGCATGAATCATAAGCAGAAGTTCTCTGGTCCTGTGAATGTCAGAGGTATGGAATGACAGCGATACCGTCTGTTTCTCGTCGTGGATGTTCCGCAGTTTTTCCAAATTCACGCCACCAGCTCTTTCAGATAGAGATGTACGGTTTTGTTCGTTAGATGATGTGCACTGAGCTGTTTCTCGCAAAATGGAGTTCAAAGACTGTATAGATGACTCGAGCGCTTCGATCCGCTCCAGCACGTCCGCGGAGTCTAATTGCAGACTCGAAGACAGTGGCCTTGTACCTTCCTCCCATGTACATTGGTCTTCTTCGTGTCGACTCACGCACGAACTGCATGGTCGTACCCGGTTACATTTCAGTTTCCTCTTGCGGCAGGGCTCACAATTGATCGCCCGGGACGATGTAGCTTTCTTCCTAGAGGACACATCACTTGTGTATGAGCCATTAGATACATCACAGAATTCATAACCACGCTCCTTCCCCAATTTTCTCTTTCTTCTGGATTGGGGCATCGAGTTAACAATGTCCTCAACGTACGCCCATCATTGACCGTCAATTTTGTGTCCGCTGAATCGAATAAACAATTGTTGATGACTAAACGCAACCTTCATTTACTGTCCTCCATCCTTGAGACCTGGGCCGTTCGCCCACGTAATATGATCATCTGGTCATTCAGCACGATGTAATAGCCCTATTTTCCAAAATCATCGTCCTACTTTGCATATAAAAACTTCAATGTCATGGATTTTATCCATCCAAATTTGCTAGCATTGACTTAAGAATTATTATGGTATGTCCGCGGAAAATCCGACGGTAAGCGCGTGAGTGAGGCCTAAGGTCGTGCACTCTTATATGGGATAGTAGCAAAAGAAACGCAAGTAAAATAACCATGACCGTGTATACTACCTCTGGAGATATTATCTCTTGGATCCGAGAGCTTCTCAGCTCTGTCATTTGTCAAGAAAAGACAGAATCGAATGACTTTGATGTAGCGTGGAATGACAGAGAAGTCGTCGACTGGGACGGGGAAGGCGATGAGGATAATCCAAAAAACTGGTCATTTGTATACAAGTGTTTTGTAACTTTTCTGGTGATGGTAATGACGATCTTTGTCTATCTGGGCAGCAGTATTGTGGTACCAGGTATGGAAGATCTCCAAGAAAAATTTAACTTCTCGCAACCTGTGGCAGCACTAAGCCTATCACTTTTCGTATGGGGATATGGTATAGGACCTATGCTACTATCCCCTCTCACAGAAGTTGCTCGCATCGGGCGAAATTGGCCGTACGTGATCAGCATTGGACTCTTTGTGATTATGCAAGTACCTACAGTCCTATGTCATGAAGCTGCAGGTTTTTTGGTCCTGCGGTTCATTGCTGGATTTCTTGGGAGTCCTGTTCTTGCTACAGGTGGGGCTACAATGGCGGACATTTGGAATTTAAATGGTGGTTTAATGAATGGTATTGCCTTTTGGTCGTACGCAGCTTGTGCAGGGCCAGGCATGGGTCCCCTGCTCTCTGGATTTGCCGTGCAAGAAAGGGGTTGGCCTTGGGTAGTCTGGCCCCTTCTTATGGGTACAGCACTTACATGGATTTTTATCTTTTTTCTTCTGCCAGAAACAAGCGCCGATGCGATTTTGAGTCGCCGAGCAAAACAACTTCGGAGAATGACGGGGAAACATTACATCCGCTCCCAAGGAGAAAAGAGGGATGAGGAGGGAACGCTTCGGCAGCTTGTCTACAACACCCTTTGTCGACCAATACGAATGACATTCACAGAGCCAGTGTTATTTTTTAGCGACTTATACATTGCGTACGTGTATGGTATTACATTTTGTTTGTGCGTGTGTCATAGCCACTGACTCAGCTTTGAGGCTTTTCCTTTGGTATGCAAGATTGTTTTAACCTCGAGACATTCCAGGAGAAGCATGAGTTTTCTATCGGACAGTCAAGCAGTGCCTTTATCACAGGTTGGATTGTGTGTGCTGTGGCTCTCGTGCTATACTGTCTCTACAACCAAAATTTTGTACTTCCTCGGTTCCGTTCCGGAAATTGGAAGCCTGAGTACAGGATGCATGTCTGCTTTGTCGGTGGTATTCTCTTCCCTGTATCTTTATTTTGGGTAGGTGGACGCAAAGCTGATCATTAGTTTGGATGGACTTCATTTCCAAAAGTACCTCCTTATGTACCTTTATCGGCATATGGTATTTTTCAGTGTGCCGTATTCTTATTATTTCAAGGGTTTTTGGGATACATTGGTGAGGTGTATCCCTTATATACAGCATCGGCATATGCTAGTAATGGACTATTCAGATCCCTAATGGGTGGCGCATTTCCTTTGTTCTCAAGGCAAATGTTTAAAAAACTCACTGTGCAAGGAGGATGTAGTCTACTGGGTGGAATGGCAATACTTTTGCTTCCTGTGACGCTTACGTTCTATTTGTACGGTGTTTCGCTGAGGAAACGCTCCTACATGGTTGGAAAGCTGAATAACAATAAACACGAACTTGGGGAAAGACATATAATTATTTCTGGAAAAGACAAGGGAAATCTATAATTTGAGAATCTCCGAAGACATTGAGTCGATTTCATCCGGTCTGCCTATGACCCTCATAATCACCACTCTACTGTAAGCCGCCGGTCTACAAGTTCCACTTGCAAGGTACCAACCAACAGTACGTAAGCCTCCGTTTTTAGAACCGCGCGTAAACATAATATACATAGTTATGCATAAACTCCACAAATGATGTTGCTCCCCACATTAAACCTACGTAAACGACGGGGGGGACCAATAGCATTAGAAGCTGAATTTGTCACGCCACAAGGTAGACATTCCAAAGCACCAAGCAGCAAGGGCACGTTCCTAGAAGCAGCGGGGAAATATTAAATTTCGAGCGACCATATATATATGGATTAAGGGTCCTGCACAGTTGCGATCGTATATCCTTATGGGGGTTGCCAGGGTTGTGGGATTCTTGCTGTTGTTAATTGCCATTGCTAAGGCTTCGCATGTCTCGCAGGACGAATCAAGGGCCCCTTCTCTGAGCGTCCGTGCCAACACGGTCGGCAACAATTGCCCCGTTCTTCCCGACCATTGGCCTAGTTCATGGCTGGACGTATGGTTCCCTCCATACGATCGTGAAAAGGCGGAAGCAATGCGCTACCGCTTCCAGGCTGGCGTCAATTTGGGATCATGGTTTGTGAATGAAAAGTGGATTGCTCCTTCGCTCTTTAATTGCACACTGGATGGCGAGAAGGGCGAACTTGCAATCCTGCGCGGCTACGGCAACACGTCGCAGGGTATCCGAAGTGCGCGTGCGCTTCTTGAGAAACACTGGGACACGTGGATTACTGAGGAAGACTTTAAGAAGATGCGGAACCAATACAACGTGAACTCGGTCCGCATTCCCATTGGGTACTGGAACTTGCCTGGCGCACAGTTCACCCAGGGAACTCCTTTCGAAGCGTGGTCGGAAGTATACAAAAATAGCTGGAAGTACGTGCGACGTGCAATCAAGGTGGCTGGTGACCACAACATTGGTGTACTCTTAGATATGCATGGCGCATATGGCTCGCAGAACGGGCAGGAGAACAGCGGCTTCAATCGTTTTTCTGTTGAATTTTCCCAACCTGAAAATCGAAGGCGCACAAAGGAAGCACTAGTCTGGATTGCTAATGACCTGAAAGATGTCACGAACCTCGTCGGCATTGAGCTCTTGAACGAGCCTTGGAATGAGTCTGGGCTGGGTTGGTGGTTCAAGACCACGGCCAAAGCGATTCATGACATCGGGGGTCATGTTGCAAACCTGCCGATCTACTACAGTGACCCGGCCGTTCCCCATAATATTGCCGATTCGGAGAACAAGCCCTCGTATACGGCCTATGACAAGCACCAGTATTACACGTTCGTGAATAGGAACGCGCCAGTGTCTGAAATCCTGGAAAAGGTCCGGGGTTCTGATCATGACAGGCTCATGAATCTTCAAAACTCCCTCAAAGGCCGCCTGGTCATCGGAGAATGGTCATGCGCACTGGACGCAGGATCAATGAGTGGCAATTCTGCGCAACATGTACAACAGAGGAGAGAATTTTGCCAGACTCAGACGGACTCATATCGCAACGTTTCATCCGCGATGTACTTTTGGTCCTATAAGTATGAAAACTGCAAATTTTGGGGAGGCTGGTGCTTTGACCAAATGTACGGAAAGTACATCAGCACATACGGAGGTTATGACCTGACTTTGTCAGAGTCGAACATGGTTCTCTCCCATTTGCCTACCCTTATTCCTCCCATGAGTGGGGCTGTCTTCCCTTCCTTAAGTGGTAATAATGACAAGGCGCAAGGCTTTAAGGATGGCTTTCATATAGCCAAGAAGCTGGCTACAACATCCCCGATATCTCGACTAGGCTTTAAGGATGAATATATCCGGATAATGTGGAGCCGACGCTCAGCTGCACAGAATGGGGGAATTGATTTTGAGCACTACAACCAGGGTTTCCTGAATGGGGTTTCTTATGTTGAGTGTAAGGTCTATTCCTATTCACGCTCGGGTAAAAATCGATGCGCAGCGCAGGAGGGCTCGTTGCTATTTTCGAATATCGTTCATCGACGGCATCGGCCTACAGATACCCTGTGGTAGATATGAAAAGAGGGTTTCTCTAATAGTCATATAAGTAATGTAAACTAGAGGTGGAAATTTGGGCGAGCGTAACGAAGCAAATCACAGCTTTTAGTGACTGTAATGAGTATCTGGTTTAAATATCTGCTTTGAATATTTGTTAGATCTTCACCTCCCCTTGGTAGCATATGAAGGATCTACCATGGTCAAGCACAGTGAAGTATCGTTGGATCGTGAGAAAGAAAGTCTTGATAAACACTTTCTTTCATTTCCGGTAGGGGAAGGGGGTCTGATTCCTTGGCTACGAGACGATATAGCAGCTATAGTACGAGTGGTGAATGTAGATGGGAGAAATCCGCGCTTGGGCCACTCAGTGGAGGCCTCTATTACCAATGAGGCAACAGCAGGCACCTGTCAGGGTCCTCGGCTGAGCCAGCCGCGTGCAGTCAACCCAGGTACCCGGTAAATACCCAGGCCAAAGGGTCCATCGCATCTTNTGCGTGCAGACCTCGCACTAGCAGATCACTCCGCTCTTGCCGGTCCGCCACGATCCGTGCCTCTCTCTCCACCTCGACATGCGCATTCCGCCGCACATGCTCGTACAACACATCTCGAATGCCATCGTGTCGCAGTGTTTCTCCACGGTACCCCCGGTCCTCGCAGTGTTCGCCGTGGCTCAGCCGGGCGCCGATTACCGCGCAGGCTCGACACCCTGCCGCGTGCGGTGGGCACATGGTCCGAAGTTGCAGACCTACGCTCACGTCGTAATCCTGCAAGGACAGCCGGCCAAAGTAGGGGAGCACCTGGAGCCACCGTCGGCCTAGTGGGACGCTCTGCTCCAGCAACACACGGCCTACGCCGTCGGGTGCATGCAGTACTAGATGGTCCGCCATGCGCTTGTACATGTCGTTGACCAGCATGCCCTGCTTGGGCAGTCGACCCATGGCGTCTCTTTGCTCCTCGTCACTCTGCGTGCCAAAGTCGCCTAGGCCTAGTAGCTCGCCGTCGACGAGCCCCCGACGAACCAACTTGTGGTCCGTCATGGTGCCCATCGCTTGTCGCGCAAGTGGCGCCACGTACGAGTACCATCGGAGGCCCAGGCCGCCCAGACGCAGTGGTAGTGCGAACAGTATCGGGTCAGTGATAAGAGAAATGGAACTGCCCCGAAGGTGTCGCACGACCCATGCGAGGCCGCGGTCTTGACGCTCCCAAATGGGATTGATGCCGTATGTGACGAGGTCGGCTGTTTTGAGTTGGCGGAGGAGATGTGCGTTTCGTCCAGCAAGGCACCGGGACAGGATGAGCCAAGCCAAGTGCTTGGGTAGCTCACACAGTGCAGGCAGGACGCGCTCGATGCGCTCGACCTTGGCCATGCCAAACTCCCAGCGGAACGCGGCGCTGCCAAGCGCAGTGCCGAGCAGTTCCGTGCCGGATTCGCGGATATCTGTAAGCGGCGCGCATGAGCTCTTGTTCACGTTGAGGTGGAGCCCTGGTGCCGCGTGTCTTGCGACCTCGGCCGCGGTGCTTACTGTGTCGGTGCTGTTCTCCATTGAGTCACTGCCCATCTTGGACAGGATCACAACGTCATCCAAGTACGCCATGACTAGGTGCTCCGGCCCAAGGCACTCTTGAAGCGCCTCGAGAAAACCACGCATGCCAAGGGAAAAGAGGATAGGAGCAAGAGGATCGCCTTGACGCACGCCCTCGCTAGATTGGAAAGCCAGAGCAGGCACTTGCCCACTTGCAGCGCCTACTCGCCTCTTTTGCGCCATGGCCACGAGCGGCGTCGCTTACTTGTATGCCCACCGCGCCGTACGGTACAGTACCGAGCAGTGAGCCCGGCATGCCTCGGCCATGACTCGCCTCGACACGCAGTTGTACGCGTTCGAAAAGTCGAGCTTGGTCAGGTGCGTGTACCCGAGCTCTGGCCGTGCCACGGCGTGCTCGACGAGGCGCACAATGGGCTCGACGTCGCCCGCCTGGCCCACGCCAAACTGGCCAGGCCCGAGACTCGACTGGATGTCGGCCTTGAGGTGTTGGACAATGGTCCGCATCAGCAAGCGGTACAGGACCTCGCCGTCAGCAATCGGCCGGATACGTCCGTTCGCCTTGAGGAGAGGGGTGATGCGCGCGCCGCATAGGAAACGTTGGTCAGGCCCCGTGTCCTGTGTGATTTCGCGGGCCTTTTGCTGCACATATTCGTGGACCGCATCAGGACCCAGCTGCTTCATCGTGAGCATGTCGCGCCACAGGAGAACCGTCCAGCCAGACGGGCCCGCAGCACTGTCTGTGCTCATGTGCTTGGCCGTGTCGATGATCTGGTCCATGGTGATGCGAATGCGGCGATAACCTGCGTGGCGTGCCGTGCCTGCGAATGGCCTGGGCTCGCCAGCAGGGTGGAGAGAGAGTAGTTCAGCTTGGGTCTGCGCCGTGGCAGGGGCGACCTCGCCTCGCTCGTTGTGGACCAGGCCCTCGAGGATGCGAGTGGCTTCGCGGATGCGTCCCTGGCGGCCGGTGCGCTGGAGGACGTGGGACATGTTGTACGGGACGAGGCGGTGAGACGAGAGGCCTGCTGGTGTCCAAGCCGCCTCGTTCGGGGGGGGCGAGCGTTGGCTGGCCAAGGAGGGACCGTTCAATGGGGGCCTGACTTTGGGACCCGTCAAAGGACTCGTCAATGGGCCCGTCATGGGGCCCGTCAAGGGGCCCGTCAAGGGGCCCGTCAAGGGGCCCGTCAAGGGGCTCGCCAAAGGAGGACCCTTCAAGGACCCAATGTACTCACCAGGGCTGACCTCTGACTGTGGCCCCAAGGAGGCCTCAGCCGAGACGTCCACGGTCAACATTTCGCCGTTGGGCCCATGTGGTGAACCCACTGGACTCGACGCCCTTGGTAGAGGACTCACTGAACACAGGTCCAGAGCAGCTAAGCGTGCTTCCGGCGACTGTGCGCGCGGGCTCTCTGCGAGCGGGCTCTCAGAGCGCACGCTTGCCTGTGAGACACTCAGGTCCAGGGCTAGTAGTCCCTCGGACAAGGTGGCCTCGTTGGGTGTCCCGTGGGCGGCATGCTCAAAGTCGGGCGTGCTTGCCCTGTCAGTCTCTCCCTCTGTTGAGTCTTCCCTGCCCGACGCCTCGTCCCATCCAAGCTCAGGGGGGTCTGGCAGGTCTGGCAGGTCTGACAGGTCTTACGAGGCGTCCAGCTGCCCTGACTCGGTATCTTGCCTGTCAATGTCGACTTCAGCCTCGGTCTCATCTTGCACGTCCCACCCATTGGAATAGTCGGCCAGGATCGTTTGCACACCTCGGTCCACCGTCTGCCTGATCAGCGCCTTCCATTGAGGCACTGGATACGCCTCGAGACTCGCCAGCTTGTCGTCGCGCTCCTCGTTCGACAGGCGTCCATCCAGCCAGGGAAATACGCCCAGCTTGGGCAGAAGCAGGATCATGAGCTCTACAATGGGTGAGCCATGCTGCACTTGGTACGCACACAGGCCGTCCAGCGCCTTGCGCATCGACCGCTACCACTTGCTAGGCAGTGGTGTGTATACGCTGCGGGATGTGACGACCTGAAGATAGATGGCCAGGAGACCGTCTGGTGTGTCGAGACCCTGGTGCTGGAGGTCGATGAGGACGCTTTCGATGTGCTCGTGGGCGATCTCGCGGTGTGTGGTGAGGGCGCCGAATGTATGGACGCGATCGACCAAGGAAGGAGGGATGCCTCGTGGGAAGCATGCGCGTTCTTCTGGAGTCGAGTCGCGGCTAGCTTGGCCGGTGAGGGGGGCTTGTGCGCCCTCCTGTTGAGAGCTAGCCTGTTGGGGGGGCGGCTCGGGA